CGAAAAGAAAAAATATAAAAAATAAAAGGGTTGCTAAAATCTGATGGGCCTCAGATGATGGCGAATGGGAGAGTGAATCTCTAGAAAAAGAGATGGGAATGACCGCCTCAGAGAGCGGAATGAGAAAATCACAAGGAACCGGACTGGTAGCCTCGCACGAACGAACAAAAGTGTAAAAGACGTTTTGAAGTTGCTATAACCGATGTGTACGGAAGGAAGAGTTTTTCCTAGTTGCAATTAGGAATTTGTGCAATTAGGGGTTTATGCAATTAGAGATAGGTGATTATACGTGACATATGTAAGTTTATAGAATACTGCGACCATATCGTCAATGGCCTCCTTAGCTCATTGGTAGAGCGTCTGCCTAGTAAGCAGAAGGTAGCAGGTTCGATCCCTGCAGGAGGCATTTGCATATATTTTTGTTACGCATTCTCACTGATAGATGGATAGTTCTCAAGTGCACCAAGGCAGAATTACCCCTGTGAACCTGAAGCAACTTTGGGCTCCACAGAGAAAGTTCGATTTATAGAATTGGGCGCAGCTTTCTCTGCAAAACGATGTAGTTGACAGCGTCTCACCAAAAAAAGCAATCCGCTGATATCTCTGCTTTTTAATCGAATCGACTTCCATAACTGACAAAAATAATGTCCCGGCAAAAGACGCTTTTTATATGCTTTCTACACCGCGAGAGTTCATCCATTTTTGAAAGAGGTTAACGGGCAGCGTCTTTTCCAATACTCCTACTACATCCATTATCCCCGCAAAAGTGAAAAGGCCCTGGATTCTTCTTCATCTCGATCATGTAGCGTAAGTTATAATCTACTTAGTAACCTCGGCTGTCAGTCTTATTTGACAACCCATCCGGAAACACATTTGCCACGTTGAGCATGTAAGTCAGTTCCTATAGGAAATCCATGTAACTTCTTTATTCTGAAAATCGGGCCTATGGCCTAAGCGATATTTTCCCTGCGTTTGCACGGCGCCTGCTTCACGAAGGGGTCTGCTGCTTGCGCTCAGGTTGCCTTTGTCTTTGGCAACCGCGCCTAATATTTTACATGGATCCCCTACAGAGACTGACAACTCTTGTTGGCAAGTAGATTACCCCTAAAAAATATACCTGCTTTTTGTTCCTCTACTGCCTGTGTGCTTGAGCAATCATGCAGCCATGAAGTCAGAGGATGCGCTGCTTAGGAAAACGACGGCCAATCCATACGAGGGCCAACACGAGGATACTAGATTTGTTCACTCATACGGAGCACAAGTCAAGACACCATTGACTCCACTCCTTGTTGTTCTTACTGGAAATAGTAATGAGATATGTTGCCACAAAGCAAGCGCGTTGTAGGGGGTGAATAGCGACTACCTTTTAATGATGGAGAGGTATAATGAGATATCAAAATGTACATCGAAGAATCTTGGTGATGAATGCCGAGCATCATTTGGGTTGATTGCCAACTATCTGCGCAGAGATTGCGTATCAAGTGTAGACAATATCATTTTGGAATCCGCTCAATTTTTCAGGAACGTCTGGATTGTTTCTTTTCAATATCCTGGCCGCCTTTGAGGAAATCTCTAGACGAGACGTAGTTTCAGTGCATTTCTTTGTGAAGAGGGGTTGGCCTCGCCTGCATCCGGAACCGGAGGGCGGTTCTCACCTCGTGGGTGAGGAGGGTGTTAATGGGGAGCGGATGAAACAATGAATTGCGCGCAAATTGAAGAGCAAGACTCATACCACACATTCCCTCCGTTGTATTTGCGCGACACCACAGACAAGGATCGCTGTCATCATGGTGAATTAAAATACGGCTTTCTAAATATTTGAATTGCAGCAATGTCCGTGCGTCAGGCTTGTTCGGCCTTGGTTGCAGATGCAGATAAAGAGAGGCCCTGCGAACGTCGCCGCCTCTCTAACAACTTCGTTTTCTCAACAACATATCCCATAATGGATTCTAAGATCGAAATTTTCATCGCCAACGTGCCAGGCGCATCTGTGTCAGTGCTCTATCGGAAGGAGGAATATATGGCCCTCCTAATGAAACGCATTACCGACGCGCTTGATGAGGTCTGCGGTCGCACCGACCTTGGCCAACTTTACATCAATGGCATCCGCCTCCAGGATAGTCAAAAATCTATCGAAGAATATCATTTTCTAGAGGATCTTGTGCCCTATAACCCCAAGAAAAATATTGATTGGGGGGATATCCGGAGACCGTTAGACATATGCTCCTACCGATATACCGCCATCGCAGACATATCAGATATTAAAGGTGCATGCATAGTAGGGCTCTATGAGTTTCCTACTGGACGTGTTGTTTCGGTTGGAACGAACGTCGAATGCATCTGCGATTGTACTACTGGATACCGCGTAGTTTGCAGACGAGGATACGGAATACTGGAGCTATCACAGGAAAAATTCCGATGCCCACACTGTAATCAGAGCAATGAAATTGTCCCCATCATGTTCGGCTTCAAGAATTGCAAGTATCGATTTCGTGGGACAATGTTATCTGGCGAGCAATACACTTCAAACTGGAAGGATGTCAGGGGGAAGGATGGGTATCAGCTTGTCAGTCGTAGCGAAGCCATTGCATGGAGCTGTTTGATCGTCGAGTCAGCTACTCGACGCTCAGGAGGAGTGTAGTATCTGCCTAGAGCACATGGACGAGGGGTGGACACTTGGGTGCGGCCATCGTTTCCATAATGCCTGTTACGCCAAATGGAACTCATGTTGTCCCAATTGCCGATTTAACGAACGCTCGAATAGGAATAGACTGGTGTAACTGACAGAATCTGTACCATCACAGGAAACACAAGCATAGAAGCAGACCCAAGCAATAGAAGCAACACAAGCAATAGAAGTATTACAAGCAATAGGAGCATCACAAGCAACGCGTACCCTTGACGGCCCTGCATGGATGATCGGTTCTAAAATAAACAATCGTAGGCCCTTTGATCGTATCCTTATTTTTATCTGCTGTGGTTTATGCTGTTGCTGATGGCGCCGAGCCGATCTTCGACACAGACACAATTTGCTGCGTGAAAGATGGACAAGACTGGTAGACGGGCGGCGGCATTTTCTGATTTCCACAATTGATCCAGGGGTTCTTTTCTTTATTTACACCGCGATGATGGGTACACCCACGCCTTGATGACCATAATTGACCTTTAAGAGAGAATCGATTCTTTATCAAGACATAGGTTTCGTCTGCCTTCATCACTCTTTTCTTTACCAGAATGCCTGCACATCCGAGGGAATCAGCGCTCTTCAAAGCAGGGGTCATTCGGATACAAAGAAACAACAACAAATATGCATGAATACGCACACATACTGCTGGAAACGAAAACATGTATAGATCAGATGAGACGTGACAATGGCGGTAACTTAGTCTGTCATCTCCCCGAGTTGAACCATTTCACAAGCCTAACTGTGGAATGTCAAGCAGACCTAACCACAAAGAGAGATAAAAAAACCTAAAGTTTGCCACTTGTCCTGGTTCCCCTGTCAAAGAAGATATGCATTGTACCAGTCTTTTATTTCTGTAGCTGTCTGTTGGTCGAACTGATCTTACGTTATGAGTACATGGAGGCAGTGGCGCTATGGCAAATCAGTTCATAATTCCGTAAAAACAGATTCTATCTCGGCCGCAAGGGTTCGGGAAGCTATGCAAACAAATATGCGGAACAAAATGAATGAAGACGCGAATGGTCTGTATCCATTACAATATCCAAGAGTAGGTCGCACCAACGATGTACATGAAGGTTGGTTTGTACCGATAGTGCCGTTAAACATTTTTCTATAAGAGGGTAAACGTTCCTTACAAATTGTCTAGTCAACTGATTGGCCTTAGATATACAATATTGCTTCCCCCTGTGTTGTCTCAGAAGTGGAAAAAAAAAGGATGGCGTGGTTATAGACAAGTAGGTAAGAGACTCTCGAACGAGGCGGTGTGGTCTGCCAACCTGCATTGTTTTTGTCTCGACAGAGAGGTGCATGATCGATTGTGGTTCCAGGTTTATTTTTTACCCGTTCTCTGAATGTGATTATTCGTCGTGCTCGGTATGGAAGAGGGACTAAAGCCTACGCTGTAACACTATGAATTCATGCGCTGCCTAGATCAAAGTTTAACAGTGGGGGTTTGGGGATGAGGCGGTGTGGTGAGACCATTTGCGAACAACACCAAACACGAACAGCAACCGCAAACGGGGCTGCAATAACAGTCGGTCTATCTTTCAGTCTTACCCTCCAATCCTTCCTTCCTTCTTCTACACGGTCATCTCCTCCCCTCTTGTTTCTTCGCTGCCATCCTTTATTCTTTCTCCACTTCTCTCACCATTTGCACTAACTGTAGCAAAAAATAAAAAAGAACTGCATGAACAGCAGCAGCAGAGTAAACACTATCCTGCTGCTCCCCTCACTAGACCTCCCTCAGTCTCCTCCTCCATCCAGCCTCCTTTACTCTCCCAAATTCTTCTCTGCATCTCGCCGCGCATAACAAGGACCGCCCCTTTTTTGTCCTACCGCGACAATTGTACTGTAGGTCTCCATTCTACTTTTTTCTGGTTTTTTTTCTGATCTCTCTCATTCGAAATGCTTGGACCATGGACCAAGCGATTCTTTCTCAGTCGGGGTTTCTCTTTTTATTTGTGTTCAGGGCAGGGAAGAGCAATTGGCGAATGAGAGCAAGCGACAGGTGCACCGTACCAACGTGCCTGCCTGTGCACTGCATAGAGCAATAAAATAGATGGTGCACAAATACTGGTGTCGAGCATGAGGTGTGTGTGCGACAATGGAAGTGGAATCAGAATGAAGAAAGCGCCTCCTTGATCATCCTCCTCTGTCTCCATTATGCATCCCAACTACATGCAATCGAATTGTCGAGATCCCTTTTTCTGATCCACGCCCTTCCTTCTGTCATGTCGTGTAGCGATCGCTTTTGCTCTGCTTTGCTTTGCTTCTTGTACAGGATCCTGTGCACAAGTACGCCGCTGCACATCCCATCCTGACCAAATCCTCTTTCATGCCCTTCTTTAAGTGACTGAACCAGGCCATCTCTTTCCTGCATCTCTGCCTCTCCTCTCGCCCTACTGTCACACCTCTCCTTCCTACTTTCCCGGCGCCTCACTTCCATTTCGCCCGCCTATAGTAGTAAGACAATGACTTCCCGCCCCCGACATCTGCTTGACCTTCCAGACGAAGTCCTGTGCTTGATTCTAGCATACTGTTGCGAGGACCTGGATTTCCTTCTATGGTTCTGTCCCCTGGTTGGAACCAAGAACCAACTCTGCCAGGATTGCTATCACTGCACCTTGTGCTACAAGTCTATCAGTAGAAAACAGGCCAGCCAAAGCCCTTCCCTCAACACCAACACGATTACAACACGTGGGTCTGCACCCTCCGACAACATTGTTACCACTAGCGTCAGCAATGTCCCAAATAGAGTGGACAACTGCAGCATAGATGACATGAGCGGCATGAGTGGCAGTAACTCGAACAATGAAACCAGTAATGAGACCATCCTCAGGAAAAGGAGGCGACGAACCATTGCAGACAATTGTCAAGGATTGACTACCAGTGATAGCTTTAATACGCTACCAGCCTGGGATCTCTTTCAGGGCCCTGATTGCGTAGACATTGGCGGTCTGAGGTGCCAAGGGAATCAAATCGAACATTGCCACCAATACTCGTCGGTTTCAGATGATGGCAGGTCATTTTGGTCGCGTCATTTTACGCGATTCCTCCTGTCCTCGCGGCTCCGCATGCCTACTCGCCCCGAAAACCGAGGTCAACAACAATCCGCACCCCCGGCTAGCACCATTGCCTCCATGGAAACCATGGCTATGTCACAGCCCTCTCGGTCAATCTCACGTCTAGCTGGCATCGATCCCTTGAAGTTGCCCATAGCTCCCATAGCCGGTAGGTTCTCAATATGCATACCACCACATCTCCTCGAATATATGCTCATATACACATGGAGCATGACGTTACACAACAAAGATTGACTCCTACAGCGCCCCTCCTTGACGCAAGCCAAGATGAGCTCCTATTCCACTCCAGGATCGATTTTTATCCTGCGCATGCATGTGTTGACATGTCTACAAAGAACGCAAGATCGACCCTGTACTCCATTCCCCCTCGCCTTTGTGTAACACTTCATGGATTGCCCCTTCTTTCCTGTCCTGAACCACCTTGAACCTAGTCCATCTACTCTGGCAATCCGTGCCTTCTCTATATTGTCTAGTGCGCAACCTCACATCATCCTATCCAATCTTGTCACCGCCATCCCTTAGACACAACCCTAACAGCAACCCGAATACCTACAGCAGCGTTGTCACCCATCGCTTTCCTCGGATCAATACCCCTGTCTCGTCGCGACGTCAGCTATGTAGCCTTGCAGCCAAGTGATCGAGACAGGGGCTTTGAGGGGGTTCAGCTCAACGAAAAGGAGCGTACGAACGCCTTTAACGCCGTTTCACTTGCAACACGACTACGACCAAGAAGCCTCAGTGCTGCAAATTGGTCCTATTCAAGGGCCACCAGATCGTGTATACCGTCGACATTAGGGGCTGTTCCCACGATCGTCTCCAAAAAGGTCGATTCAAGAGGAGCAAAGCAATTTTCGGTTGTTATCGATAGCGCCACAGCTGACAACGGCGTCCATGACCACTTAGTCAATGCTGCGAAGGTCTCGACACCATTCCATCTCCTTTTGGTGAACAAAAGACTTGCAGGCCTTGCCGTGCAATCACTCTGGAATGCAGCTGTATTCCATGGTCATGACGTTTGCCAGATGGAATCGCTTCTCTCAACCATCACTGAATCTCACTCTGGTGTTCAACCCCATCGTTCTGAATCAGGCAGAACCAACGAGAAACATACGGACCCTGAACGGAGACGCCTCTCTGGGTTCTGTGCGACTACTCACAAAAAAATCGAGCCCGCCATCAGCAGCAACGCACTGGCCAATTCATTCCGTCACTTTATTCGCGACAAGGATCAAGGCGCACAATTGGGCAACGATTTCATCGGATTGTACAAGATGTATCCACCAGTAGAGGGGGCTGCACACTCTGTTTCGAAAAGTGATCCAACGCAGAAGAATCGCGTAGCAGTCGCCATCAAGTCACCCTCTCTCCCGCCGCTGTGGCCCTACCATCGTCATGTAAAGCGCGTCGTGTTAAACTTTGCTCATCCCCAGGCATCCCCACAGATGCTCGTCAAGGTGCTCGAGCGCATTGGGTCCTGCTGTCCGGATCAAATTCAGTCACTGGATTTGCACGCTAACGAAAAAATGCAGGCCGCAGGACTTGAATCACCCGCAGAACTGGAGCGACTTTTCGGATCAAATTTTTCAAAGCTCCGCTACCTTCGATTGCAAGGAGGATTCATTGACAACCAGCTGCTCGGCGCTTTACTCAAGGGGTTCGCAACACCAGCATCGCCACGGTGCCGTCTCTCACAGGTCTTTTTAGGTCCTGGCTCGGTCACGGACAGCGCTATCGATAAACTGATCGCAGCGGCAAGCCACTCTCTCGAGGTTTTAACAGTAACAAGCTGTGTCGATATGAGCGGTGGAGCCTTGGCCAATTTACTGACAAACTGTCCCAAGCTGCGAGTACTAAGCGTTTACAAAGTTCTAGCCAGGGATAAAGAACTTTTGGAGGGACTTGGCATCGATATGGAGAACAATGGCACTCAGGGGTCGGCTCTAGAGTCGATGATATCCTATCCAAGCGCCCCATCAAGGAGGGAGATTGTCGCGCCTCTTGAGCGACTTGAACTCGGAACTGTCAAGCTGACGATTGTAGGCGTCGCTGAGATCATTCGAGGCACTTGCCAGACCCTGCGATACCTGGTCCTGGAAACACAGCATCTCAAGGATGATTTCTTGAGAGGTGTCGTTGCCTCATTGTGCAAGAGGCTGGAGGGTCTGCATTTCGACGACACAAATCACCCAGCGCAGCCTCAGCAACGACAGTCGATGCAAGGATATATATCCAACCGAGAGCAGCGAAGGCGGAGACGATTTTTTGACTTCGGACGAACCAGAGGAACACTGGAAACCCAGCTACACTCTTTAGTGCACCATGCACACATGCCATCAGTCCATCATGGTCAAGCATCATATCATCTCTTACGACGAAATCGCGTCGCGATCAGATCTATCCCAGCACCTCGACAAAGCCCATGGTTAGGCGATACCACAACTGAAGAATGGGTCCTGTACGGAGATTGCTCTCTGTGGGCAATGAGCTCCATTGGATCGTCTACTGCTGCCGATAACGGTGGTTCATGGAATACCGGCGACACCAGGGATGGCTCGCCATCTGCTAGCCGATCGCGGGTGAAGGGCATCTTCCTGTTTGTCAGGGCCATTGGTCGCTGCCTTGTTTCCCTGCTTTCAGACGGCCACAGTCACGGAGGCAATGTCACTGCTTCCCCATCACAAGTGACCCTCGATTCGGCCTTGGCATCCACGTCGGATTCTGACACTAGTTCTGATGCTGGCTCGCAAGACAACTACGAGATCCTACTGGGGCGGTTCGGAGTCGATCCACGAACCGTTGAAGTCTTGATAAAGACCCTTCAGCCTTCTCTCAGAGCGTTTACCGCTCTGCAAACGGATCTGATTGCAGGACAGGGAAAGGCTTCAGCTGAGCTCATTGTCGCGACTGAGTGTTCTACAGCTGTATCTGCCAATTATCTCACGCTGGTAGACAGAGACGAGATCCAACTGAGACTTGTTATGCTCTTAAGCGTTCTTGTTCTGGGGATCGTAGCATCCTTGAACACACAAAAGTTGTAATATTTTTTTTAGTATATTAATATAAACGGGGGTTCTGAACTGCATTATGACTAAATGGAGATATGACTCAATGGCGGCTCAATTCGCGCGTATCCAGCCTTGAGGTGCATGAGCCGCTTCATCACCTTAGTGCTTCGCCCCCAGATTTGCCCCTGTGCCTAATAGAAAAAGGGCTGCAGCTAGAAATGTTGTAATTGACAGGGATTGAGGGGCATCGCACATCCAAATGAACCCTCATGTCGAGGGAATTGGGTGTGAAGTGTAGTAAGATAGAAGGAATCGACCGAAAAAGGTAACAAGAAGAATCCAGAGGAAAATAAGTGGCCACTGGAGGTTAAGTGAAATCATAAAGAGTGAAGAACAAAGTGATTTGTGGAGTGCTCTATATCAAAGAAGACAAGTGCTAGAAAGCCAATGAGCAAGGGTCAAACACGACCTTCTATTTATCTACGGACGATAGATCAAGAGTCTCCAAAAAAGACATATATTGAGTGTGCCACTCATTTAGGAGCATGGTCGCTTGAATAGAAACCTTACACGTGACGTTGTTTATTTGTGACTAAGTTGTGTTGCACTGGAGTCCTTGGAGAAGAAAGACCACTGCTTCCTGTAGGTCCTTTGCTCTCCTTTGTTCGTCCCTTGTTAGGTGAGTCATGGTGGTGATGATGTTGAAAGCGGTTTTCTTTGGTATAAAAGGGTTGATGCGCGACGCCATCGCTCGTACTTTTCAATGCTCTGATCCATACTGACCAGCACCTTCTCTTCGCTGAACTACACCGCCTTCCCGTGGCGCTCCAACTTTTCGCTATCAAAAACATATGCACATACGATACAACAAAACGCCTGCTACATCAGATAACTGAGATTCCAACAATGGCCGACAACAACGCACCCACCTTTACTCCTCCTCCGGTTGCCTCTGGCTCGGAGACGTCCGTCGAGAAGTCTAAGAATGCCGATAAGAACGAGGCCAAGCGCCTGGCAAAGATGGAGAAGTTCTTGGCCAAGCAGAAGGTATGGGACACAAACAGTCGGCCGTGGCATTCTGACGACATTTCACTTTGGTAGTGGTCTTTATGAGAACATGTGCGAACGACAAGAAGGATAGTCTTTAACAAAAAGCGACCGACTGAATATCCCCCTGATACTAGGCTACTGCCGAAAAGGTCAAGGCTACCCCCGCCGCCAAGGAGGATAAGAAAGTCAAGACTGAAAAGTCTGCTGCAGCTCCCGAGCCCGAGTTTGTCAACACGACCCCAAAGGGCGAGAAAAAGGACATGTCTCAGCCTATGGCTGCTACCTATAACCCCAAGGCTGTTGAGGCTGCCTGGAACGACTGGTGGGAGAAGGAGGGTTTCTTTGAGCCCGAACTGACCGCCGATGGAAAGATCAAGGAGGAGGGACTCTTTGTCATTGCTGCCCCACCGCCTAATATCACTGGAAGTCTTCACACTGGACACGCCCTTGCCGTTTCTATCGAGGATGGTCTTTCTCGCTGGTAAGAGCAATTGTGGCTTCAAAGGCGCGTCCTTAAAACTTAATTATGAGATTGCAGGCTGCTCACTCATATTTTAATGACTGTTAACGGGAAATAATAACAGGAACCGTATGTTAGGCAAGACTGTGCTGTTCAACCCCGGCACTGATCACGCTGGTATCTCTGCCCAGGCTGTCGTCGAGAAGCAATTGTGGAAGGAGAGTAAGCAGACTCGACATGACATTGGACGTGAGGCTTTTGTGCAGAAGGTCTGGGACTGGAAGGATGTTTTCCAGTCGCGCATCAATACCCAGGTCAGACGTCTTGGTGCTTCGTACGACTGGAATCGCGAGGCTTTCACCTTGAGCGACAGCTTGTCCAGGGCCGTCACCGAAACTTTCTGCAGATTCCACGAGGAGGGCATCATCTATCGCGCCACCCGTCTTGTTAACTGGTGCTCTGAACTCAACACTGCCCTCTCCAACCTCGAGGTCGACAACAAGGAACTGACTGGACGCACTCTCCTCAACGTTCCTGGATACGATCCCAAGGAGAAGTTCGAATTTGGTGTCCTGGTCTCGTTTGCCTACCCCGTCGAGAACTCGGACGAAAAGATTGTTGTTGCAACCACCCGTATTGAGACCATGATCGGAGATACCGCAGTTGCCGTTCATCCCAAGGACGAGCGCTACAAGGTAAAGAACAACCTTAGATGGACGGAGTTAACAAGAGCCTGGGAGTTTTATCTAGACCAGCTCTATGTGCTCGAATGCTAATGTTTCCGTTCCCTCCATTCTCTGTATGTAGCATCTCCACGGCAAGTACGTGATCCACCCCTTCTCTGGACGCAGGGTCCCAATCATTCTGGACGACATTGTTGTCGATATGGCATTCGGTACTGGAGCTGTCAAAATGACGCCCGCACACGACTTCAACGATTACGAGGTCGGAAAGCGCCACAATCTCGAGTTCATCAACATTCTGAACGATGACGGCACCATGAATGGCAACTGCGGCGAATTCTCTGGCATGAAACGCTTCCACGCCCGTGTTGCTGTCTTGAAGGCTCTCAAGGAGAAGGGTCTTTATGTTGATACTGTCGACAATGCCATGACTGTGCCTCTCTGCTCCAAGACTGGCGATATTATCGAGCCATTGATGAAGCCTCAATGGTGGGTCAACTGCAAGGACATGGCTGCCGACGCGCTCCAGGCTGTCAGGGATGGCAGGCTGCTGATTAGACCCCAGACCTCCGAGAAGGAGTTCTACCGCTGGATGGAGAACATTAACGACTGGTGCATCTCTCGTCAGATCTGGTGGGGTCACCGTGTTCCTGCCTACTTTGTCCGCCTCGAGAACGAAGAGCAGGACTTTGCCGATGGTCAGTTCTGGGTCTCTGGGCGTACTGAGCAGGCTGCCCACGAGAGTGCCGAGAAGAAGTTTCCTGGCAAGAAGTTCACATTGGAGCAAGATCCTGATGTGCTGGACACTTGGTTCTCGTCTGGTCTCTGGCCCTTCTCTATCATGGGTTGGCCCGAGGAAACCGAAGATTTCAAGCGTTTCTACCCCACTACCTTGCTCGAGACTGGATGGGACATTCTGTTCTTCTGGGTCGCTCGTATGGTCATGCTGGGTATTAAGCTGACTGGTAAGGTCCCCTTTTCGGAGGTGTACTGCCACGCTCTGGTTCGCGATGCCCAGGGTCGCAAGATGTCCAAGTCCTTAGGTAACGTTATCGATCCCATCGACGTTATCGAGGGTATCTCTCTCCAGGCTCTCCACGCCAAGCTGCATGTCGGAAACTTGGACCCTCGTGAGATCGCCAAAGCTGAACAGGGACAGAAGATGGATTTCCCCAACGGTATTCCCGAGTGTGGTACTGACGCTCTTCGCTTCTGCTTGGGTGCCTACTCTGCTTTCGGCAGAGATATCAACCTGGATATCCTGCGCGTGGACGGCTACCGCAAGTTCTGTAACAAGCTTTGGAACGCTACCCGCTTTGCGTTGTTAAAGCTCGAGGAGGGTTTTTTGCCCAACGCCACTGCTGCCAAGTCTGGTCGGGAGAGCTTGGCCGAACGCTGGATTCTCAACAAGCTGAACGTTGCAGCTGTGGAATTGAACGAGCAGCTCGGCCAGCGCAACTTTATGAAAGCTACGGATGCTATCTACAAGTTCTGGTTGTACGAGCTCTGCGATGTCTATATTGAGATCATCAAGCCCATTACCGAGGGAACGGATGCGGTCGCCAAGCGCTCTGCCCAAGACACCCTTTACACCTGCTTGGAGGCTGCACTGAGGATGTTGCATCCCTTCATGCCCTACTTGACCGAGGAGCTGTACCAGCGTCTTCCCCGCCGCGACGGCGACAAGATCCCCACAATTGTGAAGTCACCATTTCCCGTCCACAACCCCTCATACGTCGACGAGCAGGCTGATGCCAACTTTGAGTTGGTGTTTGCTGTTGTTCGCAGTGCACGTTCGCTCATGGCCGACTATAACATGACTAAGGGAGGACAAATCTACATCCACGGATCGGCTGATACTGCCAAGTTGTTGTTGTCGGAGGAGGACGGCATTGCCACGCTGGCCAAGGGCAGCAAGGCATGCAAGGTCATAAGGGATGTCGCTACCATTCCTGAGGGATGCGCTTCGCAGACTGTTCAGGAAGGATGCACGGTCTATCTGTTGGTGAAGGGCATGGTCGATGTTGATGCTGAGGTCCAGAAGATCGAGAAGAAGCTGGCTAAGGTCCAGAAGGCGAAGGATGACTTGTTGAAGAAGACTCAAGATCCCACGTACCTGACCAAGGTCAAGGTCGAGATTCGCGAAATCAACGCTGCTAAGCTGAAGGATTACGAAGCCGAGATCGCGACGTTGACGAGCGGCATGGATACCTTTTTGAAGCTTAAGGATTAGATCGAAAGCCCGAGGAGAAAGAGTCAAGCGTAGAGCTTTACACATAGTATAATAAACAACAATTGAATAGGATCATTTGAGCCTGACGAGAGCTTAAAAGACTAAACGAAGAACACCTTGATCTCATTTCTACACCAGGCACCGTTCCTCTGGCACGAGTCCATACTATCGCTGTCCGAGGCCAGCGATGGGAATCTGGGGTACGAGACCGCGATCTTTGCCAATACCCCATGGATCCAGAAGCTCAACACCATGGCGCTGGGACTTAGTGACGTCTAGGACGCAGGATCGTCATGCCACAACCGTCAGGAGCTCGAGAGCGCGATTTTTTGCTTTGACCGGTGGTGATGCTGGTGGAGAAGAGAAGGAACGAAGAATTGGGACGATAGTCTCTGGGGCTATTACCGGCGGCCGATTCTGGATAATATTGATGTGTGCCTGGCCCTACTAGGTCCTCTAAGTACATCCGTCTCTGTCAAGGCTGGAGTCGACCGACATATGGACGGTTACTGTTCAGATGTGCGGGATGCCTCTTGAAGAATGTACCCTAGCCCTTGGGATCTTTTCGATCCGTTGACGAGCTGCGATGGGAACCGAATGCTATCGGTCGGAGGAGATCGCGGGAGATGATTGACGAAGGGAAGGCATATACTCAGTTACGGAAGATCTGCTAGCGTGGAGCTTATCCGCTCTTTTGAGGACGACCTACTCTTTTGGCAGAGTGGGTTGACTCTGTTAGTGGGATCAGGGGAGCCAGTCAAAGGTGAAGGACGATTGAAGGCCCTTTTGAGTAAAATCCGTTGATGGGATAGCGCGAGAGCGAGGACGAGGAAGTTACGGACGCAATATAATCCGTTAATTATAAATTGAAGTGAATACTACCCCGTTATGGCAATCCATTTGCTTTTTGTGGAGAAGCTCGTCACCAGCCTAGGATAGGAGGGGGAGGATGTGGATGGGTGCAGATTGCCGAGCTCATCAATACGGAAACGTCAGAGGAATAGGGTCCACGCCACAACACCACTTCCGCAAGCGCCATGACCTTGGTGCTCTTGCTCTCTTGACTCTTGATCCTCAGCTTCTGTTTACGGGTCACTAACTGCCACAGGACGTTTCCAAGCGCAAGTTGGGCCATACTCCAAATCTGTCCAAGCATGTTCACAGACATCTTCTCGGAGCTAATCAAGAAACTGCTCGACTTGCGGTCTGCACGCACAACCAACGAATTTACTAATGTGTCCGTTGTCCAAAGGGTCTTCCCGTCAGTGCGAGGCTGTCTCGTTGAACTTGACTATATTAATTTCTCAAGCACGTCCGAATTACGCCTTATCTTAGACGCAGCGCAGATTCTAGACGACTGAGACAGTACACTATTCGTGTTGTCATCAACGTGGATGACGCCAACTTTGCACAGATCTTCCGAAACGACATGTCGAGGAACTCGACATGCTGAAAGGGGTAAGCAAAGCGCAGGAAACCAGCGGGGTCGGGCTTCACTTAAGAAGACGAGGGGGGAGCTTGCGAAACATCTTTACTTGTAGAAATGGCGTCCTTTTTTTATTACACGCCTTACCAAAAAAATATCGAGCATTGCAGGCTAGTTTCATCTCCCAATCATTTCCTCGTCCCCTCGGCGCCATCGTTCACTCGGCTTCAGCGTGCCGCCTTCGTAATTGCTATATAAAGAGTTTATGCCCATTGGTCGCGTCCTCCAGGGTTGATCTCTCTGAAGGCCTTGCCCTTCACTTGCACCCGATACTGGCGGTTCAGATGGCGACGGCGTAAGATTGGAGACAGTAGTTGAACCAATGTATGAGGATGACAATGAGACGGGTGAAGAGGGTATTGTCGGAGGAGAGTATGGCGGCGGGTCTGGTGACACGATACCTGCACCTAAACCCACGGTTCCATCATTATCATCGATGTTATGACCCCCTGGTAACCCTGTTCTGGTAGATGAGGTGTGCAGGGAATTAAATGAAGACAGCGACCCGGCGCTCGAATGGGCATTCATGCTGGACTGGAGACTTTCTCGTATCAGTGGTACTCCACTTGACCAGATCATACCTGCTGCAGGATCTCTATAGATGCCATGCTCACCCTGCAAGCTTGGACGTGTGGTGTCTGGAATGTCATGGAGATGTTGCGGTGGATACAGCAATGGCAGTATAGGGCCTGCGTGGTGACGCTCCATGGGTACGGACGAGAGAAAGGGTATGAGTTGCGACTGCTGCCGCTGATGCTGTTGTTGTTGTTGTTGTTGTTGTTGTCGTCGTCGCTGCTGTTCCCAGTGTGTTTGCAAGTTGCGAATGTGCGAACTCTGGATGCGCCGGATCTGGTGAGCAATGGGTTCGTTTGCCTGCGCTGTCGAGGGTAGTGAGTACGGTGTTCTGCTCATGGGCGTGCCCCCAAATAGAATCCGCGGTGTCGCATGTTGGTGGCGATAAAGAGGAGTAGGGTATGCGAAGGAGTGACCTTGCTGAGGCGCAACAGGTGATATTTGCGGATATGGGGGTTGCTGCTGTTGGGTCTCTTCGTACGCTTGAGTATGCTGGATTGACAACGGCTGCTGGGGACCGGCGGACGAGGATGCCAGATCATGCTCTGTCTCATTGTCATTATCGGCACCTGGTCGCTCCCGATCATGCTCTGGTGGCTGATCCTGACCTTCTGGAAGAGAGTACACATGCGCGCCGAGATGACCGTGAGGCGAATGATGGATCCAGCGCGTTCTATTCAGGCCTGACACTATGTAGGGTGCTGCTATGCCAACGGACGCAACACCCTGAGGAATAGCTGTGGTGCTGATGGCTTCTCCATCTCTATCCACCAACATGGAGGTTGATGTTATGGATGAGACCAATTCATTTATAATACCGGCAGCAGTGGTTGGGGTACCAGAGGGACGAACATTTTGCGCCAGGGAGGTGGCTAATGGCGGATTGATATTGGCGATCGCGACGAAGGTCCTGGTCTGTCGTCCCTGCTTCTGTTGTTGCAATGAATGTTGTCGTTTGAACGCCGATAAATTATCAATGAGGCTCATGATCGTATCTTTGCGATTGGTGGTCCAGGAGCTGCCTTCATGGGAGCTGGTAGACTGGGATGTTCTTCGTTTGCGACTACCGCTCCGGGCCCAAGAGTAGTTATCAGTCCCAAGGAAAGAGCTAGCTTCTGCAAAGACCGACACTGCGTTCATAGTGTGTGCAGATCCAAGTAAACCGATAATGGGATCTGATGGCATGGAGTAGTCCTTGAGTGAATATGGTGCTCGTCCCCGACGACCTTTGGTCTTCCAAATATCTCGTGCGTTCGATATGACGGCACCTCGATCGATTTTATATTCCTTGTACATCATGAAGTATTCTAGCAAAGGAATGCATGTGGTCGATAACATGGTTATCCTGCTGCCGCATTGCGAGGTCACTAGCGCGGTCGGGAGGTCCTCAGCACAAATACCATGGTCTTGACCGCCGTATGGGGACCACAGTAATGATTCTTCCTCTAGAGATTGATCTATGGCGCCCTCAATAACAACTGACTTATTCGAAAGCGGGAGCGATCTGTAAATAATTGGGTCCTGACAGCTATGCTTAGCTATATTTCGACCTTGGGGAGGGTCAGGTTGCGCGTTGTGTGAATATTGGAAGAGTCGTGTTTTTGGCTGAGAAGACTTCGACCAGTGCAAAGAGATTTTGCTTGGTAATCGAATGCGATAGGTGCAAGCCAACGTCGAGAGTGGGATAAAATCGGTCAGATCGGATCCTAGGCCACCTTGAACTGCATGCATAACACAAAAAGAGAGGACGAAGCGTCAGTAGCGTTGCCCTTGTTAAAAATGGAAAGAGCGGGTCCAAAGAACCAGAACTTACCCCTGCCAAGATTTGGGCTCTTCTCTCGTCTCTTTGCAGCATAGGGCGTATTCTTTGCGTCCGGCCTAGGCAGGCCTAAGGATGGCGAAGCAATGTCGTCGTGTAACACAATGCGGGGATTCGATCCTCTTGTCGCCAAAGCTGCTGCTTGGGAGGCGGATGTTCTTGTTGTTGCTGTTATTGTCGTCATAGTCGTTGTTTTATCTGCAGTGATGCCCGTCAGTGGTCCGATGTCAACATTTCTTCCGCGATCCAGGGGCAATGACCTACTAGTCTCTGCATTGTCGGTATCGACCGTGCTGCAGCTGTTGTTGCTTTTTGAGTAATGCAAGGGCCACAAGGAAAGTCGACCTCGTTCAGAAGAACCATGCGATTCCGCGGTAGTCGTACCTAAATCGTTCTTGATCTTGCAATCGAGCACAGTGTTACGCCGACTCGCGCCGCCCTTAGCATGAGTAGTGTCCTTTAGGTTGTAATCGATGGCCTGGTGATTCCCTTTTGATGCCAACGCGCAGCATGGATTGCTGCGTAGTGCTATTGTAGTCGGTTTATAAATATATCATTGTTTCAATGAATGTAGCGACTGTCTATTTTTTTTCTTTCCCACCTCTCCTCTTCCAATGTGAAAAAAACAACAATGTGAACTTACCAATGTCATAATCGTTAGTAAGACCCTGGTCGCGTTTGATTAAAGAGACAAAGCCGTTGTCATTGCGAGTATGATCAACTGTATCAGTGGTCTTCCAATGAAAGCTACTACTTAGATGGTTGTCAATATCGCTACCACATTTACTACTGCTGTTCTCAATGCTACTGTCGTAGGGGCAAATGCGAAGAGTATCTTTTTTGAGTTTGCTGCCGTAAAAATCCTCGTAGTCGCTGAGCGGAGAAATGGCAACGGATGTTGTTATTGCGCGAGGAAGAGGAAAAGAAAGAGGTGCGGACTCAACGGCGTTGACGATCCCAAAGACGTCGCCACTGCCACGGTCATTGTTGAGTTTGGGTTGACTGGTATGGTCGGTGTGAGATAGACATAGCGGGAATCCGTGCATGCCAAAAGTTCTTCGAGGATTGTGTTCTGTGAACCTTGGGATAGTTGCGCTGTGAGTTATACATTTGCTTGTGGGAAGGGTCTGGTTATTTACCGCGCTGCTGCTGCTGTTGTCGCCATGGCAATTGCTGTCATTTCTATAGTCGTAACTGCTGAGGTATATGATTGGAGGTTGAGATTCCGCAACAGGGGTCAAAATCGAGGCATGATGTTCGTACTCGTGAGGCCCACGGGTAGCAGCAGCAACAGCGGTAGAGGCTGGTGTTCCCGCGACGGATGTGATGCTTATTGCTGCTATTGTCGACTCCTGATTTGCGGCAATGCCAGAAGAGACGACTGCAAGGGGCATGAAATCCGTTGTTATCCGAGCGGGAGATGTAAGATCTTCGTTGTCGTCATGCTGCAGCTGCTCCATCTGGATCGAAGATGCATGTTCAGTAAGATCGTGCAGCTGGTCGTCATTCTGTGGGCCCTGGAGTTGGAGCCTAAGATGGCGGATGGTCTGCGCTGATGGTTGCAGTTGCAGTTGCTGTTGGGCAGATGGCAAAGTTCTCGCGAGGTATGGGCTGGATGCTTCTATGGTAGCGTAGTCGAGACTGCTGCTTTGACGTGCGGTGTCTTGTGCGGGGTGAGGAGCTGCGGTCGAGCCATGGTCTGTCCCGTCATGTCCGTTCCTGAGGTCGTGACTGAGACCGAGACCGAGACTGAGACTGGGGCTCGAACTGATATTAATCTGAGTCAATCTTAGCCCATGGTCCGTGTCCCCCTCTCGCGAGAGCACAGTAGTGCCATGGTATTGGATTGGATTGGCACTTGAGGCGGATGATCGTCCAGGCATTGGAATGAATAAACTCGTGTGTTGGGCAAAAGTGATAAAAACAGAAGCTGAGGAAAGAGAGAGGGAGAGGCTGTTGATCGTACTTGCACTTGCGCTTGCCTTTGTACCAACTCCGGCAACTCAGGCTGGCTCCCCTCGCAGCACGATGATTCGGTCACTATATAAAAATGTTGGCCGGAAGGGGTGCTTATGCGAACCTTAATTAGTGGTTGTAATGGCATGGAGTGAAGAGAGCGATGTGGTTAAAGATGAGCGAGTAGGGGTGGGTCAGGGAGGAGAAGGAAGGGACTCGAAGGAGACAAAGGGTCGCACCTATACCGACGACTATGGACAATGTCAAGCGATGGAGTGGGGAAGTGTCCCACTTGCGACTCGCCTCTGTCTCTCTGTCATGATCTACCAGTTTTGCGGGCCGTTGCAATAGCCGTTACAAACATACACAACACAACATAAACCTGCATTCGTCTCTCGCTCTTCATGCCGTGGATACAGGTACACTGCATGCAGACAGCAGCAGGAGAGGTGGGCAAGATCCAGACAAACACTTCTGCTACAGCTGCTTCGCCAGTCGTTGCGCTCTCGACCCGACGTGTTCAATTACAGATGCTTCTGTAATATCGATAATAAGCACAGCAGAGTGTATTCCACGTATATACTTTCTTTTCTCAGCGCGTGTTTATTATATAAAGATTAAAGCACACTTGCTGGTAATCTGCTTGTAAACCCCTTCTATATTTACGATAACAGTCCCCACTTTGTTCATGCGCTCGCATAAATGCATGGAGGCAGTTTATCTTTCGTTGGTGTGGTGTTGTTGTCAGTTTGTGCATGTTCATAAAAAAAGAAAATAAAAAAAAACGTTGGTCTATTATGAGGTTTTGGCCATGGAGCATGCCTGTCGCTGTATGAGGTCTGCCTTGACCATTTGGAAATGTCAATCGCCTTCTTCTTACGGTCGCTTATGGCTTCGAACGCCTGCGCTCGGTCTTAGCTAAAGTTTTTGTTGCCGTAGGACTTCTTGCCAATGTTGAAGGGAATGTATCGGTACTTGATCATATGCTTGATCTGGCGCTTCATGGTCAACGTGAACAGCATGCAAAAATAGACCAGAAGAATGGGCCAGAACACAGGGATGTCAAAGACACGGAACAACGTGCAGAAAAACGCAATGATGATGGAACGCGTCGCCGAGTGCCTAATAAATACAAAAAAAAGGCGCGTTAATTTTGGGGCGCTAGATAATGGGGATCCTTTCGATACGCATCCCTCCGATTGACTATGGTATCGGTGTGCCCTGTAGCGCTACGTACCAGAACTTGAATTCCGGTAACCTCCTGACAAAAGGCCGGAACTCATCGTCAGATCGTGTGGGCAGCACAGGACCTCCTTCCTCGACTGAATCGGCCTCCATATCCATCTCCAGGGACGGGTCAAATTTGGGCTGCAAGAAGGCCAGGAACAGGTTCAGAAGATAAATGCCGAGCGCGTACGTGACAATGTACCAGCCCTGGGCGATCACCACTCTGATAAAGTAGATCAGAAGCGCAACGGCCGTGAACGCCCAGCGCTCCTTGTAGTGTGGGGTGACCTTGTCCAGGATGATTTGGTACCTCTAAATATTATCAACCGTAATCGAGAAGAAAGCTCGGATTGAGTAACATGCGCCAGCAACTACTGTAAACAGAGCAATACCAACGCCCTTGCGGCAACCACATGTTTGAAGACCATGATAGGGCTGATCGATATACGCCATCGAACATTTGTTGGCCCAAGCCCAAGTCCCAAAACGTGTGGAGGTGCATCGTGGTGAGAACTCAATTAGAGTCGCTATAGGATCGCCTTGAGAGACTGAAAGTTGATCCGCTGTTTTGTTGACAACTCTCATACAGAACTTGTTCATCGACTGTGCTTGCTGTATAGAAAACCTTTGGTTCTTGAAAACAATATCCATGTACATGCCAATAAGAGTCGGGTTGGCCCTCAATAAAGTAACGCCCAGTGTCGGCCCTGACGCTACTCCGGTCCAATATGCCTATTAAGTCTAGTAAGGGACTGAAGGACGTACCTGTTCGAGGGCGGACTTGTGGGCCCAGAAGGCGTTACCTTCCTCAGGTGCGTCAGTGTTCATAGCAAGATTAGATATTAGGAGTAAGGAGTGAAATAAATGAACCGGTATTGACAGATGATGAAGTAACGTAAACTTGGGCAAGACGGAAAGGATGAAATGAGAAGCAGATGAAAACAGATGAAGGTGCGGTGGATGATGCAGAAGAAAGGGGAAGATGGAATGGTGGGAAGCGGCTCTTTTGAATCTTTATGTGTCCAGGAACGGCAGCAGCCAAGAAGTCAAGACTGTTTTTGTAATGGACACGTTTTATGGTTTTCTACGTGAACGTCTCGATCGATGCTTCTACTGCTTATCTGCTTGTCCATCGACCTTCTTTAGGTCCCATCTTCCAGGCATCAAACAGGTCGTCGCGCCCTCGTTTGCAGATCCATAGCAGATATACGCTGCTCAATGCTCCACCATCGCCCATCCTATAGTGCGATTTGCCTTTGATATGCTCCTGGCGGTCGTTGTCCTCTGGCTCGTCATCGACAGTACTCGTATCGCCCTCAGAGCTTGATCCTGAAGAGTAGTCTACCAATGCCGCTTTAGGCCCGCTCAATGGCCTTTCCGAGCCTAGTGAGGTCCCCATGGCGCGCTCAACTTCCTCCCTGGCTCGCCTTAACCAGCGATCATCCTCATCCTTTCCTGGAGTATCAATAAAACTCTTGTCCTGTTCCTCATGTTGAAGTCGCCCTTCATTGTCGCTATCGCTTTTCTCCTCATCGACTGTAATAAACTTGGTGATGTCAAAATTGAAGTCCTCCCAGTCAATGACTCGGCCCTCAAGTCCCCATTTTTGGAGCAGGTGGTCAATGTTCCGTTTAGCACTCCTGTTCTGATACGTCGTCATAAACACACAATCGGGGTTGTGCCGATTGATGATGTACGACACCGTTGCCAGCAATGGCTCAAAATCTATGCGGCAATTGATTACAGTTCTTAGTAAAGACACTCTTCCTAAGTATCATGAATACCACTTCAAGTACATGGAGCATACCAGAAGGATTATACAGGACATCACTACCTATGATCAGGTCAATGTGCCTGGGGGTTCTGATCTGGTCGATGCAGACGACGTCTCGGAGCAATTGCAACAGCCCGCCGTCTCTATTCTGCTCATTGGCCAGTGTGAAATCACCCCAGCCTAGCCCACGGACCTGGACTCGCGCCTCTGGGTCCTCTGGGTAGAGTGTACTGATGCCATTCTCCTTCAATGCCTCACAGACGTTGTTCTGGATCTGAGGTACATCAGGCCTATCGGTTATAATGACAAATGTTTCCCCATCAATTGCTTTTGATGCTGCTTTCGCAAGTAAGAGGGAGGGCAAGGCCGTGCCCGCACCCAGCTCAAGAATGACCTTTGGGCTCCCAGGCGTGCCTAGAAACATGCTCAAGTGAAAGGCAACGTATTCCGCAAGGACTAGGGCAGAAGGCCAAACATACAGGCCAAAGACAGGGTCTAGCAACTGGGACGAATCAGCGGTGGATGAAGGCTCAGAGGGGTTGCATCGTGTTGTTGGAATGGGGGAGGGAGTGCTAATCAAGGCGTAGTTACCTCGAGCACCTCGACGTCGATGTCACCCTGTGGCGACTCATAATGGAATCGTTTGTGGGCCTGCATAGCAAACAGAGAAAAAATAAAGTGTGCCAGGAACCGATTGCACACCCCACATACATTCTTCTTATTCTTCGACATTCAACATGGCAGAAGCATCAAGGGATTTTCGCGCTACTTTTGACGCGGAGAAGCAGAGTATGCATTCGAGTGCTTTATGTGAGATCGAGGAAACAGATTCAGCATTCGCTATGCTTACCCAGTACTGCCCTTGTTGACGACTAAATAGGCATTGAAGAAGTTCTTGCAGGGTTGGATAAAGTACCTAAGAGTAATCTCCAGGCTACGATCGATGGCCTTGTCCAAAGAATCCATTCCCTTGAGAAAACAGCGACAGAGAAAATCAGTATTCTCCCGCCCTACGATGCCAAGATGTGTATGGAGGTATAGCCACGCTGTTTGGTTAAAATAATAGGATGCTGTTCAGGGTTGGTACGATTAAGGACATTTTGTGGTAACAATTTCGGCCTGGATATTTTCTAGGCTATCAAGTCTATGTCTGAGCAGCTTAGCCAGTTGCGGACAAAACTTGTGCCCAAGGCAAAGTTCTCGTTCAAGTCTAGGAAAGCAGCGAGCGCCTTGCCATCCCTCTCTGCCTCAGCTGCATTAACACCAAAGCCAGCTGCTTCACCAAAAATTACCTCTACGATCGACCAGAGCCAATTCATGAGATTTGAGGATAGGTCCAATGAGCATTTGTTTATTGGGTCGCTCCCGATGCCAGGTGCCGAGGCCGGAGAAGGAATCGTCGCCAAGGATGTCGCTCTGACAAATCTTACAGAATGCACCATCAATTTGGTCCATAACATCCCTCTGGGGGCGATCCATATCAGGAACCTGAAGCGATGCACACTGGTCATTCCGCCAGTCTCGGGTAGTATTCTACTGCACGACTGTGAAGGATGCACTTTAATCGGTGCCTGCCACCAGGTACGTATTTGAGAAGTGTTCATAGTATGTTAAATCGTAGACGTATATTTCACTTTTTTTGTTATTGAAAACAGCTTTCCTCTTTCTGCGTGCTCACCTAGTCCCGAATGCATACTTCCAGCAACATGGATATCTATCTACATGTTACGAGCGAGCCTATTATCGAGGACTGCACCGACATGCGGTTTGCGCCTTACGGCCAGATTCTTCCAGCGGAGCAACTTGATCGACTATTCGAGGTATCTTTTACTCGCAGATTGTTCTTTTCACAAGCATTATTAAAAAGGCATGTGGGAAGTCGCTGACTATTTTTTGTCATTATTATTTGTCTGGTACACAGGGTGCTCAATTGAATACTGCAACTAATTTTTACGACAGGGTCAAGGATTTCAACTGGTTGCGACAGCAGCAGTCGCCCAATTGGAGATTATTGCAGCCGAACGAGATCAAGAACGAGATTGCACAACAAGTGCTATCCAAGGATTGTTCCTAGGAAGATATGGCTCGCATGGTTCGCTGTGCTTCCTGTGCTATGAAAAATAAAAAAATATCCGTCTCGTCATATAATCATCATGCTGTCGTGCGACCGTTGGATGTCGCACTGTTTATGTAAACTTACCATGCATATTTCTCTCTCTCCATCATTCATTCACTTCCGTTCATTACAAAAACCAGAAACACCTTGGCGAAATCTCTTTCAGGATCCGAATCTGCAACAAAACAACCCACAACCATGAAAGACCAAGCCATCCCAGCCAAGCCAAAGGTCTCACCTCCCGAGACCCTGACCTCACTCTCACTAACTCACGTCCAGTTCGTCGGAGACGACATATACTCAAAGATCTTTGCCCACCTCACACTATCCCCATTGGCGATCACCTGTGGCTACATCGGAGTTATCCTGACTACACGCGACCTGACAGTGATCCTGATGTTCGCTGGCCAACTTTTAAACGAGTGCATCAACTTTGCGCTGAAACGGCTGGTTAAACAAGCAAGGCCCACATGTAATGCCTCTTCTAAGACCAAGCTTATTGGGGGCTCCATGCCAAACCGGTCCAAATAACATTGCACTAACATGAAAGAAAAAAAATCCTGGATCTCGATAGCATATCTTGGCGATGGCTATGGAATGCCTTCAAGTCACTCTCAATTCATGGCCTACTTTGCAACGTACATGATCATTCTTATGTATAGGATGTAAGTTGCCCTGTGTTGTCACTTGGTTGGATGGCTGGATACTTTGCCTGAGCAGGAGATGTTCGAGCAACGAAAGGCAATTGAAGTGACATTTCCTATAACTGTGAACCATGTATTTCTAGGGGCAGTTCTGGTAGTGTGAGTCCGTATGTCTTTTCAGTATTAGTCGTTGTCTGGGCTGCAGTTGTTATCTACTCTCGGTAAGTATCAATCGATCCTTGTTTTCGTCGTTGCCATGCACAGTCTACAGGCTGGCACTGATCGAAATTCCCTGTATAAAAATAGTGTCCATTTATTATATCACACATGGCAGCAGGTCCTGGCAGGGTCGATTTGCGGATGTGCATTCGCAACAGGATACTACTTCTTTGTGCAAAGATTCCTCAGATCGAATGGCATGCACGACTGGATGCTGGACAATGCATTTGGACGCTGGGCCTATCTCGTCGACCGCGAGCAGATGGACCATGTGTATCAGTGGGAATGGAACCAGTTTCAGCAATGGCGCAAGATCAACCAAGGCAAGAACGACTAGGCGAGAGAAGAACATACCCACTCCAAGCATTCTCCTGTCATTACAAGATAATAAAACTCATCACGAAGCAGCTTTGAAGCATTGTTCAGCCGTTGGTCGTTACGGTTCCACGTTTGTCGAGATTGTAAATTGCTCTTTTTATTGTTCCTGGCTGCATACTCAAAATCATTTAAATCATTTGGGATGACGTGGAGTTGAAAGGGATTCCGCCTATCAGATCGACACGTTGCACCTCATCAACTTTCAGTCTTTACTCTTCATCTTCTATTCGATAAAGACCTGATCCCTCAGTTTAACCAATGTCAGGAACAGGATCCAACAAAGGAAATAAGGGCAAGAACGTGGCCCGATCAATTCAGGAGGTCAATCCGGCGGTGACAGCAGCACGATTCGAGCAGGAACTTGCGAACGCACCTCCAGATGTCCAGGACAAGCTTCGCGCACTTCTTCAACAAATGGCTCTCGCTGGAGGCGCCTCAGGCGGATCCAGCTCAGGAAAGGAGCCGAAATCTATGGAAGAGCACAAGTTCTGGAAGACGCAGCCTGTAGTCAAGCATGGTACTGTGTCTCTTGTTCGTATTTATTTGGCCCTTATTGGTGCCTTGTTGAACCCTGGACCAAGCTCTAACGGGCGAATCCATGTCCAACTGTGGATCCTTTCTGTGTATAGATGAGGTTGTTGAGGAGGATGGGCCCATTGAGGCTGACGTGCCACTAGATCAGATCCGTGCAACACCTTACCCTTTGCCCAAGGAGTTCGAGTGGGCACTGGTCGACGTCGAGGATGACAAGGAGATCAAGGAGCTGTACGAGCTCTTGACGCTTAACTATGTCGAGGACGACGATGCCATGTTTCGCTTCGACTATTCTGCAGAATTCTTGAAATGGGCACTCTTGCCTCCAGGCTGGAAAAAGTCGTGGCACATCGGAGTTCGTGTCGCCTCGAACAAGAAGTTGGTCGCTTTCATTAGTGGAATTCCTCAGGATGTTCGCGTTCACAGCACGTATGAGGCCTTTGCGATTACTTGTGGAGATGCAATTAAGTATTCCTCTGTCATGTCCACTCACTCACACTAGGACCCCTGCTCTGAAACAACAATAGTGTCAAGCGCATGGTCGAGATTAACTTTTTGTGCATACACAAGAAGCTGCGTAGCAAGCGTTTGGCCCCTGTCTTGATCAAGGAGGTTACGCGCAGGACACATCTCGAGGGTATTTTCCAGGCTGTCTACACTGCAGGAGTCGTTCTTCCAAAGCCCGTTGCAACCTGCCGCTATTTCCATCGCTCATTGAACCCCAAGAAACTGGTCGAGACTGGATTTTCGCATCTCGGACGAAACATGACCATGGCCCGCCTTATCAAACTGAACAAGCTGAACCCGGAAACTAGCACACCTGGCTTGAGGCCCATGGAAGAAAGAGATGTCAAGGCAGTGGCGACAATGATGAACAAGTACATGTCGCTCTTTGAACTGGCTCCCCATTTTGAAGAGGCGGATGTTCGTCACTGGATTATTACCCGTCCAGGAGTCGTCTGGGGCTATGTTGTCGAGGTAAGGAGCCGATGCATTACTCTGGGCCCAGCAAGTGGATGCAAAGATGATATGAAACTTACCGCTACATCCTTTTCTTTGCGCTTGAAACAATTAGGATCCAGAGACAAAGACGATCACGGACTTTTTCTCATTCTACTCATTACCCTCGACTGTCATCAACAACCCCACGCACTCAACCTTGAATGCTGCCTACTCATTTTACTACGCAGTTCAGACGCCGGATGAAGAGCTCAGCAAGATCACGGATGCGGGCGAGCGTAAGGCTGCCAGGGACAATGCTATCAAGGGACGCTTGGTCGGTTTGATGCAAGATGCCCTGATCTTGGCACGTAGCCACGATTTTGATGTCTTTAATGCGCTGCATTTGATGGACAATGCCCTATTTACAGAGGACCTCAAATTTGGACAGGGAGACGGATACCTTCACTATTACCTGTATAACTGGAGGTGTAGAGAAATCGAAGGCGAAAAGGTCGGATTGGTGATGTTGTAGAAAACAAGAATGGTGAGAATTGACATACCAGGGGCGATCCAAAAGAAACACGCGAGCAATAAAGAAGTTACTGCTGGCTCATTTTTAATGCGTTAGACGATGCTTAGTAGATGCATGTTTTACAACATTAGACAAACAAAAAAGATGTCTCTAAACCTGCGCTCGCTCAAAAGGGAGGCTAACCGCTGCGACCAACGAATTCCATAAGTTGGATGGATACCAAGACCCCAGCAGACCGCCTCTTGCTGAATCATCCTGCACAACCATCAATGCCTTTTTCTCACTTGAAAACTTCTCCAACTCCTTCTCGTGTCCTTCCTCGGTCATGGGCTTGCCTTCGAACTCACAGTCAAACTCTTGGAAGATGTCGATGTTTCTCAAGTATGTCTCCATGACCTCATCAACAATCTGGTTCCGCAGTTCTTCAGTCACGTCCACTTGGTTCAATCGCTTTCGGTACATGTCCTTGAATACATCTGCATCCTCAATCAAACCAAATTGGTAGAACGCAGCGCCCTTGCCCTCGGGAAGGTTGTTGAACTTCTGGAGCCGCTTGATCAACAGCTGGCCCCCGGAGAGGTCGCCCAAGTAGCGGACGTAGGAGTGTGCGATGAGTAGCTCGGGTGTCGAAGAGTTCGAACAACGTTCGATCGCGGAAATGTAGGCCTGTTGGGCAGGAGTGATGGGAACCAGCATCTCTCGCCAGTCCGGGCCATTGAAGAACTCGATGTCTTGCATCAGGGACTTCAAACGAGAAAGTTCTTCCGGGAAGTAAATCAGAGCGACCTGTGGGTTATTCTTGTGCTTTTCCAGCTCCCTCTCGAGGGTACTACATCAGATGAAAAAAAAAGATCATAAAAGAAAGGCATTGCGAGAATGGTGTCGCGCATGTTGTTATTAGAGAAGAGTCTTGATACGATTACGACTCTATGCCGATTTTTTTTAACAAGGGCGGGATGGCAAAGAGTGCATTACCTATATACATGGTAGAGGGAGATGAGGAACCGTCCGTAGAGGTTAAGACTGACTTCGCCCTTGAAGAAGTATCTAAGAAATAAGGTTATGAGATGTGAGATCATAATGTAGCCGTGAGCAGCACAAGGTGTGTTCGGGCATACTTCAAGAACTTGGAGCGTCCGACTTGGGAGTGAATGACTTTAGTAGATTCCTTGAATTGGGTGGCGAGCAGGGTCATGTTGGTGACAGTCGTGGTTGATGTGTGGTATTTGTGTAGGGTAGAAGAGTGTGCTTTGTCGTGTGCTTTGTGGAGGTGAAAGTGAATGGCAGGCCCTTGAGAAATCGACAGCCTTTTTATATCGACGATGAATGGGCCATAGGGCTCTAGGTCAGGTTAGCTAGACCACGACCCGTATGATAACTGGCAGGCAGCAAATGAACTGCTGTCTAGCCTAGCATCTTTCTGTCTTCCTTTAGGCCTCAAACCCCCTGCATCATCGTCTTTTTACCTCCCTGAACAAGACACCACACCATTGCACTCCTTGTTTTTAAGAAAATTTTCCGATTGGCCGGGCACTCGTCCGCGCTGAGGGCTTGGAGGCATAGGTGCACTAAGCGCGTTCGCAGTCTATGTGGAAAATAGAACAGGAGCAGTAGGAAGAGGGGAGAGTAAATCATGGGGACTGTCGCTCCAGAGGTCGCTGTCATCAGCCGACCCATGCTACAGTTCTTTTGTTAGATTGCGGAAAACGGGTATTTTATAGCATCTGCAGCAGCCCAAGGGTTTATGACAGGGGCAGTGCTTGCTTCGCAATTACCAGATACAGATGTGCCTTTGAGGATGTCCGGTATGGGAACAACCAGGATGTCTAACATAGGGCAGTAATGAAATATGCAATTCACGATCTTCTTTCTCAGTGAAACAGATGATCCGCTTGGGTAGGGTGTTCTTGAATACCCATGATAGCCCTCTCCGCATCCGCTGCACCCTATGACGGTATTCATCATGTTGCATGAAGCTCCAGGAGCCCAAGATGGACTTAGACAAATTGTTGAAGCAGAAAAAGCATCAGGCAGTGCTTTGAAGGGAGAGAATACTATCAATACGCCGGACCTATCGAGGACACGCTGGAGTCCACTTTGGGGTTTGAACTCGGCCAACTGGAGATACTGAAGAATCTGGAGATGCTAGGCTCGAGGCGGCTAATCATCGGACTGTAAGTGATAGAGAACAATACCAAGAAGGCGGCCCTGAAGGAACATATACAGGAGCTGTGGCCTGACATGCAGTTTGCTTGAAAACATCTTGCAGTACAGTGAATAGAAATACTCTTGCGCGTTCAGCAGTTCAAAACGTGTTGCCATCAGGCTCAACAGCGAAAGCGTTTTGTCGTCGAATAAACCAAGCTTTTTATTGAACTCGCTTTCACAAGCTGGCCGCCTATAATCAATAAGGCTGACTATAAAGAATGGCGGGGGTAAAATTGATCAGGACCGTATGGGCCTCAATCAGCTCTGTATCCCTAGTAAATGGAGCTATTTCCGTAGATAGTAGGCATGCCAAGAGCGTCACAGATCGGGGAACTTTGACCAAGATCCAAAGGGGCGATCAAGCCCATCGCAACAGAACTGGATTTTTCTTTCCCAAGTGCGATGCCATAGTATACACGCGAAAGAGCAACTAAACGGTGGATCACTCGCTGAAGCACCCATGCGCTCGTTCCTGGATGCGCTTCCCAAATCCATAAAATATACTTCTGCGGAGTGCTCCACAGAAAATCAAGCTCAAAACGAATCCTGAAATAGAGTGTGGAATTGGCGTCGCCTCCCTGTCTATCGCCCATCAACTAGTCTGCATCACAGTTTCAGCATCACTCAAGGATCGAATCAGCGGCACTCGAGTGGCAACCTTTGGGAAACAGCTATGCAGGCGTTCTCAGCTCAACTCGACCTGGTCCTCAATGAGGCCGACACAAAGGTAATTTATCCGCTAGGAACAAGGAGGATCGCGATTGCGAACAGCACTCATTGATGGAGGGACGCAAGTTGGAATGGCTGAAGTGAGGAGAAGTGGTACAGCACTCTCAGTGGGGTCTCCCTGTCTGCAGCAAAAAGATATTAACCATCATCCGTCCGCGATACCACTGTTAGGCGCCATCACCCACATCCACAGAAGACTTGGACAACTTCTTCTGGTAGGCACGATAACGAAAGATGCATGAGGGGTCTGTCTCCAAGAGTCTCGCTAACGCGTTTTCATGCTCTTCAATTGCACCATCAGTATCTTCCGGGCACCCGCATCCAAAAAGAGGAGATTGAATCCATCACTGTCATGGTCGAAATATCTCGCGGATCCCGACAACTCCAAATGTCTTTCCGCGTTGGCTGCCGAGTTCCTGAAGGTCTGCAAGGCGATTGATAACGTGGTGCGTCATTTCTCTATTCATCTCGTTGCAATTAACATGTTGCCAGATCGATCGGGTCAACCAATCGCTTACGAATGCTATCCTTTGACCTTAGAACGAGCCATTGAGCTATCTCTTTCAGGCATATCACAGCTCTTTGCAGTCGCCCGCCAAATCAGCGTTACTTCTTGCGCTACTGTACAACATCTTTCACCCAAACTCGACGTTGCCACTGTACGATCGGATCAAATCGTCCATCCCATTTAGTCGCTCGTTCATACAACTTACGCAGTACCTGGATGTCTCAAATCAGTTCCTATGGATCGGGACTATGTCGCTTATTTTGCGGTGTCTACAGCAACCCGATAGCGAGACAATTCCCACAGAAACCGCCGTAGTGATCATTACCTCGCTCCTGAAGAAAATCAACCTTCTACCGTTGAACTGCGATAAGGAACAACAGGAATGTGCATCCAAAGGACTTATGGTTGTTCAGGTATTCCTTGAGGCTCCAGGGCCTACAAAGACCGTCCATGCCACGTATTACGATCTGCTTCGAGAGGTAAGAAGGTCTTCGTTCGGATCAAAGTCTTCGGTTTCCTCAGCTATTGAGGCGCCATAATGATATATCCCAAGCACTCATGGTGTCTTTCCTCATAGATACCACAAGTATTTCCACCTGGAGTGGTCATTCATTGGACATTGGAGGGATTCATGAATTATCTCCAAAGACGGCGGCAAAACCTGGCGCATCTCGTCATGCCTCCAGACGCTTCTTGGCCATTGATTTCACAAGTCAGCCGACAGCATGAATTCACCAACCTCTCTCAAAGGCCGACACACCTTTTATTTGCAGCAGACTACGTATGTCACCGACCACAAACTTTTCATCCGAACTCAGTGCAAAGGGAAGGTATACTGACCATGAGACGATTTTGCTTTCTAGGCTGATGGGATGAGAGATGGACATATGACGACCTATGTCAGTTTGTTTGGCGATTTGCTCTACCAGAGAGCTCCTTCGGACGAAATTTTTTTCATGATCCGCCAACTTCCACACAATCCTACAGGCATATCTGCTTTGCGGGAATCGTTAGTTATCAAAACAAGGGACGTTGTTCGTTGCGTCCAGCGTCACAGCCGCTTCCATGAGCCGCGCCAGGTGGACATGACCATCCCCGTGTCAGCTAACCCTGATATGGTGATTCCTGACAATCTGGACTTCATGGAATTACTGATCGAGCTATCGGACCAGCTGTATGCGTTTGTCGGCTCTGAGCTATCGCAGATATCCAATATTTATCCGACTGGATTCGCCGTTCTTTACGAGGACTTGATCGCGGATTACTTCGCATTGGTCACCGGAACCGACAAGACCCCACCAGAACTCGAAAAGGACAACACCCTGATCTTTCTCTTACTACAGCTGATCCATATCGAGAAGGTCGGAGGCAAGGACAAGTTGCTGCCACAGGATTATGCCGGTGACGAGCATCTCTTCAGGCTGCTGATCGGGTTGTATAATGAGGACCAAGTCAACTCCAAGGATGGATTTTACCTTCGCGACCTTGCCCTTCAATGCGCCATCAGCCATCAACAGAGCTATATCCGGGACCGGTCCATGATGAAGTTTCGCCACCCGAAGCTCGCTGTAATCTGGCCCTACTATTCGCAGATTTGCTACAACGTACAATCATACTTCTTGAACAAATACAAGAATAATGTCCAGGACTCGACCTGTCTCTCGAATCTCCCAACACAAGAGAATATCAAGATTGCAATGGAATCACAGCTTAGGCAGCATATCGTCGCAGGAACGCTGTTCATCTATCTTGTGCCGAACTACCAAGGCAAGGAACCTGAGCTGGACGCTTTCGGTATGTTTTTAAAAGGCGGAACGCTCAGCTACAAGCTCTTGGACGTTCTCAACATTGACACGAAACACAGGTATGCGTTGCGAATAAGAGGATAATCTATCATGTTGCCAAAGCCATGAGGTCGACAGCACATTAATAGACCTTTATCGTTCTAGGCTGCTGGGACTCATTTACAAGATGATGCTGGATGGAGAGCAGGGGCCACGATTCCACGGCGATCCTCCACCTCAGGTCAAGTTTGTGTCGCCATATGTCATGGATGTCGTTTACAAGTTGCTCCTGAGCACTCCATGTTCAGTGGAACCCGTTATCAAGGTGTTGTTCGACAAGCTAAGGCGGTACGACAGACTGTCCAAAACGATGGCCGAAGTACCTGCGGAAATTACTCGCTGGCAGTTTACTGTCCTCCAGCTACTCAATTTCCGTCTGATCCGACCTCTCAAGTTCACGGCTACCTGCGCTCATTTGCTTCATTACATGAAGTTTGCTTTGTCCCTGGCCAAACACCGCGCTCTGTACAACATTGTTGAGACTTGTAACCACAGCGCCCTCAGCATACAGACCAGCCATAAGTTCCTACGATCGCTTGTCGACAACAAGAGGGAGCGGCCGTATTGGTTCGAGGAATCGGAGGCCCTGGCTCGCCGCGCTGTTATGACTATTGCCCGCGTTATCAAGCTCAGGGGTCAGGGCGACGCGCCTCTGGGCATCATCACAGAGATTCTCCAGATTTTACACAAGCATCCCATCATATGGACCGAGGAGATCCTGGCGTTCTTCCCAGAACTGGTTCGAGACTTTTACAGGACACAGGAGCAGTCGGGAGCTCCGAAGGGTATTCCTGGAGCGGTTACAGAACAGGAGGTGTCAACCTTGCTGGAGGGGACTTCAGTTCACAACGTCCTCTTGGTCCCCAAGGGTACAGAGCCCAACACCTATTTGCTGAGCCATTATTCGGACATGGCGAACCATCCATTCTTCCTTTGTGTCTTCTGGGAAATCATTATTATCCATCAACAAATCTCGGAGACGATGTTGGAGGATATTCGCGCGGTCATGCTTCAGTTCCCACCCTCGCACATGTCGACCTATACCCAGCAATTGATCGACTATGCGCTCTGGAAACTGGATCCCAAGAATCCGAATGCCACAGGGTCGATCGACTTTGTTGTTCGCGTCTTTGAGGAGCTCGTCTGGAAATATCAACTTCTATCGATTGAGCACACCTTGATGGCACTCATGACGGGCCACCCGGCCCGCTCTGGAGATCTGGCGCTCAAGATTCTGATACAGATGACCGTCAACTCCGCAGAACTGTCTAACCGCATCTCGCACTGGACTTCGATCGGTATCAGCCCTCGTCCATGGGAGGAAGATGCGTATTACGACAAACTGCAAAGCTATCTTGCACGCTATCCAGAATACTTCGGTTTTGAGGCACACGAGGTCAGGAGCGGCACCAACCCCATCAATCCGCCTCTGGAGATGCCGCTCTTGGTCAGCTACAACAATGTCCTTTTGCGTTTACTCAATATTTTTGACATGATCATCGGTCGGTTTATTGAGTACCAGATGACGGACATCTTGGTCATCTTCCTGGAAAAGTTCGGTTGCCTATACCTGTACCACAACACACCCATTGGTTTCGTGCGCGATACGCTCCTTTACTATTACGAGTCGCCCACGTTGAGAGACCCTCGCGTGACTAAGGCCCTGCTCAAGTTACTGGACTTTAAGCAAGTGGAGCTTTCGCCGGTGTTAACGGATTATGTTCAGGAGATAAACCGGTCAGAAGATCTGTTCGACGAGCATTACGTACACGAGATCTGTCGGAAGCTGGCCGTGAGCATGGACCCCAAGGAGTGTGGATACAAGGCGGACTCCAGAATGCCAGAGCGGCAGTATCGTGAGATATCGAACCCGGCCACCCAGGGATTGTACGTTGCAGTGATTGAAGCCTTGGCTGCCCCGATCTCAAAAGAAAAATTCATGGTTCACTTGTTGGGTCTAGTTCTGGCAAAACGCACTGTCGCTCCAATTTCCATACCATCCTTAAGTGCCTCTACGTCTGCTACTTCCACCACCTCCGGCGCAGCCTCGAGAATCGTGCCCGAGGCAAGAGTGATTCATGCCGCAGGTCTTCTGCTCTCAGCATTGCCTACAGATCACATGAACCTGTTCTTCATCGAGGTGGACACTTTTGCGCGGACGGATGAGACGTTGCTACAGGCCTCCACATTGCCTGTAAAATCGGATGCCGCATCGATAGCAGACGTTTATACAACTTACAATGGACGAGAACCCACTGCGTCAACATTTCAATTAGCAACTGGGGCGCCAGGGAGCATCAAGGTGGAGGGTGGCAATGTGGACCCTACACTTTCTTCTTCGCCGCCTCCTTCTACACGGACGACCGCACAAGATATGCTGCTCTCGTCTATCTTCAGCAGTTACGCAGATAACCGCAACAACTACCGGACTAATATGCCCAATTCGTTCCTGACGTTCTTCCATGCGGTCGCGCATTATTCATCAGCCGATATCCTCCTCAGGGTAGTCAAATGTCTAGAGGACTGGAGCCAAGGCACGAGTTTGGCTCCGCCAACGGGGTCAAGTCTAGCGAACTATGGCGATGGACTGATCCGTTTCAATAGTCAGCATGACAGCCTACGCAATGAGGGTACCCTGGATGCCCAGCAGGAGAATGGAATTAATCCCTTGGAGAATGGCCAGGTCAAGATGAAGAAGAACCAGAGTGTCCGTACCGATGTCCAGCTGCTATTTATCTGTGCTCTGATCGGTCCCCTGGTACACCGCTTTGAGAAAGTTCAGATTGGTGGCGCGACAGGACATTTCTTGGTAGTACTAGTTGAGTTATTAGCGTTGGTTGTGACCTCGATGGACGCTGCTGCACGACCGGGATTGAGCACACTCGAACAAGTCATCGATTTTATGTAAGTGAAGCGATCCTTCAAGAGGTTGTTGCAACAATCGACGTGGGTACTGATTTTTGTTATCTTGTTTATAACTGTGTTTCTTGTTATCTTGTTTATAACTGTGTTTCTTCAGCAACCATGTACGCGCGCATATACCAAAGAGCCCGGACGCGAGCCCTCGACGGATGGTGCAGGCGTTAAAGGACATACCCCCATGGCTCACAGGGCGTCTCGGTAGCATCGTCTAGATGTCCTTAGTTTATTATCTATTTACTTCATATCCCTGCACTCGTTAAAGTAAAGCGACAGGCTCAAATTTAAAACGCGGAGTGAATCTTAGACGTCGGGCGCAGCAGCTATGCGTACCTCTCATGGCATTTATTTCATAATCTGCATTTCCAGCGGTTCTGTCCTAGCTCTAGTTTTCCTATTTCATTCATAGAGTGCTCCTCCGTCCTCCTCTCGTCCCCTCCCTCCTTCCTCGTCCATTTTTTTCACGCCGCTAGCCCCTTGGGAAAGGTGTGCAGCTTTGAGATATGTTCCATCGAAAGTATTCCTAGATGTGACTCCAGCCTGTTGATCCTCTGCACAAAAGACGGTACTAACGTGAACAGCTTGTCTGGACCCTTGAATCCGCGTAACTTGAGATTTGTCTTCCATCCACCCACCTCTGCTATCCCCACAATGATCTCTGTCCATAGCGAGTCGAACTCAACAATGAAATCACTCAGATCAGAGGTCCCTCTGGACCCATCCCAGGGTGAGTAGACCGTGATTGTCAGGACCGACAGGGTCGATCTAGAGCACCGCAAGATCAGCCGCAGGTCGTTGAGGGCGCTTGCGCTTATGTACGTGCTTGCGATTTCGAGACGGTTGAGGATCGAGCCCGAATTCTGCAGGGCTTTGCCCAAGGTCGACAGGCACTTGATCGATTCCTCATTAATCCGTAGCCTCGTTAGCCGGGGACCATGCACCTTCAGGAGCAAACTGAGAGTCTCGGCGGACACGGACGTAGACATGAGCTCTAGTGTCGCAGAGGCTTCATCCTGTAGGTTCTTCGCGAACAATTGGTTCCGGTTGCTGTAAAGACTAAGGATTGTCAGGGCGCTGGAGCTGCTCATCGAGACAGTTTCCTTCACGACCATCAGTATCCGCTGAAAATCTGAAACGGCACACTGTATCGTCAGCCTGTGGAGGGTCGGGTTCTTGCTGATAATGTCCTCTAGCAGTTTGGCGTTGATTTCTGCTTGTGAGAGAAGCCGTAGATGTAGATTCCGGAGTCCCTGTGCAGCAACCAGTAGTTGGCTGGATGGATTCGTTAACAACAAATCCATCCATACCGGATTTCGTCTTCTGAACCGTACAAGCAGACCATTGTTGACACCTCCGTCCAAAGCGAGCTGTTCCAGAGGACAGAATCCCGTCGTGGTCTTCATGATAGATGTATATGCGTCCTCAGCGTTCGTGCACCCGAGATGGAGGTCTGTTAATCGAGGACATTGGCGGAGAAGTCCGATCACCCTGGCGCCTTCCTTCTTCCAGTCGACGTGCTCAAAGATCTTCAGCGTGCGAAGGTTGTTCGTCCTTGCAGGGATGCCGACGCTAGAGAAAAAACCCCTGTAATCGTTCAAGATAAACGAGTGTAGTTTTGAGCCCATCATAATTTCCCAAAGCGGATCGGATCTCTTCTTGCGGCTGAGAAAATCCGAGGCTGCATTGGGCGCGACGCAGGTGAGGTTCAGGCTTGCGATATTCGAGTTGTAAACGGCCTGCTGTAGCGCCTTAAGATCGTTCACGGAAACCTCCCACTTGAGCACGACGGCGAACTCGAGGACAATCTTGGCCCGCTCCATTACCTTATAGAACTGGCATGCGATCACACTGGACGACAAAGAGATCTTCACGCGACCGAGACGCTCCTCAAAGGTCCCGCAGTTGACCTGAACCAGCTCGGACAGATCCCTAATTGCCATGGCATTGTGTGCTTCTCGAAAATGGTCTACACACACCCATTGAACGCGACGCTCTCCTGTTACCATCCGATGCAGGTTCCCCAGGGCCTCCCCAGTGCCGTCGCTCTTCAAATACTGGCGCAATCGTCCTAGATCTACACTCTCGGCTGATGGCAGGTCCTCCACAGAATATTGACGGTGCGGCTCGCTCCTTGTACTAGAATCCGAAAACTCTCCCCTGCTTGACAAATGCTCCAAGTGTTCGATCGCCTGCGTGATCCTTGCCCCAGAGCTGTGATCATCGTTGTTATCCCAGCGCGGTGCCAATGCTGGGACCGTGAATCCTGCAGCGGAAATGCCGTACTTCAGCATGTGCAACAAACTGAGCACATACGAACCATACTCTCTAAAGAACTCAGCGGGCTTATCGATATCGTATCCTGCATGCTTGGCCATATGGATATGGTGCGGGATATTGGTCGTGCTGCTGTTCTTGCTCTGTGTCGGTTTCGTGTGCTCACCGCACTCGCACAAAAAGTAGAGCCGAAACTGATTGTGCACTAAATTCGTGGGATCTCCATGTGAGCCATCGTCGTCTTTGGGCAGGATGATGAACAGTCGGGGGACGGGACATTCGTACAGGTCATAGCTTTGGTTCAAGATATCCTGCGCGCGACTCTGGATGATGGCTAGCCGTTCAAGTGTCTGTTGCTGCATGTCTTTCATGGCCTGTTGTGTGTCAAGTAAGATCTGCTGCATGTCGAGCATGGTTTGCTGCATTCTGAACATCTTCTTCTTCAGTTTATGGTCCTTGGACATCATTTCCAGGAGCATTAGGAAGTGGTCTTGAAAGTCATTCCTCAGCGCATTGGCTTGCGCGGTCTCGCCGCCCTGGATGCATTGCATGAAAGACTCGTAGATATGGACCGAGGATCTGATCTGACTGTTAACATCGCCAGAGACCCTAGGTTCCAGAATAACGAGCTTTCGTTTGACTACTTCTTCCTCGGTACTCCTACGTTGAGGTGCAATCTCTTTGGAGAAATAAGTCGGAGGAATCTCGCAAGGGGAGCGCGCTTTGAGGATCTCGATGGTCGAGCCCGCCCGGTGCTCTATCCGAAGAGGGAGTATGCTATCACGTTCAAGGTAATATATTAGGGTCCATTGTGTTCTTGAAATGTTCAGCAGATGAGGTAATCGGCATTATTGTTATTATTATTGCCACACCTCTTGCCTGCGGAATCAGTCATATAATTTACTATCCGCTTTCCACGTCTAAAACTGGTTGCGCTTGGGGCCTTATTCTTGATATCGTCCAACAAAACATATGCTCTGCCTTGTGTGAGCACATTCCCTGGGACAACGGGTGCCTCAAAAAGGTCGGCACCGGACAAGAACTGCTGTCGCTCGATGCTGTGGGCCATTGGACGTTTATTTCTCTTTTCTTGGCAAACGAAGCTTGAAGTCGAGGGAAGGGACGGTTGGAGAGTGAGGGAGCGGAGGATAGAGGGCAAAGAGGGGGACAAGGATCATTTGACTGTGTTATTTTTTTATTCTATTTTTTTTTATACCGCACCTTCGCCAAGAGCATCCATGCTACTATCATCATCGAAACCCTCGCCACTCCGTCTGTCAATGTCAGCGTGTGTTTGTTGCGATGAAGTTTGCTCTGATGAATACTGCAGCACAACATACTCATTTTAACAGCAGCCTGTGTAACAACGATTCAGATGAGCACCAATTGATTGGCCTATGCTGTCCAATTTTTTTTGCATAATGAGATTGATGCACCACGTTTGGCGTAAGATAAACAAAAAAAAGGGTTGCAACAACAAAGCAACACAAAACGGCCCTAGTTTTTTTAATGGCTAGTCATCGCTCGCCCCATCCACCACACACACACACACACACACCATCTTTACCATGTCTTAAATTGTAATTTCTTTTTTTTAAATGAAAGCAACGAGTGAATAATTACTTTCAGTCTCGTACCATGAGGGATAGCGTGGATTTGTAGTCATTAGGGCAACTCAGGAGCTGCCGTTTCGAGCACCCCAATGATTATTCGTGTATTCGTGTATTCGTGCTGTGTAATGCCGAGTAGCACAGCCAAGGATTATAATAGTATAAAAAAGCAGATACAGAGATGACAAAAAATCACCATTCCTAAAGGCAGCGCTACTTTTATCTCATAGGCTAGGTCTGGTATACTTATCGACTTGATCCTGGTTGCTACGTATTTCTGCTCCATCCGCCTTTCGATCGCTACAAAGTGTGAGGATTTGAAAGAGAGTTTATTCCCTTGCAGTGTTGCCATCATGATATGTCAGCGCACTGCTCTGTACCTCCTTACCGGCGCTGATTCTGAGTAAGCCCTTGATATGTTGAACTGTGATGGTTGAGCTAATATCTAGTTTAGTTGTTTTGCCCGTGAGTGTCTCGATGAAAATGATCATCGCGTATGCCATGCGCAGTATGGGAGTATGCAGAAGGCAGCAAAGATGAGAGAACAAACAAAAAAAAAGGCAGCGCATCCATTAACATTGCCCGCGTGAGTGGCATGAGGTCACGCAAGTACCTTCCTCTGTTGGGTGGCCTAGGTCTTCTTTGCCTCGAGGGACGTGCTAACGATTTTGATGGAAATCCAGGTGTTGCTTGACATCCAGGCTCTTTAGATGAGATGTCCTTTAACGTTGGTAAAAGGCCGCCGTACCTTACATGAATGGGTGGCCAAGAATGCGACGATGCATAGTGTGATCCTGGAACTTCTTGACTATGCCTCTATGGGCCTTGGCATTGTCCTGCTGGGAAATAAATTTCGTCCGATCCATGCTATATTAATCCCAACAAGCGCGAACACATTCGTGAACGACATCCAAGTACACCACTATGTCAATTGACTTCCCCAATAGGTGTCGCCTACACCGTGATATATTAACTATAAAAAGTGAGTAAATGTTTCCTGATTTCTCATATCTCTACCCTAATACTTCTCATAGGCTAGCGCTGCCATCATGAAAGTTTACCAAGTAGGTATATACCTTCCGGAGAGCTAAGCATTCTAGTTTGCTATTATGTTGCACAATATTGCTGAAGCTACAAATGAAAAAAGCGTGTCATGTCGTCTACTCACTTCCCGGCTCTCCATTTTCGTATCCCATAATTGTATTACTTCAGTACCACATAAATGTTCTTAATGTCCTATGTACTCTCTATTGTGGAGCTTTAGAGCTTGGACCTCTCGTGGCAGGGTATCAGTTAGGATCCGGCACAAGGAAGCGGGAAATTTGTCCTATTCGACCTGCATTCGTTCCTGTAGTTCATTCATACCTCAGGGGACTTACTGTATTTGGTCAGTTCTTTCTTATGGTGTTCCCAGAGGCGTTCTATTGGATTTCAGTCTGGAGAGTTGGTGGGCCAAAAGAGAAAGCCGTATTTTTCGTTACTAAGAAATCTTTTAGCCGCTCTCAAGGTATGTCGGAAATCATTATCTGGCTCTAAGATCGTATCCTGAGATCCGACCGTGTACTGCTCTTGATTCAATGGATCACACTCCTCTAGAATCTCGATATGCAGCTCAGCACCCATTGTTCCTTGCACTTGATAGATAAATCCTAGCCGTCAAATATCATGCAATCTCATATGAAAGGGTCGTCTTCTCTGCACTTGAATAACTCATTGATGAGCCTGTCCTGGTCCCTGAGCTTCTCTTTGTTCGACTGAGAAATGAGTATAAGCCTGGCGCACATACCGGATTTTAGATTGTCGATGATAAAGCCCTGAACATCAGGATTCAGCTTTATCATTTAATGGATGACCAAGTGCTAGTGAGGCATCCCGTTGAGATAATTAGGAAGACTGTCAGCGTTGAGAAGGAGAAGATGCGGACAATTTCTATTTTGATGGGAGGGCCGGAGAGCAAGGGCGTAACTTTTTTTACACTTTGTGCTTAATTGCAGCTTGGTAATACAAAATATTTACTCACATTCCGGCTGCGCCGGAGTACACAAGAGGCAATCGCTCTCAAAAAAGATCATTGGTCTCATGATCTTTTGGGGCCAAAGTGCACGGTACAGGGGATGAGAAGTCGGAGAATGTGAACTTCTGGGGCTACTGCCCTCACCTCGGCGCAAAGATGTAAATGTCCAACAATGCGTGTCAGGGCCGGATGGGAGTTAAAGAAGAGTTAGAGAAAAAAAACTAGGAGGAGGAAGACAAATGTAGGCGGAGAAGGATACAAAAGAGAGGAGGTTAAGAGGGGTTCAATAAAGGGCAGCAAGGAGAGGAAAGGAGAGTCGAACTTCCAAACTAAAATTTAAAGTCTACATGTGAAAAACTTATAAGCGACGGGTGCATTAAGGCTTTTTAATTCTATTTTTCATTATTTTCTTCTTCATTGCAGCACAAAGCGCAAAGCGACGTCTCTAAAAAAAAAGCAACCATCAGAAATATGTAGCATGCTGGACCAGCCAGCTTGTCCATGCTGATGCTGCTCCCCTGAACCTCGGCTTCATTCTTTGTTCTGTTTAGAGCGCAGCGCTCTTCTGAACCTGCTTTGGAACGTCCTTGGCCCTGCTCTTGATCCATGGCTTGATTCCATTATTGACGCCGGTCACGGGGCCGGTGATGCTCTTGTGGAAATCAGTAATAGTGAAGTTGAAAGTCTTGCCAGGGTTTTTGGATCGATCCAGCGAATAGTCCCACTTGACTTCATCCGCAATCATTTTCTCGTACGCGTTGATTCTGGGCTCGAGTACATTGGAGTTGAAGACACCGTTGACGATACTGAGAAGGATCTGCTCGAAGCGCGCATTGATATCTTTGTTCTTGTAGATGAGCTTGGTAATCAATGGGTGGTCCTTGCCACTCCTTGCCAACCTGCGGGCAGCGAACTTCTTGTACGTGGTCAGCACATCGTTAAGATTGCCGTCGCTGAAGGTAGAATCGAAATCCGTGGGGAGGAACAGCCACCTGGCCTCAGTTGGGTTAAAGTACATGAAGTAGTTGTTGCCCTTCCACCAGTAAGCGTCCCAGGAACCGGCGAGATACTCCATCGCCATGGCGCGCAGGAAACCATCCAGATTCAAGCGCGAGTTCCAGAACTTGATGCCGCCCGACATCGTGGGGTCATACTCTTGGAGATCCTTAAAGAACGTGATCAACTGGGCCATAGGTTCAGCTTTCGTGTTGGCTCCCAAAATCTTGTTCGTGTAGATTTCTTCATTGTAATCCGCGGTCATGGGTCCGGCATACTGCAAAGTCGCCTCCTGGCCGAGGACATGCGAGCCCATCTGATAGAGCGAACCCAGCTCCAATGGATTGCTGCTGCCTTGGTGCACGGTTCCTCGCAAGAATGGCGCTTCAATGTCCTCCACCATCAGGTGGAATCCGTAGGGCTTTCCATTCACGTAAACGCGGACCCATGCTCCTTGTGTAGTTTTGACGCCGACTGAATTCAAGACATCGATGTAAATCTTCTCGCGGATCATGGTAGGATCATAGACCTCAGACCGCAGCTTGATGATCGGGCGGTCAAAGAACGTCTCTCCCTTGTCATCGTCGAACTTGATCCTGAGCGACAGCTTCTTGAAACCTTTTGAGCCGTGGCCGGAGACCTTCACCTTGACCTCCTCGACGCTGTACACTGTGTCGGTACTGATGAAGCGGAAGCCCGTACGGATGGCCTTTCTGTCCTCCTGAGGATGGGCCACCATGTCTGCAAAAATAGCTGGGTCGGCTGTCAAATGAATTGTCGCAATCTGGGTATCGTCAAAGGCCTTCGAAGCCTTGGGTCGGACATCCTCAAAGACTTGAGGAATCGCTGGCAGGCTTGTTTGGGTCACTTGGCGCAGGAAGAACTCGTTGGCCGTACTCTTGGCCTTTTTGTTTTGGAAAACTCGCAGAAAAGACTCTCGTTGCAATACGGTGCCTTGCTCTGAAAGCTTGACATACCGGTAGCCGGATGATGCGGAGGCGCCCACGACGGTCGCGGACCACAATGGAAAGGTCGAAGGCGTGGTAGTGAGCGGTGTGGTTTTGCCATTGATCACGACACCAAACGAACCACCGTCAGTGTCAGGGAATCCCACAACATTGTAGGTAACTGAACGAAATTTGGATGAGTATTGGCAATGGGTCGTATGTGTTTGGGTTCGCATAAAAAATGAACGAGCTCTTCATACTTACCATCTGCTAGGGCGCTGGATGCTAGGACCAGAAGGCCAGAGATAAGGTAGGAGCGCATTAAGAAAGGTTGGTACTAGTGTGGTCGTGTGGTCGTGTGGTAGTGTGATGGTGAGAAGAGTTGCGGATGGTGCAGCTTTATATTGTCTCCATGCGGCTCTGAACGATCCGAAAGGGCGGAGAAAACAGGGAGTCCAGCCCTACCAAGGAATGGCGATTCTATTCCGAGAGTACGGAGCCCTCTCCAGAAGAGCCTACAACAGGAGAGCACTTGGCAAAAGAGAACACTTGGATACAAACAAAAAGAGCACACTGTGCTCTGTGCTCCGCCTTTTATGAACACCTTTACCAGGCATTTTCCACATTGAATCCACATTGAATCCACATTGAATCCACATTGAATCTGGGCTTCAGCTTGTGAGCCCACACGAGATCAACGCACCGCAGATGAACTACACATGCATTAGGAACAAAGTACGCGCCATGTGTAGATCCATCATCCAGGGATTCGTGTCTTAATATAGGGCCCATGCCAATCGTGCCCCTAAATATTTTTGGAACCGAATGCTTTCCTGGCTGGGTTTAGAATTGTGATCCGCGATTGGCTGGAAACGGCTAAATGAATCCATGCCTAAAGTATCTTTCTGCTCGCTCTTCATGATATCCATAATCATCAACCCAGGAGCTTCAGACGCGTTGTATCCATCGACATGTTTCTCATGGCTTGTCTACTCCGAAATATATACATCCCCATTGTCATAGGAGTCATCTTCTTGAGTGCTCCCATCCAGTCGTCAACCGTTAAACCAGAGTTCTCCAGCTCGTCCGACCCTTCGCCTTCATCCTTTGCCTCTGCAATATAGTTCGCGCGCCAGGCTTGCAGCCCGGTACGCTATACCAATGGTTAAACTCTTTTTCCACATGGTCAATAAAATAGACCCTAGAATGCTGCGAAAATAGTGATCCAACATCCTTGAGGGTCAATGGCTTTATTATTCTGTGTTGAAGGCAGCCATGTTTTTTACAACGACTCATATTTTCTCGATTGGTCCAAGTTCGCAGTGATATGGCGGCGTCTTGAATATTTGACGGCTGCCGTTCCTTGCCGTGGTACCGTAAATTGAGTACGTTTGATTGTCGAAGGTTTTGATGTAAGCGAGGAGATTCCTCCTGCCCTCGTGAGTTGAAATTTCTAAATAAATGTTTCAGGGACTGATCCTCATCGCTCGAACAAGCTCTCGAACAAGCTCTCAAACAGATAGGCATTGAAGTTGCCGTGGCGGTCATGGTATGTCGCCCTACGGATTTTATTGAGCACGTTCCACAGTTCCTTATCCTGCACCGATTGAATATGCCCTTTCGAAGATACGCCTTCCCCATCCCCGGCCAACTGTACACGTCGTCCTTGACAACTTTGCCTGCCAGCCTGTGCGCGTCCTTGTCATAATATACCACAAATGCCGCAAAAATGACCAACAATGGTTTTCGGCCGAGTTGGGATTCCGTTATTATTGGAGGACATGACAGGCTCTATGATTTTTTTATCTCGTTCCTGGATCCTTTCTTGCTTGGGCCGACCGCTTCTAGGGCTCTCCTTACGATTGAGGGCACCTGTATTGGCGAACTTGATTGCTTCTTTGCGCACTTTTTCTCCGGCATGAATCAACGCAGATAATTGCAGAGTGGGACGGTCGCTACGGGTCTTCAACAATCCCTTGGACTGCTTCGGAAGCCTGGTAGAGTACGGTGAAAGGGTGAGCTAGGATGCAGTACTCGTTGCGCGTAGTGCATTTTTTGTCTCGCTTGGTGCCAGTATCAGCGGACGCTCAGGTCGCTTGTTATAGCTGTGAGCTCCAGTGAGATTGGGTGCCTTGTAAGTGGGAATCCTGGTTGGAAACCATGTGTATCGAGCAGAAGACTTGACAATCCTAGGTCTAGCTACTCTGTAGAAATTGGGCGAAGCATTCTTGACATCATAATCAGAATAAGCCTGCAGACAACGCCCTCCCAAGATAAGTGCCATGCCATTAAGATTTTTCTCTGGCTGTTTCTTTCTTTGGAAAACTGCCCGTATCGCAACAGCAGGGTATCCCTTCCTCCAAAAATTTTAAACGCTTCACTGTTTTGTTCCCTGTTTTTGCGACTGCAATAAACTAATAGGTCGGACCACCTGTTGCGATGCTCAGAGTGTTGCTCAGTTTAACGCCGCATTTATTCATCTTGCTATTAGGCAACATCGGCTATCAATCATCCCTAATGACTCGCCCTCACTCGAACCTGCAGATTCCTGATCCCTCAACCCTTACAGAGGTACAAATAAGAATGTCAGAGCTCCTCAGGATAGCTCCACCATGCTCCCGTACAGAATTTGGTGCAGAACTTCCAGTCAGCTTCACAATGCATTATGAGTATCAAGAATGAACAACAAAATATGGCCATAGTTTTACTGGTCCCGACGGAGGAAGGAACACTAGACTCCAGTTCAGAACAAAGGTCTTGTCTCTGCAAACTATGGCAGTACCTATGACTGCATGGAGCTTGCTTGCATTCATAGTCTGCACACATGGTTGCTTGCGTCCATGGCTATCGATATGTTGTGAAGACAGCTTGTCAGTAATTACTGCAGAGATCATGATGTCCTCCATTACACAGAACATCAGGCACGCACGGTGCAGGGAAATGACATAGTGCTTAATCTGACGCGCCAATCAGTGTCCATGGGCTCTTGTCGTCTACTCTTGTGCCTGAAAATGGTTCATGAGGAACCAGGGTGTGATGAAGAATGTCCTTTTGTGATTTAGTGAGTTGGTGGGTGCAGAGGGCGAAGGTTTTTACAGAGTCTGCTCTGGCTACGTGGTTACACAAACACTCATTCAAAACAAAAACAAAAAGAGCACCTCCAGTCTATTAGAAAACGAGATGGGGAATCCACTGTTTCCATCTCTTTTCCCTTACCTTTGTCCGTCGTATCTTTTTATCAACTTCCTCCTCCTCCGGCGCCTCCACGTCTGCATCCTTTACCATCCCCCTCTCTCCGCATATTCTCTTACTGCACCCCCTCGCACCGGCATGCCGACTTCACGCCAGCTTGCTGCACTCCCTAATCCCCTCAAAAAACCAACTTTCCAGCGCTATGACTACCAGACGTTCCAGGTCAACTCCAAGACATTCGAAATACGCGCAGTTGCTGGAAACGCCGCGACGAGGGGAAGGTCTTTCGTCATGTGGAGCGACATCAAGGATGTCATTCCGAACGCCTCTTGTCTCCACTGCGGGAGACGTATAGTCAGCTTCATGATTGACGACAACGGCAACAGGTAGGTGGATAAGACGAATCGGTACATATATTTTACCCTCAAAAATGCACACACGTTTTCTAGCCGCTGTTAACCGTTGTCCGATAATTCATGCCAGGCTACAGCCCCTCCGTATCGAATATCAAGAGAACACTGTCATCCAGGTCATTGAAAACCGTTTCTCCACTCTCTCTTTCGCCTCAAGCTCATCGCTATCACATTCACGCGCCATCTCTTCGTTCAACGACGACCAGCGATCCGTCTCTATATATTCCAATAGTTCTTATGGTGACCCGTACGCCTTCTCCCAGCCAGAGGTCATGGGACAAATTCCCTCTGTCCAGCGACTAGGTGATCATTACGAAGGATATAGCTCCCCTACACAATTGGAAACCACTGGACAGATTTCCGCTGTTCAACGGAAAGCAGAGCACCGTTTTTCTCTGATGCCAGTGGAGTATCTGTCCGCCGAAGGCAAAATTCAGCTGCGGACGGCCCTCATCCTTTACGAATCCTTTGTTTGGTCCACTTGCGACGGTGAAACTCGACAGGCCGACATTTCCCGAAATTACTTTGACGAACAATTTTCCAAACTGGAAGCAGAGATGTCCAATCATCAAGAACTGCAGCGGCAGATGCGGGAGCTACAGCAGTCCATGTTTGGAATACAGCAGGAAGTCATGGAGAGGCTGGCAGTAATTCAGAACAAAGTGCATACAATTCTTTTCAACGACTATGACACGCGCACCACACCTCGATTGTTCATCGTCCTGCCCAAGGAGGGTCTCGAGTGGAAGGCCGACGATCTATCTCAGGAAGATTTCCGACTCTATTTCTTATGTGAGTGCGGGGGCCACACCCAATCGAGCCAAGGCAGCAATATCCCGCATCATATCCATACGGCAAAGCATGGCGGATACGATATTGAGAGTCCTCTACAATTCTTTCAGCAATACGGCTCCCATATCTTGAGTCTTCTGCAAATGCTCAAGTACGGCACCTCGGCTAATGGATTCACCGTCCAAGCCTTGGTACCCGCAAACATCGCAAGGCAATCCAACAAGAACAGCATGGTCAACGACACCCCACTGCGCATGCTAGAGCCCAGCATCAACAGTGCCATCGAGTACCTAATGTACCTACCATCCACTTCACAACAATCAGCACCTACAAGACGAATAGCACTACGCAGCAAATGTGACAGGTTGGGTACATTAGAAGGCGTGGATTTGGGGAAACTGGAGTCGTATCTCAAACACAAGGACCCTCACAAGGATCCTCACAAGGCACTAGGAAATCTATACAGGATCGTGACGAGCGATGGGCACTTCAGATGGGTCTGCTTGGATCACTACAGGGAGGTAATCGGCATCACTGCCATCCAGGAGCTGAAAGAGAGTGTCGCCATCCACCAGGGTACTTTCCGAGAATCTCTTTCTCGCGTTGTAGTCGAGCTGTCCACCAACACGGCGGCGTCTCAGTTCTACAAATTTATGGAGCACGCCAGGTTTATTCAGGAGCTCAAGATCCGCTTCAAGTGGGATGTGTCTACAAACGACCTAAAAGCCCTTCAGAACGCCATCCAAAAATCTACCATCATAAGATTGGAACTGGCATGCACTTCAACGAGCGGTGCGTCGACTGATATTCTGCGTCGAAACAAGAGGGCGGACCCACTCTGGCAGATGATCGCGAACTCAAAGCTCCAGGAATTTATTCTGAGCGACTTTACAGGATTCTTCTCTCGTGCCAGTATATCCATCAAGAAATGCAACCTCCGGACCTTCAAGACGACAGATCGGGTGGAATGGAAAAAAGAAAGTGCCAGGGTGTTGGCATTTATCGAAGCGTGTCCTCACTTGAAAGACTTACGTATTGGTTGCACTGAGCTAGACGCTCCGTATGCTGCCATCAAGGGCATCAACTACGATTCTTGCACTCTGGAACATCTCACACTGGAGTCTGGTATTTCGGATGCCCTTCTAGCGCACTTTGACGGCGGTCTACCCGCGGCCATGGACCTCGTCATTTCGAACATGAATAGTTCCCTTCTGCAGGAAACGCGAGTCCTCCAGGCGCTTCACCTTCGTGCGAGCCATCTTCAACTGAAAGCTAAGATGAATCCTCAGCTCATCAGAGGAATCATATCTAGAAACCCAGAGTTGACTAAATTGGTGCTCAATTGCGAAGTCGAGGCCTTTTTGCGGACACACATCACCGTCAAGGAGGCACTCGTCGATCACGATTCTCACAAGCTACGGACACTCAAGCTGTATTCGAAGGGCAACAGGCTTTCGATACAAGACCTGCACGACGAGAACTCTGTGGAGCTGGAGCTGATGTCCTTGAACGTACCTCCCGATGCCTTGGACCTAGTGATGAGGGTTTACGGCAACCGACTGACAAAACTTAGACTGGACGGTGACAATCTAAGGCGACTCTTCGACTTGGCGTTCTCGGGGGGAGCCATGAAACTGAAGCACGTCGAAATCACGGGCTCCTCCCTTACCGTCGACATGCTGTACGATTTGCGGCTGATTCTGCGGCGGTCCGGGACAACTCTGAAGCACTTTACGATCATGGTGGACAAGTTGTGGCAGGCGACAGAGCAGAAAAGCGAGCTGGCGAGCTTTATAGCGGACTTTGGTCCGCTATGGACCAGGGTCACCTTGACGATGAATGTTGCGAGGTCATGGCTGAAGGAAATTGAGCAGCGTGGATTTGTTGTGCCCGAGGAGATCGTGGATAGGATCCCAGCAAATGACGGCGGTATGCTGCATGCGTTCGACGTGAACGAAGTTAAAATCTATTAAATTACATAACGGTCCCATTGTCGGCAAAAAAAAAGGTGGGTTAACAGGGTGAGATAAGACGAATAGAGCGGTGAACGGTAAGGGTGACATTCAAAGGGCTGATTGGAGCGAACGCGACAAGCTACCTTTGTCCCCAAAATGTTTGCACAGAAACATATACGAAAATTCGCTCCTGTAGATGAAGGTGGGTAAAATGAGGATGGGAGGAAGCTACGCAAAATGTTTGTGCAGGGATATACGCTCCTGAAGGTGGAGGTGGGGGAAGGGTCAGGGTGGAGCCTTGGTTCCGAGGAATAAAATTCTGGGCATCCTTCAGGGCGCAGCAAAAACGCGTCATTTGTGTTGTCAATTGGTGGCTGAGCTCCAGCACTTTTTTTTTTTTTTGCTTCTTCACTCCTTGCCATTCCTTCATTGTCAAAGACGACATTCCTTCTTCTCCCTTCCACTCTTTCGCTATTTTCGTCCACGTTTCCGCCTGAAAACCAGCGTGCATGCTCAGTCGAACAGTCGCTCGGCTGTCTCTTCCAATCCACCGCCTAACACGATCTCTCTCCTCTTCTACCATGGCATATTCTGCGTCACCCGCCACCAGTTCTCTGCAGGACCAAGCTGCTGCTGCTACTGCCACCGCAGCTGTCCCAGCTAGCCCAGCTTTCAATACCATCCTCGAGACCGTTGACTCCGCAACCATCTCCTACCCTTCCTCAGACCTCGAAGACCCCACCCCAGACATCTCTCAGCCCCACACACGCCACGTCCTCGAACAGGCTGCAAAAATCCTTAGAGATGGCCAAGTCGTAGGTATGCCCACTGAGACCGTCTACGGCCTCGCTTCCAACGCCCTCGACTCTGCCGCCGCACAGCGCATTTTCAAGGCGAAGAACCGGCCGCAGGACAATCCTTTGATCGTCCATGTCTCATCCCTAAAGATGCTTCGATCCATGCTCAAGGACAACGAGATTCCAGCCGTCTACTCGGATCTGATTCGCACCTACTGGCCAGGACCCTTGACTCTACTATTCCCTCGATCGAACTTGATCCCGAATGAAATCACATGTGGGCAGGCCACGGTCGCGGTCCGGTTTCCGTCCCACCCAATCACTCGTGCGTTGATCACAGCCTGCGATCGTCCCCTGGCAGCACCCTCAGCCAACTCTTCAGGAAAGCCTTCGCCCACTTTGGCCTCGCATGTGATGGACGATCTCAAGGGCAAAATACCCATGGTCATTGACGGTGGTCAGTGCAGCTTTGGAATCGAGTCGACGGTTGTGGATGGATTGAGGGTTCCTCCGGCAATCTTGAGACCCGGCGGTGTAACATTTGAGCAAATTCGTCAGGTCAAGGGCATGGAACAGATTCAAGTCTATCAGAAACATTTTACAGATGCGGCTATGGAACAGGCACCTACAACGCCAGGAATGAAGTATAGGCATTATTCACCCGAGGCAGAGGTCGTCCTTGTGGAGTATATCAAGCCCGAGGAAGCAGCGAGTGGAGCAGGATCAGGATCAGAGTCGGGATCAGGGTCTAGCACGGGACAGTACGCCCTTATTATGAAGGAGATCGAAAGACTGAAGCAAGAGGGCAAGAAGCGTTTCGGTATTCTCCGCACCTCGTTCACTTCGGCTCCACCAAGTACTATCAGTAAAAGCGGCAACGGCGAGAGTTCACCAGCTCAGAGTAGCACCTCTTTGGACGACAGTGTAATCGAGTTTCCGTTGGGTCAAGGATCCAGGCCAGATGATGTTGCCCGTGAACTCTTCAGAGGACTCCGTTTCCTGGATGGACAACACGTCGACTGTATCTTTGTTGAGGGCATCAGCGAAGTAGAAGAAGGCCTTGCAGTCATGAACCGGCTGCGCAAGGCTGCATCTAGAACAATCTATTCAGGACCTACAGTATTCTTGTAATTTCTGTGATATAAAAAAAATCAAAAATTCAAAGTCGCTACTACTCCGATTTTATATATGAGGATGGTCTTTATTATGAATCTATGAATCTATGCTTCTATGGTTGATTTGTCTGCAAGGCTGCTAAATAAGTATCCAAAAATAAAATAAAAATGTCGTCTAGTCCATCGCTTTGAGCATCTCCTCCGTAGTCAAGAACTTCTCTCTTGGTTTGCCGACCTTGGCACCGAGCTCAAACTCTTTTTGTTCGATCTTCTTCCAGTCCTCATACGAGACGGTCTTATGGCCCTTTGAGCGAAGGAGCTCCAGCACAGGCTCGCCTCCTTCCTTTGAAGCCGACTCTTCACTGTTCAACATGGGCTGACCGCTCCTCCAGTCCGCGATGATAGTATCTCCAGTTTGGTAGGCATCCGCCATAGTCGATGCGATCACACCAATAGGGCCGCGCTTCAGCCAACCCGCGGCATATAGCCCAGGGACCTAACGGGGTACACATCATAGGAGTCGTACGATTAGAGATTCAAGCAGCAAACAAAAAGTCGTGGGATCAGTACCACACGAGCTCTTAGATATAGACCCTTACCATATTCCGGTCCGCATCCATCACTTTGCCGTCCATGTTTGGTACAATACCCCTGCGCTCATCAAAAGGGATACCCTGGATCCCCACGCTCTTGTAGCCGATACTCCTAAAGGCCAGTCCGCATTCCAAGGTTTCCTTCTGTCCTGTAGCGACAGCCTTTCGGCTGTGATCCTCGCCTTCCAGATGATTTATGCCTAACTCAATGGCCTTCAGCTGGTCATGCGTACTATCGCCCTGGAATCCAAGAGGACTGCGCAGGAACATGAGGGACCACGATTTAGGTTGATCGGGCTTTGATTCCTTAATTCCCTTTTCTAGAAGCCCCATCAGACGCTTCCGGGGGCGGTCCAGCGACTTGCCCGCACGCTCCATCTCAGAGGCCAATAGATCGGCGTCCATGTGGAAGGTCGTGTTGGGCAAATGAAGCATCTCCCTCAGCTCCTTGGCCGTGAAAGCAACCTATTTCGATATATATATATAACAAGCTGATCAACATACCGCAGATTTACACAGCAACGTTTAGATCGCGCCAAGCATATGTGTTCCTGCTCCCCTTACCTCCAATGGCCCACGACGGCCAATGACATGGACGTGCTTGACTCGACTCTTCTCCAGAATCCTGATCATCTTCTCTGTCAAATCCGTCTTCTTCAGCTCATCCAGCGGTGTCAAAAGAATCCTCGCCACATCCAGCGCAACATTGCCCTGTCCGATCACCACCGCGGTCTCAGCTAGGCTGAGATCAATCTCTAGATCCTGCTCACTCGGTAATCCGTTATAGAACCCCACGAACGATCGCGCAGCCATCACACCCTTCAAAGACTGCTCGTTGGGAATGCCCAACAGGCGGTCTTCGTGCGCACCATAGGCCAGGATGATAGCATCGTAATGTGGCCGCAGATCGGAAATTTCGAGATCCGCCTTCTTGGATCCAGGTGCGATAAAAGTCCCGACCGAGGTGTTGCCAATGAATGTAAAGTTGGGGTTCTGCGCGACCTCGTCGAAGGTATGCATCACGTTCTATTAAAATAAATATATAAATAAAACGACTGTTGTTAACAAGGCGAGCTGCGCACATCGAGATCGAACGGAATAACAAAGTGGTGCGGATTTCTTACTTTCACTTCAGGATGATCGGGCGCAACACCAAAGCGCACTAGACCGTGAGGGACAGGCAGTGCTTCAAACATATCAATTGACGCTTGAGAAACATTCTTCAAGATCCTGTGTGCAGTGTAGAACCCCCCTGGACCACTGCCGATGACAGCGACTCGAAGTGACCTCGATGCTCTAACAGTCTCTGTGGAGGAAGAAGCGCCATCGCTGGTATTGCTGCTCTCGGGAATGAATGAGCGCCATGAAGTGGAGAACGCACGAGCACTTTGGAGGGAATGAATGGGAGTGAAGACAGTGATCGAACGAGCAGGTGAGATCGGGTAACGCCGTCCTTGTGCCTGGCACTGTCGCTGGGTGAGCAATGAAAGGCGAATCATTCTCAGGTGTTGGTGAGAAGGTGGAGTGTGCTGATTCGATTGCAGAGAAGCGCAGCCAGGTACCGACCCAGAAATAATAATTCTTTTACGCCACCAATTGCATGTGGCGCAAACAATGCATTGTATTCATCCCTCCAATTTTATTGCTGTACGACCAGATCGCCTTTGATATTGCAATCGTCTCTTTTTTTTCTATAACAATTTGTCTCTCGAGTCGATTGACCCTGCGAATCTATCAGGCCTAACTAGCAATGATCTACTACAGTCGTCCTTTCCACCAATGTAGAGCCGATCCACAATCGCCAGTTGACAGGCATGCCGAGCTCCACCTGCTGCTGGCAACTTTGCAGCATTCGCTTGTCCACTCGTTCCTCGATCTCTTTCGCATCCAATACGTGTCATTATCTCCTAGAGGATCCAACGAAACCACTACTGGTCAGGGTAGCCCCCGTTTCGCCACAAAAACAAAAAAACAAAAAAAATTGGCAAACAAGTCAAAATTGATCGTTTATTATGGAGATATATACGATCTAGATCAATTTCAAATGTGTTACGGGAAATCGGGGTCGGGGTAAGATAGGGTAGGCTTGTAGAGGAAGGCAAGGGGGGGTAAGGTAAATGCAAGGGAGGGCAAGGTGGATAGGCGGGGGGTGTAAGGTAGCTAGATAGGCAGATAGGGATCGGAGTGGAGGGGAAAAGGAGGGCAAGTGGAATAGACTTCAGTAAAGTCGCAAAGGGTACCTACTAGATTTTTCTCTGGGTGTTCGGAGCCGCTTTATTATTCATGATATCCTTCGCGTTTATATACAGAAGTGGGCCCCGGATCGGCGCCGCGCTGACTAGTCCTCAAGTGTAGATGTAGATGGAGGGCGTGAATGATATAGAGATGAGATGGAGAGCCGTCCGGGAGCCGGTTGGATGGTTGGGTTTGGGCGCAGCTCAGACAAAAACAGTGGTTGAGAGGCAGTCGTGCAGAGAAGGAGAGCGTAAAATTATGGGAGAGGTTATCTTTTTATAGCAACTTGTCTCTCGAGTCAATTGACTCTGCGAATCTATACTAACTAGCAAAGATCTATAAATCCCCATGAGCACGCGACGCATGGTCCGCAAAGGCCTTGAAGCCATAGATGCCTTCCATGCACGGCAGAGCCGCATCCCCTACCAACTATGTTGGCTTGAGGCGTCAAATTCATAACCCATGTCGCATAGCTAGCCTAACCTAACTCCTGCGTGACCTGTTGCGCGATACACGTCTCCTAATCCAGATCCAATGTTAATAAAGTTGTTTTTAAACCGAATAACCCCTCCATTATGTCCAACTTCTCTCGCCTCAAACAACGCTGTAGCACCCTATAATCCGCGGTCCGTCTACCTTCCTGGATCTCCGCTGCAAGTAACCGTCTCCCTTTCAAATCAGAGAAATCACCAACACTACGTTGGTGTCCCCAATCACCGTTGCGTCCTCCGGGTAGCAAAGATCTACTATCGCTGTGAAATTAATAAGTTAAGGGGTAAGTCATTTAGAGATATGTGCAATTAGGGATAATTGATTATATGCGACATATCAAGCTCTATTGACCAAAGTAAATATGAAGCAATTCATTGGAGAGATGGCCGAGTTGGTCTAAGGCGCCGCGTTAAGGCCGCGGTCTATTCGTAGGCGTGGGTTCAAATCCCACTCTCTTCACTATTTTGCTTTCCTGACAATTTTTTGGGGCTGTCAATGGTGCCCATCGTTCTTTTGACAACCCATGCGGAAATCCATGTAACTCGCATGTTCTGAAAATCGGCAGCTGGTTCACGAGAGGGTGTGCTTGTTTACGCTCAGGTTGTCTTTATCTCCAGCAAATGCACCCAGTGTTTTGCATGGACTTCCTGCAGAGGTTGTTAAATAAGACTGTCAACCCGGGTTGTCAAATAGATTCTTTTTTGGGTTAAGGTATTCTGTTTGACAACCCCAGAGTAAGAAACAGGTCCTCTCATGTAGTAGGCGCCATGCAAATACAGGAAAGATATTAATTAGGCCATGGATTTCCTGTAGGAAATGACTTGCATGCTCAACGTGGCGAATGGATTTCCGAATAGGTTGTCAAATAAGACAGGCAAGCCGGGTTCTTTTTTGCTCAGTTGATCTGGCTTTTTCTCAAATATGGGACCTGGAACTTATAATTGAGTGGTTAGTTTTTCGTGTGTGTGCAAAGGACCTCAAATAAGAAGCAACTGCCGGTGAAGGGGCCACCAAGACATCAGAAGCGGATGTTCCTGGAATGTTTGCGATCAGTCAAAGATATTAGTGCTATTGGTAGTGGTGGTGCTGGCGGTGCTTGTCGAAAAAAAATGAAAATAAGAAGTGAAGAGTCTTGCGAGCAAAGCAATTAACCAACCATCCATGATTACAGTGGGAATAATGGTACTTATTGATTGCACTTGAGATAGTGTCATTCGCGATACAACTTCCAAACTCCTTCCGTCTATACTGTAAAACCCGTTATGGGTGATTCTCACTTTAACCTTTAAACATTACGCGTGAAACGAATATGAAAAGTGATCTCCGGCGAGGTGTAGGAGACGAGTTATGTTAGTCTCAATCCTAGCTTTTAAATATAGAATATCCTACAACGTCGATAGCCTTCAGCATGTTGTTGAAAACAGGCGTCAACATATGTTGGTTTGTTCACACTGGTCTTATTTTTTGAGAGCAACTTCAAAGATACCCATCTATTTCGCACCCGACATCAAGCCTATTCCCTTGCTTCTACCGATAATAATCAACTTCCCGACCCTTTGTTACAGAAAGTGCCAACAGGCTGATCTCTATCGCATAGATTGACCCTGTATGCTCTTTCGTACCAGGTTTTACATTGCTGAATCGATTCACTGCCGTATGCGTTCTCGCATTGTGCGGTAGTATGGTGACTCCTAGACCACGCATTCTGGTAACACCCTCGGATACGTTGACTCCTTGGTGTTGTTTGATATTCGTACGAAGGGATTCTATCCTGTAAGTAAGTTGCCGAATAACGAGCGCTGTTTTCAAAAGTAGGAAAGCCGGATTAAACGTTTCTTAATGTCGTTATTTTCGTTCTGAATAGTCGAATAACGGTTATGCCCTCTGCACTGCGAACCTGGCGATGCATAGTGTGATACCACCCCCTGTTATAGACGGTGGTTTTGTTCCCTTCAGCGATTTCCTTTTCTTCTTCATTTCCTAGCTTGTCGTCCCGGATACTCGCGGCATCTGTACGTTATCTCCTGCTCCAGCAGGCTCGCCAAGATTCTTTATGCCTATGGACATCGTGCCGATGAATCTGAATAATCGGATACGACAATCCACTTTCTCATAATGCAAAGATTGAGTACCGTATGACACATCCCAAATATGGACAGAGTTTTATACGCTTCAGAAGTGAAGCCTGCTTGAAACGCGTGAAAGTAATATCCTTTGCTCACAGCGATAGGTTCTCTACCGGTATATATGACTGAGCTTTTCAGATGAAAAAAAAAAAAAAAAAAAAAAAAAAAAGGCCTCCAGTCTCTTAGTTACCATGAAGCTCTGTGTTCTGTGGTTTAGGTGTGTTGATACAGTCCATGTCCTTGGGATAAACCGCATGGACCTGTGAGCGTGTTTCCTATAACTGTTGAGCGCTCTAGTCCCTCTCCTTCCTCCCCACATCGTGGTTGGTACAAATGGAGGACGAACAAGAAACAAACTAGGAAGTCTGAGAGATGCACCAGTTGTATGCTCTTTGCATGAGAGTAACCTTCTGTGGATCGTATTGGTCTGAATGGCCATCCACTTATTACTTCGGAATCTATGCACCTCCTCCGATTCCTTTATAGCGTCATAGATAAAGATGAGACAATACGATCGAGTGCCCAAGGAGCCCTCGACCGTGATCATAATCCTCTGAACTGATTTCAGAGAGCCCTTGTCCGGAAAGTATTTTCTCTAATTGCTCGTCACCGACCATCCATATCACGACGTTGTTGTCGTTGCCATCAAAGTAAATGCAGGCTGCATCAACATGGCATGCGCAGTTCAGTTTATGCATCTTGTGTATTAGTTTCTCCCGTTTGCTCCTCCAGACCAAACCAAAACGGGCATCGCATAAACCATCCATGTCAGCAAGTGGTGTCCCCGCCAGTGTTTGTGTGTGTAGCATGCCTGTATGTTTGTGAATCTGGAACAAAGCAGACAGTGCCCTTGACTCTAACCCTCGTTCCCCACAGCCCCTCCCTCAAGCAGCAAATCGGCCCTGGGCAAGGGTCCAGTCCTGCGATCGGTAGTGTGGATCATGGCGTGACGAAAGGGCTCTTGATGGACGGAGTCGAAACAGGTAGGTAGGCAAGGCACGGTTCTCTCGGACATGGTAGGGTCTGTGGAACTTCTCGGCAGATCCACATTTGTTCTTTTTCGCCCTGTTCTCGTCCAGAGGCGTTTACCAAAGCAGCTTTTAATTTTTATTTTACCCCTGTACCTGTTATGGTCTCACTTTGACCCGATTGCAGCTGCACCAATCCCCGGCGGTGGCAGGAAACTTCGCCCACCAATCCGCGGCAGCAGTTTTCTTCCTTTTTCCCTCTGTGAATGGGAGGATCGCTTCTAGATGGATGCTAGATTTGGCACTTCCGCATGGGCATATCGACATACCTTCAACATATATATTCGGTACCACATCCCTTCCTTTGATTCCTCATCACACACTCTCTTCTTTTTCTCGTTTTATTTTCTTTATTCTTCCTCACTCTTCTTGCTTTCCTCCTCGCATCCCAGTCCTCCTATACCATACTCAACCAACCTTCAACACACACCTTTTTTTTTACGCGATGCCTCCACTCACCCCGACCTCAAACTCCCTTTCTTCCATACTCCCATCTCTTAGCCGGGCGCCCTCTCGGACGCCGACGCCCGCTCCAACTCCGATTCCTAAGAAACCCCACGTGCTCATCGTCGGCGGCGGTATCGGCGGCCTCACCCTCGCCATCTTCCTCGAACGTGCACAGATCCCCTACACAGTGCTCGAGCGCTCCTCACACGTCCGACTACTCGGGTCTGCCATGGCGCTCGGACCAGGTGTGCTCCCACTATTTGAGCAGCTGGGCTTGTTCAAGGAGATGGAGCAGAGCTCTCGACCCGTCACCCGTGGGATGGTCTGGAGCGAGAAACTGGTCCCGATCATGGACCTTGACCACACATCCACTCAGAAGAGGTAATTTGAAACGAAACGAAAGGCGGCGCTTCTTGCTTTGTCTTCGCTTTGCTCTGTGTATTTGTGCACATTATGGTCGCCGCAGCAAATTCATACAGCAACTAACCGGTTTCATATATTTTTAAAGATATGGTTACTTGACAAGAGTCATCGGTCGCCCAAAGCTCTATGAGATCCTATTATCTCACGTACCGGCCGAAAAATTGCACATGGGAAAAAGAGTCGCCTCCTTCACTCAATCTCTATCGCCACATCAGCAGCAACAGGAGCATCCAATCACCATCACCTGCGAAGACGGATCCACGTTCCACGGCGACATCCTCGTCGGCGCCGACGGCGCCTACAGTATCACACGCCATCTCCTATACCAACAAATCGAAGACGACTACGCAGCCTCTCTAGGAGCAGGATTCTCATCATCATCACCATCGTCTTCTTCGCACCCCTGCTGCTTCCCGCTTCCAGACTCGGATAAGGAACCTTTGGTCTTCACTTCCACGTGTCTCGTGGGCCAAACGCGTCCAGGTCTGGATATGAACAAATTCAAATACGTCCGCGGGCCGGATTGTAAAGTCGGAAGCATCATCGGCGACAATAAGCCTTACTCTGTAATGTATCATTCTCTCTCCTTGCATTGTTAAGAAGAAAGAAATCCCATTCTACACCTCCACCTTGCTAACATGAAAAAAAAAATCTATCATTGACAACAATTATCGATATAGTGGAGCGTTTTCAGTATGCCGGACGATTCGATCTGCTGGATGGTCACTGAACACCTGGGCGAATCCTTCACAGCGCCCTCTCCCTCAACATGCCCATCCTTGACCTCGACCCCCGTACCCTCCCGTCCCACCTCTCCAACAGAGTCCACATCCTCAAAGGGGGACGAGTCAGATAATTCCGATAGCTCAGCAGAGTGGGGCCCACACAGGGTCGGGGCGATGTGCGATCAGGTCAAACGGTTCCCGATTCCGTGCGGCCCTGGACTGACCATGTCGGATTTGATCAAACATACGGATCGGGAAAAGATCTCTAAGGTCATGCTTGAGGAAAAGTTGTTCGAGACATGGTCCTACGGACGAGTCGTTCTGCTCGGAGATGGTAAGGAGATGCACCTGTTTTGCTCTTCATCTGCGTGTTGTCGTTGTTGTCGAAGTAAGTTATTAACCTCCTCTCTCCTCAATTTCATTTATCTCTGTCTCATGCTGCTTGTTTGCTTGCTTGCTTTTCTCTTGCCGATAGCGTGCCACAAGGTATATATTATCCTCCTATGCGTCCCCGAAAGAAGAAGAAGAATAAGAAAAGAATTCATCGGGATAGATGGATCACATGGCTCAGAATACTAAGATACCTATCCTTCTATCGCATAGATGCACCCGTCTGCTGGTTTGGGCGCCGTGGCCGCAATTCAGGATGCTGCCGTACTATCGGATCTGCTCTACCACCTCCCTCCGTCCCATTCTCTCAATGATATCTCCCGCGCCTTTGAAGCGTACCGCAACGACCGCTACCCGCTCGCTCAACAATCGTACGAGACCAGCTACCAAATGTCACACCTCAACGAGCAAGTATGTATCACGCCTATGAGAATATATATATATATATATATATAAATGTATACAAAAGCTCCCGTCGCTTTCAAAGCATGAATCTAAACACACTCTTTTTCTTATCCTTTTTTTTTCTTGCGATGGTATCATTACAGTCGTGGATTAGCAATTTCATCCGCAAAGTGATGAACAATCTCCCGAAATGGATCTGGTATCGCGTTCTCGACCGGATGTACGAGTATCGTCCCCAAGTATCTTTCCTTCCCAACGTCCACGATCGCGGCGACGTACCGCCTCTGCCACGGTCCTATTCCTTCGGTACTCAGATAAAGCCAAATACACATATGGAACTAGATCTGGGCTTGGGCATGGATATGGGTATCGACCCGTAAATCAAAATAAAAAGTCGGGAACGCTCGCCATCTAAACGCTCGTTTTTTTTTTTTTTTTTTTTTTTTTTAAAAAAAAAAATGGAATATGTAGCGTGTGTTTGTATGTCGTTGTTAGAGAGGTTTTTATATTATATTTTGTTTTTATCTTTATTTAATTTTATTTTTTCCTATAAGTTATGTGCGCGTTGTGGCAGGACGCTGTCCTTGGGCTCTGAAAACAACGTCGTCCGGACTGGGCACATCGAACTGAAACACCCTCGAGGGCGTCACCGCTCCCGAAGCCGTCGTCATGGACGATGTCAGGATCGTCCGGAGGAGTGCTGGGTCTGACTGAAGGATCGTGTTTGTCGCGAGCGCGATCGGTGAGGGGACTGGATCTAGGCGCTCGAATATCGATACCGCAAAATGTGACGGCGGCGCGATCAGAGACGAAAACGTTGCCGTCGTCGTCGTCATTGTCAGTGGATCACTTTCACCGTTGGCTGTGTCGTCCTCATTGTTCTGAATATCCAAAGTATGGCTGTTGGATGCTGCTGTGGTTGTCGTTTCCGTTATTGGTTGCCTTGTTTCTCGATCTGCCTCAGAAGTCGCTCCTGAGGATGGCTGAGTATATGTTGAAGTCGAATTCGAAGCCGGTGTTACTGTGGCATCGTCCTTGGCAACTTGTGAGTTTGATAACCCTGTCAAAGACGGTGCCGTTCGCTTCTGTGTTGCCGCAGCCGCCAAGCTCGACAAACTCGACGATCCCCCACCGGCCACCAGCCTCGAAAGACCTCCTCCTTCTCCACCCGCCCGTGCTGTCAGGCCAACGCTTGGCTGATTCTGTCCTATCGAGGTCTGTAAAGACGAAGGCGATGGCGCGGTCGAGTTGGACGGTTGTGCAGGTCCAGCCAAACTAGTTAGCGATCGCCTTAAAGAAGGGCTCCGGGATGCTGATGCGAGCTCTGTTAACGATGGAGATGGTCCTGCGTTCGACGAAGGCGTATCTGACGACGGTGGTACTGGCCTTCCTGTTGCTGAGGCTGTTGGTCGAGATACCGGAATAGGCGTGTTCCTAGATCGAGCCAACAATGTCAGTGATGTTCGACTTGATGTCCCCCCGTCTGCACTAATACTATTAGTACCTCCACTCGTAATGCTCGGTGATGATACTCCAGCAGCCAAACGTGTCAACCCTCCTGCCGACCGCGTCAACCCAGCTTTAGCTCCATCTCCTGTGCTACTCGATATTCTGGCAAGATTCTGAAGTGAAGAAGACGATCCACTGCCCTCGCCGCTTTCCTTCCTGCTCGTCAAACTCGAAAGAGCTGCCGTGCTATCTCCTGCTGTGACACGGCCGAGTCCTGAAAGACGTTGCCGAGGTCGGACCTCGGACGACAAAGCCGACAACGAGGGTCCTTCTGATGACGACGGCGCCGGTACTGATGTCGATGCAGAACTAGACTCGAGTCCTGTCTGGCCATCTTTTTTATCCAAAGTCCTTGCAAGCCCTGAAAGTCTCGACATTTTTTTTATGTTACTGATTGCTGGGGCGCCGAGCGGGCTGTTTGAGAATGAGGTGAGCTCGAGTGATCACACCTGTGCCCATGGTATTGGGCTAGGCCGCGGGGATGCTTGCACGTGCACAGCTCAACTCTGAACGCATTTACTTTCCCGTATCCTTTTCTTTCTTGATCACCACAGCCGGAGACGATGGTTTTGTTCTCTCTTTCGAGAAACCTTGCCCAGGCGAAAAGTTTATTTGTTGGTTCAATTGAGATATGTATATCCGTATTTCTCCTTTAAAGAAAAAGAGGAACGAAAGAAAAAAAAAGAAACAAAACTGCTCAGCACGACCTTCTGGCACCTCTTTTCCCCTCCTTTCCCCTCTTTACATCTTTCTCATCCTTGGTTCTTGTCGATTGTCGATTGACTTAAGCAGACTTCTCGGCCTCGACCTCGTGAGCCTTAAGCACAGAAACAGCCTCCTCAATCTTCGCCTCCAATGCCTCATTGTCCTCCAAGAGGTGCAACAGCTCGCCGTTGTCCATCTCCAACAGCATTCCAGTGATCTTGCCGGCATAATCGGGCTGACGAGCAGCAATCTTGGGATACAGGTGCTCACCGACCATCTGCTTCTGCTGGTCGGGATCAGCAGCAGCCAAAGCAGCAGCGGTCAACGTGTTAGCATCGGCAGCAGGGGCAGCAGCAGCGGGGCCGTTGGCACGGGTTTGACCGGCATTACGAGTATAGCCGCCGCGACCAGCGCCAGGGGCGCCACGAGAAGCACCAGCAAGACCCTGGGCAGGAATAGGGCGACCCTGCTGACCAGCAGCACCTCCGCGCTGAGACTGAGCACGAGGACCCTGACCGCGAGGACGGCCCTGGCCCATGGGAGGGAAGCCCTGGCCCATGGGGTAGCCAGGCATAGGAGCACCGGGGTGCATCTGAGGCTGGCCGGGGTTGACCCAGCGAGGACGAGGAACCATGCCCTGTCCGGGGTAGACCATTCCACGACCACCCTGGGGAGGGAAGCCACCGGGGCCAGGGTAGAAGAGCTGGGGAGGGTACATGCCGCCGGGCATCTGGCCGGGAAGCTGCTGCATGCGGAGCTGGTTACGCTGCGCCATCTGGGCCTCGAGCTGGGACTTGCGGACCTCCTTGCGCTGAGCAAGAGCGACGTAGATGGGCTTCGTGCCGATCATGCGTCCGTTCATCTCAGTGACAGCCTTGGTGGCCTCGTCGGGAGAGGAGAAGCAAACGAAGCCGAATCCCTTGGAGGGGCCCCTGGCCTCTTCACCCTCGGCAGAGGGCTTCTCATCGCGCATGACCTTAGCAGAGGTAATGACACCATAGACGGAGAACTCCTGGCGCAGCTTCTCATCATCGATATCGTCGTCCAAGTTCTTGACGTACAAGTTGACGCCCTGGTACTTGCTGAGTTTCTCGAGCTTCTGCTGCTCATACTGCTTCTTAAGCTCCTCCTCGCGCTCGCCCTTCTTCTGTGCACGGGTGACAAACAGCTTCTTCTCCTTGTACTCGGTATCGTGGAGCTCGTCGACGGCGCGCTTGGCATCCTCGTGGTTCTCAAAGTTGATGAAACCGAAGCCCTTGGAACGGCCGTTCTCATCAGTGGAAATGACACAAGAGGTGACGGGACCAAACTTGGTGAAGAGGGCCTCGACCTCCTCCTGAGAAACCTCAGGGTCCAAGTTCTTGATGTAGACGTTGGTGAAGTTGGCCTTCATCTCCTCGACCTTTGACTGGCGCTCCTTCTTGGCGATGTGGTGTCCGACGTAGACCTTCTTGTCATTCAACAACATGCCGTTGACGTGCTTGATAGCGTTCTCAGCAGCCTCGTGGGTCTCGTAATGAACGAAACCGTAGCCCTTGGACTGACCATCCTCAGTGGCGACCTTGCAGGACAAGATGTTGCCGAAGGCGGAAAAGGTGTCATGCAGAGCCTTGTTGTCGATCGAGGCATCCAAGTTCTTGATGAAGATGTTTCCGGTGCCGGTCTTGCGGAGGGCAGGGTCACGCTGAGACCACATGATGCGGCAGGGGCGGTTCTTGATCAAGGTATAGTTCAAGGTCTCCAAGGCACGCTCACCTATTGATTCAGGTAGCATCACGTAGCGTTAGATTGGTTTTCAGATGGCGAGAGGTGATGGATCCGGATCAAAAAGGAAGCTGAAGGAAAAAAAGAAAAGGAAAACAAGGGATGTTGAATCCGCCGAGTGCACTCGATCAATGTCCAATGTTCGAGTCGGCTGATGATGCTGAGAACATATCCAGGCGCTGAAGATCCATCTTGCTCTGAAGTCTAATTGCAAGAGTCCTGTAGAGAGATCTGAGCGGAGACTGATAGGCCTTGCTCAAACGCTTATTGGCCCTTTGAGGTCGAGACCTGCTGGTAACGACAAAGTATCCTGCCGATAGAGTGAGTTCCGCAACCAAAAGGACTGCAGCTAATGAAAGGGACAGCCAAAGAGTAAGAGGAAGGAGGGGGGAGGGGAAACAGAATAATTCATGGTCCGTCGTTGATGAAATGAAAGTGATCTCCGTGCTCATGACTGCCGCTATAAGAGGCCCTGTAGATCCATGATCCTGCTGCTCCATTGATCCATAAAGCCTTTGATCCTGCAATCCTGTGATCCTGAGCACTCGAAATCCGGTTGATCGTCGCTTCGTCCTGTCGAAAAGAGGGAAGCATAATGCGCACAAAAAAAAAAAAGCCAAGAGCCGAACATACCATCGGTAACGTTGTGGAAGTTGACATAAGCATAACCCAGGGAGCGTCTGGTGACGGCATCGCGACAGACACGGATCGAGGCAACGGGGCCAACGGAGTTGAACATCTCGAACAACATAGCCTCGTTGACCGAGGGATCAAGCTCACCGACATAGAGCGAGGCCGAAGCAGTGGGGGCCGCAGCTGGGACGGGAGCAAAGTGAGCAGCCTGGGCAGCCTGTGCCTGGGCAGCAGCGATCTGCTGCTGCTGCTCCAAGCTCAAGTGGTTAGCAGCGGCGGGGGCAGCCGAGGTAGCGACAGGGGCAGCGGCGGCGGCCTGAACATCGGCGGCGGCAACGGGGGACGACATTGAGATGAGTTTTTTTGAGGTTTTTTTTTGGAGGGGAGAAAGGCCTGTGAGTTCAGTGAAGAATCCTAGGCTTTTTGGGGGGTTTTTTTATTTTTTTTTGTTTTTTTTTTTGTCTTTTTTAATGCGCTGGGCAATGGCGAATCAAAAAAGAGGGGATAAAAAAAAAAGGAGTTTTTTTTTAATGGAGGGGAAGAGAGAGAGGAGACGACCAAGGCATCATCAAGACGCTGAAGAAAAAGGCCACAGAAAGGTCGTCTCAAATCAAAACAACGTCACGTGTGTCGTCATCATCCAAAAAAAAAAAAAAATCCGCAGCAAAGCTGTTCCCATGTGTGCTTTTCATTTTGAACTCAATCACCATCACTAGACTATCAGGAGCCATTTTTTCTTTTTCTTTTTTATTTTCGCTTTCTTTATTTTAGCTTGCTTCAGATATTAGTTTTTGCGCGCACAGCTCGGGGCCAAGATCCGGCTAGTCGCAAAATGAAGATCTGAAGTGGTGTAAACTAAACAGGGAGACAAGACATTTACAAAATAAAAAAGAAAAAAATAAAATAAAGACCAGGCATTGCTCAAGTACTATTGTGGTAAAGAAGGAATTGGATTGGATTGAATTGAACTGAAAGGCAGTACAGTGAAGTGAAAAAAGCAAATGTCAACTGCTGTATACAAAGTAGAAAAGTAACAAAAAGTGGGCGTTTTCCTCAATTGAAAAACCAAGCGTTCGATGTGAAGGGTCGGTTTTGCGGCTGTTGAAGCGGCCTTGTCCTTTGAATCGATGAACGATAAAAAAAAATTCACGATTTCCTCATATTGAAGAAAACCTTGGCATGTGAATAAAAGGACAAAGTCAAGAGTATAAAACTGGAAACATAAAAAAAAAATCAAGATGTAGATGTCATAATAATGATAGAAACAAAAACGAGATGGTTGAATCAAAAAAACGAAAGGCAAGAAAGAACGATCAGAGGCACGCGGAAAAGGAATTCCTAGCCGGACCGTTACTTTGAGGGTATTGCCAAAATGGGGGTTGTTTCTTTGAAAAGTCGGAGCTCCTGTTGAAGGATTCCTTTGGTTGTTGATGTCCATGCGTCAAGTTGAGCAAAGGGATCATATAAGAGAGGATAAAAAGAGAATGACGGGTCCATGCAGCCGTGGAGCATAGATGTCGATTCTGGGACCATCGTAGGTCGGTGGGGTAGTTTAAAGGTGGGAGACAGGGGCCTCATCTCATGTGGCAAGCCAGCCATTGATGAAGCAGGGGCCCTTGACAGCGAGGTGGCGACGGAGTCCATCTTGGCGAGAGAAGGGCTTCTTGCAGTTGGTGCAGGCAAAGTTGCGCTCACCCTTGTGGACTGAGGCCTCGTGGCGTTGCAGGTCGTGCTTGCGCGAGAAAGCCTTGCCACAATCGGCCTCAGGGCAGAGGAAGGGGCGGGCCTGCTCAGGGTTGTGGGTCTTCTCGTGGGTGTGCAGGTTGAAGAGACGGGCGAACTGACGATCGCAGCCAGAGTGGTTGCAGGAGAAGCGCTTGACGGCAGGGCGCCTTACGACCACGGCATCAGTACTAGAGCGGACCTTCTTGGCAGGGGAGACATTGACGGTCTCGACCTTGCGCTTCAATCCAGAGACTAAGGCAGCAGAGCGAGAGGGAACGAACTCATCGTCATCCTCGTCCGAAACGGACTCGAGTTCATCGGAGAAGTCGCTCTCGCCAGACTTGGCAGGCGAGGAAGGAGCAGAGGACAGGTCGGAGACGGTAGGCGAGGGTTGGATCACGTCAATGGGGACGGAGTTGAAGGAGTTGCACTGGTCGATGGGAAAGAGCATGTTGGGCTCGATGGTGGAAGCGGAGGCGAAGAGCAGGTTGTATTCAAAGTCCTGGAAGAGCGGGAAGACGGCCGTATCCTGGGCGAGCTTGACATTCTTGTCGGCAATGGAGTCGAAGTCAAAGTCGGTGAGGAAGGGGGTCTCGAGCGGGGTGTCGATGAGCGAGGGCGTATCCATACAGGTGGTGAAGGGGGTATCCATCAGCTGGTTGGCCATGGCAGAGTCCTCGAGGAAGGCGACACAGCTGTCGAAGCCGAGTCCGTTAGTAGCAGAGATGGACTGAGGGACATTGCGAGGGGCCAGGTCCAAGGAGGGGGTCTGCGGGGTGCAGAGCGGGTTATCGAAGATGCTGCTGTTGTTGATGGCGGCGGTGTTGTTGTTCGCGTGGGCGATCTTGAGGGCCTTGTTGGCAACAGCAGCAGCGGTGGCAGTGGAGATGCCATTGAACCCATTGAAGAGCGGGTAGTCGAAACAGGAGTCCTCCTGGTCAAAAAGACAGAAGTCCTGGTTGATGGTGTTGATATGGGCAGCAGGCATGGCGAAGAGGGTGTGGAAGAGTGCGGATTCAGCAATAGGGTCAGAAACGGGGACAGTGGGGGCAGAGGCAGAGGCAGAGGCAGAGAAGGAGTTGAAGATTGAGGAACTGTCGGTCGACATGAAATCAGAAGAGATGAGAGAAGAAAGTGGGGATGGTTGGGAATGAATGATGGAGAGCAAGAAGAGTGGAGAAAAAGAAGAGTAGAGGAGAGAAGGGCGCTGGTTTAAAAAGAGGCAGTGGTTGTGTGCTTATTGGTTGCTGATGGATATTTCCTATTGTAGACAGTGAAAAGAGAGGAGACAAGGGAAATGGAAAGAGAGAAGGAGGGGAGGGGAAGGAAGAAAAGAAGAAGAAGACGGAGGAGCAGAAGAATACAGGAAATAAATATCAGAGAGGCCGCTGTCGAGCGAGAGAGGGAATGGGGGATGGGGAGAGGACGCTGCTCTTGCCGCAGTAAGAGAATTTTATCCCCTTCTGCCGAATAAGGTTCCAATTGAATTTCCTACTCAGTCCCCTACGCTGAATAATATGAATGATAGCTAGATAGCACCCAGCGCCTTTTTCCCCACCTTCTCTCCCTCCTCCCTCCCCCTCTCTCACCACCGCCTGCACGCACACATCCCCTCATCCCCTTCACCAGAGACAGTGTATATGCAATCCCAAGGACATCCAGGCCCTACAGGGACCAGGACAAGCGACATCGTGGCAAAACCAGCGCCAAGCACCGACACCCGACTGGTAAACGTCCTCGCTGCGTGTTTGTCGTGCAGTCGACAGCGGAACAAGTTGTTGTCATGCATGAGGGAGCACTCCTATCTCTCTCATATTTTGCCACCATTTTTTCTTTTTTTGTGATAGTATACCCAATCAATTGCCGATTGGAGCAATTGGACCTCAATCCTTCATCTCCCTCATCCAAACCCAAAAACCCAGACCCCCCCCTCGCCGCATTTTTTTTCTCTCTGCGCCCGTGCGTTCCTTGTCCATACTCGACTCCTCTCAGCGAATCACCGCATCTGTATCTTCCACACACATACACACGCACACGCACACACACTCGCGACATGAAATGCCAGCATGGACATCGATATGGAGGCACGCTGTTCTCGCCCATCCTACACAGCTAATTGAACTGCCCCTGTCTGGTCTATATTCCTGCCCTTTCTCCCATCTCCAATGGGTCTAGAGCAATTCGAAAAAAGGAAAAAACGAGGAACACACAATATCGCCTCAGCCCACGCACATTACTAAAAACAACAATATGATGTCGTCCTGCAGATGTCCTTTTCGTTTTGCGGTATGGAAGACATACTCTCCCCTTCTGAGACGCCTAGACTCTCCCCCCTGCAATCCTGCAATCCCCAAAAGTCCAATTTCACATCCCTTCACTTGATTAGTTGTCGTCATGAGCTATCAAAATGGTCTCGGTACCCGCTCTGCCACACTCCGATAACGACCCTTGCGGCCGCACTGCCCTTCCTTCCCCCCGTCGTTCTGATGTAGAGTGTTTAATGCCTTTATAAATATATATATATATATATATTTTATCTCCACGCGTGTCTTTTGTGTCCTGCAATCCAGATAGACTACGTGTCGCTTGCGGTGCAGGCCGCCGAATAATAACAACAAAGAAACTGGCGTTTCATTTCGGCATCTATACCCGAACCCTCTCTATTCTTGACCACTTTTTTTTTGTGCGCCTCACTTTTCCCAACAACAACAACAACAACGAATAAAGCGACGTTTTTCTACATTAAGTTGGTGCAACCACTTGCTCTTAACCTGGCTGGCAACCAGCAGCACACATCCTCCTATCGCCCTCTATTTCTAAATGGTCTAACAAATACTTGCCCTCAAAACCATCCACCACGACCATGACTCACGGGTGATATACTTCTTTTGAGACCAAGCTAGCCTAACAAATATGTCGGCAACGGGAGAGCACCATTATTCCATCTAAGAAATGCATCCCATTCTTCTGAGCAAAAACTTTTTTATAATATGTGGCAGTGCATTTATCTCAATCGCAAAACTCAATTGGACAGACCGTGGGCGCAAACCTGCTGGGAACCCATTTATTTCTCTGATCTCGTCTACAGACGCCTGTAGACTATCCTATACGGGACGTGGTCTATTGCGCTCCCGCCCATCGATACCATGCACCTCACCCTCCCAATGTGGCCCAAAGCGCAGGGTCCGAAAAAACGTTTGTCTCCTTTGTGCGTGCGCGTTTGTTTCAGCATTTCAAAAGACATGCAATATTCTGCTCTTTCTCTCATAGCTTTATTTATAAGTTGGTGGCAAAGACCATTCCTCTCTTCGTCCACCGTTGTCGCCACTTTCATTATATGGCCTTCTAAAATGAACTACAACTGGTGCTTCAGTCACTGGCTGCTGCTGCTGCTGCTGCTGCTGCTGGTATTGGTCTTGCTCTTGTTCATGCTGCCGAAGCTGAAATTGCTGGTACTGGATCGTCTCCAGCTCAATGCCCTGACTCCGATATCCGCCCCCACCTCCCCTCGACGCAGACAAAGGCAGAGGGACGGAGATCGGTGCAGACATGGATGTAGGTACAACAGCTGATCCTTTGGCGGTTATGCCTGCATTCGATGAATTGCGAATAGCCCCGCCAACCTGTGCCACAGGCTGCGACAGTTCCCTTGGATACTGTGGAGGACTATAGATCTGAGGAGGCGATGATGACGGCGATGACGGCGATATCGGCTGCTGGACATTGTTTGACGAGGGTTGACGGACATTCGGATACGTTGGACTTGTAGGGCTTGTCGGTCGCGGTACTGTGTACGAATTTGAGGATGATCCACCGTGTTTGTAAGAGGAACTACGCGATAAACGGCTGCCTACAGTCGACGTCGATGTCGTGTGGTATGAGGGACTTCCGGAGACCGAGCTCGTCGAAGGACGAGAGAACACGCTGTTCCTCGACCCTGATCGTAGTGACGTCAACGGGAACGACGGCAAACTGAACCCTCCAGAGGTCGGTGACTGGGGCGGTGAACCGACCCTAGTGTCCTCGCGCGGGGTCCTTCCTCCAAAGACTGACTCCCGGATAACACTATGGTCAGGGCCAGTACTTGCGGCCTTAAAGCTTGAGCTGCCTATCACTGGCCGAGGTGGAGGTGGCAGGGAATAAGCCCTGAGGGAGTCGTGGTCACATTCGATACCTTCCGCTTCCAGATCACTGTCGTTCATATCGCGTGTTTGGTCCGCACCAGACTTTTCTATTGACAAGACCGAGTGCAATGTGCTGACATCGCCCGAACTCTCGTGGGTCAAGCAAACCTCAGGATCGAATCGCGACATCACATGCTTGGATCCCTTGCTGTTGTAGCTCTGGTTCTGGTTCGGGCCGCCATGCTTTTGCAGGCTTCCAGTGCCGTTGCCACCACTGCCTTGGCCTGAAGATGGTCCGGATAGGGACGAAGACGGATCGTGCAAACCCCTCTTTCGATTCCTCACAGACTGAGCGGTGATCAAAGAATTGATCACAAAGAATGTCGCTGCCATAGCACACGTCCAAAAGAAGGCCATCGTATGTGGTAGCTGATCGTCCTCCATGGCCAGGATTTTCTGCTGGAACAAGATCCAAATAAGGCAGAGCGATCCAGCCAGGATAGTAACCGCACAGCCCCCGAACCCGGTGATCTGGAGTTGGATGAACAAGAACCTCGCAGGAGATCTCGATTTTAGGTTGCCAATGCCAAATGCAGCGCGTGGAGCCTTGAGTGCAGCCTCCGCGATGATGATATTGGCACGAAGAATGAACGTGTACTTGAGACCGTAATAAAAGAACATGGCGGCCATAATATACAGGATCAGAACCCAGTTTCCATATTGACAGAGCATGAAGATCCTAGATGCATCAAGGTGACCGTGATCACGGAGTACACCAGAGGCAATGCCCAGTCCAGCGCCAAAGATGGACGGGTAGACTGCCCCCATGACAAGTAGGGCGTTCTTCTGGATAGTAGTGGGGGTTAGGACGTGAATTGGAGCCAAGGGCTTGGAACCAAACGTGGTCTCTGGTTGGTAGATGGCAAAGATGCCTTCGCGCGTGGTCACAGGCATGGCGTAGAGGAGTCCAACAAAGTAAGCCGAGAATGCGAACGAAACGAAGATCCTATTGCAGACACAAAGATGTAGCAAGGAGGTGAGATGATTGAACGAAAAGGGTACCGGAGAAGGGCTTATGGTGGTGTTTACGTTTGATTCTGTACCAGTAAAGCTGCTCGATAGCGATGCGGAGCCCCCAGGAATTGCGGAGGACATCAAGGATCAGCGGCATATTTCCCAGCAACTTGGCAAAGCAAGCGAGCGTATTGAAGAAAATGAGGCAGTCCATCTTTTCGTTGAAGAGACCAAGAAGCAAAGGTGGGATGAGCAAGGTAGTCAATATGAAATCCAAAGCTGGGCCAAGTATGAAAATGATGGCAAAGGAATATTGAAGATCACTTGTACTTACTGGTTTGGGCCGGATCCCAGTCCCAACAAAGATAAATAGCTCTGTAGCAATCTTGCGGTTGAATCCTCTGTTTCGGTACACCAGTAACCAGATACCAAAGAGTCCAACAGCCACGTGAAGGACTGAGGATGCTATTAGCATGCACCGTATAAAGTCCGCATCTCTGCAGTCGGCTGCTGACCTCGTCCAGTCGCATAGCAGTACATTTGGATCTGGTGCTGGTGAGGGCAACTCTGCTGCTATTGATAGGGATGTTGAGGTTGGATTTGAGGCTGTGGCGGTTGCGAATGTGATGATTGAGACAAGGGTGTCGACGGCTAGGGTTGTGGCGCCTGACATTGTTACGGAGGGTGTAATGCTCATGTTCTATGTGGATGTACTGTGGTGTTATTAGGGAGGGGTAGGGTTCTATCATGGAGTTGAAGCCACAGAGGATGGTGGGTTCGTGTTAGTTGAAAGTGGGCGCAGGGGATGACTGAGCGTCTATGCATGATAGACATGTGCGTTTTCCCGCTTGCAGGCTTCACGCGGTGTTACAAACGAACACCGACAGAGGACAAAGAAAAAAGAGAAGCAAGCGAGCAGGAACCAACAACAAAGAAAAAGGGAGCATTGGAAAAAGCGCGACAACACGCGAGGATGGGGGTATATTGTATTGCTAATGGCATTTTATGCTTTGTTCGAAATCACATTCCTCGCGTCGTAAATGAAAAGAAGGTTCGTGGTGGGGTAGAGGGCATTTCGTGTTTGGTATGCGAGAGGGCTGATCAAGGAAATGGCAAGGCGCGTTACCTATGTACAAATGGGAGAGGGCGTTGCGTGCTACTGGGCGCACTGACTGGAGAGCGCTGGCGATGGGGTACTATGTGATATGGGGGAGAATTATCGAAGGGGGGGAGGTGAAAGTTGAGATATTTGTGGAGGAGTACAAGGTGTGATGGAAAGGTGTGAGTACAGGGACAAGCGAGGGGAGGGATGGGAGGGATGGGGGGGACAATGAGACGAATGGAGAGCGCGAGTCGAAGTGGAGTGAGGAGAGAAAATGCGAACGAAAGGTGGAGAAAGAAGGTGTTGGGGATGCGTTGCATTTAAAGGAGCCCCGGCAAGGTGTGAGGGTACCAATCCACTTCGTTGAATATATTGGACACAATAAACATAGTAAGCACTACACCACTTGGCCCTTTTTCTTTCTTCCAAAGGAGCATACGTTGTGTGCCCTGTTCCTGCTTTAAATGAAGTGAGCTGCATTTGTGCGTTGTGGAGGGCGTAAAGTGTAAAGTGTCATCCAGGGACAACAGGACAACACACCAAACAGACATTCCCCTCCTCCGCCCTCATATGACAACAAAAAAGCGGAGGAGGGCCAAGGGAAGACGGGGCAGTAGAAAATCAATGTACCACCCAGGATACAAATATTATTGTACGCCTTGAAGAGACTACCCACACCATTCACCGTATCCGTGCTAGCGCTCTCAAAATGCCGTATTGTTGTATGCATTGCATGCCCGCCATTGACTCGGACTTGAGGCAGTGAGCCATGGTCAAGTAGACTAGCCCCATCAAATCTACCGTTTTCAAGGGTAGATCATGAAAAACTAAAAGACCGTCCGTCTACCTGTCTACTCCTGCTATCCCTGTCACCTGGTCCATTAGGGATGTGTCCAGCACTGAGCATAACCGCGAATAAGGAAGAGGAACTAAATAAAAAGCCATAGGCATATGATTGTTATCGTATGCGCTATGTCCTGGTTGCTGCTGGGCTCGTTCCCCAGAACCGGACTCTGCACTGCCTTCTTGGCGAGAAATCTAAGGAAAAATAGTCCATCTACACAACTTACTGGTGCATAGAATATTTTTAACAAAATATGCAAACAAAACACAGACCTCTTGCACCTCGAAAATACGATGAATAATGAGAATTGACTCGGTGGCTAATGCTAATAAGAAAAAGACTGATGAACCTTACTGACAAGGTCCCAGATTTTAGTCGCCTGATATGTGGAGAAGACTTTACCTGTAGCACAATTGTATTCCTGATGAATAAACGATTTTTCTCTCCTCCGGAGTACTTACTCTATCCGGACAGCTCTTCATCTACAGCAATCCAAATTCCATCCGTGAGAACGTTGAGGGCTCGGAGAGGTCAGCACATTCTTTAAAGTGATGCGGTCCAAATACTCTGTCGATGTGACCTTTCTTCTCTTTCCGACAAGGGTGGAAGGAAAGTAAGAAAATGATCTTGTACATGCAGTACATGCAGTACAGCGGTACTTTCTTTGGTGGAGGGCTCAGGCTGGTGCATGCGAACGTCCCTACGCAGCAGGTACCACGAAGGGAATATCGCGTAGATAGGAGGTGCCACTAAAAGGCGCGTACCCCCCATCTTCATCTCGTTCTCCTTTGTTCGCTCCTTCTCTTGTTTCTCAAAGTGATCATGCTGCATGCAGTTCAGCGCCTTGAATACAACCTTTTCAGCTGCATCTATCTTCGGTGCAGAGTGCAGTACGTACCATCTTTAGCTGACTGCTTTGCTCTCCCAAATTAGTTCACTCTTTTGAAGGGACTGGTATCCCTGCACGCGTTTTTTTTTTTTTTTTTTTTTTTTTTTTTTTTTTTTTCGCTTAGGCCATTTACGCTTTCTATTTCATCCAGAGAGTTGGTCGATAGTAGCATTATGTCCTTGTTAGTACAAATGGACACCACCCAACACACTCGACAAACCATAGAGCCCCGAACCTTGGCCCTCTTGTCATACGGGCCCTTTTGGTCCATGCACTCCTGATTTTATTTTTTTCTTCCACTCCCCCTTTCCCCACCAAAAATCAAAGTAAAAAAAACTATTGTTTGTCGTCCTCACCACGGGCCAAGCGCGCAGTCAACAAAGCGCGTCTGCTCCACAAATAGTAGAAAAAAAATTGCAAGAAAAATGACACATGTTCAAAGCAGCACATGTTTCCTACCCAAGCGGAAGTGGGGGAGGGGGAGGGGGGGGGGAATCTGTGCACCTTAACCTATCACAGGGGCGGCGACCAGCATTTCAATATCTTGGCAATGGATGGGTCGGCTCCATCTCACAAGCTGAATTAGACATGCCTCCGTGCCCGTGGCACTGTTACAGTTTATGCATACCAGCGGCCGCTAACCAACCTAGTCTACTTGCATATCATCAGTCGCGTGGATATGCAATATCGGTACCTGATGGTCACTTTGACTTTCAAAACGAACCCCCTGGGGTCATGATCCCCAATACGAAGAACAGGTATGTTCCCCATCTACAAAGGCATTGCCCTCCTTTGAACATGTGAAGTTAAATTTGAAAAGATAGAGCGGCAGAGCTGAGCCCAATTGACTGATCCGACAGCAAAACATATAAGTTTGAAGATACCCATTAATGCTGACGGCTATATTCAGAGAGACATCGGAGGTTGTCCTGAGCTGATTACAGGGGATGATGTTCACCTTATGCTCCATCAAGAATTGAGCTGCACGACAAAATTGGCCAGATGTCCTAGGCGGTTCTGCTTTTTTTTTTTTTTTTTTTTTTTTTTTTTTTTTTTTTTCATTATAGAGCTCGCAAAAGCGCAGGGCCTTTGCGGGTTCTGTAAAAAAAAGAAATATATGTTTGTAGGTGAATCTTTATGCTGGCATGTCCAATAGGATGCAAAGTTGCACAGACTGAATCTTATCAGCAAACAAAGGCTTCTCATTAAAGATACTCCGTGCATGCTCGACCCATAACTTCTTAAGAGATGTCAGGTAAGCACTTGTTGATAGGAGTGGAGCAAGAGTGAAAGACGGGATGACATAGATTATATATATCTCTCCAAGGTTTTTATTTTTATTTTTTTGATCCTTGGAATTCTCTAGTTAAATGAGATTTCGGAAAAAGTTTGAGCACACCCTGGCGACGATCCATGTACGCGGCTCAGCATCTGGCGCCTCGTGTACGTAGGCAGTCCAGAAAAAAGAACCCCCGCTGGGTACCGAGTATTAACAAAATAGCACAGCAGCCGATCATATCATGGCGTGCAGTTGACCGGTGTTGAGCCCTCACAAATTTCCTCGCCCTATCTTTTCCGCCCACATCATCGATCTTCAATTGTCGTCATCTCAAAAGAATAAAATAAGAACTAGGGTATGAACCGGGATTAGTACACTTCACTAAACTAGATTACTGAGGCACAAGGAAACAAGAAAATAAAATGGGCAAGAAAATTGGAGGGGGACAGAAGCGGCATGAAAAAAGAAAGATGGATGAGTAGAGATAGAAACGACGGTAGGTGTGAAGACCGCATGGAAAGGCAACGGGGCGAGAGCGACGAGCAATGTGGAGGAGATCCGTGTTCCGTGCGCTCAAAAAAAAAAAATTCACGGGGAAAGGGGCCGCGAGGTGCTCCCAAAATGTTGGCGTAAAGACATACACAAGAAAAAAAAAAAAAAGAGACCCAGACTTTGTGCAAATACAACAATTGTGGGATGACAGGATTCTTTAGATTGAGAGCGGAGGTGGGGTGGGGGCGGGGAAGGAGACGAAGTGGCCCCAACGTCCTGCCACGGCCGCCATCTCCCCTTCAATGAGAGCCATATCATGCTTTTCTTCCGGGGAAAGTGAAAGTGCTGCTGGTTAGGGTATAACAGGGGAAAACACGTTTTACTTTTCTTTTTTTGGTGCCATGTTGGACCCGGGGCGTTAGTCGCCAGTATAAAATGAAAATAAAAGAGACATGCAGGGTGAGTATCCAGCCTTCGCAAGTAAGGTTCCAGCTAGCGGACAATTGCTCCCTCTCTTTATTGAATCTTTTAAAGTTTAGTAATGCGCCCACAACCTGTACCCACTTCACTGCTGTTTCCAGAATGCTTGGGCCTTATTCTTACCCTTGCCCTTGCCCATGTCCATATCCATATCCTTATCCTTGTTATTGTCGTGGTTCCTGCCATTGTCGCCGTCGTTATCACTGCTGTCCTTGTTCATGTTCTTAGTATTGTCCGTGTCCATGTCCATGTCCATGTCCATGTCCATGTCCATGTCCATGTCCATGTCCATGTCCTTGTCGAGATGCCAATTGAGCGTTAATACGCCTTGTGGCTAGAGAGATTGTCGGTGAAAAAGGTTGAAGAAGAGAGAGTGAGAGCGAGTGCGAGTGCGAGAAAGAGAGGAAGAGGAGGAGAGTAGACTCAAGGAAGGATGTTTGTTGCCTCTGACAGAAGTGTGCTCTCAGCTCGACTATATAGATAGAATAGATAGTCCACAAACAACAATGGGTTACATTGCTTAAAAATAAAAAATAACAAGAGAGCGATGCAATGCGGGTTCATGTCAGCCAGTCCATGGTCGTTGAAGAAAGTGAAGGCCAGACCAGGAAGCGGAACACGACCCAACACAATGGGATCCACTCGATAGCCAGTCCGTCTCACTACTCTTCTCTCTTCTCCCATCATCATCTTCGATCGTTCATCCCTCCATCCATTCCATCCGGCATCCCCTCCCTCCTCCCCTCCCCTCTTCATTCACCGTCCATATGAGCCAACATCCCTATATTCGGCAGCAAAAGCTCAAAGTCATTATCGCCGGCGCCGGAATCAGCGGTCTTATGACCGCCATCCAACTCGAGCGCGCCGGCATGGACTATGTTGTCTTTGAAAAGGCCAAGGAGTGTCTCCCCCTCGGGTCTGCCCTGTCCTTGACCCCAGCCTGCAACTACATTTTTGATCAGCTAGGGCAAGTATATAGCACATCCTTTCACTCCTATACCTGTCCTCAATTGATTTGCTCTCCTCGTTGACAATTAAATGGACACAAGAAATCAGTGCAACCGTTATTCGAACCCGGCGGTAGAATTTCCTCTTGGGACGGAGAGTGGTCCGCCATCAGCCCCTTATCAGCAATATTCCATGGTTACCCCTGTGCACGAACCAGATACTTCCTTCAATACCCTAACGGCCATTCCTTCCATTCAATTTCCCGTTTTTAAAACAGAATGCTCGAGGATATTGAAAAGATCTCATTGCCATGCCAGAGAATTGATTACTTCCGTGACGATCTCACCCATGTGGGAACCATGGATGCAGGCGACCAGAAGCAGCGGTATGGCTACAGTGGAACCCTGGTCACCCGCCCATCCTTCTACGACGTCCTACTCTCCTATGTCCCGAGTGACAAGATTAAATGGGGCAAGCGCATCCTGAGCTTTGAGCAGAACCAGTACGGCGTCATGGTGCGGATCGCCGATGGCACAACACATCATGGAGATATCCTCATTGGTGCTGGTAGGTTACTTCCTCTTGTTCTATCTCGCCACTTCAAAGTATGTTCTAGAAACACATCAATCCCAGAAGCACTAAATGTTGATTGAATGCTAATCTCGCCTTTGTATTTTATACTGGGCAAATAGATGGCGCATACAGTGCAGTACGCCAGATGCTCTACAAGAACATGATCAAGAAAGGTCTGAGCGTTCCAAAGCCCGACATGGCGCCTTTGCACTTCGACTCCAACTGTGTGATTGGTGTCACTAATGTGCTTCCTGTGGAAGAGTACCCTATTCTGAAGGAACGGGTGGGCGACTTCAATGTGCTAATCGGTAAGGAGCGCTCTATCCAGGTGTATCTCTTCCCGTTTGCAGAGAACAGGATAGGCTGGCAGATTTGCGGCAAGATGGAGAACCCAGAGGATCACGACGAGCAAAACTTCCGCTTCAGCGACTGGGTATGTTAAATTTACATCGGCATGCACGCCAGACATGCACTGGATGCATTAGCTGACCCTAAGATTAATCAATTTTGTATTACTCTGCGCCCATTAGGGTCCTGTGGCAGCAGATGAGCTGTGTGACCAGGTCCGCCATTACAAGTGCCCGTTCGGAGGCACACTAGGTGATTTGATGGAGAGGACCTCGAAGGAGCGCCTGTCAAAGGTCATGCTCGAGGAAAAATACTTCCATACATGGTGGCATATGCGGACCGTACTAATGGGGGATGCATGTCATAAGGTACGTAACACATAAACAAAGCCTTTGGGCTACAGAGGTGCCTGCCGTAGCAACAACGCTAACTCTAATTTTTTTAATGTGGGTTGCAGCATCTCCCCTTTGGAGGACAAGGCGCAAATCAGGCTATCCTCGACTCGGTGCATCTTGTCAACCAACTCTACGCCATCCCTTCAGCATCGCTCGAGGATGTTGCCAAATCATTCAAGGCTTATCACCATTACCGCAGCGGCAATGCCAAGGACGTATTTAAGAGCACAGGCATGGTTGCCACCGTGTTGAGTAGCCGCGGATTCGGATCCGACCTCGTGCGAACTCTTGCTTTGTCAAAGACGCCCAAGTGGTTGAATGATCTAGGCATGGACGGAATGAATTCTGATAGGCCCATTCTGTGCTTCTTGCCACCGCCAAAAGTTCAGGCATCCGTCAAGGGGAAGCCTCAGGCGGTGCCTGTTCATTATAGCGCTGCGCTTAAAGCCAAGGGATTGAAGACGGGCAGCTCAATTCTCTCGGCGACCTCTGTATGATGACTGAGGAAGGGATTGAGATTGAACAAGGGGGTGCCTATGTTCTTGAACGTCAAATTCGCTGCGTGGTACTAAAAATAAAATAACTTAATGTGTTTGCCATACTTCGAATGACTGACTGCGCCCACCGTTCACCTTGGGAATATAAATGATCCCCTCATTTCCACATATTGTTACCCACCGTCCTTCTCTCCTCTCTCATCCTTCATCACAACACAATCCATACATTTGTTTGTTATGGCGATGTTTGACTTTCTCTACGCGGACGAGCCGGACATGACCCCTACTCGCACGAAACAGCCCCAGGCAGAGGCAGAGGCAGAGGCAGAGCCAAAAGGAGCTGCGGAAGAACACAAGGACATGTTGCCGCTACCGCTCATGCCAATCTCCTATCCAGCCATGTCCCAGGCGTTCAATGTGACCGAGATCACCACGCTTATACGGCAAGAACTTCGGGGATTCGAACTCAAGAGCATAGTTCTGGTTAATCGGCTCTGGTGGAGAACCTTTGGACCCTACCTTTGGGAGAACGTGTATGTCGATGCCGATCCTGGACAGGATGATCGCCATATCATTCTCCGAAATGGACTCGCTGCCAGGCGCCTGGCACTATCCGTCTACGACCCTTTGGACTCTCGAGGTGTCGTCAGCTACGTGGCCGAGAAATGTAGGAACGTGTCGGCATTGCACTTGAAGCTTTTCTCACCACATTTGGTGGTCATCAACAAAGAACAACAAACAGAGAACAATGCAGAAGACTTTGCGACGCGAAAAGAATCTGAGACGACACTCCTGGATGATCTTTTGGCCAAGCTATCTCATATCACGGACCTAACACTCTCAATTGCGCACGAGGATCTCCAACCAGAAGTGGTGTGGTGCGCAAGCATGCTACCAGGGTTGAAGAGGATGACGATCTACGGAGGGTTATGCGCCATGAAGTACATGCTCCCCAAGAATAGCCGGTGCAACTGGACTCTGTTAATGCGCGTTTGCCGGGCCTGTCCGTATCTGGAATCACTGTCTGTCGCATGGAGGGTCCCAGAGCTGCATAAAAGTAGTCTTTCCGATCCCCACGACCTATCTTTGAATGCAGCCGTCCCTCCAAGCGAGCAGGTCAAGTCGTTAAGGTCGCTCAGAGTCAACTTTTGCGAACTCCAGGACTCAACAATGGATATCGTTTACAGGTCCTGTCCGAACCTGCGCGAGATCGACTTCGACAGTATCAAGATCAGCTCGGGCGCCCTCGATCAGCACATCCGGATGATGGCCGGATTATGCCCGCTCCTGAGGTCTTTCAAGCTCCAGAACCTTCCCTACAATTTTAGGGGTTATATTAGCCATTACCAAAGTGGACCTCGCGGCGACAGCTATGTGCGCTCGTTGCTCTGTGGACCATTGCTCAAAGTACCATCCTTGAAATTATCGCTTGGATATCAGCCCCGCTGTTCCTTTGAGGACCTCGATCGCTTCTGGTTCATAGGCAATTCGATTACAGTCTTGAGCGTGGACGACATCCAGAGCTACGAACTCCTGCTTAAGATCATCACGACCATGACAGGATTGAGTCGCCTCACCCTAGGCGGATACCTGCGTGGAGAGGGAAACCCTTGGGTTATCTCGTCCGATGTGGCTGGACACTCGGTCGTGGAGGCCTACTACAGCGACGACATGAGATCTAGTCGGCGTCTACCCGGGTTTGCAAGCATGGACAGTCTCCAGTTCTTGGACGTGACCCGGCTCGAGTTCAATAGCGGCAAGTGTTACGAACTATTCTTCAACCGAGTCCAGAACTTGCCGTACCTGAAGCATCTCGAAATCAGGTATTCTCATCTTCGAGGTGCAAGGTTGGAAGAACCCTATACGGATTATGATCCAAGCCCTCAAGTCCAGGCTGCGGCATCTGTCGAACCAGACGGCCAGCCCTCAGATCTGAACGCAAGCTCCGCTGTAGCGACCGATGGTGCGGTGGACCTCTTTCCGGATAGGATCTTCCGCCACTTTCCAGCCGTCGAATTTCTGTATGTGTTTGATGGAAATGATTGGGCATACCAGAGACATATCACTGGACGTACGGCGAGCGTCCTAGTGCAGACCATGCCTAAGTTAAAGGTCATGGCATTCGACCAGACCTTGTCTCCGGGCGGGGAACTGTGGAGGATCCGGAAGAAATACCCACAGGTTACATTTGATTGCATTCGTGTATAAAAAATTTAATTCAATCTATGATACAGTATAACAGGGAAGGAAGCATTTTTATTATTTTTCGTGTCTACCTGTGGCTAGGTAGCGTGCGCCTGACTATACTCCAGTAGGAAGGTAGCATGTGCCTGACTATGCTCCAATGGGGAGGTAGCTTGCGCCAGATTAAGAGTAGCTTGCTCGAAATCTTGATTTTTGAGGAGATTGATGGCTTATTCAATTGAGATTTTTGAGATTTTGGTCTCAATCTCACATTTCTGCTGCACGATACAGTTATTCGGAAACGCGTGTTGCAGTTCACGAAGGGATTAGAAGGCCTTTACGACTCGACCTTCTCGGTGTCTTTATCCTCTACAGAGGGTATGACCTCCTCCATATTGGCATCGTCCAGGTTAGCGACACTGAAATCGCACTCCATTAATGGCACGATCTTGGTTTTGTGGTATAGCTTGTAGCCGAACCAAGTCAACAGGAAGAATGGAAGGCCGATATAGCAAGCGATCAAATTGACCGCCTTGGGCTCGGGCTTTGTAAATTCAGAGTAACCTTGACCACAAATGACGACCGTGCACAGGAGCAACGCGTAAATGGGTCCACAAGGATAGAAAGAAGCCTTGTAGGGCAAGCGTTCGATATCACCGCCCTGGGCGACGAAGGCACGACGGAAACGGTAATGCGAAACTGCGATTCCTGCCCAGGCAATGAAGCCAGAGATGGAGGAGATATTGAGCAGCCAGTTGTAGACCTCTCCAGACCCAAAGAGCGATGTGCAATAGGCAATGGTGGCGATCAAGGACGTGCAGCCGAGAGACACCATGGGAATACCTCGCTTATTGATCCTTCCAAAGATAGCAGGGACCTTGCCGTCCTTGGCCAACATGTAGAGCGTACGGGTCGAGGCGTACATGCCTGAATTTCCGGCCGAGAGCACCGTGGTGAGGATGACAGCGTTCATGATGTGCGACGCGGGCTTAAAGGCCTTCTCAAGAACCAGTGTGAAGGGTGAGACAGCGATCGCCTCCTTATCGACGCCTCCATTGCTCAGAAGGTTGGGATCGTTGTAGGGCAAGACCAGTCCAATGATGAAGATGGAGAGGACGTAGAATAGGAGGATGCGCCAGAAGACCTGCTTGATTGCCTTGGGAACATTCTTCCGAGGGTTCTCACTCTCGCCCGCAGCAATGCCGATCAGCTCCGTGCCCTGGAATGAGAATCCTGCGACCAAGAATACACCAAGGATACCTCCGAACCCATTAGGCACAGGCGCGCCCTCGATCGTCCAGTTCCGGAACCCGACCTTGTCGCCTCCGACAGCACCAGCATCAACCAAGATGCCGACAATGATGAAGATGATGACCGTGAGCACCTTGATTGCGCTGAACCAAAACTCTCCTTCACCAAAGGCCTGGACCGAGAGAACGTTGATGGCGACCATGAAGAACAGGAAGATGAACGCCCACACCCAGCTTGGGAGGGCATCGGGTGAGACCCAGAACTGGAGGATCATGGCTGCTGCTGCCATTTCGACTGCGACAGTGATGGCCCAGTTCAAGAAGTAATTAACACCAAGGGCTATGTTGACAAACACGTACGCACACAAAAAGTGAACAATGGTTATTAGCTGTTGAACAATATGTGCGACTATGGTTATTGTATACGCTGGGGAAAAGTCGCTAAAACTTACCAAAGCCAAGGGCAGGGTCAACGAAGCGAGCTGCGTACGTGTTGAAGGATCCAGCGGTTGGAATCAGAGTAGCCATTTCTCCAAGTGAGGTCATCATGAAAAAGACCATGGATCCAATCATAACATATGCAATGAGTGCACCCAGGGGCCCGGCCTGTGCAATCGACGCCCCAGACGCGAGAAAAAGGCCTGTGCCGATCGTGCCTGCGATGGAAATCATGGACAAGTGACGGGACTTGAGGCCGCGTCGGAGTTCGCCCTGTACTCCATTGGTAGTCGGGTTAGCAGCATCCGTATCTGCGTTATGGGAGGGTAGCGTGGCTATGCCGTCAATCTTTTGAGGACCACGACTGGATTGTGAGGATGTCCGCCTGACGTTCATTTAAATATTAAAGTGTCAAAAATGCGGTGGAGGATGTTGCAGGGGGATATGTAAAAAAAAAGGTGGTTCCCTTGATGGGAGAAGACGAAAGGAGGTTAGAATTACTAAAAAGAAAACGCTTAGAGGAGGAGGGTCCCTTTTATAAGTGAGGATGGCAATGGGCGTCCACACTAACGGCAAAAACGAAATGGGGCTCCAAGGGATCCCTAGAGAGAAGCATGTGCGAATAAGGTTGCGACTGGATCCAAAGAGCGGGCTGCGAAGAGATTATCGAATCCAGTCGGCGAATTTTAACTTTTCAGGTCAATGCTGCCTTGAAAAGGCAGGTTCCCACTTTTGTTTACCGTCCCCTTTGGCGTTTGTTGACGCTGCAAAGGCCCCTAACCTTGTCAAGAGCCATCACACGCCAAAGGAGGGTTACGCTCACGTTCGCGGATGGTGGCGATCTCATTCATTTGCAACCATCCTTCTTCACTTCATCAAGAAGTATGTCCTGCCGTCGATGTCGCTGTGCCCTGATAGACTGCTTAGGACGGTCTCTGTCGGAGATGTGCTCCTGTGGAGAAGCAGTTTTTCTCTGGGTGGACCTGCTATGAATGTAATCTAACCTATGGACATGCGCCCAGGGACAGCGGTTGAGTCTTTTTTTTTTTTACTAGTCGGTCGCATGGGTGCCAACACTATGTTCGACACTCATCTCTGTGTTCTCATGAAATGATCCTGCATTTATTGCAGTTTTCTTTTCACGCTACGTTGTATCTCTCACCAGCATCGTACCTGAGGAGGACTGTCCCCATCGAAGTGAGGATCCCCCATAAACCCACTCATCCTGAGGGATAGACACTAAGTTTTATCCGTCTTACCGAGAGCCGATTGGTACAACTGTGCCTCAATGATCACGCGCTTTTGGCGCAGGCAACCATACAATAATCAATGTCCATGGAGTTAACCCCACTTAAGCGCATAGTTTTTTTTTGCCCTGGAGCTCTTCTTGCCCTCATTTGCGGTGTAAAACTTACTGAACCCGGGTTCACCCTGGGGATCGCCCACATAAATGGCTGCGCATATCCAGCGAATCGTAGGCCATTTCGCCCTGAATTTTCTTACTCATATCCTTAGATTTGTGCAGAACGGATCATCTTTTTTTTTTTTTTTTACGCCAAAGGTATGTGTCGCCCGCTTTCAAAACGCAGATAGGGAATACGTTTGAATGCATACATGCTCTTTATTCTCACGTATTTAAGCTTAACTTTTTTCATGCAATCCTCCATCCGCACCTTCTTCAGTCAAGTGACTTTTTTTGGGCCTCAATGGATACTCCGGTCAAGTATGGAAGACGGCTAATATTGGTCAACCATTGTGCACCTCTGCTACGATCCCTAGGCTCGCCACCAGTCTGAGGAGGATATCATGCGAGTCTATGGCAATCACTTAAAATTTCATCTTTCTCAGGCTGGTGGAAAATCTCGCTTATTAGCTGGCGATTCTTAAAATTATTTTTTGTTTTTTTTCTAAGTCGAATTTTGACTGAGAAATGGTTTTTTTTACATGTAAAAAAAACGGCAAAAACGGATCGCCCGAGCATGTCACCTCGAATTCCCACCCATCTAACATCATATACCCTTTCTTGTACCTTATATCCATCCCATATACCCATTGATACTCATGTCTCTCACACTCCTACACTCCTACATCCCTACACAACTAACAAGCAAACTAATAAAAATCATCTCATTCTGCAATCCATGAAGCGCGACGACTATCTGAACGACATCTTAGGTAATTTACAGTTTTTGTCGTTTTTTTTTGATATCCTCCTCAGGCTGGTGACGAGCCTATACGATTCCTACTCATAAAATAGCATCAACCCTCATCAGATTAAACTCAACTCGAATGGTATTGTGCCTTTCACATAAAAGCATTATTAATTCTTTTTTCATTTAACATGGACATGATACACGATTCCTCATCTGGTCCCTCCATATGCAGCAAAACAGATTTCTCGCCCAGCCATTCAAACGTTGCGCTTTTGGAATCTACAACCATTAAGCTTTGTCGCCCAACCCCAGGTTGACGGAATGACCTTGGGTATTGTAGATAGCTATGGGGGATGGGAAGATTGCTTTGTTTCCTCGGATATTATTACTTGATAACAAGATCCAGCTGGAATACTATTTTTCTCGCGTAAACTACAATACTCAATGAAAAATCTTGCCCACGTCTCCAAGAAAAAAAAAAAAAAAAAACTAGAGCGTTATGTAAGTAGCCAACCATCTCTCAGTGCACACGAAAATATCTTTTCCTTGAATAAAGGACCTAGCAGATTCTACTTACTTGAACTGAGGGCCCGCTAAAAAACGCTTTTTTATATAATAATATGTCCTTTTTTTAACAAAAACCCTCAAAGACATGGGATTTATTAACTGTGGTCTGAAGGGAACTTGCAAGTGAATGATCTACTACAGTCGTCCTTTTCACCAATGTAGAGCCGATCCATAGTCGCCAAAGACAGGTCACATCCCCCGGGCCTGCTCCTAGGGCGTGTGCTTGCACTCTATAATTCGCAACACTTCAAGGATTGCCTTCGATTGACGCCAACGCAATTTACTCGGTTAAAGGAAATGATCGAAGGCAGTAGGCATTTCCAGAGCAAAAACGAAAACACACCCCAAATAAGTGTCAAAGTTCAACTCAAGGTCGCGCTAATTCGGCTCGCAACGTCCGGAGTGTCTATTCCCCAGATCGCTCTCTTTTTAGGCGTTAGCCGAGGATCGGTTCACAATTACTCTTGGCGGTGTATCCGTGCGATCGAGGAACTGACGCCTCAATGCACAGTCTGGCCGGATGGCGACGCGAAGGCTGACATCAGACGGTGGTTTAGAAAGGAAAAGGGATTCACGAACGCGATCGGAGCTGTCGATGGAGTGCCATTCCCCTTTCAGGCGGCTCCCACATACGACATCAACTCTTGGAACACTCGAAAATGTGAGTATGCAGTGGGTGCTACAGGAGTCGTCGACCACTCCAACATCTTTACTTCTCGACCGGTTACGTTGGATCGATGCATGGCTTACAGGCGTACAAGAACACTGAGCTTTACTTAAGTAAGGAAATCTACTTTCAGGTATGGACTACCTCCTCGCCGATGCTGCCTACGCATTGAGTCCCACTGTGATACCCCGATACAAGAATGCCACTGGTGATCAATTACTATTCAATACCCGTCATGGCCGCACTCGCGTAGTAATAAAAGACGCTTTTGGCATATTCAAAGCTAGGTTTCCATCTCTGAGAAGCTTACCGGTCAAGATCTGCAAGAGATCGCATGTGCGAAGGGCAGTCAGGTGGGTTCTTGCGCGCATTATTCTACACAACTTCTTGCGACTAGATGGAGAAGATGTGTTCAATAGCTTCGATAACGATGGTCGTTATGGTCATGGCGCTGAGCAGGTAGTCAACCCTATGCAGGAGGAGGAGGAGAGAGGAGGAGGAGAACGGCGACGCGGCGACAGCTAGACGCGAGAGACAGCTAGGAGCAGAAAAAAGTGATGAATTGAAAGCGCGGGTTTTGCAATTTTATGCGTAGAAACAGTAATGTTGATTAAAGGTCTATCTGCCAGCAGGAACTCAGTGTGCATTGTGTTCCTGGGCTCCTTCACGCGGTTTCAAGAGGGCCAGTTCGATTTGCATCCTGATATTCTCTTTTATCAATAGATCATTTCTTTGGTTTCCTGCTTCTCAGCCTTGATTGCCTCCCTGTCGTGATCGAGAGCCTCCCTGTCCTTTACCCTCTGGCGATCGAGAGATTCCAACTGGCTCTTCAAAAAGGCCCTGTCTTCGGCAACAGCTTCCTCCATCTTTCTTAAAGCCTCCTCTCGCATTGCCAGTGCTCCTTCCTGGCGTCGGAAACGGCCGTCGAGGCCATTATCCGTCAGTCAGTTGCTCGTCTGCTGACGTTGCTTCAAGGCGTCCATATGAGTGTAGAATCTAGCCTTGAGAGCATCACACTGAGATCGTCGGGTTTGCCACGCTTCGATGGAGCTCCATGTTTAGGTAATGAAGTAGCTTGAGCCCCTGGAAAGCGAGATTGTATGGTAAGGGCCAGCTAATGGCATGGCCAGAACGTGAAGACAATCGTACGCGTCTTATCTTCGCCAGTTGAACTTGCGAGCTCTTCAGCGCTGTCGGAGTCCTCTTCAGTTTCTTCATCTAAGGTCAGACCTCGCTTGGAACCCGCCTGCACAGGAGATGGCCCGTTGTTGACAAGGCTCCCTGACAAAACAGCTACCAACCTCTCGCACACAGGGCAGATGTCTTTCATCCGGCTGTCAAGGGTCACCATGCCTATGGTTCCTTCGCCAGCCGTCTTTCTCTTCAGAGTCTTTGCCTCCATGAATCGTTTCTTCACATACTGGAGTTTGGACTTGACAGTAACGTCTGTCCAGATGATTCCTTCTGCTTTGTTGACAAAGATTGTTGTTTCCTTGCGTACGTCAATTGGTTTATTGCCGACAGTAGGGCGCACTGTGTTTAGCCTCTTGTAGTTGTCAAAATCTGTGCACCAGTCGACCAAGGCCTTCATTCCAGGGTTCCTCCAAAAGTGAGTTTTAGAATCGCTTGCAGCATCTGAAGAACTCGCCATGGGTTGTTGCTTTTGCTGCTGCTGTTGCTGTGGAGGCTGAGACTGTGGTCGGCGCTGCTCTTCTTGCTGTAGGGGCTGAGACTGTATAGCCTATAGATGACGTGGGAGTTGTGGTAACAAGACTGGAGAAGGCACGGCATTTTCTACGGATGAAGTCCTTAAGGCTGGAACTGCTGATTGAGTACGGAAAGGAGAAGGGACTACCACAGGTCTAAGTTGCGGATGTGGATTCGAGGGCAGAGGATTGTGACCAGACTGAAGATAGAAAGGAGGATGTTGCTGGAAAGGGACTACATGAGATGCCCAGTAGGATGACTGGTGGCGTTGATCCCAGAGTGTTGAATTAAGCGTGTCGCTGGAGGCCATTCTTTTTGGTGTGGTGTGGGAGAACTCAGAGCCACTTCGCTGTATCTTCTCAAAAAAAGAGAAGTGACAGAGCGAATTCATGTGCCAAAAGCAATGTAGTATTGGTCGAACCTTAAGTTTGAAAACATTTGAAGTGAGTGTCTTGCTAATAAAATTAGCCAATAGGATGCCACAAAAAATCAATTCGAATTGGGTCAATTCGCTGTTGAATAGGCCTCTGTTGAAAAGGCTTCTAGCGTTAGGCAGCCGCCTTGATCCAGTTTAACGTGGAGGAGCTAAAAAGCCCATGATCGACCAATAGGTGCACCATGCTGCCATAAAGACCTATACACATATCTTCGACCGCTTTGGGGTGGGTAAAAGGGGAGCGGAAGGTGTAGCTCTTGAGGATGTGACAGCACATGGAAAGGTCTGTGGCCGGCTATATCAATATTTTTTCCACTCTCCTTTGTCCTGGAGACGGCTGCAAACCGGCGATAGCGATTTCTGTCGTCAGCGGCATCATCCCCTTTCTCTGTTTCTTCTGAAGGTCGTAAGCTGCTACGCCATCTTAAATAAGGTTTGGGTTCAGATTTCTGAGGGACATTTCGAAATTGTGGACTGCGCCCATTTTTTACCGCGACTGTATGGTTACACTAATAAGGAAGAAATGAAGTGCTGCAGAGTATGCGCATAAACATGGACAATCCTGGGAGAGGGACGCGTGCGTCGTTACTGACAGCCCTTTTGGCCACTCCCAGTGCTGCTGTCCACAGCTGCGACGTGTGCCCACTTGGTGGTGTTGTCTGTAGCAGGCTGATTTTCTTAAGGAGTGGATGCAGCACAGCCGTATGTGAGCACTTGATGAAATAAGAAAAATGCTGGAAAGGATGCAGCCAGCACTGGTTATGTTGGAATAGACAATTTGGTCCGAGTTTAACATACTCACGGCGTATTGTCTTTAGGGATTATTGTATGCCCGCGTACTGCTGCAAGAAGATAGTATTGTTGTATGTGACCTGTATGGTCATCGTCGCTGCAGCCGCTTATTCCTTGTCTCATTCGTTCTCTTTCCTTGCTGCTTGTTCCTGTGTCTTTGTCTCTCTCTATATCCTTGCACACTCCCAGGTACATCATTACATCATTGGCTGCTTCGATAGACGTCCTGACTGAGACACTCTTGTGATGGCACTACCTTTGCCATGTCTTTTCTGTCTATTACTTTCTTTCTATTCCATGCTTGTATGCTCATCAAAGGAGACCTCTTATCCTCTCATCCTCTCATCCTCTCATTCTCCCATCCTCGCTCCCTCACTCCCTCTCTTTGCTCCTTTGCTGCCAAGAGCAGGCCATCTTACCATCAAAGTATATCTCATGTCCCGATAGGTCACCGGTCAGATTTATTTTGCCACCATTATTTCCTTGATTGTCTCTGTCCACTGTCTCCGTGCTATCTATCACCCACTATCTCTTTTTCTTTCATGTGAAAGGCCCGAAAGATAGGAGGCTGCTCGGAGACACTCTCTTCGCTTCAGATAGCAGTGATGACGTGTACCGTCTGGCGAGGAGGGAGTGTCTATCGAGGATGGAATATGAAGCCCTCTCTCTTCTCTCCTCTCTCTTCTCTCTTTCCTTCCTCATCTTCTCCCCGGTCTTCTTCCTGGTCTTCAAGGTAAGCTCTTCTTCCTTCTCCTCTTCCACCTTTACCCCTGCTCCAGCTACTCCCACTTTCGCTCTCAGTCCCTCACTTCTGCTGTCTCTTGCCCTTCTTTCTCACTGCTCTCTCCCACTGCTCTCTCCCACTCTTGTCCACCTCAGTCTCGTTCACCTACGCTTCTTGTACCTCTCTCACACACTCACTCACCCAGCACTCCCTTGTCTCTATTGTTTCTAGCTCTCTCTCTCTCCCCTTCTCCTCCTTTGTTTACTTTTGCTTTTGCGTTTGCTTTTGCTTTTGCTTGGACTTTTGCATCTATCACTGCTCTGACTCTGGCATTTGCCTAAGCTTCCGCTTCTGCTTTTGCTTGTGCTCTGGCTTTTGCTTTCGTTTTTGCTTTTGTTTGGACTTTTGCTTTTGCTTCTGCTCCGGCGCTGCTTTTGCTTTGGCTTCGACATCTGCTTTTGCTTCTCCATCTGCCTTTGCTATTGCTTTTGCTTTTGCTTGGACTTGCGCATCTATCACTGCTCTGACTCTGGCATTTGCTTAAGCTTCGGCTTCTGCTCTTGCTTCTGCTCTTGCTTTATTACACCTCTCTAAAAAGAAAAAAAGAAAAAAAAGAAAAAAAGAAAAAAAGAACAAGAACAAGAAAAATACAATTCCCCGTCCCCAAAAAAATAAGAAGGTCAAAAGCCGAACTTTTTTTCCCTTGTGGTTTTTTCTGGGGTACCATGGCTTGCAACCTGCCCGCGGTGTACCCTGCACAGTCTTTACTTTCCCAAGTAAGATTGACTGATGGCAAGCCAATCCACTTTCCTTTGTATGTATCGCTTCGAACCCCACACCTTAGTCACCTTAGAATCAGCAACCGTCAATGTGAAAATGAAATAAAGAGTGAGGATTGAACCAAACGATGAAATGTGCAATAGCAAGAAAAGCCTTTGTCGGCAGTATAATGAATGGGTTTGCACTTGGTGCTCGCACTGCATTGAAGGGACATAGTGATCGACGCGTATATCTGGCCTGGGCGGTGCACAGCCTCGATGGCATCACATAGACCTTGGCCTCCAGAGCACCTGTGCAACGTTCACATCTACCCGCAATGAAGGAGCTCCTTGCAAGACCACAAATGGACGGTTTTTTCTGGGAAACCATTCCTTTTTTTTTTTTTTTATTATGGAACCTTCGCCGCGACTCATTGACTATGAGGAGTGCGTCGGATAGCCGGTTTCGTTGTTGCTGTTGTTGTGGTAAAATCAGTCCATTGGCTGAGCCAGACACGCTTTTTCACGTATTTTTGTGTATCCGATCTTCACCGCGAACCACCCCCGAAGGCTTTTTGTCATCGGTAGGGTGTGCCCTCGCTATTTTTCTTCAAACATTATTAAGCTGGTTTTCATGTGTCAAACCGTCTCGATATATTTGGTGAAACGGGTCTCTCCACGAAAGAATGATGGCAGCAAAGCCTTTGCTCTGCGAACACATATCTAGACACAGCGACCGATTGGCAGGTCACAAATGTGGACGAACAATAATGGAGGGGCGCCCAGTTCTAGTGCTAGAATTTGGAGATCCTTGTTATCTCCCTCTCTCTTCGCGCTCTTTGTAAGAAGGTCAGCATCGAACAAGCAGGGCGTCTTGCGGGTAGGAGTGCTGGTATCGCCGTGACTGGCGAGATTTTGGGACGGCCAAGCTCTCGCCGCTTTCAGAGCACGATCTTGATGGCATCAAGTGACACCATCGTGGACGAGGTAGGCACAATTCTGGCGTTAGGCAGCCGCCTTGATCCAGTTTAATGTGGAGGAGCTAAAAAGTCCATGATCGACCAATAGATGCGCCATGCTGCCATAAAGACCTATACACATATCTTCGACCGCTTTGGGGTGGGTAAAAGGGGAGCGGAAGGTGTAGCTCTTGAGGATGTGACAGCACATGGAAAGGTCTGTGGCCGGCTATATCAATATTTTTTCCACTCTCCTTTGTCCTGGAGACGGCTGCAAACCGGCGATAGCGATTTCTGTCGTCAGCGGCATCATCCCCTTTCTCTGTTTCTTCTGAAGGTCGTAAGCTGCTACGCCATCTTGAACAAGGTTTGGGTTCAGATTTCTGACAGTTAATCCGAATTTTCGTATTGTGCCGCCTGCCAATACGAAAAATATAACAGACTTTAAAATTTATGAGTGCTATCCTGTCCCTGTCTTCATTCCCATCCCCATTCTCTTCCGAAGCTATTGCAAAGTCCTCAGCAGCGACCAAGACCATGGCGACATCGACCAAAGGCAGGGTGAAGTCTCCGATAACAGCAGGAGCATTAGCAACCTCAACCATAACCACAACTATGACAACAACTGTCTTAAAACTAACCAGACCTCCTGCAAAGAAACGCCCAGCGGCAAGGCCAAGACGACCAGTCCATCGACAACTTCAGCAACTGAATCATCTACCAAGAAGAAATGGCGCAGATTTATTTCGTTGGCCTTGAAGGCAAACTTCATCAAGGATTTACGCGCTGAACAACAACAGATTCCGAATTTTCCAGCATCATTGGTTTGCAGGAGGCCAAAATACAACTTCAAACATGACGACGCCTCTCGCATACTAAGAATGCCGACGACATCCTTGCCAAGGCTCAACAAATAGGTCTTCAAAACGCATCAAAGATCTCCAGGATTTACCCAAGGAGGATGGAGGTCATCAGAACGGTAATCCATATGGGTTTCCGGAAGGAGATTGACTTGAGTAGGCAAATGTGCACATCGGCTATCGCTTCTGTTATTTAGGTCGTTAAAACGCATTTCACTAAGCCTTTATACAGATATCCTTGCGGACGATAGTCGACTAATCGAGCTGGCCGTACATTTTTTTTTTTTTATTAACATAAATCCCCATGAGCACAAGACGCATGGTCCGCAAAGGCCTTGAAGCCATAGATGCCTTCCATGCACGGCAGAGCCGCATCCCCTACCAACTATGTTGGCTTGAGGCGTCAAATTCATAACCCATGTCGCATAGCTAGCCTAACCTAACTCCTGCGTGACCTGTTGCGCGATACACGTCTCCTAATCCAGATCCAATGTTAATAAAGTTGTTTTTAAACCGAATAAACCCTCCATTATGTCCAACTTCCCTCGCCCCAAGCAATGCTGTAGCACCCTATAATCCGCGGTCCGTCTACCTTCCTGGATCTCCGCTGCAAGTAACCGTCTCCCTTTCAAATCAGAGAAATCACCAACACTACGTTGGTGTCCCCGATCACCGTTGCGTCCTCCGGCGCGTTTGCTCATGAAGGTGATTCCAACTGACTTTTCCCAGGCGACAGTGTCCTCGCATCTTTTGTTCCATATCTTGGTCCTGCCAAACTCTTCGATCCTGCTCACGAACTTTGTCACCATGATCGTCGCAATCCACTTGGTGGTGGTAAATAGCTGCTTCCAGGTCTCAATGAGTCCCGTTGGCACCAAACCTCGGTATAAGTCCTTGACCTCCCAATCTGCCTCACTCTCCGGCTCCTCTCCTTCCGCAACCCGATATGTCCCTCGTCTTTCCGCCGTCCCCTGAATCCACTGCATTGACTCCCAGATAGCCTTCGTTCCTGTTGCCGAGAAGTTGGGACAAGTCGCAGTGAAGGGCTTGTCCTTCCGTTCGGCCTCCTCTCTCTCCTGTTCCCATTTTCGCACTGCCTGTCTCCATGCACGATATCCATTCAACTCCACTTCCTCCACCGCGTCCCTCCACTCTTGTCGCTGGTCGCACAAGGTAGCTGAACAACGCCAAAGATGATCGTTCGTCTCTGGTTCCCTCTCACACCTACGACATATGTCCGTTTGGTAGGTATCTGGATGTCGTTTCTTCATCGCCTGCAATGTCGGCAAATCTCCATGCAGCTTCTTGATCCTGTGCGAACGTAAACGACAGTCTTCCAGGCTGGTGTATAAGCGCTTTGGCGGGTTGTTATCGTGTAAGATCCGTAGCGTGGGCGCCCATGCTACCGACCGCCAATCCTTGATGTAGGTCCTCGTTCGATGCTGCAATGTCCACTGATAATGGTGCCGTACCGCGGACTGCAACTTCAGTATCCTCCTCAAGTCCAGGTCTGCACTGTGTGTTGCAAACTGTGCGTGGCATTTCAAATCATGGTGCTGCGTTGCGTCTAGCCTCCATAGTCCTGTATCGATCCCATGTGCTGCCTTGGCAACAGTGTCTGCAGCCTCGTTGCCACGGTGTCCAGCATGTCCTCGTACCCAATGCACAGATATACCTTGTCCTTGTTGCAAGAAGGCATAATGCACCATCGCCCACCACTGTGCATCTGCAGATCTCAAACGCTGCCTTGCTGTTGCTGAATCCCGCTGCTGCACCAACTCCTTGAAATTGTTGACGACTGTGAGATTGTCGATGTAGATGTCGACGTTCTCTTCCCTTGGGCTGATAAGAATTGTTGCCAAGAGCCCACACATCTCTGCAATTGTTGACGACGCGTATCCCCCGACCCGTCCACTGAACGCCGTTGTGTAGGGACCACCATCCACAGAAACGACAACTCCGAATGCTGTACTGACCTGCTCTGTGCCGTTGTGAATCACTGACCCATCCGAGCAGAAGTGAAGCCTTTGATGTGTTTGCAAACGTCTCCTAGCTGTCCGAATTTGCTGGATTGTTGGTACCTGGAGCGCCAATCCCAGTAAATCTCGCTCAATTTCATCTGATACTGCCGGCAATGGTTGGCGAACAGGTGTCGTCATATTGTCCACCGCCTTGTGCGCATCCTCATGCAAGTGGTCTATACACGCCTCTGCATCCACATTCATATATCTACGATATAAATGGCGTCGTCTTCGTCGTTCTTCTCTGTATCGAGCCCGTCTCTCGATGTCCCGCAGGCGTCGTTGCTCCTCCTGCTGTTGCTTCTCCTGCTGCCGCTCCTCTTCCAGCTGCCGCTGTCGGTCACTCTCTTGCTGTTCTGCCCGCCGGGGTTGGGACAAGTCGGCCTGCGCAACAATTGCCACACCTCATCAGTGTGTTAAAAGCTGAAAACACCTTGTTACAAGAAGGGTATCTTCCCCATCCCCTCCATGGTTGTCAACCGCCTCCTCCCTTGCAGGCAATCCAGCAACGTCCGATCCGCTGCGTCTGGGTCAAGCACGGGGCCAGGGTATTTTTTTTTTTTTTTTATTAACATAAATCCCCATGAGCACAAGACGCATGGTCCGCAAAGGCCTTGAAGCCATAGATGCCTTCCATGCACGGCAGAGCCGCATCCCCTACCAACTATGTTGGCTTGAGGCGTCAAATTCATAACCCATGTCGCATAGCTAGCCTAACCTAACTCCTGCGTGACCTGTTGCGCGATACACGTCTCCTAATCCAGATCCAATGTTAATAAAGTTGTTTTTAAACCGAATAAACCCTCCATTATGTCCAACTTCTCTCGCCTCAAACAACGCTGTAGCACCCTATAATCCGCGGTCCGTCTACCTTCCTGGATCTCCGTTGCAAGTAACCGTCTCCCTTTCAAATCAGAGAAATCACCAACACTACGTTGGTGTCCCCGATCACCGTTGCGTCCTCCGGCGCGTTTGCTCATGAAGGTGATTCCAACTGACTTTTCCCAGGCGACAGTGTCCTCGCATCGTTTGTTCCATATCTTGGTCCTGCCAAATTCTTCGATCCTGCTCACGAACTTTGTCACCATGATCGTCGCAATCCACTTGGTGGTGGTAAATAGCTGCTTCCAGGTCTCAATGAGTCCCGTTGGCACCAAACCTCGGTATAAGTCCTTGACCTCCCAATCTGCCTCACTCTCCGGCTCCTCTTCTTCCGCAACCCGATATGTCCCTCGCCTTTCCGCCGTCCCCTGAATCCACTGCATTGACTCCCAGATAGCCTTCGTTCCTGTTGCCGAGAAGTTGGGACAAAGCACGGGGCCAGGGGTTTTTTTTTTTTTTTTTGATAACTAGAACCCACGAGGATATGTGGGATTTATTAGTGAGGGACTCTAGACTAGGGAACCCTATTGCTAGAGGCATAGTAAAGGGTGCTCAATATTCTAATAAACGGCTTTTGCCGCACCGCTGCTGGTCACTCGCAGCTCCAATCCCCTTCACAATCCCAGTCAGCATGAGTGGTAACTCGACCCCGCCTGGAGTCGGTGACTGAGCCCTGCTCCCTACTTGGCCTGTTGTGCGCGAAGGTCATCCTTTAGCCGCGTTCCTCAATCATCAAAAATTTACAGTTGCCGGTGCGTTCCATCACGTTTAGCTCCACCTGCTGCATGCAGCTTTGCAGCACTCGCTTGTCCGCTCGTTCCTCGATCTCTTTCACATCCAATGCACGTCGTTGTCTCCTGGAGGATCCAACAAAACCACTACCACTACGTCTGTGCTCTCCAACACAGTTGCGTCCCCGGGCGCGTTTGCTCATGGTAGTGATCCCATTTTCTCTTTCCCAGTCGACGGTGACTTTGCATCTTTTGTTCCAGATTTCTGTCCGTCCGAATTCCTCGATGGCCCTGACGAATCGACCGACCATGTACCTCGCGATCGAGGTGGTCGTCTTGAATAGGCTCTCCCAGTCCTTGGCGAGAGCCGTTGGTGTCAGTCCGTGGTACAAATCTTGAGCCGTCCAGGTCCCTTGATCGTTGTCCCTTGTCTCGTCCTCCACACGGCCGAGTGTGTTGCTTGCTTGCCGGATCGCCGAAGCTCCCTTGATCTTGTTCTTGAGTGCTGTCCAAATGGCCTTGTCTGTCACCTGTGTGAAGCTTGGTCCCTGTCCTCTCGCGGCTTGTCCTCGCTCCTTGGCTTGCTTTTGCTTCGTCTCCCACAGCTTGCGCTCTTTATTCCATGCTCTACGTCCATCTGTGTTGACCTTCTCGATTGCTTCCTGCCAACCGTCCTGCTGCTGCTGCATCGTCATTTCGCAGCGCCATAGATGCTGCGTGTCCTCTTTGTCCACCTCACAAAGTCTGCAGGTGTCTGTGCTATACAAATCCGGCCGCCACTGCTTCATGTACGCCAGCGTCGGCAACATTCCGTGCAGCTTCTTGATCCTGTGCGCACGACGCTGACAATCGTTAGGGCTAGTGAATAATCCCTTCGGTGTGTTGCCGTTGTGAATGATGTGCAGTGTTGCTTTCCAGTCCACCAGGTTCCAATCCTTGATGTTTTCCTTAGTCCTGTTCTGCTCTGTCCATAACGCGTTCATCCTTACCGTTGATTGGCGTTTAAGTACCTGCCTCAGATCACCCTCAACGACCGCGCCTTTGAACATGGCGTGGCACTGGATGTCATTGTGTTCCTTTTCATTGATGGCCCAAAGGTCACTGAAGTGCGCCTCTTTTGCTGCCTTGTCCGCTGCCTCGTTGCCCTTATGGCCTGCGTGCCCTTTGATCCACTCCACCTTGATCTTCCCTCCTTGATGTACATATGCGTTGTGCACTGCCGACCACCAGATCGCGTAAGTCGACCGCAGCCTTTGGCGTTCCGTGCTTCCTTGTCTCCCACTCACCAAGGCTTTAAATTGCGTTACCACAGCCGAGTTGTCAATGTAGATGGTTGTTGGCGTGTTCCTTGACAAAGCACGGGGCCAGGGTAAGGCCCCTATATGCGAAAAACACGAGAAACCTCCAATTTCAAGAGTTTCTTGATTCAAATTATAGAAATATAAAAGTTATAATGATATCCGAATAAATGTGAGCATGGAGGATTGGCGCAATTGGCAGCGCGTCCGTCTCCAAAGCGGAAGGTCGGGAGTTCAAGTCTCTCATTCTCCACATACTCTCTTTTACCTTTTTGATCCCCAAGCTGGTCGTAAGAAAATCTCTGACAAAACATCCCTAGATTTACATGGATTTCCTACGTGTGGAACATCTAGTAGATGCGGCCCATGTTATCCAACTATTTTTTTTAGCTTCAGGCGAACGTTATTTACCTTCTCGTCAATATGAATAGCTCGCGCCTACGGCTTAAGACTAGTAACCTGGGCTATGTGTCGCTTTTAAATGTGCTTAATGTACTCCTGAATATTTTTATTGCTTCTAGTTATGCTAAACCAAGGCTGAGGCCGCTCAATCCTTTCCGTTGCTGCTGCAATAGCGTGTGCTGTATCTGTTGCTGCTGGTACTGGTGCAACAACTGTTCCTTGCTAGCGGCCCCATTTGTCGGTGACCCTGTCTCCGTTCCAGCTTCAACTCCAGCTACAGTTCCAGCAGCCTTGATCCCTCCCAGATTGAGGCCGTCGTTTTCTCCGACAGTAGGATAGATCGCGCTGCTCCCTCGTCGTAGCGGTGGATGTGTTCCCGCACCAGTAGAGCGCCCTGCAAACACGGCGCCTCCAGCGGACGCACTATTCGACCCCGTAACACCGTTGCCATGGCTATTGCCGTTCGCACCGCCACTTCCTCCTCCAGCTGACGGCATGGTCATATTGCCATATCGGCCCTTCATGATCCACATCATGTACGCATCATATCGAGCTCTAGTTCCAGTACTCGCGCCCCAATAAGGATTCAAACTCGTCTGCCCAACAGTGTATAGTGTCAGCTTGGGCAGTTCCACATGCGCGTTATACAGCACCATCTCTGACTCGCTTGGGGGCTTGATGATAGTTTGTACAGGCGCTAGTAGGATCGGGGGTTCAGGCAAGTAACGGCTGTAGTCAATCTCGTCTTCATTCTCGGCTTCATCCTGCCTCGTCCCGTCACCCCATTCTAGTTGTCGCCGACTAGCAGCCACAGCAGGCGACAGCGTGGAATCTGTTCGCGACAAAAGAGGCGAAACGACCAGCGGTAAGGTTGGCGATGCTCTGTTAGCAAGCTGCATGTGGCTGTTCGGGTTCATACTACCGTTGGACGTCATTATCTGCATTTTTCCGCCCTGGCTGGCCCCGGCGCGCGAAACTGCATAGTAGAACTCCTCTTCTTCGTTCAACTCCATATTGCCGATGGTCGTAGTTGATGTTAAAGAACTTCCGTTCTGTTGTTGATTACCTCCCACCAGTTTAGGTAGGCTATTTGACGAAGACTCTGTCGACGGTTTCCCAAGCTCTTTGTTCCCGTGCTGCTGTTGCTGCTGCTGCATGCTAGCGAATCCGCTAGGGACAATTCCAGAACTGGGTAGCGCGTTGGTGTCAATGGATAACTCGTCCTTTTGGCCGGTGGAAATGGCATTAATTCCATAAGAGGCAGCCCCTTTAGTCGGTACAGAGTCAAACCTGATCGACTTGAACTGCTGGGTATATCTCTTGTACTCCTTCGTCTCGTGCAAGGTAACATCTGGTTGTAGTGAGCGCTTGATCATCTCCTCCAGATGCGACCTCCCTTTACCTCCCACCTCTGTGGAGGCCGCTATGATAGTTGACGACCCATCCTTTGCCGCCTCTTGTGTACCAACTAGTTTGTCCTCCAAAGTTCCAGGACTCTTCTTTTCAGGCCCTGGCGTATACGTGGAATCGTGGATGGCAAACTGCGGCAAGTTGGTCCAAACGTTTTTTGTCAGCTCCCATTCCTCATCCTTGGACCGGGGTACGTGGGCAGGTAGACGAACTTTTCCATCTGGTTGCTGTTGCGCCCTAAGGGCAGCCGTAGTAAAGGAGCTATCACTGCCCGATGCAGTGGCAGCCTTCTCGTCGAATTCTGCATTCCCCGATGCCGGATATGAAGCGATCGATAAACGACTACCGCGAGCATGATGTGCGATACCGTCCTTGAGTTTATTGCTGCTCTTCTTTTGAACTGCTGGATCGTCATCAAGGCTCGATAGAAATCCCTTTTTGCGTCCTGTGCTCAGAGGCAGCGTCTTAGAGCCGTTGGCGTATCCCGACGACGTCTTGGAGTTATGCTGCTTCTTGTTGTTGGTATTAGTATTGCCGTTGTTTTTGTTGCTGTTGTTGCCGGTCAACCCCAGCCAGTTCAGCATAGACGTCTTTTCAGATTTCGCAGCTGCCTTGGCGCTGTTAATTACGGAGTGAAGCAAGAAATGTTTATAATACGGTTAACAACAGCTTGTCTCGCGATTTAAAAGAAATAAATGCAAAACAATATGCTGTGCTCACACGTACTTGAGTTCGGCTTGCGAAGGAATGCTATGGTTCTGCCTTACTTCGAATGGACTCTGCTCTGATGTTTTCTTGATACTAAGTGACGAATTAAGGTAAAGTAAGTTGTCAATGCCCGGACTCGATTGTGCGACATGGGCATTCGCGACATGGTGATACGCAGCCTACTTGGGTGGTATATATCGGTTGGTCGAGTTCATGTTGTACGCAAACAGTCGTTGGAAAGACGTCTGGACCTTTGGGCGATAGTATTCATCCCAATACTCCTCCCAGGCAGACGTTGGATCTTCGCCGGTGTCGTCACAAGCATCAAACTCGTCGTGAACAAAACGCTCTCCCCTTGATAAATGAGCCGACCTTGTTGACCAGCCGTTGCCATTGATGGAAGAGGCAGCAAGGGAAGACCTCGAGGCAGAGCTCCGCAACTGCTGACATCGGCGCAAAGATGAGATAGAAGACGCGGAAGATATAGGAGCAGTTCCTGATCTCGAGGGATCTTTGTGTAGATTTAAAGGCGCCACAATCCTCTCCTTGAAATCCAACAAACTTCCATCTAGTGAAGACTCACACCCAGACCTAGATTCGCTCATTTCGCCGTCTGCCTGGATGGAAGAAATGTTAGGATTGGAGCGGGAGGCGCGTATCCCAGAATCAGGCTGAGAGAATCCTTGGCTTCCGCTTTGCATACTCGATATTGAATGTACAGAGGAGATTTTTGAGAGCGCAAGACTCGAACGCCGTCTGTCCGCATCTGTGATTGCTGTACCCTGATTGGGATGTGATTGATACGATTGGGCAGATAGCATAGACTCCATGCTGTCTACTCGACCGTCCGTTCCGAACGCCTTTATCGTGTTCCCTGACAGATCATCCTCATCTTCTGACCGTAGATTTTCAATATGATCGTCCTGTCTGGTGCCGTCTCGACTGGACGGCTTCAAGTCTGCCATACTGCCTTCCCTTGCCAAGTCTTCGGTGTTGTCTTGGACCTGATCTTGCTCCCGCTCCGGATCCCCATCAAAATATTCGCCCTCGAATTCACTCCCAAATGGTCCATCGTATCCATCGTATCCAGCATCGTGAAGTCTGAACTGTGCCAGATCGCGTTCCTGTGCCTCCTGGAAACTTTTTCGCGCTAATGCATCCTGGGGTAGCAATGCATCGGGTGTCCACCACCTGATATAGCTCTTTCGAATCTTTTTCAGCTCCGGATCGGTAATGTTGTGCAGATGGTAATCTCCAGGGAGCTCCCAGAGCGCAGGACCGGTGCCCTTTCGCACACGATAGTTGCCCAGGAACAAGTTCATGGCGTCTTGTTTTTCAGCATCTACATTTTTAGATTCGAAAATTGTTTTAGCACCTTATAAACTGAACCGAGCATATGCAAGTTGCTAAAGTAGCCCTACTCACCAACAAAGCTGTTGCTGTAGAATCGTCTGATACTCTCAATCATGTCACGACTGTGGCTCGTCCACTGGTTGATCTTTCGGTATGTTTCCATGGTGTTGACCAGATGTGACCCTCCATACTGGAGTGCAATCGTATCACCGTGATCGTGGTACATCTCCGTCAACATGTTGACCACATCGCAGTCGAATGGCACCACTGGTTCCGCAATCAGTCCTAGTGAGTAGAGCTGATAATTGGACGTACGCGCACAAATACGCTTGTCAATCAGTTGCGGTCGTTTCCTCCTGTGACACTGGATCTTCGGAACATCAAAGTTAATTTTTACCTGATGTCCTAAAGCACACTTTGCAATGATGAATTGCGCGGCATTCGTTCGATCCAGACAGTCGATACAATTCGTTCGCACAACACCGTTCTGCAATCCTGATCCGTAAATTAAAGTCTTTTTGTTGCGAGCTCCTGCTTCCTGGTTGAAGCCACTGTGAAAGAACCCTGTTTGCGCGAATGTTTTGTCCGCAATGATCTCAAGAACCGAAATCACATTCTCGTTAGGACTAAGGATTACAACGCAATGTAAAGGGCGAACAAAGACGTTAGCAATTGATAAAGCATCCGCAAAGTGACACCAAAATACAAAGAACGCCTCTTTTTTACCTCTTGGACGCCCTCGACATATCCCATTTGATATGCCAAATCTTCTTGTCCTCTGGTAGGAACTGGTTCAAATACTCTATGCACTCTGAAAACTCTTTCAGCAGGAGCGACTCTCGTGGCGTCTTCTCCTTGGCCTTGATCAGGTTCAGCACGATGCAGGGCGCGCCATAGCGTCTGAACATGTCGTCGAAATGTAATGCTGCTGCTGAAAAGTAGGGATCAACTACATTGAGCTCAATAGCTGGCTTCGGTGACATATTGGTTCCATCCTGAGTCCAGTACAGAGGAATTGATCCGCGGTGTTGTACAAAGGAAGTGTGATTAGGGTTGGCATTCAAGGAACCTGCTCCGTAGAACGATGTGGTCGACATTTCAGACACAATTTGCTCGGTCTCGACGTCGTTCGCGACATATCCCTATAGACACAGGAAACATCGATTTAGTAACCAGCAATGAATGAAATATTCGATTTTCAGAGTGTCCCAGTTGAGATGACTAACCCTGTCGTTGACACCTCTCTTCAGAAATCGAGCACCGGCGAAGAAGCGAGATCTTCGCGCAATCAGCGTCACGTACACATTTCGGCCGAGGATTGACAGTTCTATGCAGTGTGATCATTGTCCAGACCGTACTGTTAGCGCAGTGGCATAGACGATACTTCGCGATAGTGTACCCATAGAAATCAGCAGGAGGCTTACTTGACTGGTCGACAAATCCATACATGATAGGTAGCGCCCACTGGTTCTCAATGCCCGTCTGTTCTCCAAATGCGCCCTCCAAGAGATATGAGTTCCACACAAACATCCTATTTCGCCCTTCGATCTGATGATTCCTCGTCATGTTCCATTGCAGCGTCCTGGTGATATCGTACGAGTACGAGAAATAGAAGTTCTTTGTCAAGTCAACCATCTGGAACATTTGCAGGTACCGCGCCTCATCCGAGTTCTTGTCCAGCTTTGACGTCGGTGTGGTGGACGAATGAATCGAAATAGTCGAGGTCGCGTCAATGTGAAAGATATAATGTCCGCCAATCAGTGCTACAGGGCTCCGTTTCGTGATGATGGTGAGATAGTAGCCCTCGGTAAACCGCACGAAGCCCACAATCCCATAGAACTTGGCGATCTCACGCATTCCTCCTGTGGACTTGTTGCCGTTGGCAATCATCTCCAGTAAATCGTCGACTTCGGATTTGGTATAGACGGCTTCATCCTCAGTGATACTTAGTTCGTCTGGTGCTGTGGTTCGGTCGATCTTGAGGACTCGAAAGCGGGTTCCTGCAGGTGCATTTGTACCAACGATGAAGAACCTCTAGCATATTGATGAACAGGGCAGAGCAATTTTAATGTAGAACATCCATGTGAAGTTACGATAGGAGTGACGGAAAGGAGCGCTGTCTCTTACGGTTTTGGTTTCGTAAAGGACGAATCGGTTGAGGATCACCTGGCCTGGCTTTGTGGGCGGTGGCGGGAATGTGAAGGCAGGGAATTCCGTCAGGTCGGGGTTGAATGCTGCTGGACCTTCCCCTGGGTCAAGCATGGCGTCAGACTGATGCCGTTATTGTTCTGTACCCGTTGTCAAGGGGAAAAAGTGGGTGAATGTCGCTTTCGCCGGCGACGGAAATGGCGAAGGAATGAGTAAAGGACGTGGACAGGAGTTCTGTATGTTCAACGAGAAAAGAGAGAGAGGAATATGAAGAAGGACCACATGGTCCACAGGAAGTACCCCTGAAGCAGCAGTCCTTTCATCTCTGTGGTTTGGTTTCATAGCTGCGTTTATTTGATGATCCTGCGCCCAACCCTCCGGTACGACCGATCGTGGTACAGCAGTGCCTCATGCTGGTCCGCAATCTCGCCATGCAGTACCTTCTCTACGTGGCCAATCCACATCTCGTGGTCGCCCACAACCATCACTTGGTGCGTCCTGCAACGTATCGCTCCAAGAGTATCAAGGAGCACCGGCAAATTCGACTCGGGATCTGTCCTATATCCCAATACCTCAAATGGGTCCGGTTCAGAAGAGCCTGATGATGGCGAGGCTGCTGATGCGCCGTTACTTTCGTTGCTGATACTGCCCTTTCCAATACCTGTAGATGACGTTTTTGCAGAAGTTCCCTTGCCGGTGCTTTCGATTAAAGTCTGCCTGCTCGCCTCGGAAACCAAATCCTGAATGTCCTTGTCCTGAGGTACCCTAGATCGAGCTGCTCTCAATTGTCCTTCTTCCTGAGATAACTCTGGATTTGAGGACGACGATGACGGTAACACTGCTGCTGATTCTGAAATTGACAATGCAGCACGGACTGAGGATGGTGGTGGGACTGAAGACGAAAAGGCGACAGAGTGTGCAATCTGATCAGCCCCCAGGAACTGAACCACAAACTGATCTGACTCGTGCAAGATGGTCGATGCTCGCGACGGAAGCTTCACACAAAACGAAATTAAAGGTATTGGCTGGAGGGAGATTGACGTGAAGGAGGAGACGGTGATACCACGACGAAGCGATGGATCGTGAGGCGAGGCCGTAGAGACAACAACGACTAAAATAAAAGGAGAAAAAGAAAATCACTACGCAGCACCTTATAAGCACTTCAAGACAGGTATTAATTCTGGGTCCTTTGTAGCCTTACCGGGAAATGGGACCTTCCTAAGCACTTTGCGTAGCCTTTCCGATGTTGCCAGGTCATTCTCGCTCGGTTCAGTGGCTATTGGACGTACAGGGATAGTCACCGATAAATCTTCTGTTCCGCATAGATACGATGTCAGGGTTGGTTAACAGGCCCACAGATCGCCCCATCGCAAAACGAACCTGCGGTAGCATTTCGGGTCGAGGATGTGTTGTCTAGTGGCGAGGTCGGTTTGGATTCGATGTTTGTGGTATATGGTCGATGGTATGTGTGTTGCCTTTTATGAACGGAACTGCCCGCGGCGACGACTGATCTCCATGCGCAAACAGGGACTTTGTCGGTTGCAGACAAAGCGGTCTTTTGTAACAATAAGTTATAACATAAGCGGCTCTGAACGACGCCTGCTCTTGACCATGGTCCGAGTAGCATTGGTGATTGTCCTGAAAAGTGTAGTTCGAGGAATGAGCAGATCTTCTGAACCCAATCAATAAAGTTCTTTCGGTTAAGGGCTTAGAACTCAGCTTTTTTTATTATTGAAAAATGAATACATATTTGTACAAGAGGGATATTAGGGATTCATGCTCGCTTCTCGCCGTCGTCGCTCGCGATACGAACGTGGTGCTTTTGCTTTGACTCCTGTTCATGTCCTTGTTCCTGCAGCTGTGCCTGTGTCTCCTCAGTCTCTAGGGCGACCGGGAACGAGTGCTCACTGTCAAAGCCATATGGGTGTGCATGGCTCGCACTCGTATCCTTCTCATGTTGAATGCCCAGAGATCCAGGCCCAATTGAGGATGCAATCCTGGACATAGCAATACCGCTAGATCTTTTGCCCGACTGAACCGCCATGAGGCAGCATGAGATCTCAGACGAGAGGTATGATTGGGCTGCGGCGCCCAAAATGTTCGATACTGTCAATGTCGAATAATGCAGGTCGCGCGATGAGGGCTGGGGGCGAAGCGTGTTGCGAACTCGGAGATGAGTGCTGTTATCTCCAAGCGGGTTATCAATCTGGTGCACTGGTGTTCCAACGGTAGAGGGCTGTTGGAAGCCGGTAGTGTAGGTCGCAGGTGCATCCTGGCCATAAATGGCACCGGCAGAGCTATATCGTCCAATTTTGCTGGTCGATCCGCGTCCGAGTACCAAAAGATCTCTTGAGCCAAGAACCGCTTTTGAAAGCCCAATGGCATCCTGAACGGTCGGAACCTGGTGCACGAAGATGCTTTCTCCGACCTCGACTCCAACGCCCGAAGGCCCGGTATTGGTCTTCTTGCTTGATCGTCTATCGCCGTTGCCGAATGCGCGATGGGCAAAGTACTCCTGAATCAAAATCTCGTTGTTCTCGGGCAGCTCTTTTGGTTCGTTGTCACAGTCGTGCTCAGAATTGATCGATAGCGCATCGATGTCCACATAAACTTCGGCGCTGGCAGCCTCCTTGGATCTGAGTGCCGTCTCAATTCGAACGATCAAAACGTTGCACAGTTTGTTGTGACTGAGGGCCGAGGCGAGTTTCAGGGCCTCTTCGTCATCACGGGATCCGTAGAGCGGGACCATAATATTCACAAAGCTTCCGGAGCCACCAAATTCTCTGTCGACAAATACCGCAGTTGCAATACCAGTGTTTGCAGTCGTGTTCAAGAGGCGGCTGACCACCTGCGTGTTGGAAGTGACAAGTGGTTTCGACAAGACGAGGCTCTGGGTGTCGTCCGACGCGTTAGAAGGTGGATCTGGGAGTGAGGTCGAGTTCCAGGGAAAGATGATGACTCCTGTACCACTCTCCACAGCCTCATCATATATGCTCTGCGCAAAGTCATCGGGGTCGGTGGACAGAGTCATGCGGGGCTGAATCAGAATGCCGTTTAGCTTGGCAAAGGCTTGGAAAACAACCATAAGGGTATCACGACGCAGGACCTCGGCACGTTCGGTAGCAGCCATCAACACTGAGGAGCTACGCTCAGTGAGGTGCAGAAGGCGAAGAGCCAGAAGTGTAGGTCCGGTGCTTGGGGCCTCAGAAGCAAAGTTAACGGAGGGTCCTGGATGTGCGTGAGCACTAGGGACCGAGAGACTCGAGCCGCTGGCGGTGGAGTCCTCGGGCTTGGGTACGGCATGATGTAGCATATCCAGGAATGTCATCATTGCAGGCATGTTTTGAATCTTGTCTAGGCACAACATGATCGCCTTCTGGGAGTTAACGGGTTCTGCTGAATCCGGATCCTCAATGTCTCCATTGCTGGCTTTCATCTTGGCTAGTGCACGCAAAGCGGCCGCACGCTGGTAGTGGGGAGGATATATCCAAGTAACCATGGGCGTGGTCATGCAGGTCGTAATCAAACACATCATCACCATGATCACAAAGACCTTGGCGTTGATGACCCCGGCATCGTATCCAATGTTCAGGACAATCAGCTCGATGAGACCCTTGCAGTTCATGAGGACACCGATCGCAAAGGACTCTCTCCATTCCATACCCTGGATCCTGGCAGCACTGGTGCATCCGACAATCTTGCCAAAACACGCCACGAAAGTGGTCAAGATGACCAACCCCCAGATCCTGCCGTTGTCTAAGAGTCCGATCTGAGTCTTGAGTCCGGAAAGGGCGAAATAAATCGGGAGGAAGATAACGCTGACTAAATCCTCGATCCTCTTGGTGACTCCATCAGCAAAACCAGTATCGTTGGGGATGATAAGACCGACAAGGAAGGACCCAAAGATGGAGTGCACACCAATGATATCGGTCACAAAGGCACTGGCCAATACTACGGCCATGGTGAAGGCCATCATAGTTTGGCTAGGCTCGTCTTGCGATTTTGTGACCCTGATCAAAAAGATGATCAGGGGGCGGACCAGGAAGACCAGAATCAGGATCCAGGCAATCGACAAGAGAACGACGTATAGCGGGGTGATTCTGCTAGCGCTGTTGATGATCGCGACTACCAAGGCCAAGAGGATCCAGGCAACGATGTCTCCGACTGCACCGGCGCAGATAGTGAGAAATCCAACTTTGGTTGTCAATAGCTTTTGCTCGGCAAGGATACGAGCCAAGACTGGGAATGCGGTGATGGACATGGCAACGCCACAGAAGAGCAGGAACTGGCCAAACCCGACCGTGCTGTTCGGGCCCAATTCCTCATAGAGAACATAACTGACGGCCGCACCGACTCCGAGAGGGAGAGCCATGCCTGCGAACGAAATGCCGAGGGCAAATCGAGCACGTTTGACCACCTGGGAAGGATCAAGTTCCAGGCCGACAAGGAAGAGGAAGAAGACTAGACCGATGTTCGAAACAAGGTTCAGGTACGGCAAACTTGTAGGGTTGAAGATGGTAGTGGCAAAACCCGGTATACGTCCCATGACCGAGGGCCCAAGGATGATACCCGCAATGACCTCTGAAATGACGCGGGGCTGCTTCAGCTTTTTGAGCCCAAAGTGAAGGAGATAGCATAGTCCAACGATAATGAGAGTCTATGATATCAAGTTCAATGCCATGGTATTAGATATGTTGTGCCTACTAGGTATCATGCAGCATGCTATTGTACCAGGAATGCCCGCATGTGCATGCATGTATGCGTGGGCAATGTTTCACTAAAACATCATGAGGAATATTACCTGGATAACAAAGAGGACAAACGGGTCTGAAGGGTTGATCGCTGTCGGGTTCAAACCAGTGACAACGCTTCCTGTTGAACCAGAAAACATCGTATTAGTTCTTCTGTATGAAATGACTGGATGTCAGTTGATCCAGGAGCCGTTTACTTGCCTGGTCCAGATCCCATGTTGCTTGATCTGTCAAATGTGTGTCGTACAACCTTCTTTCAGAAATGGGTCTTGTCAAGATGGAACCGGATCAAGCTGGAGATAATGGAATGCAGATAAGTGAGCAAAAATGTCCTTGGAACTCGAATTGCGAATGAGAAGTAAAAGGAATTGTAACAAGAACAAGAAAGAAAGATTTTACGCTGCCTGTAGACACTTATAGGCATATAGGCAACTGTAGGGCTTCTAAAGTAATAGCCTCAAATGAGTGTTTTCCCTCCCCTCTGTGTCGGATGATATTCTCAGTACACGATCGTTACCGGGGAATTCTCGAGCATGGGGGCGGGGGGGAAAAGGGAGGGAGATGAATAAGGCCAAAAAAAAATAAAATAAAAAAAGTTGGGAAAATATATTTCTATTGTTTCCAATGGCATCCCTTGTTTCCTCTGAAGCGAAGACGGGCCGCACTTGACGAACAGAACCTTCTGTCCTCGTCTACAACTGGTGCTTACATTCAGGGATGGATCAAATGAGCTTGTGTCTGATGAGATGACGGAGGCGATGTGAATTGAATAGTTGACGATGGGGAGATGGAGAAAGAAGGAGAGCAAGGAAGTGGTGGTAAAGAAAAGGTATTGTGGAGTTGGAGAGGGGATGACCTTGTTTTTAAGGTCGGTTGATACCTATCCGGGGCAGCCAGTGGGCCAAGCAAGACGAATCCCACAACTCAAACAATAGCTGTCCACGTGCTAAGGAAGCCGCTGCGATACGGACCTGTACCCATGGACCTGCAGCAGCGCGACTCTTTGTGGTTGTCTGCATGATCCTTCCTGTGCCTGTTGTCGCCGTGCCCCTATCTCTCCCTCTCCTTCTCCCGCCCTTTACATAGCCTGCAGTACTCTTTTTGAACATCGTTTTGTTTATTTGGACGTTCTAGCCCTTATCTCCTCATACTTCTTCAGAGAGAACAGTTGTGGTGTGGAGCAGGTCCTACTTGGCGTAATTCCTTTGCATCATGTTCAATCTACCTTCTATACCGCCATGCAGCTGTAGAGCTATAGACTACGCCAGTATGTCACAATGGTTACACAGTGCATGAGCTTATTCGGCCCAGTTTCTATTCTCCTTTGCTTCTATAATGCAATAGTCTACGTAGACTTTTTGTAGCGAACGACGGAGCAAGGGAGTTCTTTTGAGGAATTATAAGGCCTACTCCGGCACCGTCACAAGGAGGACCAAGCTTGCTCCAAATAACCCCCCTGCAGCACACTCGCACGTCTTGGGAAATGGTGTTGTATGTCCGGATGAATGACGCGATCTATGCATGCCATGCAGAAAACACAAAATCAATAAATGTGTACAGTACAAGTGTTAAAACTTTTTGTTTGACAAGTAGAACAGACCATGCGCCCCATTAGTCCTCAATTGGTCCTGCTAGACTACCAGGTTACATTGATGGGGAAGTGCCATCAAGCTTTCTAGAGCGACATTGAGCGGACATGATATGAGTGAATTCTGCTGCACCATGTAGACGGATATTAGCGGCGGCGCAATCGCAATAGGAACATACCATTAGTTCAGTACCATATACTCAAATGGCATGATCTCGATCGGTAGCGGGCCGCTGAACGCATTGTGGTTCAATATCTTTCTCACAACGACGACAGTGCAGACAGACAATATGAGAACATGAAAGAAAGGAGGGTAGTGAATTGCATACTGCAGCAAGGATGGTGGTGTAAGCGCAACAACACAGGCAGGTAGCTATCGCCTAAGCTGACAGTCTGAAACTGCTTGCAGAGACTGAGCGCCTTTGGGGTTCGCCCCTTTTGAATTCATTGGTATGCACTGAGCTGTTGCGATGTCATCAGAAATAAGCGACGCTACAACTTCAAGAGGCCTGTCAACTCAACGACCTTGAGATCAATCTTGCTGTTGAAACAATTCTGGCTGACGTTGGTGATTTTCCAGCTTTGTGAGAGAGCTGAATAAGTCCGGAGGCAATTTCCCGTCAAACTTGTTGTTGGCGATCGATCTACAAGTGGGTACACAGCTTATCAGGACAGGTCGCGACAGATATGGTTCATTAGCTTCAACAGCCCTGTTGGCATGCTAGTTTGAGAAGTATTCTAAATTGTGTTTTGTCAACAGCATCTTCATAATCGGCAACGATGGCACCCACAACTCCTGAATATCCTTCTTCTGCGTCGCCGCCGCAAAAAATGCGTCGGCGGCCTGATTTGAGTAGACATCGCCGTGGACACTTGCAAAAAAAAAAAAAAAAAGCGATTGTATCAATTGATAGGCATCCGTCTGCTCTTGTGGCTGAACAATTCACTTTAATAGATTCTTGGCCGCGCTGGGTTACTACATGACTCTAGTAGCTATCCTTTGAACCTATTTACTGAGGTCAAGGATCATGAGGCTGACCAGGCCATTTGGCTCCTCGGGGACAGGACCTTTCAGGCCGCCACGGAGGACAATAGGTACAAAAACAAGTAGGTAGCAATTTATGAGGCACGGGTCACTTGTCCTCACACTCGAAAGAGTCGGCCAGTCTACCGCTGTCAATATTACCGTCGTCTGGTTGATATCTGCTGTCCGGCCCATGGCCTACTTTGCCACCTTTTGCATGTTGGTGCTGATCCTCGTCATGTTAGTTGTAGTAAGAATCGAAGAGAGTCGATCTTTTTCTAAACATAGGCGACCTTTTATTGACACGCGACTAATTATAAGATCGTCATCAGAGAGTTGTCAGGGCGCCGGAAGCACACCATCTGGTCCGATGCACACAATGCCACAGCGTTCACAGCAGTTGTTTGGGTCAAGCCTTGGTAATACTCCTTGGGGTCATTGCTCATAACACTAACGGGAGCAGGGGCAGGAGTATTGCTGAGTACTCTTCTATCTGGATCTGGAGCAAGGGCAGAGAAAGAATCGAGTCGAGGATGGGACGGATGTGATGGCATTGGGCTTTCGTCCCTCAGTATGACCTTGGAAGTAACGATCACGCTGAGAGTTCCCTGCTGCCCATCTCGAAAGGGTGAGAGGAAATGGTGGCATTATTGACAAACTCCCATCCATCCTAATTGTTTCAGTTGGTTTCTCCAGTGTTGTAGAACCAACGCAAGATGTAGAAGGAAATCTTTAAGGGCGCATGGATGAAATTGAGGCTGGCAGCGGCTTTATCGTGGAGAAGTGGGGTTTCGGAAGGAGCTGATTGCACGTCTGTAGAGGTAGGCATTGGGTCGGTAGTTGTTCCTGAAGTATATGCGGGAGATAGGACAGGACCTAGTGAAGCTGGAGGCGTGGGTAAGAATGTATATAGATTGGGATTGAGAAACTGAGGATATGAGGCGATGGATGAAAGAAGTTAGATGACGGAGTTTATGTCGCCATAACAATAAACCAAGCGAGGAACGTAGCCAGGATTCATACACCCTAGATACTAGCGCGAAGGAACATGCTGGCCGTGATGAAGACCGAGGAGGATTGAGAGGTGTTTGCAGCGGAGAAAAGGAAATACAGGACCGAGTGTCGATGCAGTTGGTAGTAGTAACACAAGGCTGCATGCACTGACTATGCTATAGAAATAAAAGAGAAGCATAGCACTAGGGCGTTTCCCCCCGCAAGCGTATCATTGACCTTTCTTCTATATCGACGATCTGTTTCTTGTTTTTTCCTCTGTACAATATTATGCTGAACACTCTGAACGCTGGCGGTGTTTGTTTTCACCGATGTGGAACTGTGGCCTATGTTCTCTATTATCAATAACGGCAGCAAATAACGCGTTCATGTTCTGTCGATTGATACATGCAGAAGTGTACTGAATGAATCAAAGTGGAAAATGAAAAGAGGCTCCTTTCGCAGAGATGTCCACCATATCTGGCAGGAATACCTTTCTCACGGTCTGCTGCGTCTGATTGGCTGCCCTGAATGTGCTCACCCGTTTCTCGTGAGGTTTTCATACCCAGCCAGTGGAGGCCTGTCCGCGCGAGGACGATCCGCAGCGCAGTGCATTTGTACATAGTGCAGATTACAGTATGTAATATACACCGCTCCATGGTGCGAGAATTGGATAGAGAGGGGACCTTAATCAATATCGCTGGCTGCTGAATGGCCGCTTGTTTGTGTTCAATTGAAGCAGGTTGTGAGAAGGAGGAGGAGGAGGAAGAGGAGGAGGGGAAGGGCTGCAGACTAGTTTATAGCCGTTGGCGGAGCAAAAGGTGCAAGTGAAGTGGTGGGAAAACGTGCGATCCAGCCAATCAGGAATGGGAAGGTGGGAATAGAAAAATGGGCTGCAGAGAGTTGAGAGCAGTGGCTTTATGACGGTCCAAAAAAGCGAGGTTCGTTTCCAAATTGGTGCTGCTTCTTACTCACTCGCCCACTCACTCGCCCACCCCATCCACTCACTCTCTCGCTCACTGGGTTTTGTTCCCAGCACGCCACCATCGTATAAAAATGCGCTCCTCAACCGCGCCCTCCTTCTTTCTCTTCTTCTTCTTCTTCTTCTCCTTCTCCCCCAACCCCACGCTCGCCACCAATCCTTCTTCTTCTTCGTCTCCGTCTTCCCCTTCCCCAGACGGTACCGACCCTGACGTCCTCGCCTTCAACTACAACTACACTTACGACGCTCACCACCATCAACAGCAGCAGCAGCAGGTCTTTGCCGTTCCGTCCTCCTTCCAGTTTGCATCCGAATCTCTAGTCGATCCATCTTCATCACCACCAATGTGCAACAAGACCTCTTCCAACCCCGACCGCGTGGTCCTCCCCGCAAACGTCACGCCCTCGCACTACACCCTCACCATCACCCCCGACTTCAAGGAGTTCACCTTTGGCGGTTATGTTGAGATAAAGTACGTATTTACTACCCGTTATGCATTCGCTGTATTGTTTCCTTGTCCCAAATGGCATCCAATCCACCGTGGGAATATTTCGGCATCGCAATGTTCCTCCAACACCACACCGGACGCGAGCATGGACCTGAAGGATGACACGAATTGAACGAGCCAGGAGAGGACGCGTCATTCCCACAGTTGTTTATAGTTGATTTTGTCAAATGCATAAGAGACAATTTTTTTTTGTTTATTTGTTTGTGGGCAATTGTGGAAAAAAGAGGATCGGGTTCGCACCATTGAATCGTTGTCGGAAAATTTTCAGGGAGAACAGTACAGCAAACAAATCGAAAAGACCAGTTTGACTGACCTTCATTCACCTTTTGTTTAAACTCTTAGCGTGACTATCCACGAGGCTACCAAGACGGTCAAGGTTAACACCAAGGATCTCACTCTCAAGACCACCAGCATCGAGATCGACGGCAAGACGTAAGTGTACCATGAATATTCTCTGATCTGTCTAGTAATACCGCGCGGGGGGAAGGCTGTCCTGCGGCAAAGGAATCACCCGAGTTATCGAAACTCACGGTCATTTTCATTCGTTTTCTTTACCGTCGCCTCGCATGAAACAACATGGGTTTATCTTAGCCACGAGCCCGTCTCGACTACCCACGATGAGCATCACGATACCACCACCTTCAACTTTGAGCATGAGCTCCCCAAGGGCTCTGCTGTCCTCCGTATTCTCTACGATGGTATTTTGAGCGACAAGATGGCTGGTTTCTACCGCTCCTCCTACAAGGATACAGAGGGCAACACTAAGTACATGGGTGTAACCCAATTCGAGGCCACCGATGCCCGTCGCGCTTTCCCCTGCTGGGATGAGCCTTCTGCCAAGGCCACCTACTCCATTTCCTTGGTCGTCCCCACCGAGCTGGTCGCTCTCTCGAATATGCCCGTTTCTTCGGTTACCCAGGTCGAGCCCGAGCAAAAGACCGTCAACTTTGAGAAGACTCCTATCATGTCAACCTACGTAAGTTGCTTTTTTATGTTTCTTAAGTAAAGCATGGCGAGGCTTACTTTCAGGACCTTTACTAATCCCAATGTTTTATCTTGGGGACAATAGCTTGTCGCTTGGGCTGTCGGAGAGTTCGAATACATTGAGACCACGACGACCAAACTTGAGAAGCCAGTCACCTGCCGTGTTTACACTCTTCCTGGCTTGAAAGAGCAGGGTCGCTTCGCCCTCGAGATCACCCCCAAGGTTCTCGAGTACTTCTCTGAGATCTTCGGCACTGCCTACCCTCTGCCCAAACTCGACCATCTCGCTGTTCCCGATTTTGATGCCGGCGCCATGGAGAACTGGGGTCTTGTCACCTACCGTACTGTTGCGTTGTTGTTTGATGAGAAGACCTCTGATTTGCGCTTCAAGGAGCAGGTTGCTGTCACTGTTGCTCACGAGATTGCTCATCAGTGGTTTGGAAACTTGGTCACAATGGAGTGGTGGGATCATTTGTGGTTGAACGAAGGCTTCGCCACCTGGGTCGGAACCTTGGCTGTTGATCACCTCTTCCCTAAGTGGGACACTTGGTCAACCTTCGTGGTTGATGACATGCAGCGTGGTATCGGCTTGGACTCGCTTCGCAGCTCCCATCCTATTGAGGTCCCCGTCAACGACCCTCATGAGATCCACCAAATCTTCGATGCCATTTCGTACTCTAAGGGCGCCTCTGTCATTCGCATGTTGAGCAACTGGTTGACTGTCGACGTGTTCTTGGCTGGAATTCGTCGCTACCTTAAGAAGCACGAATATGAGAATGCTACCACTGACGACCTTTGGAACGCCCTGTCGGAGGAGTCCAAGGTTGACGTCCGCGAGTTCATGAACACCTGGACCCGTGTCATTGGTATCCCTATCTTGGATATCAAGGAAACCGATGGCGTCGTCACCGTGGAACAGCACCGCTTCCTGTCGACCAACGATGTTAAGCCCGAAGAGGATGAGACTATTTGGTGGGTACCTTTGGGTGTTCACCCCAAGCCAGCCTCGATCGCCGACCCCAACCAGACTCTCAAGAGCCGCTCCCTGTCGTTCGAGGTTCCCGAAAGCGCCTATCTGTTCAACAAAGACTACAGTGGTGTCTTCCGCACCAACTATCCACCCAGCGCCATCAGCCGTATCGGAAAGGCAATCCTCGAAGGATCTGACTTGGTTGGCTTGAGTGACCGCGCTGGTCTTGTTGCCGATATCGCCTCGCTCTCAAAGTCTGGTCACACCGCCACGAGCAACTTCCTGGACCTGGTTCAGTACTATAAGAACGAGGAGACATACGTTGTCTGGGAGCTCCTTGCAGGTCGTGTTGGCGAGATTGCGTCGATCTTTGCGGATGACGAGCGCATCAACCAGGGGATCAAGCATTTCCAGCGAAACTTGGTTGATCGCATGGTCAGCAAGCTGGGATGGGAGTTCCCTGAGGGCGAGGACTACTTGACGAGCCGTCTTCGTAACGTTATCTTGCGCTCTGCCGGTCGCGCTGGCCACGAGGCCACCGTTGCTGAGGCTAAGCGTCGTTTTGCCCTGTTTGTCTCTGGCCCCGCACACGATTCTATCTTGCACCCTTCGATCCGCCAGACGGCGTTTGAGATCGTCTTGTCTCAGGGTGGCGAGGAGGAGTTCCGCCACATCCTCAAATACTTCCATGATGCGCCCAAGCAGGATCAGCAGGTCATTGCTCTCCTCGCCCTCGGATTCGTTCAGCAGCCTGAGTTGATTGCCGAGGTTCAGGCTCTGGCGATCTCAGAGTCCGTTCGTCCCCAGGATATCTTCTACGTCCTTGCGGGTCTCTCTGCCAACCCTGCTTCGCGTCGTGCTACTTGGGATTGGGTCAAGGCCAACTGGAACACTCTTGCGAACCGCTACAAGTCGTCGATGTCGATGCTGGGTGCCTGTGTCAAGTACCCTCTTTCACAGTCGTCGGATGTTACCATTATTAAGGAGGTCAAGGAGTTCTTTGCTGACAAGGATACTAAGGACTTCCAGCGTGCTCTTGACCAGGCTCTGGAAGGACTCGATGTCAACTCTGCCTGGGTCGCCCGCGAGCAGCAGGGTCTTTCTGAGTGGTTGTCCGCCAACAAGTACTAAAGTGTATACCTTCCCGTTCACCTCATTTTTTTATATATAACTTTATACACGGTTTGTCACCATCGCCAGTGCGACTTGTACATATGCAAAATTGGATAAAACAGTTTGTTTTCGAGGAATACGAGATGATTATTATTATTGAACGCGAAGATAGCATTGATTCTATGTGGAATGGTTGAAGTCTGCGCTTTGGAAAAAGAGCCGTCGACAGATAGTATACAAGTGTGTGATGGTTTTGGTTGAGTGATATGATGCCCTTACTGCAAGATCTCGTCCTTTTTTGTTTCTGCGATGGCAAACAACAGTGGGCTTAAAAGACCGAGGTGAAGTATTCCACGGTGTTTGATGATTCAAAGCGCCTCTCTCCTTGTCAGAGTTCTGGTTTGATCGCGCCTGTTCCTGCGGCGTATTTTCAAGAACCATGAATGCCTCTCTTGCTTGCCCGGCATGTCAGTCAGTCTTGCCCGCCTGGGATTGTCTCTTCCACTGCTACTGTTCTTCCTCGTCCATGGCATAGAGTTCTGTGTACATTCTAACAAGTGAGTTATATCCAGCCATATCACCGCATCGCAACAAATTTGCTACCATTCAACAAAAAAAAAACAAAGAAAACCAGCATGCCAAGTTAGTCCAAGGAATATCGTTCGCGAGTTTGTTTTCCATTAATGATATTCTGACTCGATAACACACACCTGCATCGCAGTTGAGAGGACTACTTGGTTCTGGGTTTGTGAGGAGCGAGCTGATGGCGACACAGATGGATTCGAGTGTCCATGATGGCGTCCATTCTGACTTGAGGATATCCAGACAAATTTCGCCAGTCTATAAGAAAGTAACCACAGCAGAACAGAAGTGTGGTTAGGATGGGATAAAATTCATCACTCCCCCCCCCTCTCCTTCCCGAAGGTTCCCGCACACAGGAATAAAAGAATCGTATAGACCCATGAATCATTAAATGGGCAGTACCCAGACTGGGATCATCATGCCTCTCCATTCCCTTGAGGCTCGGTCGTCTCCGTCCCAACATGGTGCCACTCAGCAGGTAATATATGGGAGTAGCGGGAAGGAATTGAAGTGGTTCCTTAGGAGGCATGTCCATGTTTCATCAAATCAGAAGCAGTGCCAAAAAGTGGGTGTTGTTAAGATATAATCAGGGGTGATAGAGAGATAGACAGATAGGTAGGAGAAGACTCGTGGGTTGCATTCCATTGACAGCCCTCTCCCTTCTCCACACTTCCCCTTTCTGCACGGATCGAGATATCAGTGTAAAGCGAGCACAAAGCATTGTCTGTGCCAATCTTCTCCCCCCCCCACCTCCCTTGCCCCCAACAAAAAAAAAGAAGGGCAACTCAAAAATGAAAACTCGATCCCTCAGCTTGGCATGCTCCCCATAGCAATTGTCACAGCGCCAAGCAGCGATAATCCCTCTGCATTCATGGCTCCTCCCGCTACGCGACTAATGAGTCATTACAGGAAACTCTCGGTTTGCGCAGTTACCTATTATCCCCCCCCCTTTCCTTGCGAGGTCCTTCAGGTTCTTTTTTTTTACCTTAAAGTGTACATTCGGATGGCAAATCCTCGTTAGAAAACGTATCGTCGGTGGTTGGATCGGGTAGCTCGTAGGGATGACGATGTCGAGTTTGAACCGACCTCCTTCATAGGCGGAATCAGTTGTTCCCAAAAGAATGGCTTGCCAATGGAGCAGGTTGTCCTCTTGAAGTGGTTCCAGTAGCTCGAGATGTGGTCGTGTCGCAGAGTTCTTCTGGATGGCGAGGTATTCTTTAAGCATCCGGCGGTGGACTGCAGATGACATTATGACAAAAAAAATGGAGGAATGGGTGGGTAAAACGAATGATGGGAGCAAGGAAGAGGCAAGTGTGGGGAGGGGAGGGAGGAACGGGAAACAAGTGGATGCAGCAAGGAGAAACTCAGCGTTCCTTTTTGTGATAGGTCTCTTTCAGAAGTCACTGGTACCACTGCGCCGGATCGATCGACCAGTCATCTTGTCCCGCCCAAATTCGCGTCAAAAAGACTATTGCAGACAGCAGAAACAGGACTCATATCTGCAAATGGACCATCGATGCACTGTCGATGGTAGCAGTGGTAGCAATAGCAGCAGTGGGAAGATATGTACTTGAATAAATATCAATGTTTATTATTGTATATACAATACGGCACAAGACGGCACAAGACGGCATTCCTCCGTTCAGTATTCATCCTCGTCCGTATTCGTCTGCAGTGCATCCGAAAAGATGGGTCGCTCCATACCAAAGAATGACCCTATCTTCTGTCCCCATTTCGTCCGCATCATTCGCCTCTTCCAGTCCGCGCCTCGAGAGACCGGCGATGTCGCCTCTGACAGTCGAACACCGCCTCCATGGCTGCGTCTTCTCTGTCCAACAGCACTGTTGTTCAGCAGTGAATCTGTCGCGTCACCCACATGGCCCTCCCGTGAAGATACAGCGCCCCGACTCAACCTTCGTGAAGGCCGGCGATGGCGCCGCTGTCCCATCAACGGCTCATCGTCTCCGCGGTGACGATCCACTACCCAACTGTAAGCTGTTGCCAACAAAACAGTTGCGATGCCGATTGCGATCCCCAGTTCCACGCTGACGATCAATACGCACACAAACGTAACCGTCCAGATCACCGCTGCCTTTTGCTGGCCAAGCCTCCACAGCTTGAGCGGCTCCGTAATCTGCATCACCAGAGACTGTAGCGCCACCAGGACGATCGCTGCCAACACCGCGTTCGGAACACGTTCGAAGCACCACGTCAGACAGATCAGTGTCAAGGTTACTGTTGCGACTCCAACCATACTCGCCAGGGGTGTTCTGCCACCTGATTGGGACAGGATCGCAGTTCGGGTCAAGCTGCCGGTGCACGCATATCCACTGAAGATGGGTCCACCCATCGACGCCAGCCCCAACGCCAGCATCTCCTGGTTCGCATCGACCTTGTAGCCATATCGCTTTCCGAACTGCTTGGCGATTGAGAACGACATGACGTAGACAATGACCGCGATCAGCAACGCCGGTTGGAGCATTGGCACCACGACCGTCTTGAGAAAATTCAGAGTCATCCACTCTTGCGGCCCAGACGTGATCCTGTTAGCCGGGAAGGTAATCTCGGGCAGGCCCTTAGGAATTGGTCCGATCACATCGATGCCCCAGCCGCCCTTGGACCTCGGAGTATCCAGAGAAAACACGACGTTCACTACCGTTAGCAGGATAACAGCCATCAAGATGTCGGGAACCGGGATATAGATCTGGCGCTCCTCGACAGCCAGTGCCATAGGGGTAGTGCTCAGCAGTGGCGGCGACAGACCTTGTTCAGGATCGATAACAGTTGATGCAGTGGTCACCGATGATCCAGAGTCCCTGTCTCCATTGTCGACCGTGATCGTACCAGCTTTTGCTGAAGTATTTTTGCTCTTTTGAAATCCTTGTTGCTCTTCCCGGCGCCTTTGAAGATCCCGTTGCTCCTCATGAGCTCTTGCAATCGCCGCCGATACGGCTTGCCTCTCCTGCACCATAAGCATCTCCTTCTTCCGCAGCTGGAGCTCGTACGCAGTCTTCCGTTTTCGTTCCACTTTCCGCATGGCGACCATGAAGACGATCGCGACAGTTCCCAGCAATACTGTGTGCCAATTGGTTTCTGCGAGAAAATGCGTGGCAATCCACATCCACGACTTCAGGAGGGCAAAGGCTCCCTGGGAAGACGGCATCTTTTTGATGCCCAAAAAGTGTTTTAATTGCGACGTTCCGATGTGAAAGACGGCCGCCGTATTGAACCCGCCGACCAGAGCATCGGGTAGCAAGTGTTTCGATGCCCACCCTCCGATGCGAAGAAACGACATGATGACCTGGACAAACCCCACCACAAACGAAAGCATCAGGATCATGCCGATGAACTCGCGCTCGTACTCAGGGTCCTCGGAAGGCAATTGAGGTACAGGTTGCACGTTGTAGAGTAGGGTGTTGGTGAGGCCAAAGTCGCCCATGAGTCCATGTGCTTTTGAGGAAGTATCCTTGGCCATGAGGCCCCGGACAGCCTGGCCCAGGAGCAGGGTTGTGATTGCAAATGTTCCTGTGTGCATGTGCCGACTGGTGCCAAAGATGCAGTAGATGAGGATAGGCACGACAGAAGTATAGAGGCCGTAGACGGGCGGTAATGGCGCAAGCATGGCATACGCCATACTTTGGGGAATAACAACCGTCGATATGGCTAATGGAAATGATTCGAGAACACATACGGATGGCATCAGCGCGTAAGTTCTTGCATTCTAAGAATTTTTTTAAGAATAGGGCTCGAGCGTTTGTTCAGCAGACTTTAAACTTACTTATGCCTGCAATAAGGTCGTCCGGTAGGTCTGTCAACTTGTATCCAGGAGAGATAAGCCAACCAAACGCAGGCACCTTTCGTCGTAGCCATGTCTTCCAGCAGGACTCCTTCTCAACCACCAAAGGGGTATCGCTGGCGAGTTGGACGGTCGAGCTGTCTAATGGGACCGGTTGCTGCTGCTGTTGTTGCTGCTGCTGCTGACCCAGACCATCGACGATGGTAATGGGGTTCCCTTGCTGTACAGAGAGGCGTCGAACTTGGTTGCGGATGAAGTCTTCGTTGCTGTACACTCTGGACATCTTCCGCTGAACGGTTGAACCGCTGACACCGTCATTGACATGGTTCAGTCCGCCTAGACTGCTCACGCTCTCTCCGCTCTCGCTGCTTATGCTTGCTGAGCTGCCGCCGTGGATGCTGCTGGCACTGCTGTTGACTGCACCATTGTCTTGGGCGTTTGAGGCGGCGAAGGGGAGAGCTGAGCTGGGGCTGTTCAGGATCTCTTGAAGGGGATGGATGGATTGGTCGGCAGAGAGACTGGTAGGAAGATTGGTGTTTGAACCCGCTGGACGAGGAGGCGAGGCAGGTGCAGGTGCTGGAGGGGTGCCTGGAGGCATGCTTTGAGGAATGCGTAGAGCAAGGTTGCGTGCGGGTATACGATAAGCTAGGATGATGTCGACGTTTGTATGCAATTGCTGCAGGAGAAAACAAAAAAAAGTATATACAAAAGGAGCACAGGAAGGAAGGAAGGCGGAAGAGTGTGAGGGAGCAAGAAGAAGACAAAGAAGAAGAGGTGAGAAGAAGCAAGGTCCCAAACTGCGGGGAAAAGAAACACAACACAGCAACACCCCCCACCTTTCCCCCGTCGGTTTCCTTGGACGTCGACTCTTGCCCGCCAACTCCTTAGACTGATTGATGAGGACAGATCCCAATTCAGATCTGATTTAGTTTCGATCCGCACCGACTCCCCATCCCGATGTCTGCTCTGCTGCGTCTGACCCTCTTCACCAAGGCCAACTGTGGTCTCTGCACCACCGCCAAGGAGGCGCTCACACGAGTCCAGGCCAAGGTAAACGACTCTTTTTCCTTATCTGTTATGCTCTCTGCCGCACTCTTTTAGATCGGCACAGCAAGCAGCATTGAAGCCCCTCTTCTAGTGCTCTAACCCTTGCCATGCTGCTGTTACGGCACTGACATTTTTGTTTGGGCCGCCTTTCCAGATCCCTTTCCATCTCGATCAAATCGACATCTACGCACCAGGACAGGAAGCCGCCCAAAAGTACATGTTTGATGTGCCCGTGGTCGAGCTCAATGGCCGTGTTGCTATGATGCACCGTATTGATGAGCCCAAGCTGATTGATATTCTACACAAAGAGCAGGAGAACACGGCCACTAAGTAGTCCAAGTGTCAGCATTTTCAAACACGAATAAAAAGCTTCGAATGGTCCTTCCTTCTCTTTGAGGTAACCATGGGCAATCCCATCCGCGACAAAAGTAGCAAAACAACAAACAGCAAACAACAAACAGCAAAACAACGAACAAACAACGGCCCTTGACAGCCCATTACCGGGTCGAACTATAGAGGAATCGACTGGTGTAACCAATCAGCAGATGACGCCACTTTCTCGTGTTCCCAGCATCTGATCTTTCATCTCGTCTGCGGAAACAAAAAAAAAAAGATTTTGGTGCTTAAATGGTGTCGTTTGAATTTTATTACCATTCATCTCGTTGGCAAGAAACAAATAGGAAGAGAGAGAAAGAAAGAGAGAGAGAGATCAAAAGATCGAGGGTTGAATTCAAGATAGAGTCGATCTGCAGTCGCGTTTTTTTGTATAACCATGCCATGCCATACAGCATCTTTTTTGCGCTTATGATCGAGAGGACTTATGAGAGCTACTCGCTGGTTCGGCCAATGCGTTCGCGGCCGGTGGTGTCGACTCCTTCGTACGCCTATTCGGGTCCAACTTCTCCTCCAGCGCGTCGGTGATATACAATCCTGCCATTGCAAACGCCATTCCGCCTAGTCAAACGAAAAAAAGAAATGGAAATAAGGGCATCCAGTTCTCTCAAAAAAAAAAAACCCCCCCTCCCATGGGATGCTTACCTAAACCAATATAGGTGCGCGTGCGCGATGGTAGCGCCTAGATAACATGGGGACACAACATCGAAACAGAGGTGCTTGTCAGTCGAGCTCTTCTTGGGGGGGGGGACTAACTGATCAGTCCTGTCCTCAACTTCGGGCTTAATTCATGAATCTCGCGAAGTCCCCGACCCAAATTCGATTGTCGTCTTACCTTGTACTGTTCCCACATTGATGGCATGATTGTGTTCTGTCTTTTTTTTTTTTTCTTTTTCCGATGATGCGAAGAAGAGCAATGCTGTGCCCGCGACCCAAAAGAAGCGACGTGTATATATGAACGAACTGGTTCTGTACGTAACGCCACCAATTTCGTCATGTGTAAAGATTTCTTTTGGGTCATGTTGACGTTCTTCTTGTACATGTTTCTTTGTTTGCTGGGCAAAACGTTTTTTTTGCCACCAATTTTTTTTTGGGAATTGCATGTGCTATTGGCCAGCTGAGGATTTCAATCATGTCGAAATGGAGGTGATCATCCTGCTCAAGTTAAGCATACCACACGATGTAGTACCAGAGCTGTTAATGTGCTTTTGCCATCATTTTTTTTTTCTTCTGGGTGTGCATGGACCACAACAAGCAAAAAAAAAAAAAAAAAAAAAAAAATCCTCCACTTATTAATTGGTAGTTGGTTGAGTTTCTCAGCAAAGCTGTCACCGTTTCAGTTAAGGATCGTTTTTCAATGCAAACTCGAGTTTCTCATAAGAAATCATTATTGTATGTACAAAGTTGATAGGAGGGGGGAAAAAAAAAGTACATATGTGTGTACACTACTTCTGTAAGGTCTAAAAGTATTCTATATCTCTCGCAGCCCCGCTTTGCTGCTCATTCTAAATCCTTGGTATCCTTCCTTTTTCATCTCTTGAATCCGCCCAAAGACAGAGGTAAGGATGTGTTGCTCATGGGTTAAGAGATGGGTAAGGATAGGAATGGGATTGATGTGGGTGTGATGGAGAGGACAGTGGAGGCAGTGATGATGACTGCAGCCCATAGAACGATTGAGGGGCCCGATGATGTGCGGCTACGAGCTGCTGCTGGTGCTGCTGGTGCTGCTGGTGTTGCTGTTGAAAGTGTAGGGGCACCTGCGGATACTGCGGGTATTGGCTGTACTGAGCATGCTGCGGCTGGTATTGTTGCGAGAGCTGTGAAAAGTGGTAGCTGTTCATTGGGTTCATCGGCGATGGTTGACGGTCAATATGAGGAAGACGTGGCGAAGTAGGTGAATTGACAGCTGGTGGTCCTTGGGAATGTTGATGAAGTTGCTGGTGCTGTTGTTGGTGAACAGGTCCCGGAGACATGGGCGGAGGCGAGCTAGTTTGCGAGGGGAGCCCCATAGTACTGGATTGCACCATGCTTGGATTCACAGCGAACATCCAGATCCTTGTCTTGTAGATTTTGAACAGGTCCCGTACCAGCTCACGAAAGTCGATTCGTCTCTCTGCAATAAAGTAGAACGTCAGCTTGCGTCGATCCCTGTTCATCAAAAATGATATAAACAATAAACAGGTTAGAATCGAACGGCGATTTCAAAAGGACAATCCAAAGACAAGCATAACAGCGTCAGTAGTTGCAGTTGCTCACCATTGATACTCTGCATCCACGACCTCCATGGGCAATCGCTTCTGTCGAACCTTGGTTTGACACACCATCATCGCCTTAACTTCATCCTGATTCTTGTTGACCAGCTGAGAGATCTCTGACGACTGAGCCAGCCGAAATATCCGTTTGGGATGAATCTCCTTAGGCGCACGATGTCCACCAGTTCCATTATTGTTGCTGCTTCCTGAGCCTCCACCACTACCATCTTGATGTGCCTGCAACGCTGCGATTTCCGCCTGCTGTGCCTGCATCGCCTGGATTTGTTGAGGAGTAATCGAGTCATTCGTGATCTTGCCCAGGTCCTTGCCTCGGTCTGCTTCCACAATAACAAGATCGCCTATTTTGAGCGACACTCCACTATTCTCTCCAATGTAGAATAGGTCATTCCTTCCGGCCTTGAACTCCACCACATAGAGTGATCCGCAATTGGGTAGTTGGCCGAGCGAGAGACCCTTGCCAAGGTCCTTTGCGCTCGATCCCGGTGTTTGATATTCAATCTCCTCGAACGGCTCCTCGTACAAACTCCAATTTTTCCCCTGATCACCATCGTTCAGGCGCAAGGCTTCCAAAGACGATGTAAGGTTGAAGGGCGTGACGTTTGGTCGATGATACGGTCCGCCAAGGCCCGCCACGGAGTGTCGGCGCTGTGCCTGTTGAACAAGATCATTATCCAAGGGATGACTAAAAGATAAATAGAAATAAGAGAAAAATTGACTTTAGTCATGATCATATGGATATACCTACTTCGACCTCCGTCGGGGCTCAAAATCTAGACGAGCCGAGCGCGTTTTAATGGCCCATATTGCCATCGCATAACCAAAGATAGCACACCGAAAGTAATCGCTTACCGGCTGAGGCTACCCATGGTTGAAGAGTTTCCTGCATCGACATCGTCGAGAAAGGCATCGTAATTCTGGAATCCTGAGGCCGGCGCTAACGAGAAACGTCGAGCCACCCGCTGTCTCTCCAGTGGCGATGGCAGAGGTTGAAACGAGTCCCAGATGGGTGCACTATATGCCGAGGTCGAAGTGACTGAGCGTCGATGGTTGGATAGAGATGTATCCGGCCCCACAGGGCCTGGCCACGTCGCACTTCCGCCAGGGGACTCACGATGCAACAAAAGCCGATTATCGCCCCCCAGTGCAGATTCTGACCCTCTCAAGGACCTAGCGGACGCTGTGAAAGAATCCTGCGAATCGGGGCTAGAAAACATCGAGAGTCCGCCTGTAAAAGCATCTGAGCCAAAGGTCGCTGAGGTTGAGAAGCTTCTTGCCCGATTGATGCGCGGCTCCAATGCGTCCTCTGCCTCCTCCTCCATGGTTGGCAATGGTGGTCGATATCTTAGAAGGTCGTCTTCATCCAGGTCGAGTCCAAGTTTTGTTGTTGGAAGTCGAAAAGTGTTCGCGAAGCCAGAATCCGAAAAGGAAAGACTTCTCGCTGTCCTAGGGATGCCGGTGCTGATGATATCGCCGTGGGTGCTTTTGGGATTGGTAACCGACAGGTCGCTTGCATCCTTTGATGCGGTACCCGTCCAAATGAATGAGCCAAGGCTCAGAGGTGATTCTAGTCCTGTACCACTCTGTTTTAGAGCGCCTCGGCTGCCGATATTGAGAGACTGAGACTTTGCATGAAAACTCTCGACGGGCTTAAGATCTTGCTGGCCGAGAATGGAAAATGACGTGGTGTCGGTGCGCTGACTGGTAGGCGTTCCTGTACTCGAGCTCTTGAAGTGCATTGGATGTGTCGCGGATTGGTCTGGAAGGGAATCCCGATCAAGGGGCGATAGGGCCCTGGCACCAGAGGCGACGGGGGGTATCAATGGTGCCAATCCGCTGCCCATGTCTTGACCGGCCAAGACTGGATGCGACAGCAGCTTGTGCTGCGGCGGCGTAGGGGAGGTTGGGGAGGAGATGGACGAAGCAGAGGACGAGGACGAGGACTCGTTACAGGTGCCAGCAGAGAGGGAGGAGATGGTTGAGTCTGCGAGGTCGACGAGGTCGGCCCCAATGGCCCTGGTCCTGTTCCCCTCGACGGTTGTTATGTCGGTTTCTTGAAGGACCCGGTTTCGCTCCTTGTCCTCTGGAGGGGAGAGCAAGGGTCGCCTGGGAGGGCTGCCGACGATTTTCCAGCTCTCGTCTGCGGTCAGAGGTTGCTGCTGGGTCTGGATAGGCCGGGGCGAGACTATGGGAGGGGAGGCCGTACCCGACTGCTTGTTCTCCATAGCAGACGAGGAGTGCGACTTTATTTGTTATGAGAAGAGGGGTGGGGGAGGGGTAGGGAAAGAGCGAGGGAGGAAGAGAGGGAAGTGTACAAGGATAGAAAGAGAAGAGAGAAAGCGAGAACGAGAGAGAGAAGAAAGAGAGAGAGAGAGAGAGAGTAATGAGCGAAAGAGAGGGAAGAGTGAGAAGAGATGATGACTGCAGAGAGGATGAGGGTCTTTGTCTCCCTCCCCTCGAGAAGAAAGCGTGAGTGAGTGAGTGAGTGAGTGAGTGTGTGTGTGTAAGGGTGTGGAAGAGAGAGAGGGTGCTTTAGTGCTTTGTGGGGAAAGATACTCACTCGTTGTTGTCTGGCATATTTGTTTGCTCCTTGCGCACACCATTTGATTGGATCCTTTCATCCTTTCATCCTTTCATCCTTTCAACTGAACTCTCCTGTTCTGCTGCTGTACTACAACATTCATTCGCAGGGCAACATGCTGTCCCGCTCTTCCTCTTCCATCTTCCTCTTCCATCCCTCTTCGCCCTCCCCTCCCTTTTCTCCCCTCTTCTTTCTTTCCCTCTCATCCTGCCCCTTGCTCGCTTGTACATGTGCTTGTCTGTACACACATTTGCGTTTGTTTGTGTGGTGTGTGCTTGGCACCCTTTGCATTTTTCCCGCCCTGGCGCCCTCTTTTTTGTTTTTTGGTCTATCGCCAAAACCGCACAACACCACCCCCTTTTCTTTTTTTATCTTCATAAATATAACTCCTTGTGCAACATCCATATCATCTTCGCAATGATGATAACGACAATCACAATAGAAAGTCTAAACCATGTGTCTTTACTTGTAGCTTTTTTGTTCTTGTCACCCAGCCACTCAATGCAACCGCTCCTCGGCCTCTCCGTTGCATGTCGACTGCCGTGCCTCCATCACCATCGGATCTCCATCCTCCACGCTCGCCACCGCGACCTTAACCCGCGGCGGCAGCGGTGCCAGACCTGCCTCCTTCGCAAAGTTCTTGTGATAGGGTTTGTTGGTATAGAGAATCTCGTACGCATGAGGCGGCGGTCGTGGAGGCGGAATCGGGGGCTGCGACAATGTCAGCGTTGGCGACAGTTCCGCATCCAACTCATGAGAAGTCCGTCCTAGTCTTGGCAAGCTCGTCTTTCCTTTCGACTTCTTGCTGTTGAATTCATCTAGAAACAGCTGTGGTCTGCTGCCGGAGGACCCATCCCTGGTGATATAGGCTGAGCTCTGTGGTGCTTGCGCTGCTGTGTATGACGACGTCAAGGATCTTGTAAATGACGGCGAAGATGACAGTGATGGTGGCTGTGATGAGGGTGAGAATAGCATCAGCCCAGGAGGCCCTGGCAGTCCTTGACGCGTCTCAAGTGTCATACTAGATCGAGGCGCACCTGAATATGTGTCGCCTAACCCCACCACTCTTGAAGGGCTGTCGAAGCTGCTACGCGTCATAACTTCCGTCGTTTCCTGGTCCTGTCGGTCCCATACGCAGACCTCGAACTTCACATCAAAAAGACCTAGGATGAAGCGCCGGACAGGGAGCCTGAAGTGATAATGTGAGAGCAAATCGAGCACAGCGCTGTATAGATTTAGATCGGCGAAATACGTCGGATGTTCTGCCTTGATTTTGGCCAAGTTCTTGGAGGCGCCGTTTGTCAGAATATGGTTGCCTAGCTCTCCTGTAGCCTTCAGAACCTCTTTCTCCACAATATCCCCTTCACTGGTTAAAGGAATGACCACTCGAGGGACATCCTCCCTGTATCGATCCCATCTAGGCACCTGTGTATTATCGAAAAAAAAAGATGTTGGTGTCAGTAGCTAATTCACGTAGATATAAATACTGGACATCTTCATAGAGACAAAGCTCACCTCCAAAAACCGATCCAAGTCCTTAGGTAGGCACAATCCTCGCGGCGTCCGGTCACGATGTAGTATTCCCTGCCAGCCGTAGTCTTCCAGGGTCTCGATACCTTGCGTGGTTTTACACATCAGTCCCAGAACAAAAAAGCATGTTCTAAAACAGTGGTTCATTAATTAGCACGAACAATGCTTTCTCATCAAGTTGGACCACAAGAAAACGACAGTAGGAAACGGCAGCGCTTTCTTACCCCTTCAAGGAGAGTACTTTGGATCGCTCTGCCATGCCGACGATATACTTGATCAGGTCTTCTTCCTCTAGAAATGGCAGACCACCCACAGTCGATCCAATATTTCCCTGGAGATATTGAGAATACAATTGAAATTAGTTCATCTGCTCTCTTGCCTAAAGTACTAGCAGGCTTAGCAGTTCTCGTTGCTTACCACTGCCCATAAAATCGACTTCAGTTCGCTAATGACGGTCGAGTCCTTGGATTCTGCACAGTGTTCCCGAATGTAGCGCGCGTAATCAGAAAAGTGGCCTTTCTCTCTCAAAAGTTCGCATCCTTCCTCAGTCCTTGTCAGTTCTCCATAGAAATGAGGTGTGAGCACCTGCCTAGCGCGTCTATTGTACAGTGCAGTACAGAAATGCCAGTATAATTAGACATCAGGAAACACCAGATAATATCGATCATCATTTCACCACGAACTTCTCACTTACCCCAGTTGAAGCTCTGCCTCATTCTCAAACTTTCCGTCTTCTGAAAAAGGGTTGAACCGCTGCAGCTCCATCGCTTTCGCCAACTTGACTTCGGTTTGAATCATGTACTGTCTGTTTGCGAACTACGTTCGAGAGGCCAATTCAGTAAAGTACAGAGTATTAATATCGTTCAGCAGCACACGGACGATTGCTACCACTGCAATATACCAACAAGCATCACTGCCTACCATGAACCAGTCATCCATCTCTCCTTCGATATACGACATATCCTGGAGGTAGTGAAATCCTTTAGACGTTGATAAAAATCGTAGCAGGAGTGGATTGCCAGCTTCGCCTAAATGATCCAGATTTGGCCGAAGTCGTATGAGAAAATCCAGATTCTTCCGCTGAGCACAAGCATCGTCCAGTGCTCGAACAGCCATGTGGCAGACGTCCAAAGAAGGGTCACAGAGCTGCATTATCATGAAGCGGTCAAAGTAGGATTACCACTTTAGTTAGTGCTGTGCTTATGAGCCGAAACATATCTGGCCAATGTATACCCGTGTGCAACGGTGTGGTACCTGTGTACATAAGAGCCGGATGGCCCAGTCGTTGAATTCATTTCGATCATTCTTTATGACGGTTCCTAGGTGCTGCGTGGCGTAAAGTCGGATATGTTTGTAGCCCGAGGTCATGATCTTCGATAAAATGACGCGAGGGTGGTCATCTCTGTAAGCAAAAGCACACAAGAGCCTGTCAGCATCATGATGAAACGCAACATAACAGGCAAGTACCGGCCTCAACCGCCATTATACCTCAATATGTCACCTAGATATGGATTTGTGTCTTACATGCTATAGTCCATCGAGGTGATGATCTTTTTTACAATGTCGTCGCGACTCCGGAGTTCACTTAACCGGTAGTATAAATTGAAGATCTTAAATTTCTCCAGCAGTCTATAGGTCATTAGATTGTGGAGAGATAAGAAATTAACCTTGATGAAGCTGACATGTCGCGGACAACACAAAGTGCGTCTCCTTACCTTGCACCACTGCGAGTTTTACAAAGCGTCCCCAGCATCTCAAAGTAACCCGAGGTCAACGTGGTCTCCATTTTCTCCCTTGAGAAAATAGGGTCAGATGCTGGGTGACCCTTCATCTGTTGAAGAGATAGAGTTGACAAAAGGCCATTGTCAGTAGCCATGTCCACTCCATACGCGCACTCTCTTTCTCAATCTTCCGTATCTGTTGTAAATGGAGTAGTGCACATACCGGGTCCAACTGTGCAAGACCATCTGCAATGAGCCGCAAAATCTTGTTCTGCGCCAAGTATTTCGCTCCCTCCGTGCTAATTGCCAAGGTTTCGAAAAGTGCACACCCTATCTTGGTGTAGGATTGATGAAGCTATGTCCCAGAACACAAAGGCAGTACTTAGCAAGACTGTTTTGCAAGAAAAGAATTCAAAACGCAGAAGCTAAGACAGCCATATGCAGGCCGTACCTCACTGGCTGGCTGACTTGAGTAGTGGTGATTTAGAGGTCTGTAGAACGCAAGAAGCCGCTTTGAGAACTTTGTGCCACGAATCGCCTCATCAAGTCTTCTGGGATTGAGCATTGGGCCTTGAATAATCTCCAATATCAGATTCCAACGCCACTTCGAGACGTCCTTTGTTGCAAGGACCTACCAATGACGGTTTAATTGATCAAGGTTAGGATGATGGTGCTGGCAAGAACAGTACATCTCCTAATACTTTCAATGGTTTGCATCTTACCTGAGTATCGTTCAAGAGAGATCGAAAACTGGTGTCATCCAATTGAGTCCCTATCCGCTGCTTGATTCGATCCAAGTGCCTCTGCTCATGGCCATCGTACAGCCTTTTATGTCAAACGCAAAAAAAAAAAAAAAAATTAGAATGATACAGAAAAGTCGAAAACGGATCACAGTCAGCATTCCATCGGATCTTATTGAGACGCCAGCTGGCTGTAACGGCTTCGTACCGTTCTGCGGCCATTCCCTTTGATGTCCGGCTTAAAGTGTCAATAAACCGGAAGGCGCTTGTAGCAGTATGACGGAGCACAGGGTCTTCAAAGTTCGTCGCAACTTGAAACAGCGATGGCAGTGACTGGATGTGGGTACATCTGTCCGGTGGTAAGACCTTGCACGCGAGCTGCATGAGCTCGGGAATCAATAACGTTGCTTTCCTGAGCAACTTTCTAGCCTCAGCATCTCCAGCTCTTGTGAGCGTATCATCGGCTATTAGGGAAATCAGAGCCTATAAACCCAGTCAGTTTGAGTACGTCATTTCATCCCCACGAGACTACGCTGCAGATGGTATGGTAATGACATTCATACCTCTATCAAGCCTGCATCGATAAAGACTGTCAAGACAACGCTCTGGTGATGATCCATCAATCCCAGTGGCTCCAAGTTCGATCCCCAATGACTGTCCAGATCCTCCTGGGTTGGTTTGACTACAATACCAAAATGTCAGTCGAAAAGTTCCGCCCAATGACCAAGAGCCTTCAATACGTCGGTCGACATTGAATAGTACTTACTGTTTTTGCCGTCCAGGAAGTCCTTGAGCCATCTCGGCGTCTGTATCCAAAATATCTCGTAAAGAATATCCAGCAGTACTTTCTATATAAAACAAGCCATGCCAAAATCATACTGCAATCAGTCAATGTTTAGAAAGACTATGTTCGCGAAGCAGCTCTTATTTCATCTATGCACCAACCCTGTTTTCCTGGATCGGCAACTTGATGGACTGAACCAAAGAACGAATAGCGCGCTTGTCGTTCGTACAAAGGTCGAACAGCCCAGCCCAAGATCGAATCATTGCTGCGATAATGCGTCCAGATGCCTTAACCCGGTCGGTATACGAAGGCCCTTGGGAGTAGATGTCCGTGAAGACCGCCATGATCATCTAAAGTGGTATCGAGATATAAAAAATGACCTTGTCAAGCCGACTGGACACTCTTATTGTGCTCATCTCTGGTCATCTCGTTGTAGCGATCACCTTACCTCCGAGTCCAGGCCTTGCCTTACGTATATTCGAGTTTCGGGGCTCTCCAACATATACAGGAACACTTTGAGAAGAGCATCCGACAAGTCCTGAAGACTATCCGTCAATGCCACCAATATGGCTCTAAATCCTCCACAGCGTGCAACCGGTTTTGGATCCGACATAACTATTTGTGAAAGATAGCATCAGTGGCCGCTTTCGAAGTTTCTTAGCGCAAATGTGTATAGCAGTCAGCGCATATAGAAACTGACAAAGGGACATACCCATTTCTCCAAGTGTTTCCAAGCAGGCGTTTCGTAATTTCTCGTCGTTTTGCTCTGCAATAGCGATCACTGCTCGCATAATACCGTCGGAAATATACTGCATACCCTCCTTTGTCGTAACAAAGCATCTAACCAGCTTCAGCGCCTCTATCCTCTCAGATTCCATACGATGGTCAGCCATGAGTGACCTAGTGTAGTGAATGAAAAAATCAGAGTCAATATCGCATAGTACAAGTCTAGTATTTGTTTTCACATTTAACATGAAAGATGAGAGAGGGAAGATTTTTCACTTACTTCACGATAAACATGTCGATTTTGTGCGTTGTCAGTAATGGTCCGATGGGTCCGGTTCCTGAAAGAAGCCGTAGGCAGCGATATGCGTTCAACCGAATCTCTCTGACAGTGCTTGCTAAACAGAGCCGCAGACTGGGGTCGTGAAAATAAATTAGTGGTGATTTTTCAGGTTGAACAAAACGAGGTACGATCTGGCAAGAATGAACTGCCATGGCTCATACCATGATACGAGCTCCTGCGTTGGGTATCCTGGATGTATATGCTGGTTTTGCTTCAATATATTCACTAAATTGGAGAGATGTTCCAATCTAACCGATGGCAAATCCAGCAAGTTGCGTAAAGAGCTCACAATATCCACTACTGCTGAGTGTATGCTTTGCCGATCTAGTCCAGGAATATATTATCGAGTGCAGGGGACAGACACACGTCAGCTTCAACTCGGCTTTCAATCGATGTCGGTGGCGGGCATTCATAAAAATGACAACGTCGATAGGTTGATGAGGATACCTTCTTCGTTGTCGGCATAGTCGCTTGTAGAGAAAGAGTTGGAATGGCTCCTTCTCGCTAATACTGGGATGGATTGTTGAGAATCCTTCAGAGCTTGCTCCGGAAGGTAACCTATGAGGACAATAAGATAGTCGTTCATTATGATAAGTCGCCAATAGCCGACAAAGATTTAAAAGACCAGAGTCCTTTATCTTTCCAATGATTACCGAACGAGGGCGGGTCGAATGCTCGTTGTTTGTAAAAGTCTAGCTGGAGATTAATCTCGGCAATCCGCTCAATAGTAGCTTGTAACTCTTGCTCAACCTGATTCCTCAATTTGTTATTTCCTGCATTGCCAACATCTCTGCTCCGGTACACCTATAAGAGTCATTCGCAGTTGAAAAGGTACGATTAGAACCCCGATATCGCAATGCTCTGCATTCCATTGGTACGCTTCTAAGCGTCTCCTCAGGATCATCGTGGACATACTTCTAGCAAGCTTTCGGCGGATTCCTAGAGAAAAAAAAAAAAAAAAAAAAGAGTTGATACTTCTACAATGTCCATTATAGGCGAACAATTGAACACAGTTTGCGCCACCAGCATACCTTTGCCTTCGTTTCCACTTGGAGTTGATGGTATAGTTCATCCATCTGTCATTTGTAGAGATAGGAATGCATGCCTAGTGAGTGATACGACCATATAATAGGCGCGAGTTGTTCCTCCGCTCAATACAAACGTGCTTGATACCTTTGCTTCCAAGTCGTCATCTTCCTCTTCCTCCTAGGGATAATTTAAAGTAGGAAGCAGTGAGTAAGCATCTGCAGAGACACCTTTAGGCTAGAAGCTGCCGAATTCATATGATAAAACGCTTGCCATACATGATCTTGATCCTGACTCTCGTCTGGATCCTGCTCAAAGTTATCCGTGGTGTCAGGGTCGTCCGAGTCCTGCATATCTCCATCGTCTTCCAGTGTCCCTAGGCCGCCTTCGCCGTCGTCGCCCTGCGATGTCGTCCATGATGCAGGTTCGTCCCTTACGGGGACTATGGGCGGAGAGACCTCTGTGGTCAGCTCTGCGGAAGATTCCATCAGGAGCGACGTCCTGCGGTCGCTCATCTTGATGAAGAACGAATCTCTTTGGAGCTGTGATGTTCTTGTTGGTATTCTGAATTCTTCTGAGTGTATTGAGTATATGTGGGTGTCCAGGTTGAAGGCGGCGGGGTAAGCGGCTCAAAGAGTGTCTTCTATTCGTTCCCTGGAATGTAACAGGCCAATGGAGCGACCGTCGACTGTGGTCTCATTAATGGTTTATAAGCCGTTTGAACTGTGAAGTCCCTGTGCCAAGCTGCTTTGCGGATCGCGAGATGCTGAGGTCGATAAAGTGGTGAGTGTCTTGAACGCGGAGATGTCTTTGATGACTCGACTGCCAGAACGGGACCCATGATGTCAGTTTGCTGAAAAGGGCTATCCATCACGTGCTTTCTGCGAATCGAAATACCACCAGGAACGCGGTCTTGAGTTCAGCGAGCTATTTGCCAGCAATTGCTCTAGAATTAACATAGTAAACTGCTTTTCCGTTGAGCAAAACAATCTAACGAACGATTTGCTACTGTATGACATAGTGTAGTTCGCAAACGTTATTATGTTCATCATGTTCATCAAAAGCGCAAGTGACTGTAGTCCTGTTCAGTTGAATATGCCTCTTAAGGTCTACGAATCAAGTTCGTAAATAGATAATAGTAGAAAGTGCACGTAGATGTATTTCATAATTCCATTTGTCTATCTTGCTCCGGTTGCATCTATTCCTATTGAAGTGGTAGGGCTGTTGCTGTTGTTTTGTCGTTGCAGTCGTCCTACTATGTGAACCATGTCTTCCAGATGTTCTGGGAGTACCTGTACAAGTTCTCGTGTTTCCTCACGATCCTGGCCAACTCACCCGACCGACCAGCATCTTCTGCATTTCTGACCTTGGGCAGAGTCAAAATGACATGCAGGTACGAGAAGGTGACAGCATCCAGACTCGAGGGCTCGCTCTTTCCGAAAAAGTATTCGTCCTTGCCCAACTGAATAGCCAGAGCTTCGATTGCCGTGGCAGCCTCTTCGAAGATCAATTCCCTGTCGATCTGTGTACGAGTGAGTAGCATTGAGTTGGCGACGTTGGATTTCTCAAGATACGAGAGTAGGATGGCGAGGATCCAGTTGTGGTGGCCAAAATAGTGCTGACGAGTTGTGGTGTTGAAATGAGCAGATTCAAACCACAAGGTATAAAACTATGCAATGGCCCCAAGAAAATAAAATACGTCAGGAGCAGAGTCATAAAGCAGCCCATACACGTTCCCGTCCAATCGCTGCAGCCAGACTTACAAGGGCGGCATGGATCTTGGATTCGGCCAAAGTGATAAAAGCCACAGCCTCTGCAGATTCATGTAAGTCCAGTTGGGCAGCGGCAGACGGCTGCCTGTTTTCCTGGACCCATTCCTCAAACCCATCCGAGGTGACATATTTCCCGCTGGGAAGAGCCAGGAAAGGCAGCTTTCCAGAAGGAGACATAGCGGGTTCAAATGCAGGTTTGACTTGGAAATCGATGCGGTTGAATTTCAAGTACACCTAGGTGGTGAAGAATGAACAAGGTCGACAGCGTTAGCCGAAATCGTGCTACTGAAGGTACGGCAGTAAGTATTGGAGGGTTGACTCCTTGGTATGGCAATAGATCGACTTACCATCCATTTGAGAGAGTCAACATCAAAGCTTCCGATGGCAGGTTGAGAAGGCTCCGCGGGAGACCCTTGCCCAGTGGTCCATCCAGGTGCGTACGCGTACATAATGGCCTTCACAGGGCGACGACGCGTGTGGGGTGCTGGCAACTCCTTGAGCGGGAACCTTGCCAAGAACCTGTACAATGGATGCTGACTGGAATCGCCCTCTCCAAATATACGATACTTGAATGATCGCCTGGTTGTGCTAGACTGTTCAGTCGTTCCTGATGCCTCCTCGGACCTCCCACCTGTGCTTTCCTCGGATACCTTCTCCTTGGTCTCCTTGGATTCCTTATGCTCGCTCGATGCCTTGGATTCGATGGTGCCCTGCTGGCTGACCTCCTGTGCAGTGCTCGAAGCGCTGGTTTGGATGCGCTCATTGGAGGAGGACGAGACAGATGTGGAAGAGTTGGTAGAAGTCAGGACGCGCTTAGTGATGGTACGGGTGGTTCTCTTTTTGCGAAGGATGGTTCCGTCTGGCTGGACTTCATCGAACACCTCGATTCTGGGCTCGGATTCGGTCGAAATCACCTGTTCCTCGTGGTCGGCCATGTTAGTGAAGGAACTGGATCGGGAGAGATTGGATCTACTCATCAACAGTTGCCCTTCTTTATGATTTGATATTCTCGGCTTCAGCCATAATATTTCACAGAATCATCACATTTAAAAGAGAGTTTATCGGACAGAGTGTATACAGTTATGCAGACTTGTGCTTATTCGCCTCTTCTTCCAGCACCTTGGCAGCTCCTTGGACAAGGAGAACATGCTCAACCGAATGTATCCTTTCCTGCAGGGCTGCCAAATCATCTTCTGGCCTGATCTCTACCTCCTTGACCAGCAATGGCTCGCCTCCGTCTACTTCCTGGATTACGCGGTGAACCATAACTCCTGTATGTTTGATCTCTCCTTTCTGGTATGCTTCGAAGGCGCGCTCGATAGCCTTAGCGCCATCAAACTGTCCAGGCAATGCAGGATGCAGGTTGATCAATGGTGTCGTGGGAAACTGGTCCAGAAATGCAGGGGAGAGAATGTGCATAAATCCAGCAAGAACAACCAGGTCTGGCTTAGCAGCAAGGATTAGCTGAGCGAGATCCGCATCGTATTCAGTCCTGGTCTTTCCAGCGGTCGTGTACGGCTTCAGGGCAAGGACTTTTGTGGGTATGCTGGCCTTCTCTGCCCTCTCCAAACCAAAGACCTTGGAGCGGTTTGAGATAACGAGGGGAATCTCGGCCTTGAGCGTGCCATTCCGGGTAGCATCGATGAGGGCCTGGAGATTAGATCCTGTGCCGGAGATCAGGACGACAACACGAGGGGCCATTTCGGAGCGCGATGATGGGGATCAACTGAAAGGAGCGTGGTAAGGAGATAAATGAGAAAAAAAGGCTTCCCCGCATTTTTCCAAATTGATCGCATCTCCCTAGTGACCGTTAAAGTCTATCCTGTAAGCATTTTTGTTTACCCTAAGCTCCTTCACCTATTGTACCTTTACGACCGGCACTCTTCGGCCAAACTGAGCATCATTACCGCCTGCATAGAAAAAAAGGCTCTGCTCTGCTCGTTCCACGGCTGCAAACGGATAGCGCGGATAGACTTGAACACGACCGAAGCTTGCTGAAACAGACACAGGACAGCAGGAATTTGACATGGGGCACTCTAAGCAGTCCAGCAAGGAGCCGGAGCTGTCTTCGCTCTTCCCATACAATACAAGGATGACGCGGGCGAGCCACGCTGTGCATGCTGAGCTTACAGGCCAACTCTTACGCCGAACTCTTGTCCGACGGGACTACTATAGAGCATATAAGATCTACAGCATCATGACTACCAAGAAGAATATCGCTGAGGAATTCGTGTGGAAGGTACTGATATTCGCTATGCAGACGCTAGACATCCCTGAAAGGACGCTGATGGGCACTGATTTTACATTATTTAGATCGGATGCGAGATCTTGAGACAGAAGAGTGAGTACGAGCCCCTATGCCTACGCTTCCTGCAGCTCATCTTTACAAAGTCGAAGGATTGCGTAAGTGGAAGGCTCTATACTTCGTTTAAACCTGCCTTTAAGAGTAAATCTCTGCGGATCTTTGACGCTCTTCTGGGTCTTTTTTTTTTATTTTTTTTATTTTTTTATTTTCTGCTGTCTTCCTGTTTCTGCTTCATAGAGAGAAGCAATTCTTGTCGAAACCGCACTTTATCAACTTCGATGCGGTAAACTTGAAGATGCCCGTGAAACTTTGGAACCGTAAGTTGAACCTCTTCATGATGTTAACAGGGTGCTAAACGAACGAAGGCAGCTTGCGGATAAAATATAACAGTCTTCTCTTGTTATCTTTACAATAGGTACCGTGAAATGTACCCTTACGACGAAAATCCGCTTGTGCAAGGTTATGCGGGTGTTATTGAGTTTGCATTATGGACCAAAGCCATTCGCGCAATGACTACACGAACGGGGAATAAACAGAACGCCGAAGCCAGCATTAGGAGTTTACCTCAGCTCGGCCAGGGGCACTTAGAATCTGACGACGGTAGCGACGTGGATTCGTACGATTTTTGGCTGAGTGCAGACAACGATGAAAGCCAAGATTGCATGGCACGGAAGGCAGACATATCAAGATATGAACACAATGCTGACAGGCTACTGGAGCGAGCTCTTCAGCTGAATGGCAGGAATGACATGTTTCTTGTCTATCTTGTAATACTGAGGTGCGGCAAGGTGGACTTCTCCGGGATGGATTCGAAAGCAATGCCGCAGGCGAGAAAGGATGCTATCAGCGAGATGAGGAGCTTTTTGCGGCGGTTCTATGGTAATAACAAATACAGCCTTCTGTCATTACAGTAAGTTCATTAAATGAGCATTGCGTATCACTCTCGTTGTATCTAATAGTTTGATCTAACTAACCACATTGCATTGACACGAACGATAGATTGCTGGCCGCACTTGAGAACCGAGAGAGGCAACAAACCCTTGAACTCATCTTGAAGCATGATCCAGCGGCGGATTCGGAGCTATATGTCCGTCCACTGCTGAACATGTTGAAAAAGAGGCTCGGAAGCGAACAACGGGAAATAATCATGCAGGAAAACTCTCATACCAAGACATCGTCTCGATACAAGATACATGCTTCTTCGCAGGATCAAAGGACAATTCTTCATGGCATGGACATAAAAGATTTTCGGCCAATTTTGGAGCTGTTGCTAATGCGTGCAGAGTTTGGGGTACTGACAGGGTGGGAGGAGCAGGAGTTAGTCAGGATCTGCGATCTCGTCTGCTTCTGCTCAGCCTGCGGCGAGTAAGTACTCTTTTTTTATTTATTTTTTTTACTTTTATTTTTATGATATGCGGCGCGCGTTGACCAGTACTATCAACTCATAATGCTTTCTAGGACGACTGAAGTCAGAAAGCAATCCTGTTTCGAAGATTTGCCCCTCGAAGCCCAGCCCCCTTGGTACAACAAGCTGGCCTTGATTTTGAGTCGCATCAAATAAAGCAAAAATGAGTCCTAATGTACGCTCCAAGTCATAATATCCCTCCCCACCTGTAAATTCGTCTAGGGTTCCATATATTGTAGAGAGTGGGGGGAGAATGGCAGTGCATAAAGCCCCTTCGGGGCCAAGGGAACCAGCATCAGGATCAATTCACGCTTTTTCTGAAAAAAGTCACAAAAATGTCATCATTTGTTGTTCCTTACTGCGCCACGCTGCATCCACTCACCTTTGCCAGAGGAAAAAATAGCCCTCTCCATCCATCACTTTGTGAAGCATAGGACAACACACTCATCATGCCACCAAAAAAGGCCAACACCGAGAAGAAAAAGCTTGTGGAGGACAAGACCTTCGGCCTTAAAAACAAGAATAGGTCGGCCAAGGTCTCGCGCTATGTCGAGACTGTCAAAAACCAGGCAGCACAGGCTGGTCAGTCCAGAAAGGATATGGTAACCATATACAGCTTGTTGCTCTCTGCTATCTGGAATCCACATTGGGAACTAAGCGTACGCACATAGACATTCTACTCATCTTATATTTCAAATGTTGTTCTCTTGCGCAATATAGATTGATAAGGAGCGCGAAAAGCAGGCGATTGTCGATCGTAAACGTGCTGAACAGGCGAAGAAGGAGGAGCTCAATGACCTCTTCAAGCCCGTACAGGTTCAGCAGAAGGTGCCTTTCGGTGTCAACCCTAAGACTGTCCTTTGTGCGTTCTTCAAGGCAGGAACATGTACAAAGGGCGACAAATGCAAATTCTCCCATGACCCCAACGTCGAGCGCAAGACAGCCAAGAGGGACTTGTATACGGACAACCGTGATGACGAAAAGAAGAATGGCAAGTACCATAGCGCCCATTCCATCAGGCCGTGGGACGATAAGGGATAATATGAATGTCACTGATGTTGCCATACAGAAACGCAATGTTCCTGACCCCTGTTTTATGTGTTCCCTCTCTTTTTCAATAGATACAATGGAGACGTGGGACCAATCGAAGCTGGAATCCGTTGTCAATTCGAAATCAAAGGGCATCACTAATGCAACGACCACCGACATTGTGTGCAAGTACTTTTTGGAGGCTATCGAAAATCAAAAATATGGCTGGTTCTGGGATTGCCCGAATGGAGGTAAGCATTACGGAAATCGTAGCAATAGCCAATGACTCATTTGACTATCTAAGGATCCATACGACAGGGTTACTTACGCTATCCTTTCACACATTGCATCTCAGGAACCCAATGCAAATATCGCCATGCTCTTCCGCCTGGCTTCATTTTGAAAACTAAGGCGGAGCTCCGAGCGGAGGCCAACAAGGAAGTTATTTCAATTGAGGACTTTTTAGAGACAGAGCGACACAAGCTGGGCAAGAATCTGACACCCGTGACTGTGGAGAGTTTTGCGGCCTGGAAGAAGATGCGTGCGGATCGCGTAGAGCAGGAAGAGCAGGCGAAGCGCAAGGCCAAGGAGGCTGCCTACAAGGCTGGAAAGATGTTGCAGTTCTCTGGAAGGGAATTGTTCGACTTCAACCCTGAGATTGCTGGAGAGGATGAGGAGGACGATGGCGATGATGTGTTCGATTTCTCAAAGTATACGATGAACATGGATGATACGGAGTCCCCTGAGGAGCTGGAGGCGCGCATTACACGAGATATGGCCAAGGTTCATGTGGATAACGAGCTCTTTGCAGGCGAGGAGGATGTGCAGGTCAGCGATGACGATGAGTAATAAAATGTGGAGGGGATGTAGTGCAACGATCAAATATAACCAGAAATATGCGGGAATAAAAGGTGATGAAATGTCGATTCGACAGCAAACGACACCCAGGCGATAATGGACCATGCGTAATAATGAACAGTCAGCAGGGTGTAGTGCAATCGATCCGGACTATTGTAATTTATTAGGGTAGAGAGGGATATGGCAGTCTTTCAAACACTTTTGTTGAGGTCTTTCTCAGAGCCCATGAGCTTTGAGTCGCTCAATACGGTCATGTCTGTCAGCTGCTTAGCACGCGCTTTTTCGGCTTGTTCATTATTGTAAAAATCGATGGCCTCTTGGCGGCCCTTTTCCACTATTGTTTTGATTGATAAAGCATTATTGACGTTAGTGTACCACTCATTACGAAGCTGATTGGTCGATTGCGGTGGAAGCGTACCGTTGACAAAGACCATCATGATAGCAGGGATATAAAACTGCGTAAGAAGGAACCACCAAGTGTGCCTGATACCGGCTCGCTCGATGATTGCCGTGCAGATCAATGGTCTACAGGAGGAGCAATAAAACTGTTAGTCCCATAGATACAATACCATTTGATACAAGTGGGTTTCCTACGCTATATGAGTATCTTACCCTATCCACGAAGACGATACATTTGCCTAAGGATGTCATTCAGGCGTTAATTAGTGGAAGATCATAAATTGTCGCCTTGGGTGCATTGGATGTAAAATCTCAAGTTCAGGGCCCTACCATCTCAAACACAGCGTATAACTCATTTTCGTGGCCCAGTGGTATAAACTGCGAAAAGACGACTCTGTTCGAAGAGTTAATGGCGCCGATAAACAGTCCAAAGAGCGAGGCACACAAGTAGAGCTCCCAGGTATGCTTCAGTCCGACGGGGTTGCTCTTAATCAGACCCAGCAGGCAGTAGATTGGGATCAGTCCGAACAGACAAGAGTTGATAATAATAACTTTCATAGGTTTGACTCCCTTGCTGTTCTGTAACCAGATCCAGAACCACATACTGCATCCTGCAAATATGTATTGAATCAATGCTGCGATGATTAGGGCGTCATTCGATACCCGCAGCTGGTCCTGTGCGATCAAAATGGCCATGCTAGTCGCAGACGTCAGACCGTCGCCGAGAATAAACCATGCGCAGAGGTAGAAAAACATGGTCTTCAGACGGCGGACCTGGCGCATAGTCTTGCCGATGCGCACATATCCGAAGGTGAAGACGTTAGCGCCTTCAGGCAAGGGAGGTGATGTTCTCTGGTGCGAGAGGAAGGCGTAAGCAATCATGAAGATCAGGACAAAGACCGAGCTCATGATGAGACAGTAGCCCAGCACCAGAGGTGAGGCATCTGTCATAATAATGACCAACGTAGCGAGGAGCGTGAGCAGAAAACCACCGGCGTATCCAGCAGCCGATGCTCCGCCAGAGAGGAACGTTGCTACCTGGACCTTGGCCTTTACGTGCTCCTGGGAATCTGCCCCATGGTCGACCATGGCTTTGATCACGGTTGGGTGAAATCGAGCCAGAATAGGTATATGGGCATCGAAGAAGTTCAAGGTCACTCCATTGAAGATCAGCCCTAGCGTATTGTAAATTAGTAATATCGGCAAGAAACAACAGGATTGTTGTGAGTTGATTGCGACTTTCCAGCTTAGATCACTCACATTATTCACTATTCAGAGCTCTTCGCATACCAACTACCATCAGGAAACCACTAATCCACCAGACCTCAGGCTTCAATGGTCCAATGAACATGAATGCAGTCGTGACAGCGAGCAGCAAGCAAAAAGTCATCATCAACTTTCTGGAAGACCGTCCATGGTCCGCAAATGCTGATGTCCCCAGCGAGACCACAATCGTGCACCAGACCGAAACCACGTTGATTAGAAGCGTGTAGGAAGTTGGTTCGACATAGATAAAGCCAAAGGGAACGACGCACTTATCCCCCACAGGAATCTCGGCGTCTTTTGAAGGGCATGGTGTTATCAGGTCCGAGCTCAAGTGCGAGGCGCCTCGTGCGACCTGCTGGACTAGTAGAGGCTGGAAAAGGGCGCCAGTGGTGTTGGACCAACCAAAGTACCCGAATCCGAACAAGAAGAACGCCCAAAGTTCCGCCTTCTTGGTCAAACGTTCCTGGATGTACGGCTGCAGTGTGATAGCATCGTTGGGGTCATCGTGGAGGAGATGCTTTTTGAGGCGTGAAATTAAACCCGTACGCGGCGTTGTATGATCCGAAGTACCAGATGACACTTTATCGTCTACATCCATGATGCCGAAGTATTTCCGAAGAATGGAGTTGGAGGATGAGGGACGCAAATATCGCGATGAGGATGAACCGCAATGGGCGTGTAGTCGATGGCGAGTTGCTCGGACAGCTATTCCTGTCAAGAAAGGTATGTACTCAAAGCAAGTACAAGGAGGGGAGTGGGGAGTGGGAGGAGGGGAGGAGAGGCGGTGGGAGAGAAGGAGCATAAAAACGGAATTGGGAGAATAATATGAGCAAATAACGAAGAGTCGCGCTGTGTAATCGTTTTCCCACTCCTGTGCTGCTCCTGTGCTACCTTGGTCTTCTGAAAAGAATGGTTGTACAGAGGTGCATGTGTAATTCAAATTGGCGCAAACCTTATTACCGTTAAGATTAAAGAATCGATTCCCCACAACTGACCACTGGATACTCCTGTTCTTATCATGCAGATAGAGCACTTACATACCCAACGATCTGATATACCGTTTTCCGCGCACGCAAAGAGAGAGCATTGCTCGGCATAGACAGAGCAGGAATTTGTCGCGTTTATGTTCTGGCAAACATGAAAGCATTCTCTACTGAGCGAAATGATTACGATCACTGACCATGGATTGCAATTGGTATCCTTTATTTATTTAATTTTTTTACCACATACGAACTCATAGTCTTCTGGTGCTGAAGCTGACTGTCGTCAAAAGACAGCCGTGGTGAAAGCATTTTAGACAGAGTGACCTGTCGATCGCAGCTTGGAGGCGACCATCTCACGCATCTCGTTGATGATCTTGTTGTCCTTCTTAATCTTCTCCTCCTGGTTGAAAATCATGAGTGCTCTCTTCTCCTCCGCACTAATAACCTGGTTCTCCTTTCGGACACGTACAGCGTTCATGCGCTGGTGCCTAGAGATAAAATTGAGTATGATTTGTCAGAGCGGGTTCTACATGTAACGTTTACGAGCCAACCAAGGGAAAACAAGGAGAATATCACATACCGGCTTCCACTCATAACAAATCCCGCTTGCTCATAGTGTTCGATCTGATCGCTCTCCAATCCAATCTCTCCACGACGTGGGATACGTTTTCCGTCTTGAATGTAGGCTGCCATGGCAGAACCTTCACCAGCCAGTAGCGCACCACCATAGCTGCGTTCATTCATCTTGCCATCGTTGAGATACAGGGGTACAGGGCCCACCTCCTGGTCATCATCAGGCATTTCGATCTTCTTCTCCACCCACATATCGTCCGGATACTCCTCCACCGCCTCAGACGATCCTGCATGCGCCGCCGCTGATGAAGATGACTGGGCAATTTCCATTTCGGACTCGCGTCGCTGAGAGTCGCCACGGCTGCGATGGCGACGATTGCTGCCTCGCGAAGGGACCTGATCCTCGCTTTCACTCACGCTCAAGGGTGTCGGGCTACGATCTCTCCTCTTGGACGAGCGTTTGTCCCTCTTCCGACTGCTGCTCGTGTGATGAGATCTACTTGATCGTTTGTGCTTGCTGGATTTGGACGACTTGCGGCGACGCTTACGACCAGCATCCGTGTCCTCTGAGTCTGACCCACTATCGGAATCTGGATGGCGGTAAAAAAAAAAAAAAAAAAAAAAAGGCCAATCTTCAGTAAAGAGATAGATGCCAAGAAATGCGTTCTTCTTAAATTCGCCTAGTGCTCCTTTAACATACCATGCTTCTTGCGTTGAGCTTTCGAAGCTGGCTTCTTCTTGACCTCTCTGTCGGGTGACGGCGACCTGTTTTGAAGTTCCTCCTCTGTGGGAGAAGGAGCCCAGATAGAAAACTTGATCGCAAGGCGTTGTTCTCGACGGCTGGTAGGAACAGAAACAAATTCATGAGTATCTCAGATCAAAACACAATAAAACCTCCGCTTAACGCTGGTCGATGACGATGCACATACTTGTCAGAGAACTCTGGCATCATCTCTTGCGGTCTTCGCCCTCCTCTGTATGGTCGATCGTCACGTCTCTCGCCATCCCGTACATCATCTCTTCGATGATCAGCTTCATATCGTCGTCCTCTGTACTCATCCCGAGAATTGCCTCCTCCTCTGTCATACCGGTCTCTAGAAGAGTCGGTACCGTTTTCATGTCTGTTACCGTTGCTGCTGTGGTTCTGTTCATGCCTGACAGGCTGATAGCTGTCGTAAGTGGGACTCTGTCTCCGGCCGTATCGATCCCCCTTGTTATATGGCGAAGGATTGCGTTCCTGTCGATTGGGCTGATTCCTGTCATTTGCCCTGTATGTGGGTGACTTTGATCGTGATCGAGAATCCCGAGCACCTCGCCCTCTGTACCGGTCATCTCTATAGGAATTCCTGTCTCTATCCCTGGTTGAGTCTCGCCCATAAGTATCACTGCGTCCACGGGATTCTTGAACTGGACTCCTGCTGCGGTTGCGTCTGGTATCAGGCCGTCTACCTGGGCTTGGGCTCCAATGACGTCCTCCGTTGCGGTCGCTGTTATCTTGACTCCGAGAACGCCCTCTTTCGTCGCCTCTTCGCTCTGCTTCACGGCTTGCAATACCTCCTGACTGAGGATCCCGCCGAACGTCTACACTACTGCTGCGTCCGTGGCTGCGGCTACGACTTCTACTCCGGCTCACGCTGCGGCGCTGATTACGGCCCCGTGGCGATCGAGAGCCGGATGCGGAGCGTGTTCTTCGATTGCTTCTGGATGAATCGTTGCTAGTACTCTGCTTTCTTGTAGCTAGCAGCCTATTGCGTAGTTCAGTCGCCTCCGTCTCTGGTGACATGGTGCGTGGATGATCTGCTGCTGACGATTCCATGTTATTATTCAAGTGGTGGATCTGGCTGGGAACTTCGAGAGTCAGGAATAATTAGCTGCGATCAAACCTGTTAATTTATTCAATATCATAACCATACGAATATAATATTATAGAGGTCTTTGAGTTTATTTATTTCGCAGCGATTCCAGGGCAGAGACAACCGCTACTCGACGCAGACCCTTGGCAAGGACAAGGCACCCCGAGAGTGCAATACGCTTCTGTTCTTTGGTCCAGTTTGATGCCGCATTTACTTTCCACACCATGTCCAGGATAGCTGCTTCGTTGTAGACTAAGATCAATGGCAAAGTAGCAAGAACAGCGTAAATATATGTGAGATTTTACAGTCGGAACTTCACAATTCCTGATGTTAAAGGTGAGATACTTACACTTGGGACTCATTTTAATCTGTCTGACCATGGCATGCTTGTATTCCAATGGTGTGTTATCCATCATAACTGACGTTCCCGTTGACATAGAGTTCGGGACAGCTGAGAAACTAGCGGACCTCACTTGTTGATCTCGGATCGTATGAGATGGCTCTGTCCGCGGTTCCATCGAGGCTTCCGTATTAGGCACGGCCGAGGTTCTTTCTATCTCCATATTGTTCGTCGACATGTCGCTTGCTTCCCCACTTGTAGCGGATGATCGGCGCAAGCCATCTGATATTGATGGGTCGGCATGGTCCAGCTTAGACCCAATCACTGAGGAGTTAGGTCCGCGCATTGCTTCTGTCAAAGCCGGCGCATTAGCATCTGCCCTATTGACGTCCTCTGACGGCGGGCGTAGTATTGGGATAGGCATGAGGTCATGTGGATTACTGTTCGTTCCTAACATGACATCTGTGTTCTTTGCGTGGGCCTCCACATCACTATTATCCTGCAGTGATGGCGAGCTAGACAACGATTCGTTGGCATGCATCTGCAGAGCGGCGGCTCCGGAAGGAGTACGTTCGGGGATCATATGAGGAATTGACTGTAGCTCCATGAGAGCCGTTGGGTCGTATACCAGGCTATCGAAAATTGGTATGGCGGTACCATTGAGCTGCTGCAAGTCGTCTTCCACACCTTGACGATGCTTTTCGTATTCTTGGCTTGCCAGTAAATCCGAAGCTGTTTTCCCTTTCCCAGCAAAAGATAATCCTGCGTTGTCGGTAGCAATGTCATCGAGGCTTATCGAGATTATCGGGGCCGGGATCATCTCCTGTGCGCACTGCATGTCTTCCATTTCCACGTCATCGTCATCCAGCCCGATTCCTCCAGGCATTGGTGTGTCAGCTCTGAGACGCGCCGCTTCGTCGTCACCATCCATTTCCATCTCATCCGAGTTGAACATGGCTCTTCTGAAGTCATCCTCCTCTTCATCCTCATCTTCTCCATCATGCATGCCCAAATGACGGCTAAGGGTATCTGTGGGGTAGCTAGAACTCTGCGGCTTGCCTGAGCCATCTTCGACCAGGACCTTCAGTATCGGTGGCAACACAGTTCTTGTGCCAGAGGGGCCGAATGACACCAACTGGACTTTGCCGGAAATTGATCGGCCTCCTTGAGCCAGACTTGGGATTTTTTCGATGGGAAAATGTGATGATGAAACAGATCTCCGCCGAGGTTTCCGCTTCCTGCCGAGGATAGACGACCATGAAGATCCACTGGATGTGCTGTTGGACGATATTGACGAGTCAGCCGCGGATGCCTCGTCCTCTTCATCGATAGAGACCTTTTTGTCCTGCTTATACGGGTTGCCGAACATAGTCCTTTGTAGCGATTTTGCCGATTCTTCGTCTCGGAAAGGGTCTCTCAGGTTCTCCTGTTGGATCTTCTGCATACGATCCTGGTAAATACCCATGTCGGCAATTGGAAGCGAATGAAGGTCATCAGAATCTGCGAAAAGATCAAGTCTGGCGTCTATTGCTCGTGATGATCCTGAGATTATTGATTTCTGAGCCATGTCTGGTGATGATGTGGCCAATGCTGATGCTGGTCTGAGTTGAAGCTCCTTGAAGAACGAACGCTTTAGATCGCTGAGCACTGAAATTAATTCCGATCGAGGCACATCGAAAGCATTAGTGCAGAGTGTCTTCTTTTTCAGACCCACTGGATCCACCGTTAAACTTGGCTCTGCACTCAGGAGCCGATCTAATTCAGATTTGGCCTATCCGAAAAAACCGGGCGTTAGCATGGGTTATTGTTGAACTAGTCGTTTTCCAAAAAAAAAAAAAAAAAAAAAAAAAAAAAAGTGAAGAAATTACCTGTATCTTGTTTTTGCTGATGATTTTTAGCACCGCAGGACTAAGCATTCCCTGGTCGGATGGTATGATATTGACAATGCCCATTCTCTTAAGCGCGTTCCGTAGGGGCTAAAAGGTGATATAACATAGCAGCAAGTTAGCGGAATCTTAGAGCAGCCGCTATCTTTTCTATATTGTCACATATAATAAGCAATGCTTACAGTGTAATAATAGGACGGTGTATGGCTAAGATATTCCGAGAAGTCTCGAAGCCAGGCCGGAGTCGGTGTCCGATCAGGGAGGGAGTAAAGGTTCACTGTGTGAAAGAAAATAGTTAAGGTTACCATGCGAGAACTTTGGACTACGTGCAATACGGAATCTGCAGATGCTTAACCAGAACATACCCATAAGGGTGAATAGCGCTGGATAGTTATAGGCTACCACTGTCAGAGTCACTGCTGTCTTATTCGTATTTGCTCTCAGGAATGCGAAAGGAAATCCGAAGCCCTCAGTTTTGTAGCTGTTTTTTACATACACCTAGTTCAGTATAAAAACAGAGCAGATAACGTCAATCTCAAACATATTACTGGATAGACCATGGTAACTGTCGTAGCTTTTCACATCAGCACCTTACAGGCCAGCAGGACTCTGAAGGTCGCGTAAGGAGCTCTTGTGTCATGGGACATGGCGCAACCACATATTTGTCGAATGGGAAACCTTCGGGAATATCAACGCGTTTTTCATCCTTGGTGTGGTAATGTAGTGTTGGTTGCGCATTCCGAGTAGGTATCCGTTGAGCATCCAATTCTGGCCAAAAAGGTTCAGGAATTGGGAAAAAGCCAGGGTGTCGCGACTGCGGATTGAGCCAGCTTGGATTGACATATATGAGCTGATGGTGGTTGGCGGTGTTGGGTCGTCGAGGGTCCGCTGCGAGATTGTGTAGTTGGAGAAGAGTGATGCTGTTAGCTCCAGATACGTGACAGTGTCTCAAGACTACGAATAACATTGAATTGCAAATAACGAAGTGTTCAAACAGTCTGCCGTACCGATCAAATCTTCAAAGTTGACAACAACGCCGTATATGTGGAGGAGGGCTTGAGGAGAGAATTGGGTTGGAGGTATTTTGCTGATCCCAAGCATGCAGTCCATTGCTTGGAGCATATGCCTTAATGTCCGCACGCGATAGCTCGTTCCTGTACAACATAAAAAGTGCTGTGCGTCAGATTGATTACTTCCTGGAGGAGGCCAGGACACTTGGCACCATGGACAAGCTCAAATGATCATTCTCTATTTCTGCGCAGGGTGATCGTCTCCTTCGTTTACCTCCCATGACTGTGCTGAGAACACTGAGCTGAGGATCGACCATTTCGGCATTGGGTTCCAAAAATATCGTATACAGCCTCTGATCCCAACGAAAAGGCTCGTGGTAGTAGTCGACTCCTGCGAATGTAATTCCTGGGATATTCAGCTATTTCAGAATTATGACATGGATAACAGATGTTCAGTAAATCGCGCAGGTAGCCAATTCGATCATAGAGATGACCATACTGTATATCTGAATATTGCCCATACCCTGTCCAAAGCTCCTGCAGGAGATGATTGTTTTCCTCCGTCCGTGAACCATAGAATGATCGTGGGCTCGATTGTAGCTGGGAAGCGTCCCTATGTGAATCAACGCCAAAGAATCTGTCATTGAACCACTCAAGTGTAGGTTTCGATAAAGTCTTTAAAAAAAACATGCATTGCGTCCTTACACTGGCAGGCGTATCGATACCATGGTAGACACGGTAAACGTTGAGTAAGTCAAACACAGTCGAGAGAGATGCTCCTGGATTGGACATGTCCGTTGCATTTAGAATTTTGAGCTCCTTGATCAGATGGGGAAGCGGGTCTTTCAAAGACGACTAAAGCGGTATCAACGCGCGAACAGATCAGTATCGAAGACACGCCCACATACTTTGCGGTGTAAATCATTTCTGTTCAAAGTCGTACCCTGACGCACCCAGGGCCCTCCTCATATGTAACCAGCATAAACTTGTCGTTGTGCTTTTCGGCAGGCTTGACGTGTGGCAGATGCTATCAGTGCAGGAGATCGCGGAAAAGTCAGCAACGAAAACCCAACCACATTTTTTCTAAAAGGTAGCTTGAGATTGAGAAAGCTATCACGTCTGCGTCTTCATTTTGGGGGTGCCTTGCTTAACGAGGCATACTCTCCTCATTTACCTTGATCAGGTGCTCAATCCCAGACTTTGTGCATTCTAACGCTGACATGCCACTCGAGAACTTTTGGTTCATCGACGCACTGGTGTCGACTAGGAATATGACAATCATAGTTTTTATATTCGGCACGCCCCCCTTTCCAATATTATATATATTATATTTTACAAAGCCTTGGCAAAAGGTTTGCTCGACACCCAGCGACCCACAGAAAACGAGATGTGCGTCTGAACAAGAAGGAACGGAAGATAAACGAGAAGTAGTGCTTGGGGATGTGTGAAACGGTGAACAGGGCCAATTGAATCGGAAATGGAAAAAGCTCCAAGCCACGCTATAGCACCTTTCGCGTTCCTGGTTCAAGTCATGCATCACCAGGCCCAAGCATCGATCTACCAGGATGGTCACGACCACACAAAGGATCAACAAACGGCTCGAAAAGGCCAGGAACCAGGCGAGGCATGCGCTTTACCCTTCTACCGACTCGGACTCTGAGAATGAGCAGATTGATTGGATCGGTGAGCCATTGAACAAAGATACTTTCCTGCGCAGGAAATCAGGGGACGCCACACGGACCAGCGAGCCAGTGCCAGCACCTACAAGGAGAGCAACTCGTGGATCAGGGCTTTCCAACATTCCATACTACAGAGGCTTCACCAAGGGCGATACAAACTACAGTCTTGGCGATATTGTCCTTCTTAGAAACGAGCAGTATTCCGGGAAACTGCATCGTCCACATGTGGCCCAAATCTTGTCGCTCTGGGAGACCGAAGAAGGCGCATTCGAAGGCGATTTTCGCTGGTTTCATCAAGAGGAGGATATTGAAACGCTGAGAAGGCATCAGAGGAAGGGCAATTATCCGGAGAATCTTGAGCCAGGCGAGATCGTTTATACTCTTGACGATGATCAAAATGATGTCAGCACAGTCGTCGCCAAGTGCCAGGTCTTAAGTGAGTCTGAGTGGCGACAGAAATTTGGGGACGGACCGACAACACTTCGCAAGGAGGAGCAAAGTATGGTATGGTTTTGTCGGGGGATGGTTCGGAAGATGACTGGATACCACGCGATCGAATGGAAGGGTGGCGAAGAGATGATGAAGCTGAAGGAGGAGAAGGAGGTACGCTCGAAACGGAAGGCAGCAATACGTCCAAGTCTAGCGGTCAGTCAGTCTCCGAGAAAACCACCAGCTCCTTCTGCCCTGTCAAAGCCCCAACAAAAGAGTGCCACATCCTCTTCGAAACGCAATAAAAAAGCAAGGACAGCGGATAGCGACAGTGGAAGTGAACCGGAGCTAGAAGAATCAGAATCAGAGCCAGTATGTCGATATCTCGTAACCTCGATTGAATATTCACTCATGGATGTGCAACTTTACTAATGTAATGATAACGTTGTTTATCTCTGCCCTAGGAAGACTATGAGGAGGATGACAGCGAAAGTGATGCAAGTCCAAAGCTGAACGCAAAAGCTCCAGCAAGGAGGAAGCCGGCACCAGTAGTTCGAAAGCAAAAGACCTCCGAGCGGCCTGCAATACTTAGACGGGCAAAGTACGTAGTAGCTAGCGGATATGCTTGCGCAGCTGGCATTTTTACTTATGGCCGACCTTTATTCTCTTACGTTGTACGTATAGAACATTGGTGGTTCAAACACCAACTACTCATAGAGCCACTTCAACAGCTGTACCGACGACCGATTTTGAGCACGCCCGCAATCGCTTGCATGTGAAGGCTGTGCCGGACACGCTTCCTTGTCGCGAAGATGAATTTCTAGAGATCCAGGACCACCTTGAAAGTGCAATCGAAGAAGGCACCGGAAGTTGCATCTGTAAGCAAGGCGAAAGGCACTTTGATGTTCAGCCCATTCATTCAGTTTGACAATTTCCGCCGCTTCCTGTTTATAAATCTCTTGGATGCTTTCCCTCATTTTAGATATTTCTGGTGTACCAGGAACCGGAAAGACAGCAACGGTGCATGAGGTCATCAGGTCATTACAGGCAAAGGCTGAGGAAGGGGTAAGACTCTACCGCAGAACTTCCTGTCTTCGACCGCAACCACACATGAACTTGCTCACAAGAGATCTTTTTTCATAATTCATTTTAGGAGATATCGCCTTTCCAGTTTGTGGAGATTAATGGCATGAAGGTTACGGAGCCATCTTATGCATATGTACTTCTATGGATGGCGCTGTCCGATCAAAAGGTCACAGCAAATCACGCGCTCCAGCTGCTGGAAAAGCAGTTCAGCACACCGGGACCACGACGATTGCCATGGTAGGATGGTTCAACTGAGGACATATGCGATAATGTCAGGGTTTCATCCAACTTCTTTGGCTTATTTGCTGGATGTAATTTATCATATTTACTAGTGTTGTCTTAATGGACGAACTCGACTTAATGGTCACCGCAAAGCAAACGGTCATGTATAACTTCTTTGAGTGGCCCAGCTGGGTGCACTCTCGATTGATCGTTGTTGCCGTCGCAAACACGATGGATCTGCCTGAACGCATGCTGTCTAACAAAGTCTCCAGTCGTTTGGGTAAGAAGATTCCGCCTCCATTTTAACACTTCGTATGCCCATTTTACAGATGCGGACGCTGATCAATAGTTTTAAGCGGTTTAGGCCTAACTAGAATCAATTTCCAGCCGTACACCTACCAGCAACTGGTCACAATTGTGGAGTCCAGGTTGCAGGGTATCAAAGCATTTCGAAAGGAGGCCGTTGAGTTTGCGGCGCGCAAAGTTGGGGCTGTCTCTGGAGATGCCCGTCGGGCGCTTGACATTTGCAGGTGAGGTTACATGTTACTCACGACAGGAGATGTATACGCGGCACTGATGCAGTGGACTAATCAAGGAGCGGTCTTGGACAATTTAGGCGAGCTGTAGAGATCGTAGAGTCCAATGCCCAAAAGCACGAGGAGCAGCGACAAAAGGCAGCACAACGGAATCCTCATGAGAACCTTGGACCACCCGCGGAGCTAGAGCAGGTCACAATTCGGACAGTGGATCAAGCCATCAAGGAAATGTTTGCCTCGCCCAATGTTCGGCTTATTCAAACGGCATCTCTGCACCAAAAACTATTTCTCGTTGCACTTACGTCAAGGCTGAGACGCTTGGGTCTGGCGGAAGTGGAGTTTTCGGAGATTGCTCATGCGCACCTGCAAATGTGCCGCTTGCATAATATCGAGCCACCAATGTTGAGTGATCTTTCAGCCATATGCGCCAGTCTAGGATCTTCAAGGTGCCTGTTAGTCGAGTCCGGAAAGCAGGACATACATCAGCGGGTGCGACTGAGCGTAAGTGAAGAGGACGTAATTATGGCGCTAAAGGCAGACCCGCTCTTTAGGCGACTATTGGACAACCTTCCCTCAACATCAGCATCGTAGGAGCCTCTTATCTATCTGAAGTAGACTACGACGATCCAAATAGCATTGCTTATGAGATAGACTATGCTTGTGATAGCAACAAGAGCGTTGCATTGATCATAAAGGAAGTTTCAAGGGCTGCGCTTAAGGTTCCTACATCGAAAAATGACCAACGCCTTCATACTGGAATTACGTCGTAAACAAATGCATCCTGTCTGCTCATGTCGCACCGTTCCACCTTCCTCTTTTTTGTTAGAACTACCACTATTATACTTTAAAGTGATTTACAAGGCCCATCCTTTATTCGTCTCGTCCCTGTCCTCGTTGGGTCTAAGGTGTACCATGCATGGTTAATATCCGTGCACCATGACAGTCGATGGACGGGAGAGTGCACGTTTCGCCGCATAGCTCAGGCAGGCGCAGGTGTATCAAAAATGAAAGCCGAAATTTGCTTCTTCGCCTCTTGTGGATCCGTGGAGATACTAAAAACAACAACAGATGTTCAAAAGACACATTAGTCAGGTTGTCTAGTTGATTGGCGAAGCGATAGAATGCAGCATGATAGCAGATACGCTTGCGTACTCTTTCAGCTTGATGTCAAACCCTCCGTTTCCGTTGGGTTCAAAGTATCGTGGGACATGAGGGTGTCCGCGGTCCTCGCGTTCCTTCGTCCTTGCACGCTGATCCTCCTCGACTTTGTTCTTTTCGACGCTGGCGACATCCTGGTTGTTGATTCTGAGCGCCGCTGTCAGTTTGCTCCATAGTCGCCGAGATTCATTCGGTTCCTGCTGTTCTTCTGACGCTACAACCTTTGGGTGGATCGTGGACGTTTTGACATCAAAGAGCAGATCCTTTTTGGTACCCTAAATTGGAATAATAATAACTGTCAGCGCTACATTGTCCAGTGTTCACCACATGAGCATACAAAGAGGATTTAGGTAAAACAAAAAGTACCTTCTTAATGTAGATTTCATCGGACCACTTTCCAGAGATTTCATAAAGGCATTCTCCAGTCGATTCACGCTTGATCTTCCCTGAAATGCCGTTGTATGTGCCGGTGAAGAAGCCCTGTTGATTGCAAGACATATCGCCGTTGCGTTAGTAGGGATGAAGGCACATCGAACCAAGCTGTGTATACATGGATACATGAAGTCAAGTGATACCACAATTACCTTCACTTTAAAATCCAGATTGCAAACAAGGTCCAGTTTTGGGCACTTTACAGAGGCAACATCTCCCAATTCCAAGAGCATCGTGCCAAACAAAATACCACGCGCGTAAACGTTGGGCATGGTGATAATGTAGTCCTCTCCTGGCCTATTTGTGAAAGAGACTCTGATCTCGCCCTGCATCAACGTTGCTGCACTGTTGCCCAAAAACTTTGACTTTGGCAAGAGATCACCTATGATACTGAGGTTGTTTTCTGGACTCGCGTAGTAAAATGCGGAGATAGGAGGGTGATGCGAGACTTGCTCTGCAACGTAGAATGCCTCTGTGCCGTCCGCGAACTGCCACTGTGCACGAAATTGTTCGCCCAGGATAGGATTGTACGGCTTCTTCACACCCTACTCCACAAGTCGGTAAAGAGATGGTCTTTTTAGTATGCCCTTCTCCACTTCCTCTAAATATGACAGTGCCTGACTCGAGCTTTTGCTGGTACCTTTGGCTTAATATGCCATCCCGATAAGTAGTATCGTGTCACTGCCACGAAGCGCTCAACTGGATCCTCGATTTGGTTCGCTCTAAAAGGTTGACAAAACCAACACAAAAGTGTCAGAGAGATGTTGGACAGTTTTAGACTTTTATTGTACAGCCAACCATGACCAAGGATATCAAGACCAGAGTACAAATATGCCGCCCACATCTTCAGTTTCCCCTCAAAATATCGATTTCTTCTTCCACACACACATACACACACATGTTCGCACGCAAAATCAACGTGACCTATGCACACAGGGAGTGCACACAGGTTGCTTCACGGTGACCCATCTCTTAGCTGACGCAACCCATCCTCTTCGATGCCAACGAGAAGATAGCCGATCCATGTAGATCATAAGCGAGCAAATTCACTGGGGTCCTTGATATATTCGGTCGAAAAGCCAGCTGTACCAAGAAATGAGAGCAAACGCACAGCCTCCAACATACTCAATGACACCGTAGAGGCAAAAAAAGAAGAGCGCGTAGAAAGAGCAAAGAGCAACGGGGTTGAAAAGCTGGTGATGGAGTCAGATCAGTCGGCATATGTTGGTATCCTCTATATCCTCGAAGGTCCATTTTTCATACATTACGTCTCGCTAAGGACCCCATGGCTTTCCTCTGTGGGCACGAGATGAATAGAGAAACCGCTCTGAAAAAAGAGTGGGTGCAGACACATGATTCAATGGCTCTTACTTGATAATCAGCTCTGGGTGGGACATAAAGTCCGTGATGCGCTCAAGCATACTGCGGGGTTCGAGGACGAAAGTGGGGAGGGTAACGCGATGGAGGTCGGTGCTCTTGCCAAGCTGGGCAATGATGCCCATAAGGATACTCTTTGTGCCTTCGTCCAGGACCTCTGTGTCCTCGCCGTCGACGGGGATGTTTTGTACCTTGGCGTCTGCCATCGGAGCTGAATGAATTGCGACTGAGGTTGGAATGAGGTTGAGTTGGCTCGAATGGGGCAAAAGGAAGGAGGAAGAGAGGATAGTCGCGAAGGCAGAAGGACGGAGAATACGGGAAAGCAAAAGACGGGAAGGTGAAAGAGGGCGCAAAATTGTGTCGCAGGAACAGCACGCAAGAGGGTTTGCATATTCATGTAAATACCCACCAACCATAGACAAAAAAAAAAAAACGCTCCCCCTATCACCCCGGCTCCACAACGTCACTGAGGAGGACTCCATTGTTCATTTCTTCTTTCATCACCCCTGGATCTCGCTGCCGAATCAGCTTTTTGCGCATCGCAGCACGCCGTTATTCTTCTCAAGCATCAGTCCATTTCCTCATTCTCATCCTTATCCAAAATTTCATCAGCTCAAGATCTCTGTCCAGACACGACTTTCTGCAAAACGGAGCGCGGCATCGACTTTACAGGCGCCGATTTACTTATACCAGCCTTGAGCATTTCTTCATAAAGCGCGTTTTTCAATCTCAAATGACACTCAAATACTATCAGGATATGGCCAACCTCTGTCTGCTATGAACCATAAGGCACCTGTTTATACTTTCGTTTTAGACCGCGACCGACATAGGAAGAATGAGTCAACAAATTGCGACGAAGCCTTGGATGCTGTGGAAGATGGCATTCAGAAATTTATGTACAACAACAGGTTTTGTGTAACAATCAGAACAATGGGTGGTGGGTTTAGACATTGGCATTTCAACAAAGGAACAGCTGCTGCGGATGAAGATGATTATTCACTTCAAGTGGCAAGGCACTCTCCACATCAATAAGCGACGGATACTGAAAGAAAAAATATCGTAGATTAAATGCTGTTCCTGTTGCCTCCTAGCCTTCCCACGCGAAGGTGTTACGGGCTCGAATCAAGTTGCAGGACCTTCGCCCTACCGACAGTACACACATTCGTATTAACAAGCACAAACGGATTAAACGGAGAGAGCTAACAAAAGAGGAGCGTCGAGTCATTCTATATCGCTGAGAGTGTTGCAAAGCAGAGAGAGAAAATAGCAAAGCTGCTTCGATAGTCGACCCTGGGGAACAATGTCAGAGATGTTGTATTGAACAGAAATATTGAAACTACTAGTATTCAAGATACGCGCCTTCCTTACTTGAACCTCAGTCTTTAGCCAATAAAATCCAGCACGCCCAGCTCGTGCTTTTGCTCCTCCCCATCTTAATGCCGCCAGTACCACTATCACCGCCAGCCAGCAAGTACTGGAGTCGTCTTCAATCCAGGAACGATGCCACGGAGGGCCCCAAAGTGAAGAGGCGATTATGATAAGTTGAATATAGATATGGAAATATGCTGTCGTATCACATATTACTAACAGTTCCAATGCGTGGGGTGGTTTTGAGGCTCGCCTGTTTGGCCGATATGGCGCGCGTCTGTCAGATGCGTCCTTGCAGAGCATTGTTCATGAAATAAACCATCAATAGGACGGATACCTAATCTCAGCTGTGGTGATGACGCACAGTAGCTGCTCCGTTCTGCTGCCAGTCAATCTGCGCCAGGGCAGAGTTTGAGGATAACGCACAAGATATGATCGCTCGACCATGGGCAAAGCATCCCACTGCGTCATCCTCCATGAGAACGGCATTTGCATACAATTCGCGGCCAAGGATGAAAAGGAATCTTTATTATGAGAATAATGCAAATGGACAAGCCTAGTACGAGAGCTGATTATAGCCCTGCAGATCTTGCTCGACATACTGCTCAATGTCAAACATGTTTGCCTCAAATGCCGCGCTTGAGGTGATATCCTGTGATGGCAGTGCAGATTCCGTTGTAGTGATCTCTGACGACGACCGCTTGGGCTTCCGCCGCTTGGATGAGTCCATTTTGGGTCCTGTAAGAGTTAGCGAACTGGAAGGCGACCTGTCCTTGGATATCAATGTTGGTCTGCTTGCGTTCTCCAATTCGGTACTCTTCTTCCTCTTTGGAGTTCGCGATGTGGCCACAGTAGGCGCAGTCGTTTTGCCACTCACGGCAGTAACTGAAGAAATCAAAGGTGAGTTCGTAGACGTCTCGGAGATTTTTTCGACGTTCTCCATTTGCGATGGCTGAACCCGCAGGCGACGCTTTAGAACGTGCAATTCGGGATCGACATTATCGACAGCGCTTCCAGAAGGTTTCCTACGGGCAGGTGTTTCTCTTGATTCGCCACGACATTGATTGGAATAGTCCAACTTCATATTATTGGTAGATACTTTGTTTTTGTTCGCTTTCTCGTTACTGTGCCGCGGCTCCTCGAGATGGACTTGAAATTCTGGAAACGTTCCGATTGCTGCCTCGAGTATCGAGCTCTGCTTTCTTGATATCTTCTGATTTGGAGGTTCATTTGGTATTGGGATTGAGCATGAGACCGTCGTCGCGTTATTCATGTTTGAAAGGGTTGATCTCTTCATGGAGGTGACATTGCTATTGGAACTGTCTTGATCCATGCGCCCTGAATCCGTTCCTTCACGTCGGGGCCCCTGTTCAGTCGAGAGTGCTTCTGAAAGACGATCCATACTAGAATCTAGGGAGTGTTTTCTGACAGAAATGGTCTCAATTGCCGGAGCTTGGCCTGAAAAGAGATAGAAAGCCTAGAACATATTAGCTACACGGCTTTACAGTGCATATCGAATAGATATCTGACCGATTCATTTTTTGGTAGCGCTACCTGATGTGTTAGACGCGTACGGCCGTATCCGATCGACGCTCAGCTTCAGCTGCGTCTTCCGCTCCTGAACTTCGTTAGGCACAGACGAACCTCTCATGTGCCCTCTACTTTTAGTCGCAGTGTTCTGGGTTGAGGCGTCTGCAGAATATACTGCCTGGTTTGAGCAAAATTGCGGTGGGAGGGATGGGCATGATGCGGGTATCGGTCTAGCGCCAAGTAGACTAGGCAGTGGAGGAGGGATGTATTCGGTCAGTTTCCGCAAGCCAGTCGCATGTCCGGCAGCAGAAAGATTTTCCGCTGTTCTTCCGACCTCCCTCTGACCATCCATTGACGAGGTCGCTACTATAGGGTGTTGGTTCTTATTCCAGGTCGCATCCGCATAAGTATCTTGAGCGGGGTTACTCCGCAAGGCGCGCATTGGCTCCTGCACTCCAACTGCATCTTTCGTCAAAATATCGGCTGTGCTGTGTGTCAATTTTTTGGGATATTCTTGTGTAACAGACGATGGCTCGGTGATGGCATTTGATATTGGTGGCGTTAATAGGCGAATTGAAGTTGTATCGGTCGGCTCCTGCTTGGATGGCGTTCTTTGCTCTGGAGGGGATCTATGGCTCCACGGAGAAATCTTGAGAGGTCCCCGAAAAACCGTTGACACCAAGAGTAGGGGTCTGTCTGAGCGCTGCCATGACAGATGCTGTAAATGCCTAGTCGACAAGTCGCCCTGTGCCGAAGCATTTCGGAAAGATCTAGGCGCTGCATTCCTGTCACCGGTGCTGGTGCTTGTACTGGATTTGGTTTGTTGCTTTGGCGATGTAATCCTTGCACAGATGGCTTCCTTCTGCGTGGACTTGAAATTTCTGGAGGCATCCTTCGTGGTAGGTGATGCCATGCCGTGCCTGCTATCCGAAAAGGAGAAAGCAGATTGTCTGTTCCTGGAGTGGGTTAAGCGGAAGGAGAAGTATAAGAAAACGGGAAAACGAAGGGTGATTATAATGAAATAGTGACAGAAGAGATGCGAAAAATGGAAAGAGTGCTCCTGCGGGGTTGATGTCAAACGAGAAGCATCAAGGAAAGGCCAGAGACTCATGCGGAAGTGTAATGAATGTACTCAATACAGATTGCGATAGTTGCTATCATGTGACCCAGAACCCTCTTGGGACACTTCTGGTTGCCGCTCACCTTTGCAACAGTTCCGTCCGTCCATTCTCCACAACTTACACTCAGCGCCTTGTAATGTCCTCTCCCCATTCTCCTCATTCAAGAACCAACAGTGTCTATCTCGATGCTCCAGAGATTCCCATCGAAAGCCTTGACGAGGACCCATCAGCCTTAGTCGAAGCCTCTGTCCTAACAACCACATCCCAACTTGAACGAACCCCAGAGCCGAACGAGGACGACCACGAAGACGAGGATGAAGAGGACGACAGCGACGAAGACCTGAGTATTGGCTCGGGTGATGAAATTGAAGAGTCAACAGAAGCTGAATACAGTCAGCGCGGTCGATCCCCTGTCTCGCCTGTAACTCATAACCACAACCAGGAAGAGGAAGCGGACGAGGACCAGGACGAGGACGAGGAATTTATCTTGCAGGTCGATCCTACCACTGGGATGCAAAGAGCAACATCTATTACTCGCAACAGCGGCCGGTCCCGCTCTTCGTCACTCACACAGCGACTCAGACGACAGCATCGACGAATGAACTCCTCCACCCGATCTGGCGGGGCAGCACGTTCAGGCACGTCCCGATTTGCTGATTCAGGATCCAGTGTATTCACAGCGGCCTCAACGACTTCTACTTCGGCTAGAGCAGCCGTCGTACCAGTGGTGGATGAGAAGGCTCAAAGCGAATTGAGGAGAAAGATTATGGATATCCAACGGGACCCTACTATCCGCTTCGCAGAAAAGGCAGCAATGATCCAGGTAAGCGCAGGTCCATACGTTGACGTATTTCTTCTCAACATAGCCATCACGCAATTCCATCTCATGCATGATTTTATTTTCTCACTATAGAAACTCATGTGGCGTGGCTCTCAAAAGGCTTCAGAACACCAGACCACAGACAGAACAGACGAAACGACTGAAGACGACTTGAAAACGACATACAATGTAAGGCATCATGATACCTTTTGATTGCGCGTGGATATATCTCTTGTACTACCACTGCTGACCATCTATCCTTTGTTCGTCAAACAATAGAATGAAGAACAGGGTGTTCTGGGCTGCAAGCACTACAAACGAGGGTGCAAATTGAAGGCAAACTGCTGCGGCAAATGGTTCAACTGCAGGTTTTGCCACGATGATGTGTGTAATCATGCCATCGTCAGGTGCGTACATGAACCGGCTTAAAGGCACGACCTGTTTGACGAATTATTTTCCAACTAATATGACAAATATGTGCGATCTAGGAATGAGACAAAGACAATGCTCTGTATGCATTGTAAGGCTATTCAACCAGCAGCCCAATCGTGTTCTTCATGCAATGCCCAGCTGGCTCGTTATTACTGCGACATCTGTAAGTTGTGGGACGATGATCCCATAAAGTCCATTTACCACTGCGCAGATTGTGGAATCTGCAGGCTCGGCAACGGACTTGACCAGGACTTCTTCCACTGCAAAAAGTGCAACATCTGCATGAATATTCAACTCAAGGATAACCACAAGTGCATCGAGCGTAATCTAGAATGTGATTGTCCCATTTGTGGAGAGTACATGTTCACCAGCACAACGACGGTCATCTTTATGGTAAGATATCTCTAAGTTTTTTTTTTTTTTTTTCTTGTTAAATCTTTGAGTTGGTACTCAAGCGTTTTATCCTGTTGTCAATGGCTAGCCTTGCGGACACTGCATCCATGCAAAGTGCCACGAAGAGTACGTTAAAACCTCATACCAATGTCCGACATGCTGGAAGGCCCTGGGCGATATGTCCGTCTACTACGGAAAGATCGACTCTCTCCTGGCGGAACAAACCATGCCGCCAGAGTACGCCAACATCTTTTCGATCGTCCTCTGTAACGACTGTGAGGTGAAATCCGAGGCTCCTTATCACTTTCTCTACCATAAATGTGACAAGTGTAAAGGGTACAACACCAAGGTCCTGGAAACGTTCAAGAGAGTTTCGGAAGGTCAAGTCCAGGTGGTTGAAAATGCGACAGCAGCAGGCGCTGCGGGCACCGTGCCAGAGAACAACATATCCGGAGGAAGTAGCGCTGTTGCGGGATCGTCTTCCTCTATTACTGCTGGACCTTCATCCTCAGGAAATAATACTACATCGACCATGACGACAACTGCCATCCACTTGCCTACCGCTCCTCGGTCACCGCTTCTGGATGGGAATGCATCAGGGGACATGACTTTTGGAGGCATGTCCGGTTCCTCTGGCAACTCCGCGCCTTGAAAATCTTGTCTAGAGGATGAGTCTAATGACCTAATAAAGTGCGCGAACATTGCAGTAGATCTAAATATACGAAAAAAAAGCCTTTACAAACTGTTTTATTGCAATCATCGATGCTTTCTCATGGTAATGTCATACTGCCATCGTATCTTTCCGACTTCACGCTTCAGTCCCGGATGATCTCTATAAACACTATCCGAGATGAGGTCCAGGCGCCGGATCCAGTCAGTCAGTACTTGCTCGTATAACCCTACTGGTGTCCTGTAGGTGCCATTGGTCGTTGCAGCGCTGGTCCTGTTGACTAGGCAACTCGATGGTATGAACGGATGTGCTGGTTTTTCTTCGAGATCTGCTTGTTCAGCAAGATGGATGAGGAGCTGCTGGATCTGAGATGACCATGCAGAGTCCATCCGTGGTATCCCCTGCCGCGGCTGCTCCTGAAAGTTACTATCTGGGCATAGCGAATCCATCAACTGGAGGTTGGCCAGCCTCTTCGTCAGCGTGGATACGTCATGTTCTGGAATGGTGGGACGGCGATGCTCTTTCACGTCCTCGGCGCAGTAATGACTCGATACGTGTGAGAAGTTGCTCGTGGGTCCAGCCGATGGCTCAGCTTCCTCGACAGCCTCTCCCGGAACTGCATCCCAGTGTTGGTGTCGGTCCTCTTCATACTTCACTTCATCCACGCCAAAACGCAGATCTGAGCTTGATCTGGACGGTGATATAACGGATCCGCTTGAATGGCGTAAGGTGTTTCGATGTTGGACGGAACAAGTGGTCGGCTCGCCTATTGTGAACTTGTCGTCCAAATCTGTGCCCGGCCGAGAATGACTTGCCAACGGTGCGGTGAGCAGGGAACTGTGCTTCTGTGGCACCATGTCCTTGGGAAAACGGATTTCATGTACAGGTTGGTTGAGGATCGGCCCAAGCGACTTTGGATACCGTGGCTGGGAAGTTGGCGAGGATGATTGACTTTGAAATATACGATCCAGAAATGATGTGCCCGCACTCACAGTTAATCCAGAAAGTGCTGGTGACGAAGGAGCCGTAGGAGAGAGAGATGGGGTGGGTGTAGATGTGGGTCGGCACGGAGAATAATCCATATTCTGAAGGACGGTGATGTCTTTGGGAGAGACAGGCTTGAGAGGCCTCTGATCCTGCAGCTTTGATGGAGCAATACGACCCACGGAAGGAGCGGGGGTACGCCATTGGGAAACTGAATGCGCGTACGCAGGCGAGTGTTCCGATAGATATGGCGAGATTTGCCCAAGAGGCTTCGCGGTTGGATATGGAGGTGAGGGCGAGCAGCAGTAGCAAGAGCTGTCGGAGGATCGCTGGCTTCTCTTCACGAAGCTGTTACGTCGCGTCTCTTGAAGCTTTAGGAACGCTCTCTTGTCCTGAAAACTGACTGTGGCACCTGGAGGCTTGTCTTGGATATAGTCGAGTGTTTTTGGAGAGCCCTGACTGGTGTAGTTGGTTACTGTGCTCTCGTTGTCACCATTGCTGCTCCTACCATCACTGGTCCTGATGTCGATACCGACGTTAAATCGTTCTATGCCACTGCAACAAATGGTGTTGTTATCGGTCACAGTCGTCGGGCTCTTGCACATCCGACAATGGAGTCCTCGAATACAATTATCTGGTACCTCGGCGATATGGACGGTGTTAGAGTGGGTGTCCAACGTTGGTGACGCTTCAGAGCGGAAGTTCGATAGTCTCCTTTCCCTCATGAACATCATCAGATCGGACATAGCCGCACGATCATTGAGATTCCTCAAGGGCGCCTTTGACAGCTCTCGCGGTAACATATCCAATATGTTTTGTTTCTTCAAAGTTTCTGGTGGGCGTTCTTCAGCAGTTTGCTGGAACGCGATGATCGGGTCGCACGATCCGAGAATAAGAGGCGCAGGATCACAGATGCTTGGGCCCTGGTTCAAAGAGTGGTCAGAGGTAGTGGACGCGATGCTATCGAGTGATGATTGTGAAGCGTTGAATGTCGCACTCAAATGCGCAGCACTGGGGTATGGTCCAGGCGACGGTGTCTTCAGGGGCGTTGTCTCTGCGGACGAGAACGCGCGGAACTTGGCGGGCATGCATATAGGCAGCGTTTGTAGAAATGTAGAAGTTCCGACCCATTGCGATGACTCCAGTTCATGCCTTCCCTTTCCTGGATCTCTTCCGCCTTGCTCCTGCGCCGTTGATAGCTGAATACCATGCCACCTGTCGGGTATACTACTGCGGCTTCCCTGTCGAACAGAAAGCCTATGGGAGCTGCCTCGTACCGCTTTTTTGCCTTCCTGTACTGACTGGGCAAACAGTTTTGATGGCGACGGCGACCTGGAGCCCAACTCTGGTTGCTCCGTGCCAACAATGTGCTCATCGGGATTCTTTTGGATGCCGTTTGAGCATATTATCGAAGGGCGTGAATTGAGGCTGGTTGGAAAAGGCGTCGTGGGCAATGTTGCTGCTGGTATAGGAACATCGTCTGTACTCTGGGGGGTCTCTGATGATACAACAAAGTACGACGTTGCCTCCGACGTCTTGTGAACTGGATCCTGCATATCATGATGGTCCGGTATACTGCCTCTCAAGCTGCCTTGGCCTTCCTCATACAGGGTAGTTGATGAACTTTTGATAGAAGAGCTATTTTGGAAGTCGCCTGTGGATGCTGTCTTATAGGTTGTTATATCCTGACCTGCTGTGGTTGAAACCATGCCTAGTTTCCTGGACAGAACTGTATTTTTCGAGCAAACGGGTCTTGTTCGGCGATCCAATGCGTTGCTGCGAGAGACATGCAATTCTCGGCTGACCATTGCCGATCCTGGTGACCCAGATGAGATGCCCGAAAGATCTGCGTTCGTCCTGTTCTTGGGGATCGATGTCGGAACTGTTGTGGATGATTTGGTCTGGAGTTGTGCTGAACTTTCCATTTTAGTTTTTGTGCCTTTGGTTGCTACTACAGTGGTGGTAATAGCGGACTCCTTGATAACCGTCGAGATTATACGTCGCGTCGTGCTCATTGTTGTAGTTGTAATAGTAGTTGGCGGCCGTGTTTTTGAGGGCCTTGTGGAGACAGGCTTAAGAGGCTCTGGGTGCGTGTGGGCATCTGTAGTCCTGGTGGCTTTTAGATTAGTGCGTTCTTTTGTACTTGCAGAGCGTGCAGCCTTCTTAGCTGGAGGTGTCATTGTGGATCCTATGGTATAAATCGCGGGTCGAGGGTGGACATTGGTAGAAAGACTGAACCTCGGTTTGTTGCTAGGGTTGGTTGCTGTAGCCTTTTGCTCGGGGCCAAGGCTGTCGTGCTTACGCCGGACATGATCGCTTTTGGCTTTACACTTTTTGTGCGAGATGTGCGCCGATTCATTACGGCACTCCCAAGTCCTTGGTTCTCTTGACAACTCATTGTCTTTTTCACTAAGAGGTTGGGGGGAATGATATGGATTGCTACCTCCAAGACAGAAATAATCGTTGCTTGACATGTGGAAGGTGAGGGGCAATGGTGAGGAGGGAGGCGAGTCGGGGGTCTCTTGAGCAGCTCTCTGTTCTCCGCAGGGCTCCAAATTCATTGCTGATGAGGGCACTTGAGGTCGTGCATCGGTGTTGAGGTAACCTGGGCCCTTTTTGTCACAGAGTGCGTTGTTGGGGCGACGCATAACTCTGGCGGATGAATACGAGCACGACGAGGATAGGGAGGATAGGGAAATCGACGACGATGCGGAGGATGCAGAAAGGGTCCTGGGGTGCGTTGTCCGGTAGAACGACGTTGCTTCTGTCATGTTGGGATGCCTTTTGCCTTCGATGTGCGTCTGTAGCGGAGTTGGAGGGGGACGACGGCAGGGATCGACGGGATTGCTGCACCAAAAGCCAAAGCAGGGTGACCAGAAACGCGGTTAGATCCGTATACTATGGATTTACTGCCATCAGTGTCCCTTCAGTCAGTCCAGTGTTCTGATTCGCTGCGAATTCACCGCCAATTCGTCTATCACTGCCCTAGTTTTTGCTTTTTTGCTGTGTGCAACCAGCTGGTAAACCTTGTTGTGACACGCGCGCTTACCTCGGTGCATCGAATGCGGGAAAGGAGTGCAATGAGATGAAGTTGCGTTGACTGGAATCGAGATGTCAAATGAGGGGGAGCAAAGAACGCAAGCAGGTATGGAAATGAAAAAAATGAAAGGAAAAAGGCAAAGTAGAAGTGCAGCTCTTCAAAAGAAACAGCTAGAGAGCTCTAAAAACGAGGGGAGGCGGGGGAGGAAAAGAGGCTAAAGAGCAGGCAGGTTGTGCAAGTTGGCGGCAAACCACAGTTTTTATTCAATGATAACGAAGCCAAGAACCTAGGCGGGGGGGGGGAGGGGGGCATCGACATAGCCTTTCAATTACGTTCAAGTGCGTTTCAGGAGTTCTCGTCCTGTGAGCTGGGCCCATGAGAGACAGAGCTCGCCCAGAAGAGCCGATCGAGAGAGCAAACAAACAAAGACAATGCACTATGAGATGAAGAATGAGATGGAGAGCGCGCATCACGCTAATATGAAACTATTTTCAGTGTCTCGTAGTTCGACTCAATGTTGAAGAACAGCTGCTGTTGCGTTGCATACACCATGCGCAGAGACCCATGTGGTCCTCTCCGAGTGCTCCTCCTGTCCAAAGAAAGTGGAGGACCGGGCGTTGGCCATGCTATTCATTAGCGATCCATTGCTTAATGTGAAACGCTATGCAACTCCTGCAGACCACTGCTTGCAATAATACGGCGTATTAACTGCAGTAGACAGTCGAAACGAGAGCTGCCGATAGGCCCCATGAAAGCTATGGCGACTTATAATCAGTGCATCCACGAGAGATATGAACATTACTTTAAAAGATAAGCATATAGAGCAGATTATGGGCTGTGCTATGTGTAGTGCTCCATTACGCATCCGCAATTGCCATAGAGATATACGAGCAGTTAGAGAAAGAATGAACAATAATTTCATTTATACAGCTATCGTCTTTGCGTCCCAAAAACATGCGTGGCAGATTAATGATGAAAGTGCTTCCTGCTGATCCATCGTACTCTTCGTGCGTTCTAAGCGGCTGTCACTGTGCTCTAGTTTGACTATGACAGACATGTCTAGAAGCGGCTGAGAGGGCGGCGGCGTATAGGGCTGACCAGGTTGCTGTATGCTGTCCCGGTCCGTGGCATCTTTCTGCGCCTTGTCGTCCAGCTCCCACCACATTGGCGAAGCAGTGGCGGAACATCGTTTGCAGACTTCTTGCACCGTTGGATGCACCGAGGATTTAGACATCTTCCTGCTGTGTGCAGAGCCATGACCCTGCCACGATGAGGACGAACTAATGCCTGGGTTCATGGCCATGAGAAGGCGGCTCTTACGCATCGCGCCCGGAACTGAGTCATCGCATTGCTTGTAGTAGTGGACATATGTCTGTAGTGCATTCCGATCCGTTAAAGCGTCAGGCTGGTCTCTGATCTGGATCACTTTACGCGATGTTAGATCGTGGCTTGGGCACCAGATCATCGGTACCATCAATCCACCCTTAACATTTTTGGTGGGCTGCATCTCAAACGCTATCTTGTAGCCTGCCTCGCGCGCGCAGGTGACATGGAACACCTTTTTGCACCCCTCGCCACAGCCTACACAAGCACCAGCTTTTTGCTTGCAAATGGAGCACGCTTGTTTCCATCGCTCGTGGCGAATCCTCCCGATCGATTCCACTGGCGATAACCTATCTGCATCCACGACGGCGGTCTCCGGAATCCAAACCGCACACAGGATATGTGCCCAATTATTGCCTGTCGTCTTCTTCATCGCTTGGGGGCTCTGCTCTGACGTTTTCGTGCAAAGGACACAATTGTAGGTCTACATATTCATATAATGCCTAGATGTGTTAGCACTGTTAGGCTGCTACATTGAATGCGAAATCTCATGGACAGTCCATAATTTACCGTGGAGCAGGTAGGATTATCGTTATTAAGACATGTATCGCAGTTCCATTTTCGATGTGCCACAGTCGCCGGCACACCATAGCAATCTAGCAGATGAAGAGCGATATTAGGCAACAGCCCTTGAGTTCGTAAAAATACTGCAGAGGCCGCAAGCAATAGATCTTCACATACCGCGGTGAACAGTAAGCTGGCATCCTTGACAGCTCAAGAGCTGCTCTCCAAACGCAGGCATATTATCGCATACTGCACACGGCGCCTCAGGTACAGGAGAGGGCGATCGAGTTGGCTCAGGAGACTATGAGAAGAGGCCATAGCCGCGGTTAGCTCAGCAAAAAGCGTAATCGTCTCAAGGACTCAATTCGTTAACCGCTCTGCACGCTACCTGCTCCTTTATCTTCTTGCCGCCTCCGACTTTGATCTCTGTTCGTTTTCGCTTGGTCCCATTTGCCGTATCGACTGCCGCTGGTGGAACTTTAGCGGTTCCATTCAATGGCCCTCTCACTATCATACAGAAAAGGCATTAGGACATTGGTATGGAAGACATATGTGTTTCTTCCGAAGGATACAGACACATGTCCTGACATACCTGAGGGATCTTTGTTCTTTGACTTCTTGTTATCCTTTTGAGAATCGACAGAAGACGGGAGGGCCACATATCGAACCCATTCATTTCCACAATCATTGCAAAACACTCGGGGGAATTTCTTCTGCAGATCGACTTCACCAGGAGCTCTCCGCCACATGGATGTGCTTGTTGTCCCGCAATGAGCACACTCGAATTTGCCGCTATTTTCTGCCGTTGGCATGATAATAGAGTCGCGATCAAGCACTCTCTCCTGTCCCGATTCCATGCCTACTTTTGAGCGACTTCCAACCTCCACAACAGGCGATGTCACTGTACCGCGTCCCACAGACTTGAATCTTTTGCTAATAAGAGATATTGAACCCACAAAAAGAGGGATGGGTCAGCCAGAGTTGAGTCATTGTGAATAACATCGCCCGTCAGAATGAAAACCTCTCCGACATACTTTGGTTTGTTAATATTTGTGAAGACAGAATACACAGGTTGATAACGCTCAGTCTTTTTCCATTGATAAAAGAACCGAACAATATCCCTCATTGACCTTGTCTCCACTTTTTTCTTGATGGCAAACAGTTCATGTCCATAGAGACGAATACCCTCCTCAAAGGCCTTGATCTCTTTGTCAGTCCAGTCCTTAATCATGAAGTCCTGTTGCTTAATCTTGGTCATCTCATTAAGGGCCTCCTCGGCATTGAATTTTGATTTCTGCAGCTCCAGCAATGCTCTGTCGATCAAATCTGCCGAGTGAAAGGCCAGCGGAAGTGACAACTCCTTCACTCGATCCATGTAATCGGTAACTATTGGGCAACGTCAAAGGAAGTATCAATAAGTAGCCTTCAAGAACTGTGCCCCACCCTGATCTAATTCGGTAGCCACTTTGAGCATGGGGTCTCTCTTACCATACTCATCTGATATATGACTCGGTTTCGAATACCTGAGGCTGACCGTTTCATCGCCCCCACGTTCGACGTATATTGGGTCGTCGGAGTTCAATCCAGACTTTGCAGGTGAGGATGGTGTTGCAGGCGTATCTAGTCCATCAGCCGTTGAATCCAGTGATGCAGAGTGAGCCCGAGAATTTGTGTCCATGGGCTCTACTACATGGTACTCAAATAATGCGTCAATTCATGGTGTTGGTGGGCTGTGCATGAAATTGTAACAGAGAGCACAGAGATTCGAAATCGTACCTTCAGGAGCTTTCAGTTTAGTTGGAGGTCTTCCACCGCGACCGCCTTTTCTCGAGCGACCCTTTAGCAGACTATTTTGTGGATCGTCAAATATTGTCGAGGTGGCAAGGATCCGGCCTGGACCGTCCCATTTCACGACAACCGCCTGGTATCGAGCGCCGACTCGACTGGACGCGCGGGGATACACCCGATCGTCGGGATCTACCGAATGTGCAAAAATTCGATTGAGTTCATGGAGTGTTCAGGACGATTGTGCGGACAAGATATCGCAGAGGCCATAAAACAAGATCATACCAAAGATATCCTGGATGTCAGCATGAGTTCCAAAGTATCTGAAAGGCCACATATGCGACATCTTTTGTTCCTGCGATGTCGATGGAGCTGCCGCTGCTAAAGCCGCCATGCCATTCCGTGAGCTCACTTTCGAGGCGCCATTTGAGCCACCCGATGTTGGGATGACTGTCAGGGTTGACACGGCTTTCTGTTTAGGAGATCCTCTAGGCGAGTTCTGACCTGATGATGCGGCAGAGTTGTTGGTGGCAGAAGATTGCTTTAAGAGCGATGGCGATGATGCGGCAGAGGAAGACGACGCTGAATCCAGGGCCAGCTTTGTACAAAGCGCGCACTGAAAGGCGAAGCCTTTGGAGGGCTTCCGGAGCATAGGCGGGTTGATGCACAGCATGTGATGGAATCCTTGGCACATAATACATTTCAGCGCTTCGCCACTGCATACGGGTGGAACAAAAGAAACAGCAGTGTTCGGTTAGCACTCTCGCATAATGATCTATCCAAACATTGTCTGGTGTCCATTATGGTCCTCCGGCTGGTACCAGTTACGGATGTGGTTATGGTTGGTGCAGGGGAACGATGGTATGTGATAGTGTGGGCGTTTAATATTCCGCAATTGTGAGCCTGGCATTCAGTGATTTGTTCCTTGCTTTTGTTGGACTCTAAAAAAAGAGCATGCTGGCCCTTCTTCCCGCGGTTAGGCCATTATAGCGCTGTCAGTGCTGGGACAGACTAAGGATAAAGTCCAGTACAAAGTCGTCGCATACATCCACATAACAGTTATAGGATTGATGAAGTGCCCTCTGCAAGATGTTCTCTAAAATTCCCCTATCGCTGTGGTCCAATCTGTCGGGTGTCCCTTCTGCGATGTTTGTCGTAAAATTTCTCCTCAGGTCCACCCCCCTCCACATGATCTTTCTTACCTAGCGCACCACCGTTTGCAGATCAGGCACACGCGGTGGGCATCAGTGTACTCTGAAGCCGTACCAGCCTCGACCACAATGTATTGATAGCGTCTGCTGAGTTCCTCCGCAACGTCAGGTGGCAGATTGCGGACGGAATCAACGGGGAGAACATCGTAGAAGCGGTGGATGTAACGGTCGAAGAGCTGGTTGTAATAAAAGTGGTCCGGTTGCTTTTTATACGACTCCAGATCCTTGATGTAGCCTTGGTGTGTGACAGTACAGCGTCCTCGGATGCTGGAGAGCGGATTCATATCCGAGTGCATTGTTGCCACCAGCAGTCGTGGGTCGTGATTCCTGCGGGCCATAACGTCCTTAGGTCGATAGAACCAGCCGATCCTGACTTGCAATGGCTTCCCTTTGACCTGCTTTCCAAACTCCATGACTCGCCCAATATAATAAGACTCGCCTATGAACTCGGATGCCATGTAGACATGGTCTGCAGCGACAACCATTCATACAGGCACAATTCGGTATCAAGTCAGTGTCAAGTCAGAATGACAGCGGGTTATCATGCAGTATACGTTAACAGAAAGACGAAACGATAATGTCCCTGGGAAGACACTGATGAAGCTGACGATCGCCATTGCTAATCCCGACCCCAGAAAGACGACCCCTGGTCCTTTGTTTCGTCCTCAAGAAGAGATCAACGATCGCAGTTGCTTACCGTTCACAGAAATGACGGTGCCGTCTTTTAGAGGTGCAGAGGTGACTCTGCTTGTTGCTTGAGAATGACCTGTCATGATAGTCGACTCAATCTTACGGTGGTTTTTAAATTGCCAATGTTTGACGGACGAAGAGTGAGGCTAGGTAAAAGAAAGGGCAGTAGAACCTGCGGGCCCCGGAGTTGAAACAAAAATGAGATCCTGTGTGCGAGAACAAAGGGCGAATGGCAAGCGAGGGATGAGAATCGGTCGATCCACAATGAGAGAGGGCAACAGACCTACAGGCCCTAAAGAAAGGTAAGAAAGCGAGGAGCAGAACAGACACACTACCGCACAAAGACGGAGCAGCAAGTCAGAGGGAAAGAAAGGGTAGAGAGAGAAAAGAGAAAGAAAGAGGCAGAGAGACTAGAAAAGGCCCTGGCTCTATCCAACAGCACCCTCGGATATGTGTGGAAAGAACAGACACCGGAGAACTTTATTTAATGCAATTGTCGCTGATCAAAAGAGGTATCTGTCTGTCTTCAGTTGGGCGCTAACGCATCCCATTGCGACCGCTTTGAATTTCCGGTACCCGCCCTGGTAACCCAGGGTAGCCATGACCCTGGGTCTATGCTTCAGTCTGCTCCTTTTTTCGTCCTTAAAAATGGTCACCTGACACCCCACTGGATTGCCACCAAAAAACAAGCGACTGAATCAGGGGAGGACAAAAGGTGCAAACTAGCCCAAGAGAGATTACAAGAGACAGAGAGTGAGGGGAGGATGGGTAAGAAAACAAACAACAGCGGTTTCTCTGGAGCAACTTCTCCCGTTTTTGGTCCCCCATTCGCATTTGTACCGACTACCGGCGGGACGAGCACAGTTGTAGACCAAAACTGGAAGAGTGGGGGTGATGTCGATGGGGCTCTTATCTATGGCATTGCATACATCCATAGCGGATACTATACTGCGCCCGCGCATGTGTGTCTGGTTGCAGGACGGGCACGAATATTGCAAGCACCAGATGGGCTGCCGACTGCTGGATTGGACTGGGAATGATGGAATGATGCCATTTTGAGTTTTTTTTTTTAGTGTTCTGGGTCCGCCGCACGATTGGTGTCTAGTAACAGCGCTTTCCCTTTCCTTTTTTTTTTTTTTTTTTTTTCAGAGACAGCACATATACATACGATCAACTTCCTTCCTTTTTTTCCTTCTCGCCCTCTTCATTCCTTTCTCTTTCCCACCCAACCCGATCTCGCAGGATCCGTCTGATCGATCCCTCCTTGTCAAAACGCCGATTCTTTACAGGAAACAACATCGCCAGTCAGTCAATTAGGCCAGACAGGACGGATCCTTGTGTTGTCGTATATTTACCCGCCGTTTTACTCAACGCGCCACCACCACTACAGGATCTCTCTCATTCCACCCCACCCAATACTTGGTTAACTCCCTCAGGACCAGCATATCTCAGATATCATGACTGATAACTCATATCCAATTGGCACAACTGTCTTTGCCAAGCTCAAAGGCTACCCTTGGTGGCCAGCTCGTGTAAGCGCTCGAAGCTACCTTTACCGGCTCAGGAGAAAGAGAGATAATCTGCACAAGAACACTAACGACCTCCTGCTGATTTGACTCTGTTGTTTCCTAGATTGAGAACGAGGATGATTTGCCAGAAAACGTCAGCAGTAAAAAGCCAAAACAGAGGCCCATTTGGCCCGTGTTCTTTTTCGGCTCTTATGACTAGTAAGTACCATGGTTTTTTGGCAGCAGGACGGCTCAAGGCAGAGCCAGCATCACATGGAAATCATCAAAGGACCTCACTGAAACGATTTGGCTTCAAGAAAATCAGCTTTTGCTTCAAGAAAATCAGCTTTTGCTTCAGTACTCTTGCACTGGCTTCCTTTATGGTGGCATATGGAATGAAAGGGCTACCATGTATCTGGACTATATCTTCAAAGGATCAGAGCAAGAGTTTTCTGCGTCGCACCTTATCGCCTGAAACGCCCTTGTCCGTTTTCATGTCTTGTGGCCTCTTTCATCTGTTGGCCCCTCGCCTTAAGCTTGACAACATTCTGGAACGGAAAAGAGTGAACGACGGAGCATCGATTTTCTCATGGCTGCTAGGAGTCTTGTCCTTTTTGCTCTGTTAAAATCGACATGTCTCATGTCGTTGCCGAAAACTTTCTTGTTCACTATCCTTTCTCGTAGTGCGCCACTGGCGCAATATTACCACGATGTTTTCAATTGAGCTCTGCGAGGTGCATAATGCAGGATGGGACGAACCACACATACAGCGCTGTGCGTTGTACCAGGGACCTGAAAGCTCAATAGCTGCTTGTCGTCCGTTCCGTACAGTGCAAGTGTGAAATGCGCGAAAATCCTGCTCCAGCCTGTCTGGTCATCCTGGTGTTCCCCAGTCAGATTTTTTTTTTTTTTTTTACACTATTGGGTTCCCGTGCGGAACTCAATAAGGAGAACTTTAATTTATATGTCACTTCCAAAGGATCGCTCTTGAGTATCCAATCCTTCTTTTATCGCCAATTCATATGTCTGTGTCAAATTGCTCATGCCATTGTATTCATCTTCTCTTGCTTCTCTAGTGGTTGGTTCGGAACGTCGGAATTGAAAACCTTTGATCCAGCCTCTGCAGAAAAGGCAAAGGCATCACTACGAAAAGGAAACGCTCTGCGAACAGCACTCAGTGAGGCTCTGGACCCCAGTCTTATTGCGAATAAATTCGGCGCGCAACCGGACGAATACGGTGAGGAGGAAGAAGAGGAGGGCTATGAAAATGACACTCCGGCACGCAAGAAAGCTGCTCCCAAATCAAAGAAGACAGCCAAAGCTGAACCTGCAGGAAAGAAGAGGAGACCGAGCACGACTGAGGATCAGGCCGTAAAACGCAAGCCATCGAAGCGATCTGTGCCAGCGGATGAAGAGGAAGATGACGATGAGTCACCCAAGGTGAGCGTCATGGACTGAATCCTTTTGCGAGATCATAAGACAGTACGTATTTCGAAGGTTCTTAAGCTTACCTTTGCCAAATCGTCGTTATATTAGACCAAAAAGCGCGCTAGCACTATAGCCCGCGCCCGCCTGGAGTCCGACAAAAAGAGCGTGGACGATGATATTAGCGGAGCTGACACCAGCAACGGTCGGACCAGGAAATCGGAAGAGGATGCCGGCGACTCGGGCGATCATACTCGCGCCAAGAAGAAGTTGCGAAGTATGTTGCAAATCGATGGCGAGAAGGGGCTGCAAGTGAAGAATGTGACTTTTCGATGAAGATTCTTACCGACAACGCTTGTATATGGTCCATACAATAGGTGGACAACCCAATGAGCGCCTGTTGAAGCTGCGTCACAAGTTACAGAAGCTGTTGTTGGTCGAAGGACTGTCCGACGAAGTCCTTGTGCAGGTTCGTCTCATGATGCTTTTTCAAATCGTCTTTTTGATTACATCATGGGCATTTACTAATTTTGTCGATTTGCTCTCTACTGTAGAATTTGGAAAGAGCGGACCCCATTCTTTCTGAAGTCGAGGCCTTTGAGATTGATCTACAAATGCTCAAGGTTCGTGGAGAGTTGTGTGCTGTGGAGTGTTTGGTCAGCAGTGAAAGAGGAACGTATATCTCTAATCAAGGATCTTAATTTTGATTTTTTTTCTTATCTAATAGGATACTAAGATTGGACGGCTGATGAAGAAGATTTCTGCACTGCAGTTTAGTCAGGACCCTCATCAGATTGTAGATCGCTCTGTCAAGCTGATCAAGCAGTATAAGAGCATGATGGAGAAGGCCCAGGAGAATGGCGAAGCCGTCAGCCCAGCAGAGAAGGTTGCCGATGTGCCTACACCGATCGAAACGAAACCAGCGACTACAGAACAGAAGCCCGTTGGAGCCGAAGGAGTTATCTCAGAGGGAGTGAAACCCCAGGCACCTATTGTTTCCAACCACATTCTGGACGTCCCACCAGCACCTGAGGCCGTTGTTGCAGCAGTGGCAGCCATTGTCGAGACCAATACCCTAACTCAGTCAGAGATCACCCAGACCATTGAGACGACAGAGATCATCCAGACCATTGGGACGACAGAGATCAGTTCCTCGAATCAAGAACCTTCGGCATAAGTCGACATGTGAGCGAGCGAGGGGAGGAATAGGCGGACGAAAGAAGCAGACCAACGTGGCCTCCAGAATACCATTGAGATATTTGTATCGGCAGGATTACAGCCTCTTGACTATTCCCATTTGGACTCGACTGGCAGCGCAGGGTTGTATATGCGAGATGGGGACAGGAGGATGGCTTTGCACAGGACTCTTGTCTATGGAGGCCGGATGCTGCTGGGCATTTTGTAAACTTAAAGGGGAACTCGACATCCTGGGCATGCAGTTATTTTTTTAGGAGGAAAGGATGAACCAGAATTTATCATTGACAGGCGTAATGCACAATGAACTCACATCGATTTGCACATATTTATATCCCCGTTTACTGTGCCTTAATTTTGATGGCGTATGGATACTCTCTACTGGGGCAGAGCCTGGCAGCATGTGTGAGGACTACAGCGAAGGAACTGGACATGCAAGTCCAGCGACTTGCTCTAGTATTCAATCTCTCGAGTGGACGCTGTGGACCCATGGCGCCAAGGATCTCACGTTATCAAGCACTCATTGATCAAATAATTCGATCTTTAAACCCTGGTCATTTTGGACTGGGGAAACTCTCGCATGGACGACTGGAGGGGCAGCGTTCCGTAGACTCGGCTGGAGCATACATGGTCGTTGGCCATGTCCCTGCTTTCCTTCGTCATGTCTTATATTTGGCGGACAAATCCCAGAGCTGTTCAGGCTGTATATGGCCTTGTATTGATTGATACAGTTCTCGTGGCATCCACAATGCCGCCATCCTCCATGGATCATTCCAGTATCAGGGGCTTTTGTCATCCATCGGCCTTTTCCACGGCGCCTCATTTGCAATCCCTTAAGTTTTATAGTTCCACTCTGATTTTATCAGCTTCAGCAGTTTGTTACCCTTAGTGAGAGAGACCCATCCCAATCACCGTACTTGGTGAGCAAGTGGTGATTTGAGGTGCCCATCAGAGCTACTTTTCCCCAACAGCTTCGCACGCGTCCACGACCCATGACATCATATGCAGCACTATATTGATTGAGATTAGAGTGATGAAAAATTTAACGACGACTAAAGTAATGCTTAATACGGCCGTGGCGACATGGCATCAACTTCTGACGAATTGGTGCTTCCTCCACAGCCTGAGGCTGTGGGTGAAAGTGCAGCGGTGTCACCATACTCGAGCTCGCTTGGTAGGTATACGAACGACGTGGGATCGTTTCGTGGATGCTCCGCCGGCAGATTGACATGCATGTAGAAGGTATCGTGAATCATCTGGCCCGTGAATGACTGAAGAACGGCCTCTTCAGACATCTGTGTCGACCCCGGAGAGCTCACTACTGAGGGCGATGACTCGGGGGTCTGCATCGCAGGGTTGCCGTAATTGAAGCCGCCATTGCTGGTGCTATTATGATCGTTCACAGATTGAAACGACTGTTGCCCTTGCCTTTGCATCTGCATCGAGTGCAGCAACGGCGAGACCACGGTCGAAGAAGACTGCGGCGAAAGGGTTGGGTCATCGTGTGACTTGGACGAGAACTGGTTGGGCATTGGTTTTGACGACAGGGACGCTGCAGGCGATGGCAGGGACACTTGACCTCTGGGAGGTGAGATCAGGAAGACATCGTCTGCCAGTTCGTTGGTTGTTAAACTTACTGCCAATGGTGTGGAAGACGAGGACTCCGGAATCGCAGACTGATGAGATTCAGGATTACTGTATGCACTTGAAGCCGCGTTCGAAAAGAGGGCTTCCTGTCGCGGGTCAAAGGTCATGGACTGGATATCAATGATGTCCTCGCCAGATCCCTGAATTCCATTGAGGTAACCGTCGAATAGAATATCCTGACTGATGCTCTCCAAAGATGGTGCGCTCGAGTTGTTGCCAGGCATCCACGAAACATCGAGCATTGTCTGTTGCTGTAACTGATCCGGCTGTTCAGCAGTCGTATTGAACTGAGCTCGCTGTTGCGTGTTCTGCGCAAGCGGCTGACTGGGTATGACAGACGGATGCACGAACGCAGATTGTCCTTGAAAGAGGATAGAGTTCTGGGGAGAAGGATTCGGGGCAGTCTGCTGTTGAAGTCGTCCTTGTTCCTGAGCATACAACTGAGCGCGCTGTTGTTGCTGCAACTGCAGATTTTGTTGTGCCTGCTCTTGCTGCTGTTGATGCTGAAGCATTTGTTGGCGCTGATGCTGTTGACGCAACATCTGAAGCTGCTGCTGTTGCTGCAACAAAAAGCTTTGCTTCACCTGCTTCTCATGGGCAAGTTGTTGAAGATGCTGCTGATGTAATTGCTGTTGTTGCTGCTGTTGCTGATGCTGTTGCTGTTGCTGATGCTGTTGCTGTTGCTGATGCTGTTGCTGTTGCTGTTGCAGGTAAATTTGCTGCTGATGCTGATGCTGCTGCCATATGACCTGAGGTTGCGATTGGGGCGAAATCGACTGCTGGGTCTGCTGAGGAGTCACGTTCTGCTGCTGCTGCTGTTGCAGATGGCGCAACTGCTCCTTTGCAGAGAGCTTCGCCTGCACCATTTGCCGATGCTTCACAGCTGCTGCTTCCTTGGCCATCTCCAAGCTCGACTTCTGTTGCGCCAGTGCTGCCCTGCATGATGCAAGTAGGTCTGCGACGTCCGACTTCTTAGACCGGTTAATTCTGAAGAACTGCAAGTTCTCGACCTGCTCCACATAGTCCATAGATTTTTGCAGATCCCGCCGTGACTCCTTAGCTAGCGTCGGGTCCACTGTGCATTTTGCGTTTCGAAGATGAATGCGGATCGCAAAATTGAGTGCGTATCGGGTTGGTGTGTTCTGTTCGAATGTTCGTGGTGCCTCCTTGAGTAAGATGCCTGCAATTTTTGTGATCTCCTTTGCAGCTTGTGTGCAATAGCCCTGAGAGTCCGGTGTGCCCCCCTCACGAGGCGACTGGAATGCCTCGGGACTTTTGGGGTTAGGAAGATATGGGTGGTGGAGTAGGATGATGAGGGCATAGCACAATAGCTGAGCACCTGCGGCCATAGTCTTGATATCTGAATTAATAGATCCTTTGGTGGGTACGAGATCAAACACTGGGGGCAAATTCTCCTGCCAGTCAACCAGCTCCTTGTCCAAACGATCCAGGTTATCCAGAAGGACGTCCTGGGAGGGTGGTGGACGTCGGGAAACAAGTTTCGAGTTCTTGCGAATCCTACGGCAGATCAGCCAGCCGCGGATACAGTGAACCAAATACTGGTCTGAGAAGGTCTCTGATTCAGGACCGAGGTCACCGACCTCGACCATCTCGACACTGATTTCCTCGTCGTTGATCAGCGTTGGCTTTCCTCCGATGGCAGAAGAGGTTGAGTCGAAGATGAGCAAACACCAGAAGACACGTGCTCTGTACGCTCGTATGAACCGATGAACGCTCCTGTCCAGCTTCGTGTGCAGGCCCATATCCAGAGCCATGGTAACGGCCTGGCTGATAAATCCTGAACGTTGGGCAGGAGATTTGTGTCCGATGGCGAAAAGCAGTAACGACTGGATGGTGCAGAGATGCGTTGTCAAGTACTTTTTATCCAGCAGTGCTGTAATACCATAATGAGCAATACAAAATACAAGTCAGCATAACGAATTATGTACGGAAATGCGGGAATCGGCCAAGTGCGCTTATAAAAAGCTATTCTGCTTATAATGGGCAATCGCTTACCTTGGCCACGCTGAAAAAAGTCTTCTCCAACTGTGCCTTCGTCTCCCGAGTCCTTTCGCAAGGGCATGGTGTTGCTGGAAAACATTGATCCGCAATAGTACACAGCGTTGCACAATAGCAGACAGTGAGGGACATGAATGTTTTCCTCGCACACCCGAAGCACCTCCCGCTGCACCATTGGTAAAAGAATAAAGTGGTTCTAGACAGCACAATTCAAACACAACAGGTTCGGGATCAGCTGCATATCCCAGTGGAAATACAAGATGGTTTGGGCTGTACTGCTAACCTTGTAGTAGAGATCTGTGAGATGTTGGCGCGTGGCAAGATCCGGCAGGATTTGCATCTCGACTGGGACGGTCACATCCTCGGTATTAGTAGACCGAATCTGTGGTCCCCAGAGGTCTTCGTCGTCAAAGTCGCTTGCAATGGTTGCTGCGCTGGGACCGTAGTAAGCCATGCTGCTCAAGGTCGTCTCAGAAAGCATGGTGGTGAGGGCATCCATGTCGTCCGCTGTTGTAATGTTGGAGGGCGATATTGATCCATTGGCGATGCCCTAGATAAACACGCAACAGCTCTTAGAGAATTGATTGTTGGCTTCAACAAGGAGCATGGCATACGATATATACATGGTGTGAGCTTACCTCTGAGGAACCTGTCCTGTTTGAGGTGCTGTTAAAGGCATGTGCACCTGAATGGTTGCTTGTGTAGCTGTGAGCACTAGCATTCACATGGTCCTCCCGACCATGTCCATTGACATCGGGTGAGCTGCTCGCGAATGGTGTGTGGTTGAGAGGAAGATACTGTGTTGGCAGTTGTTGGTGTTGCAGTGAAATGGGCTGTTGATAGACCAGTCCTGATGAGGTATTCCTATTGCCAGTCATCACTCCATTGCCTTGGGTATTGATATCACTATCAGTGATGGCATGGGTATTGAAGCCGGCATTGCCGGAGGCGCTGGCAGCTTGGGTGTAATAGGGCATATGCAACTGCGTTGGAGGGGGTGACATGGAGGATGCAGCAACAGAGAATGCTGCCGCTGTTCCGGGCTGCTTCCTTTTCTGACCCCCTTTGAACCGCTTGGCTGCCTCTTGGTTCTGGGGGAAGGGCTCTTCGAAAGACTCTGTCATGATGTCGCGAGGCTGTCTGGACAGTGCAGTAAGGGGAGCCGTGTGGAGAGATAGGGAGGAGGACGATCCAGCAACGGTTCTTGCGAGATGCGAGTACGGCGATATTATATTCTTCTATATGAACAGTGTCAAGGACTGATCTTCATGCGGTGCGAGGAGGGGGATGAAGACGGATCGACGATGGCGATGGGATGGGATGGGATGGCGAGAGATGGTCGAGCGGATCGCAGCGGGCGGGAGGGAGAGAAGGAGAGGGTGGGGAAGAGGGCGAGAGAAGGGGTTTTTTGGCAGCAGCACGCAGTGCGGTGGAATGCGGTGCAGGAACAGGAATGGGAGGGGAGCAAGTGCTCTCAATTGGCTGGGTCAGACCAGTGGGGGGGGGGGGCAGCCGCTCCTTCCTTACTAGTTCCCTGCCCATGTATCATGCATCGGCATGCTTGCACCCGGCGCAGCGACCATTCTGGACAGCAACTGAAGCTCGACCACCAGCATCAGCCGTCGGGAAGAAGCTCGAGGCCTGCGCGCCCTTTATCGTTATTAGCTTCCTTCCCCAACATCACCATCATTGGTTGCCTCGACGGACCCCGCGGGCGAAGCACACAGCGCTACATCCATACACAGAACACGGAAATGAATATGAAATGACATGCCATCAAGCATCCATAGATCCATAGCCTGGTATGGAGCAATATCAATTATGAGGGCGTAACAGAGAACCGGTTATTTCTGCGGTTATAACTACAGTATACAGCCACGGTTTAATCGCGCCGTGCAGTAAGTCTTTCCTCCGCGGAAGTCCTTTCTCTGTGTGTCCTTGATTCGGCTTCATCAAGTCGCTGTGCTGCTTTCGGCATTGCATTGCAGTCTAGTCTACCGCAGCCCACTATATGCTCAGACACGTTCCTTTTATTTACGCTCGCCCGTAACCCGCTGCATCTGCGCCCTCATAATCGCACACCGCTTCGCCTTTGAAACATTTCCTCAGCCCATTGTAGTCCTCCACTGGTTCATGGCACGAACTTTACAAGTAAATGCAGCCAAGTGGGTGACGAAACACTATGCCGCTCAGGAGCTAGGCTTTGAGGAAATGAGGCTGTGATGCGAGTGTGTTTTGATGCTGGGCTTTGGAGGTGAGAAACGGAGGTTTGGTCTTCGGTCCTTGGTTGCCTCATACACTTCCTAAGGAATGTCGAGTGGAGACCATAGATCCATATCAAGGTTTTTATGGGTGTATGGGAATAAAGTTGCGTAACGTTCCCCCGCGGACACTTGCCCTCGTCTTTTGCTCAGTCTACGTCTGTATCGAGCATACCTTTTTTCCATTCAAAGTCAGCGGCCGAATGGATAGGACTGAATGCTGGGCCATTGCCCCCAGTTCTGCATTAAGCATGAAGACTGACGCGTAACAGAATCACACATATTTTCGCATGAGCCGGTGTCAACTCCTGCAGGCGCACCGATCAAAGAGTGTACATACACACTTCTTATTGCGGAGGTAATGCGCATAGCTACTACATGTGGTCGCCACTGATCGCGGATGCCTCGGGAACGTACCACTCCTGTGTCTCGAGACCACCCGCCCATATCCCTTCCGCTTCGTACAAACATCCTCCTCTCGGATTCAGACTCTCCAGCTCAGTCTTCTCTGCGGCACTGCGGCTACGCACGCATGTGGTTCCCACCGGCTCTAGTCCGGCAGTCCTGTTGCTCGTTTCATATTCTTTGAGGGGCGACTCGCGAGAGACAAAGTGCACCATATTTTTTTTTTTTTTTTTTTTTTTTTTGATCTGCAATACAGGGCGTTGGACCACATTTTTAGCCTCCACACCAGGACACTAGTAGATGGCTCAGTTTCTGCACTACTCCGAGTCCCGGAAATGAGAGGGACATGAGGCAAGTCAGGTTTCCTGCACATGGATGCTCTCTGCTCGAACAATGAGGGCCTATTAATATGTTCATGACCCCGTTAGAGGAGTGCGATAGGCTGGTCAGTCGTGCTCGCTTGCTCCGGTGTGATTATTCCACAGTACTCGATTCTATCTTTGCTTCTCCTGCCTCTTATACCTCTTCACTTTTGTTGGCAGCTGTCATCGCTACCTCTTCACCAAGCTGCATATCTTCCTTACTTGTGTTTGCATACTGTTTGTCGGCACTCAAACGCAAGTTAGCGCTTCTTCGCTGTCTCGTTCTTTGACACCACCTTTCTTACACCTTATCTCCGTAAATCTTCTCGCCAATCTACTCCACCGCTACACTCTACGTACTTTGCCCACTCTTCGGTATCAGCAAATCGATCAAGCGGCCGTTTCGCTACTCAAACACTACGCGCCATGGATAGAGCCGAGTTTGAAAGGGAGAACCTGAGCGCAAGCGGAAGTTACACCATTCAGGAGCAGCAATGGCAGCCCAAACAGAACACTGATCCGACAAAACTCCACATAACAATTGACGGCAGAGCCGAGGAACATTCCTTCCACATCAAAGATGTGATCAATGCGGAAACGATAGTTCCATTGGATTCGCAAATGACAGACCATGTATCCTCCGCCCTTGATGCTACAACGTTTGTGCAGTTGCTGTCCCGGTCGACTATGAAGAGCAGCAAGGGTAACGACCCCCTCAACCAGGGAAATACACCTCTAGCCAGCCTGCTGAATTCAGAGAACAAGTACTCGAATTTAAGCGCAAATCGTCTGTACGGTCGTGTCACCAGAGCCATGAAGTCCTTCCTCCCGTTTTCTCCTTCTCCGCCTCAACCGGGCGATCTTAACCACAACAAAGATCGCCAACAATGCGTATCAAGTGCAACTTCAATTGTCGCCAGCCATTTTTCTGATCTCACTCTCTCGTCGGCCTCTAGTTCAGTATCCACTTGTTGCTTCCCTCCACTGACTGCCGGAGTCTACAAAAGCAATGACGGCACCTCAAACACAGCCTCATCCTCTCCCTTCACAGCTTCTGATGGGACTTCTGCTATCTCACCAACGATCTCTACGAAGGCAACCACGAAATCGCCTATGTCTTCCGTTTATTTCCCACCTAGTGCTTCCGCATTGCACCAAAAACGACGCAAAGCCAAGAAGCACGCATTACACGTACCGAGACCCAAGAACTGTTTCATGCTCTACCGATCCAAGGTTCTTCCCATGATCATGGTTGAGCTCGGTATGATAAACAATAGAATCATCTCCAAAATTGCAGCTGAACGCTGGAGTGCAGAGGCGGAGTCTGTCAAGACCTGGTACCGGCAGATGGCCAAGAAAGGCAAAGAAGAACACTTGAGAAACAATCCTGGTTACAAGTATGCACCGCATAAGAAGATTTTGCAGGCAGCCGATGGCTCTATGGGCTCAGTCGATTATATCCGTCGCCAAGACGGGGAAGGCCCCAAGAATGAGTCTGAAGTTGACGATAGCGACTGCGACTTTGACGGAGGTGATGGAGACCTTTTAGGGCGCGCCTATGCGGACGGCGTTATGCAGCCGCGACAAAGGTCTGAGAGACGATACGCTAAGGCACTTTCGAACTCGAACTCGGTCGCAAGCAGCAAGAGGACAAAGATGACCAGCACACATCCTTCCTTCGGGCACAAGAAGGCGCGAGAGAATGAGGACTGGTCCTATCCTGGGCGGTGCAACGTAACATTTGCGTCGAGCGCTTCTAAAGGCGACGGGGACGGCTTTGTTCATCGCAGACGATCACGAGGAGTTAGAGGAGAAACCTGTGGTGGCTCCCAGTCGTACTCTGTCGACCTTTCGAGTTACACGAGAAAGACAGCGCCTTTGATGGCGTTCCAGGAGCTCGGATCGTCTAGTTCCCCCAACGTGCCAATGCCTGTGATGGGATTCTCCTTGATCGAGCAAGGACTCTATCTAGCTTGGCAGGAAAACGAGAAGCAGCGACTGCTTCTTCAACAGCAGCGGCAGCAACAGGAACAACAGGAACAACAGGAACAACTTTCGTCGATGTATCCAGTCCTTCCATTCACAGCCTTCTCAGCAGCTGTCACTCAGGTACAGGGATCATCTCTGATGTATGGTCTCTCCGACAGCGCAAATGTCAGCTCTGCGACTCTGGTCGATCCATTACCTGGATCATCGTCATTGTATGGTCTTCCCGACAGTGCCAGCGCCAGTTCCGCAACCCTAGTTGATCCCGTCAACCATTGGACGACTCATCGATACAATGATCCCAGCACAGTCATGGGTCAGATCGGTCCACCATCACAACGTGCCACCCAGCTTGGTACAGCAGGCCAAGGAGTGTCATTGAGCAAAATCCAACAGCAATTTTACGGCAAGGCATCCCCGACGCATGGTAATAACAGTGGGCTGAGGAAAGAAGAGTACCAGGGTGCATTGGACAAAGACCTACCACCACTGCCCATCGAGGCAACAGTAATGACGTCGAATGATGATCCGAACGCGATCCTCTCGCATCTGTATTCAGAATACAACTCGAATGCGAGCATTAGTCCTTCTTGGGTAACGCCCTTGGAGGGATTTGCCGCACAGTTGATCGCGGCCAAGGAGGCAGATTCGGATTCGACGATGGGTGTGATGTCCCTAGGCGAGAGTAGCGGTGAATTAGCACAATGGCAACAGCAGACGTATCTGGGAGGTGAGCAGAAAGACGGCCAGCAGCTACAGTATTTGATCAAGCCAGCGTGCCCAGTGCGATACATGTCCTTTGCGGACGTTGGCCACGAGTCTATGTCGATGATGGACGTCTTTTCGTGGCCATCTGACAGTTCGAGTAGCAGCAACAGCAGCAACAGCAGCAACAGCAGCGGAAGTTAGACGTGAGTTCAGTGAAAACATGTAGTATTATAGTCTGTCAAGAAACACGGCCTTCCATCAGAGTTGAACTTTGAACGCATTTTTTTCTCAGGCACTCTTACACAACCGAGCTCGATGATTGGCTGAGATAAGTCTATTTCTCACGAGTAAAAAGACCATGACTCAGATGGTCCTTGCCAAAGACACAAAGACACATGCGTACACGCGCAGTTTGCCAACGCACCCTGCAAAGAGATAGCGATCATCATCGCCGTTTCTTTGTCCGCTTATTCGTACAGCGCTGCACATGGATATCGTAATACATCGTACTCTCGATCTGTGGAGAGAGAGGATGGACACCAATGGGGATGGGTGCCTTCCCCCGATCCGGCTCTTCCTCCCCCTTGGGCCCGGCTCTGGACTGAGAAAGCGCTGAGTCAGAGCTGAGACCGCAACCCCTCGAACCTGAAGTACAGTAAATGCTATCGCCCTTTTTTTCTTATTATTATTTGTTCTCCGCTCCTGCTGGAGCTGTTATCTCCCCCCGTCCCCACATTCTCCGCCAGTCAGTGGACTTGACTTCCGTCGCTGAGTGTGATGCTGATGGGCATGATCCTCAATCCATTCATTCTAGATTTCTCTAATCCCTCCAATCCCCTCTTAATCCATCGCCTCAACTCCAGCCCACGGACGCAGCCCCATTGATTGCCACGCACACCCACTCCTCCACGCTTCCACACCCCACTCCTCCACGCTTCCACATCTCACACTTCCGTACCTCTCCCTTCCCACACCTCACCCTCTTCGCACAATTACTTCATCATACTCACATCCGCTCCACTCCGCCCCATTCCTCTCCTCCCCACTCTCCTCCCTTGCATCACATCCTGAATGTGCTCACTCTACAGCATCAACAACAACTCAAAGTTCGCTGGCCAGTCTTCCTTCCAGGTCGTACTGTGCGCCAAAGGATCCGACAGCAACAGCAACAGCAACAGCAACAGCAACAGCGGCTACCACCGCCACTCCTCGCCCTCTTCCGCGCCTTCGTCGCCCTCCGCAGGCTCGTCCTGGTCGGCGCCCTGCTCGCACTCCAAACGGAAAAAGATGAAGGGCGGTACCTCAGCTGCGCCCAGTGGTAAGGGCCCCGTCCTGATTCTCTCTTCCTCACACCAGGGTACCTCCCAGTCCAACTCCAGCATGCTCTCCAATTCGCCCGCGTTCCAATCTCAGTGCGATCGCATCAGCAACTCGCTTCACTATCCCCCTCTGTCACGTACAACCCTAGCCCAGTCCTACAGCAGTAGCAGGCGGAGACATAGCAGCCATGGCGCCACGCATTGGCAGCAGTTTCACCAGCACCATCAGCATCACCACTCCTACGAGGCGTCCTTTGAGCATGATACAATTGGACTCGAACACGGGCACGCGCTCTCTCTTGTCCAGAGTCAGAGTCAGACCCAGACCCAGGCCCAGGACCAGACAGTCTCGCCACAGAAGCGCACCTCGCCTTCGTCGAATGACCGGCAGACTAGTGCTAGCTACAAGGACGCAGGGAACCGTCGTTCCTCACCGATTCTGGATCCAGCCGATACCATCCAAGTTTTATCCAAAAGATTTTGTCCACCTTCTCCCTCGCAAGCACAATTAACACCATGCAATCCGTCCGTCTTATCATCGCACAGTGCACACCTCTCGCGTACAGCGGACACTGCCCTGGTTTCCTTTGCAGCCGCGGTAGCCTCTGCTGCTAATTCAACTTCGCCCGCCATGTCCTCCCCCCGGTCTGTCCTGTCGTCATTTTTTCGATCGAAAGATGCGTCCGTGCCCCTCGATGTCTCGTCATCTACTGTGGCAAATCCAGGACCCAAAACAGGAGAATGTGCTGGTGCTACGCTGCTTGACGTCAGCGTGCATCCTACACATCCTGTATACCCTGTAGATAAGCCGATCCATTATCGCTCGTCGATCGTACCTCATGGGTAAGTTGAAAGCAATCTTGTATGAGTCGGATGTTAATGAGACTAGTCTATCTAATCGTTATAGAACGCATTACTCTTCTGTAGATCTTCAGATGAGGACAGAGTCGACGATCTGTCCTCGCCTATGGGCACGAGTGTTGATAGTACTAACAACGAGACCTTTGATGGCGACGAGATGGATCTCCAACGCAGCTTGAACGATGCCTCTGACTCGGACTCTCCGATGACTGCAGCAGGGACAGCCAAGTACCCTCTGTCGGCCCAAGCAGCCCTCCGACCAGAGAACGGGTCTTTATTCAAGCTGGAGCGCAAGTCACGACTAAGGCGCCAGGTCAATCGTCTCCGCACAAAGAATGCAGCACTCAAGTCGACGGTAGCCCAGGTCAAGTCGGATCTGGCATTGGAGCGTCAGAGGCGGTCGACGATGGACCAGATCTACCTCAATATCAAGAAGGAGCTGAACCAGAAACTCGAGACGGAGGAAATCAAAGTACTGAACCTCAAAGGAGAGCTGGAACAGATGACAGCGGAGATGCAGGAGTTAAAAGATCAGCTCGCCTCCGCCAGGGCTTCCTCTTCAAAGAACAGCAATGGATCATCCGCAGGCTACAAGATCGGTTACGACAGCAGCGCGTTTTCGCTTTCAGGCGGATTCTCTGAACTCGGAGGGCTAATTCTTCACCACCACGCCAATGTGAATCTTGTTGATAGTCAGGACGATTCAGAAGAGTTCTTGGCCTCACACTCGTACGCGGCCTCGACCAGGCAAACCGATTCGACTCTGTTGGCGACATCTGGTTCCGGCGCTATGGCTCTCAATGAAAATGAGGAGGATGAGAACGATGAGGACGACGACTTGAGCGGCGATGATGACGACGATGACGAAATCGACAGCGGAGTATCGTTTTCATTGATACGAACTCCCAAAACCCTGACTCCGACTGCTTCTTGCCGATCTAGCGTGTCTTCAGACAACTTGCATCCAGCTCTAGCGGAAGAGGAATCTGAGCAGATGGAGGACTATACAGAGCAAAGCGATGACGATGATAGCGATAAAGAGTACGAAGATGCGCCGTGCACCATGATGGAGATCATCCTCCAGCGTCAACAATCCCGCTCATCCGAAGACGAAATGAACGACCCTCCAGCGGACGCGACCGAGACCTTCGAATCGATGGCTCAGAAGGCAATGTTGCAGGCGACACAGTCCAAGTTCACTGTTGCACAGACACAACTGCAACTGGAAGAGCTCGTCTTGAAGTTTGATGCGCGTCCTGAGCAGACTGCGGATGTCATTGCGAAGGAGGTGTCGAGATGGTGGGAGGCAGAGCGCGTTGCGACTGGTGGTCCTTTCGCTGGCGGTTGGGGCCATGAGACCGTGATTATCAGCAAGGAGACGGGCGAGCGCGTGAGTCCCAAGGTGGCGGTCGAGAGGCAGGTCGAGTCGTTCTTTGGACCATTACTCTTACAGTTTGTCACAACGCTCTCGGAACAGAGAGTGTTGCTTGACAAACTGGGAGAATGCGCCAGAGCGGATCCTCAATCGCTGAAGAACCACAATGCGGTGCTGGTGGCGCTTTACAAATACGATGTGGTTGAAGCTGAGGCTGTGTTGGAATGGTGGCATAGTCTTGAGGAGCCTCAGGGTGTTTTTGGCCACGGCGGCAACAATCTGCGTAGTTTGGTAAGTTGAAGCTTTTTTCTTTTTCTTTTTTCTTTTTCTTTTCTTTTTTTCTTTGTGCTTCCTATCGAGCGCCTATTACTCGATCCATATATTGCGACTGCGACTGACCTTGCAATGACACTTTGTATTCCTGTAGAACTCGAAATTCGTGGCCTGGCTCGAGGACGAGGAGGATGATTCTGAGAGTGCGGATGACGAGGACGATGATGAGAACGACGACGACAGCGGGAGTGATTCGGATTCCTGCTGCTCAGATATGGAAGAAGATGAGGACGAGGTAGAGGAGGATGATGATGATGGTGTGGTCGATTCGATCCTGGACCTGGCCTTCCCTGAGATCAAGCCATCGTCAACACCTCCACCATCGACACTACAGACAGCAGTGTCAGAATCAACTCAGGACAGGTCGTCTGCAGAGCCGAAAAGGAGGATTAGCTTTTGTAACAACAATATGTATTATAACCAGGACGGATATGCTGGGGTCGAGGATGTTGATCCGATGGAGGAAACAAAGACCGAAAAGAAGAAGTACACGCAATGTCCGCGAATGAGGGAGTCTAGAGACGAGGAGGAAGAAGAATAGGATGGAGGAGGGGGCCTTCGCTTTGAGGATGGATATGTAACATAGATCTGTACGATACAATTTGCACACACGCTCATTCATACGTGCACACTCTCATTTATTTCATTTGTGTATGTGCATCGTATCAGGCATCTCGTATATTGCATGGCATGGCATGATGGATATCTACGAAGAAGATTAGATAACTGTACATGATCTGGCCTTACTGCACTTTATGCCAACAAATATGTATCGAAAAGAGATTAAAGGGGTATGCAGAAAAGATGGATTGATAAGTCGAGACAAGACGAACAGGGAATAGGGACGGCGGTAAGATGTGAAGACTGCGCGGGCAAGGCAACGAAGCGAGAGCGGCGGACGATAATGGAGGATACTCCAAGGGACTGAGTGAAGCGAACGCGACAAGCTATATATCCCCCTTGTCCCCAGAATCCGCGCTTTCCTTTCCACACATATGGGACCAAGTCTTTTGGGGGCCAAGCCTTTTGGGGGCCAAGCCTTTTGGGGACCATTTGCAGAAACTCACACTTTTTGACCTTTGATTTCTAGAGGAAAAAAAAAAAGATAGGTTAGTCTTTTGAGTTTTGCTGACGGCCGTCAGAGGCGCCAGTACGGATCACAGTTATATGAACGCGAAAAAGAACCATGTAGTCGTCGTGTTTGAGCCATTTCTAGCGCTTAAGGCGATGTCCTTCTGGGGGCTAGGAAGGAAGCCACGTATGAAGGTGATTTTTCCAAAAAAACAATGCAGCTCATGATCGATATGGCACTCGTCATCTCTACAGGAATAATTCCCTACGCATTCGTCTTGTGGCATTCTTTGAGCCAAAAAAAAAATCGAAGAAGGCCGCTTCAAGCAGCCTGCGCTCACATGCACAAGCTCAAGTGAGAAACAGGAGGGACTTGATATTCACAGCATTGATGCAACCGCAAGTTCTAGACTACCTGTGGGTGATGCTTCTATCGATGTAGAGACCCACCGACGATAGTAAAACCATATTTCTCATAGCTACTTGGCTTCGACTATTGCAAATGAGAGGAGATAACGCAGTAGCGAATGACACTGATCAATTGCGAATAAAGGTCAGAAGAGATAATCGATTGGGCGAAGTAAAAAAAGCGATAATAGGGGGTTTCAGTTTTTGAGGGAACACAATTCCAAATTCAGGGCGCAAAAACCTAGATATGCACTGTACGTATTGTAGATGGAGAATTGGTTTCGCAAAGACCTTTTCCTCAACTACGATTAAAGTTGGCTAGGTTCCGCAAACAGTCTACAACCCGCTAATGGCTAGGCAGAGCCTAAAGTATATCTACTGCAGCTCATGAAGCCGAGCTGCATATCACAGGGTGTTTCTGCGTGAGTGTATAAGGAATGTATGTACTTGCACGGATGTTACACGCGATGGTCATCCTTCATCGCCTTTGCCACCGCGTTTTTCTCACCCATCAGCTCTCCATCCTCTCTTTCGTTCTTCCTTCTCAAACGCTCATCTATCAACTTCTATCGCTGAACACCATGGTCCACCAGCTGATTCTCTTCTGTTTCATTGAATGACGAACTACCTACATCCAGGGCATTTGAGGTCGAGATCTCTGCGGCACGTACCGTTGCCCACCTCAAGGATCTCATCAAGACCAAACAGGCTCCCATGTTTGCTTCTCTCCTTGAACCTACCAGACCTCTCAAAAGGTGATGCCCCACCGAAGTGTCTCAAATCAGATGCTATCTTGGTGCTGCTCGAGAGATATGGTCCCCAGACCGTACCTATTTTCGGTGTTTTAGGTAAGCTTCTGTTTGCAGTTACAACCTAGTATGCATATCTGCGTTTTAACTCTTCTATCAACTAACAGGCATCTCTTGATGTCCATACAGGATCCAGGCGCTGGGGGTTCTATTTCGATGTCTCTGCGGATGGTTTGGGATCGAACGACATATCGACTCTTATATCGGAGGTCAACCCCAATCTCCAACAGGATCGAAATGCCAGTAACGGCCATGCGAGGAGGATGACATACTTGCTCTTCCTAGCCCGTCTCCTGGTTCTCCAGTACTGCTTGAAGGTCCTGAACAGCAGCAAGACTTTTACATGGGCCAGATGGACCCTCCTCCAGGCTTGCCCCCATATCTTCATGGACGTCTTTGAGGATTTGTTCCGACGCTTTCTCGAGCTGCAATGGATGTTCCCGATGGAGAGCGTACTGATTGCTATCGTCCGAAAGGAATTTCGAGCGACCAGAGACTGTCTTGTTGAGCGTGAAGGCCCTCCAAAGTTTCTAGACAACGACAAGCTGCTGATTGTTCACGATGAGGCGCAGATCCTTGGCGACCAATACATTGAATCCTTCGAGTCGATGTCTCCAGACAAATCGGACCGCGCATTACTGTCCCCAATTTTGCACGGATTTCGATATATCCATTATTGCTCGTCCACATTTGTAGAAATGTAGCAAAAAAAAGTCTGACCTGCCAATCCGTCGCTGTGTCTGGATATGTATTCGGAGGACTGATATAACAATTCTTGACGCGCATGCAGAGCTAAGACTTTGTTACCAAATACATCGAGACGGCCTGACACATGAAAACCACCATAATAATGTTTGAAGAAAAATAACGAGGACACACCCTTACCAATGACAAAAAGCCCTCAGGGGTAGATCGCGGTGAAGATTGGATACAAAAAAATATGTGAAAAAGCGTGTCTGGCTCAGTCAATGGACCTGATTTTACCACAACAACAGCAACAACGAAACCGGCTATCTGACGCACTCCTCATAGTCAATGAGTCGCGGTAAAGGTTCCATGATAAGAAAAAGGTTTCCCAGAAAAAACCGTCCATTTGTGGTCTTGCAAGGAGCTCCTTCATTGCGAGTAGATGTGAATGTTGCACAGGTGCTCTGGGGGCCAAAATCTATGTGATACCATCGAGGCTGTGCACCGCCCAGGCCAGATATACGCGTCGATCACTATGTCCCTTCAATGCAGTGCGAGCACCAAGTGCAAACCCATTCATTATACTGCCGACAAAGGCTTTTCTTGCTATTGCACATTTCATCGTTTGGTTCAATCCTCACTCTTTATTTCATTTTCACATTGACGGTTGCTGATTCTAAGGTGACTAAGGTGTGGGGTTCGAAGCGATACATACAAAGGAAAGTGGATTGGCTTGCCATCAGTCAATCTTACTTGGGAAAGTAAAGACTGTGCAGGATACACCGCGGGCAGGTTGCAAGCCATGGTACCCCAGAAAAAACCACAAGGGAAAAAAAGTTCGGCTTTTGACCTTCTTATTTTTTTTTGGGGTATTTTTTTGTCTCTCATATTTTTTTTTCTTGTTCTTGTTCTTGTTCTTGTTCTTGTTCTTTTCTTCTTTTTTTTTTTTCTTTCTTGTTTTGTTCTTGTTCTTGTTGATATTCTTATTTTTATTCTTCTTATTCTTGTTCTTGTTCTTTTCTTTTTCTTGTTCTTTTTTTCTTTTTTTTGTTCTTGTTCTTGTTCTTGTTCTTTTTTTTCTTTTTTTTTCTTTTTTTTTCTTTTTTTTTCTTTTTTTTTCTTTTTTTTTTCTTTTTTCTTTTTATCATGCCATTTCATTCTTACCTTCACTCCCTTCCGTGTACCTAATTTAGCTTTTCGCATTCAACCAATAAACAAGTGTATAAGAATGTGTGAGAATGTGTATGGGTGTTTGTGTGCAAGTGTGCGCAAAGTGAAACGGAAGACGAAATGATTCCGTGTGGCAGGCGCGGCGAATGGATTGTGATATGGAAGATGCAAAGTGGAAAGCGGAGAGGTGTAAGAGCGGGGAGATGAAAAGGCGGAGAGGGGAGGTAGGTCTTCATCTGTGTCACTTACTTTCTTGGTGGTCCGTTCGCTTGCCGCCGTGGATGCGCCCTAAACATTGATGTGCAAGAGAAAGAAGAAAAAAAGGCAAAACAATATAAAAAAATAAAAAATAAAAAATAAAATAAAATATAAAAAATAAAAAAGAATGAAAGAAAAGCCCTCCGTATATCAGACAGTCTTTGTATTCATTGGCGATCTAAAGAGGCCTTGAGAAATAGAGCTGCTCATCATGTCACGGAAAGAAAGCAGCTCCACAAGAATAAGCAAAATGCACCTTGGCTGGCCCTCAAATGTTGGTCAGATAGCCTGTACTCAATCCAATCGTCATCTGTATAAAAGAAGGCAAACAGCGGCACAAAGATGCCTCTGGCCGAGAAAACAGCTCTAAAGGGGGACAATGCGCAAAGAAAAAACCACAGAACCGTGGAAAAAGAGAGGCTCAAACCCATTAGCCAACACCCAAAGCTGTCCCCCGGAACTCTCTCTTTTTTTTACTTCAGCAGCTGGATCAGACCACATATGGAAGGCCATCATGTCCAGAAGAAATGTGGAGCCCTCGTCTCAAAAAGAACGCAATCCGTCAATCAAAAGCGCAACTTCCTCTTCCCACTCTCTAGGGCTCGGATCGCTCATCCTTGTTCATTGAAATCCCCACCCAAAGTACCAAAAAAGCAAAAATAAAATAAAAATAAAAGCAAAAACAAAAGCAAAAGTAACAGCAGAACAGAAAAAAAAAGGGCCAAAGAAAAGGGTGGCAAATGGTCACAAACGTGTTTTAACCAAATATGGTGAGCAACTGCAAGACAAACTCATGTTTTCACTTGCCTCGAGATCCCACTCGCAGCAGGAGACGTCTGAGCATCAACCGGCTGTCACAGGTCTGCAGCCCTTGAATGGTTGTCTCTTGGGAGAGGAGACCAGGCACCTAGCAATAATGAAAGAAGTAAATAAAGAAAGAGATGGAACAGGGGAAGGTGAAGGGGTAGGAGAAGGAGAAGGAGAGAGAGAGAATGTGTGTGTGTGTGACAGAGAGTATTAGAAACAGTTGACACAAGGGACTCGCTGCGTGAGTGAGTGCGAGAGAGATACAAGTGCAGAGGAACAAGTCTGAGGTGGACAAGAGTGGGAGAGAACAGCGAGAAAGAAGGGGCGAGAGACAGCAGAAGTGAAGGACTGAGGGTGAAAGTAGGAGTAGCTACAGCAGGGATAAAGGTGGAGGAGAAGGAAGGAGAAGAGCTTACCTTGAAGACCGGGCGAGAGAAGATGGGGGAGAGAAGAGAGAAGAGAGAAGATAGACAAAGAGGAGGGCTCCGATAGACACTCCCTCCTCAGGCAGACGGTAAACGTCATCACTGCTATTTGCAGTGCTTCTTATCGACATAGTCTCTTCGAGTCTTTCACATGAAAGAAAAGGATATAGTGGGCGACAGGCAGCACGGAGACAGTGAACAGAGACAAGTAAGGAGATAATGGTGGCAAAATAAATCTGACCGGTGACCTATCGGGACATGAAATATACTTTGGTGGTAAGATGGCCTAGTCTTTGCAGCAAAGGAGCAAAGAGAGGGAGAGTGGGAGTGAGGGAGTGAGGATGATAGGATGAGAGGATGAGAGGAAGAAAGGAAGAGAGGTCTCCTTTGATGAGCATACAGGCATGGAAAGATAGTAAGCAATAGACAGAAAAGACATGGCAAAAGTAGTACCACCACAAGAGTGTCTTTTGTGAGTGCAGCCAGCACGTCTATTTAAGCAGCCAATGATGTACTTGGGAGTGCACAAGGATAAAGAGGCATAAAACACAGGAACAAGCAGCAAGGAAAGAGAACGAGTGAAACAAGAAAAAAACGGCTACAGCGACGATGACCATATAGGTCACATACAGCAATACTATCCTCTTGCAGCACTATGCGGGCATACAATAATCCCTAAAGACAATACATCGTGGGTACGTTGGACTCGGACCAAATTGTCTATTCCAACATAACCAATGCTGGTTGCATCCTCTCCAGCTTTTTTCCTATTTCATCAAGTGCTCACATACGGCTGTGCTGCATCCACTTCTTAAGAAAATCAGCCTGCTACAGACAACACCTCCAAGTGGGCACACGTCGCAGCTGTGGACAGCAGCACTGGGAGTGGCCGAAAGGGCTGTCAGCAACAACACACGCGTCCCTCTCCAAGCGTCCATGTTTATGCGCATACTCTGCAGCACTTCATTTCTTCCTTATTAGTATAACCACACGAGAAATCTGCAGTCGCGGTAAAAAATGGGCGCAGTCCACAATTTCGAAATGTCCCTCAGAAATCTGAACCCAAACCTTGTTTTAGATGGCGTAGCAGCTTACGACCTTCAGAAGAAACAGAGAAAGGGGATGATGCCACTGACGATAGAAATCGCTGTCGCCGGTTTGCACTCGCCTCTAAGACAAAGGAGAGTGGAAAAAATATTGATATAGCCGGCCACAGACCTTTCCATGTGCTGTCACGTCCTCAAGAGCTACACCTTCCGCTTCCTTTTTACCCACCCCAAAGTGGTCGAAGACATGTGTGTAGGTCTTTATGGCAGCATGGCGCACCTATGGGTCGATCATGGGCTTTTTAGCTCCTCCACATTGAACTGTATCAAGGTGGCTGCCTAATGCCAGAATTGTGCCTACCTCGTCCACGATGGTGCACTTGATGCCATCAAGATCATGCTCTGAAAGCGGCGAGAACTTTGGCCGTCCCAAGATCTGTGCACTAGTCACGGCGCTATCAGCACTCCTATCCGCTGGACGCCCTGCTTGTTCGATGCTGAACCTCTTACAAAGAGTGCGAAGAGAGAGGGAGAGAACAAGGATCCCCCAATTCTAGCAGCAGAACTGGGGACGTTACGCTCATAACCTCCGGGACGGGGCTCAGTATCTACACTTTCAACTGGGCACGAAGCGCTGATTCTATTCTAAAACGTGAACTGGACCAATTTTCTTACATGGAGTTTAGCGGATGGACAGATCAAGGATCGATCGATACTTTTATTGCTTATCTGAGGAAACTGCTGCAGAACGAGGATGCAAGGCACGCATTGGACAAGCTCCTGCCACCAGAGGCCTTTGAGATGATGATGGAAAAGCCGGTCGGGCGATCCCGTCCCATTGTAACTACGACCGCGAGGATCATTGGCACTGACAAACCAGAGGCCTGGCGAGACACAATCGAGGAGACAGAACGGAGACTGGTATCGTGGGATCTACGCAACCATCCGGAAAATCTCATATATGAGCTCGTCCGATCGGAAGACAAATATCACAGGAACCTGGCAAGCTTCCCGGACCTTCGTACGGTGGAGTAAGTTCTAGGGTTACTTCTATTTCAGCGGTATATGTTTGGAGGTGACCACCTAGTACTTGATCGCATGGTGTCAGAGTTGGTGGAGCGCGCGTTCAGCCGTATCAAAATCGTTGAAAGACAAGCAAGACCGGTTCTCGATGAGGCATTCGTGCTAAAAGCGGCCGAAAACTACTTCAGGGTGCGGGATTCCGGCTTTATGAAGACTACGGATTGGTGGGTGCAACAGCCGGACAGGGCCCAAACTCGCGGGTACGCCTAGAAGCTTATGATGATGACCGTTTTTGCAAGGCACGTGCTCTTTCCGACTGGCCACACGGACCATCGATTTCTTCTCTGTGTGGGGAACTCGCAGGAGATGTGGAGATTGTTGGTCTGGATGATCAGGGCCTTCAGCGGGGATCACTCATGCGCACATCTCCATGGAGGACTTCATGGACGCCCATATCAACAAAAGTTCAATGCGACTTGGTCAGCCCGTCCCGCCATTCTTCTTCCCCAAAGCCCGGACTTCAGGACCTGATATCGTCTTTTTCATTCGGGCTAAACAAAATATGTTTCCCGTTTTCATGCAATTGAAGCTGCGTCAGGTGGTTTCGAAAACAGGTGCGGACTCGGTCCTCGACTCTAGCTCTGGTGGGGAAGTCCTGGGCCATATGATGGATCTTGGCAAGTACTACCCGACAGACAAAACCTACATCAGCATGATCATTGGATACCCAGCCAAAGCGGTCGCCTCTTTGCGTCCACGACCTAATTTCTGTCCCAAACTCAATGGTCTGAAGCAGGTAGTCATCAAGGTAGATGAGACCAACTTTAGCAGCATCTTTCCAAAAAGCCATATTGATTTTCTCGATGGAATTAAGTCTCCTTTGAAGCGGGCTCCAGACGACGAACAGGGGGACTGAAGGATCAAAAAAGGCGCAGGTCTAGCTTAGATGTTAACAGGAGTTAGTAAAGCATTGACGAACAAAAGGGGCATAATAAAGAGGCGTGCCATGGATGCTGCTTCTTACTTTGAGCATACTTTTGAAGTATCGCCGTTTAGCAGCCCGCAGGCTCGCCTATGTCGGTGTAGTATCGTCTCTTTGAGTCCTTAAATTGTTGAAGAGCACCACGGATCCGCTTTCGTGCATCCTGCTGCAGTATTTAAAGATAGCGGGGTCCACTGAATAAGAAGGACGCGGGAAATACAAACAGTCTGCGCATGTGTTAATAGGTACTACTTGTAACTGGTGGTCCATTTGTAGGTTTGTGGGCGCAATTGCATACATTAGACTATTAAACTACGGCATTTCTGCACCGCCCACACCACCGAGCACATCATCCTCATCATCCTCATCCAGATTACCTCTCTCTCTCGCTCCCCCCTCGACAAACTCCATTCCTCTGTCAACCATTCTTATTTATAAAACTATATATATTGTTATTATTATTACTGTTACTGTTGCTGTTACTATTACACTACTATCACCACTGTTATTCCTATTCCTATTCCTATTCCTACTCTAAAATATTATGCCCACTGAGCATATGAGTACCGCAAATAATCCACCAGTTCCGGAGGTGATCATTGTTGGCGCCGGCTTGAGCGGTTTGTTCCTAGGCATCTTACTCCAGCATGCCAACATTCCCTTCAGAATCTATGAGCGCGCACCATACGTCAAGCCCTTGGGTAGGGTCATTATTCAGTCCGAGCGATATATCAGTGAGGATGGTACTACCCAAATGCTAATAGCAAATTGCCTCCCTTTTTGTCGTTGTTATTGTTGTTGTTGTAGGGGCCATCATGTCCCTGAATGCGAATATCTTGCCAGCATTTGAACAGCTTGGTTTGTTAGAGGAGCTTAAAGAGATCTCGTTCCCGAGTCATGGATACAATATTTTTAACGATGAGCTGAAGAATATTGGGAGTATAGGGGCCGACGAATATAAGGAAAAGTATGTCCCCTGACTTCTTTTCTCCAGCGAGGTTGCCTATGATCTTGCCATTACTGACTATTCTAACATGTAAATGTTGGTAGAGTGGGGTACGACATTATTGTGTTTGCTCGTCCTCCAATGTACGACCTACTCCTCTCGAAAATACCTGCGAACAGGATTCACTTCAATAAAAAGGTCATTTCGCTACGCCAGGATGAGCATCAAGTCACGATTACCTGCGCAGATGGGACGACAGCTTGCGGCGATATTCTTGTTGGTGCAGATGGGGCCTACAGTGCGATCCGACAGAACATTTATAGGGAAGCGGCCGAAAAGGGCGAGCTCCCAAAGGCGGACGCAGAGGGACTGTCGCAAGGGTACATTACATTGGTCGGAACTACAGATCCACTTTTGGTGAGCAAGTATCCGGAATTGAAGGATGACTATACGCATTTCGCGCAGATGATCGGCAAAAAGGGCACGCCGTATACGGTAAGTCTTCAACAGGATTTCTTCCAACAAAAACAAAATTTGCAATTGGTCTATATGCCTGCCATTGATACATCTTTTTGTGCTGTGCCTTATTTTTGGTAGTGGAGCACGTTCACGGTGCCTCATCGTAAGATATGTTGGAGTGTCCAGCTACAGCTTGGGAGTAAGGCTGTCGACCAGATGATTGGGAACGCGGAGTGGACGCCGGACTCGAACGGGATGATGATTGAGGAGGTCTACCAATTCAAAACGCCACATGGGATCCTTGGGGATCTGATTGATGCGACCCCCCAGGAGCGCATCTCGAGGGTTGCACTCGAGGATAAGTTATTCCAGACATGGCACTATGGTCGATGTGTGTTGATTGGCGATGGTATGTGGACTTGATCGTGTCTTTATTTTTCTTACTTTGATTTTCTGCCTGAATAGCAACTCTAACCTCTCTCTCTCTCTCTTTTTTTTTTTTTTTTTTTTTTTTTTTAAGCTGCCCACAAGGTTAGGACTGAGTGCAATCATCTAAAAAACATTGTTGGTGAAGGGTAGCTGAACAAGCGATCTAACAAATCGTTTATGTATTCATTTCATACTCAACTTTATCGCAGTTACTCCCAAGCACGGGTCAAGGTACAGATAGTGGGCAGATAATTGCAAGGTTACGGACACTTCAATTATCTATTCTAATACTCCTTTTTTTCCCCTAGGTGCTGTGAATTCTCTGCAGGATTCAGTCATTCTGGCCAACTGCTTGTACGACCTCCCTTCTCTGTCTACAAAGGACATAACTGCAGCATTTAGCGATTATCATGAACAACGACTGCCTTTTGTAACATACCATTTCAACGCAAGCAAGACCCAATCCAAAGTCCTGTTTGGCCAGGTACGTAAACTGAAGGGAGCTTCTTTAAAAAAAAAAAAAAAAAAAAAAAAATATCTTGTGCGATCTTATTCACTTGCGATTGACAATTCGTGGTCTGGTGCTTGTTAATGCAATAGACATTGTGGGATCGTATGGTGCGACACGCCGTGTTCCATTATCTGCCTTCTTCTTTGGCCATGAAGGAGGTGTACAAGGCAGCGATGTACCGTCCCCAGGCCACATTCCTGCCAATGGTGGAGAAGCGTGGAACGGGCGATGTTCTCCCACAGAAGCCCTCAAGGCGATATTCCGCGGAACAAGATGCAGCAACTGGTGTTCATCATGAGAGTTAAATAAATCAATCCTTCCCATTCTTCTTTTGAAGAACAAAATGCGCATGTTTCCCATGCGCTTCAGGTCACATTTACAGTTAAGCAGCATCTATAGGAGTCTAAGTTTATTATGAGGGATCATGTTGTCGCGTTCAGCCCGCCAACGACTCTTTATACAATTTCCTCCACGTCTCAATCTGTCGCCGTTCCATGATGGTCAAATGCTTGTCCGTCCGGTCTTGTCTGCATTGTTGTATACGCTCGGCACTCTTACCGTCTAAAAGGTCTGATGCTTCCACATCAAGTCGTCTGTCCTTTCCCTCCTTCTCTCGCGCAGGACCGTCCTTGTCCTGACGTTGTTCCTCGTCTTCCTCTAAAACGATATCCCACAATCTTTCTGCTCGCTCATAATCACCTGCACGCTGCAATCCTGCGACGAGTGTTGAATATGTTTTGAGACTGGGCTCAATCCGATACCGGTTGATCATTTCTTTGAAGAAATGCGTTGCCTTGTCCATCTGACCGGCATGCGCAAACCCGCTGATCATCGACGTAAGTGTGACGACGTCGGGAGCCGGAGGTGAAGTAGTAGCCGACGCTGGCACAGCGACTTCGTCTGAAGACATCTTGGAGAATGGCGTCTGACCCTGCTGTTGCGAGTCGGCACCCACTGAGCCTGACACAGAGCCTTGTGAAGATGCCGCAGATCTCGAGAGAACAAACGTCGATGATGGTGTCGATCTGACAGGTTTGGATGAAGACTGTATAGAAGTCCTTCCATTGGCGCGAGTGCCTTTCATACTACGGAAGACCTGCATGGCTGATGTCAGATCGCCTCTCGAGATATGATATAGTATGTTGGTGTTGAAAGTGACCGTGTCTGCCGATATGCCGTCCTGCTCCATGTCATAGAAGCACTGACCGATTGAGGCGATGTCGTTGGTCTCGACCGCGTGCTGTAATAATGCATGAAGCATGATGTTGTATGTATAGATGTCCCTATTTGATCGTAAATGACGCTTTGGCAATGGCGGCTCATGTTCCTGAAGATCTTGAGTCTGTGGCTGCTCCTGATACTCCTCAAAAGACGGGGTGTCCTCATTGACGGCACGGTCGCCTGTACTGTCGACGCTCGTATCTTGCTGGTTAGCAAGCTGATCTTGTTCAATATGTAGCGGCTTTCGCGGCCTCCTCCTCCGTCTTGGTTTGATGAGCTCTCTTTCAGGTATTCCAACCATGTCGTCATATATCTTTCTCATGGTTGATAGATCCCTGTGTTTTTCATAGTATGCTAAAAGCGTGTTGTTCGTCACCACGTCCGGTTCCAATCTGAGCGGGTTGTATTGCCTGAAAGCGGATTTCCATGACGGTGCATGCGGAACCTTGTACTGGGTCATCTCAAGGTACAGCTTAGCGAGCACGTTCAAGGTGGTGATGTTGGGTTTAATGCCTTGTTCCCCCATCGCCCTGACATATTTCTCAATCTCCATGGGGTTCGCCACTGCGATTTCCTTAGTCGCTGAAGTTGATCTTGTTGTAGCGCCGCCATCATCATCTGGTCGACTAAACACTTCTGCCTCTATTTCGCCTCCTTGATTCTTCCCACATTTCGACCGCCGACTTTGCCTTGCGCCCTTTCCAGTTGCAGCCGCAGCCGAGACGATGTCGAATCCAAACTCCTTGACGGAATACGAGTTGAGAACCCCAGTGAAAGTGGAAATGCGATACTTTTGGCCTGCTTCCAATCCTCGGTTAAAAACAGCCCTCGCGAGTTCATACAGCTCGTTCTCGCACGCTCCATAGATAAAAGCGTCCATGGTTTTTGCCGACATCAGCAATGGTCGATTCCGTATCCTCGTCTTAGGATCGGGTGAAGCCAGTGATCCTTGATATTGATCCTCGTGCCTCAGTAGCATGAGGCCGATTCGTTCCAACATTTGGCCATCATGTTGCGCCACCGCGACTCGGATAAGACTTTCCAAGAGCCTTTGCTTCATGCTGATTCCCCTCTCGCTCAAGGTTTCGTAGAGTTCCAACGCTCGCCATCGATAAAAGGTTGATAGCAAGCTGTCGATCATAAATGCTGCCAAAATCTCTGCTTGCGGTGTGTATGATGTTGACGTGTCTAGTCCCTGATCCACGATCGTTCGTTCCCATGCGCTCTCAATTTGATCCAAAAAGATGGACTGGTCCTGCTTCCAGTATACCTCCAGCACGGCGAAGCCCAGAGTCTGCTGCCACTCCTCGGCGTAGCTATGGAAATAAGCCTTCATTTGCGGCACAGAATACTGAATCAATGTCGTCACTGATTCCCAAAACTGCTGCTGGCTAGCGGAGCAATCCTGAATGGTCTCAAGAATGAATGAATAATCTCCAATGCCAAGGTCCCGATACGAGTCCTTGCAGATGGCAGTGACATCGTCGACTATAGTAGAGGTGCCGGGCGCCGGGTGTCGTCGGTAGAGTGCGAGGAGGCTGGGATGGGCTGGAGTCGTAGTGTGTTGAAGCAAGGAGTTCATATAGGCCATTGGGACCCTGGACGCGTTTCTCCATTGTGGCAGAGAAATGATCCTGTTGGATCTTCTCCGTATCTTGGGCTCCCGTTTGTGTGGTGGCATTCCTGATAGTAAGGATGATCCTGAGCTGGTATTATTATATTTAGGTGCTGGCGCCATTTGAGCGGACGCGGCGACTCCATTTGAGGAAGAATGATGAAGCTGTCTCCTTGAAACCCCTGTAGATCATGCACAGTAAAACAGCGTAAGTTCAGAGTCGTTGTAGTAAATTGCCCCAGAAAGTTTGCTTCGTCGAGTCGGTTTCTTACTCCGTCTGGATCCTGACAGCACCGAAGAATCACCAAGCCAAGAGGGAGTCCGCTGTGGAAGAAGCAGCCGTTGGAAAGGTGTTAGGGCCCTGCGCGCTTGAACTGCAGGGACAATTGACTCGACTAATTTGGAAGTGTGCATGCAAACGGGAAAGAGCCTTGAAGCAGATGGATTTCCTAGGTCAGAGGAGGCCCAGGAGGGAGACGATGGCACGAGCGCCCTTCGCCCTGAGGAGCAGGATCGCGCCCCGAGAGTGAAGGCCATTCGGCAGGTGAGCTAGGCTGGACAGAGGGTTGCGAACTTGTCAGAGGGCTAGTGTTTGTCACGGTCTTGGACTTGAAGGGCACAAGGCAAAGAGGCAGAACCTGATCGGACAGTAAGTAAGGAGAATGAGGAGTGTACAGAGAAAGGCGTAAGGTTGCTGCTGTCGTCGGAGGCACTGTTCCTGAGGAGGTGTGGTGGGAACGGAGGGATGCCCTGGAGAAGTATATGGGAGATCCCTTTCTGGCGAGTGATCTCGTTGGGAGGACGGATCAGGGTTGAATCAGATCAAACCGCAGACCCAACGGACACTGTTACACGTGCGACAAAATACATCTTCCCTAGGCTATGACTGGCAAAGCAGCCCGCTCCCTCTGATTGGCCAATTCCCCAGGGACGTGCTGCTGAACAAAGGGTCTTCTCTGCGGCGTGCCTTTGAAGAATGGCCATGGCATGGTCCTGAGCTACTTCTTTCTTCTCACTGCTCACACACACACCGCTGTGCCTTATTGGTCTCCCATCTCTCTCTACCCACCACCCTACAAAAGAACACCTTCTTTACCTTCTTTCATGTCTATGGCTTTCTACTCGACCTGCTCTTTCTTTTCTGTCGCGTCGTAGTACTCATAACACCCTTCCTATTCAGCCCAACGCACCCGCGTCTTTATTTTCCCTGCAGCCATGAGTACCTTCACAAGCTTCGATGCTCTCCATGAGCCTCAGCACGAGGACCCGCCAGAGAACGTACTCTCCAAGATATTCCACCGCGTTAAGAACACCCTCTCGACGTCGTCCCATAGTCCGTCCCAGCCTTGGACACCTCCAACAACGCCTGCTGCAGCACAATCCGGTCAAGCTACAACCTTTGCACCTGGTATAGATAATCAATCATCATGGGATAGCCACTCCAACAGCCGTGTGCCCTCTCTGGTTGTCTCCTCCGCCGCGTCGGGCGCATCAACCCCCCGCGCTACTCTCGAAGACAACCCCAGCAGCGTGTCTTCCTCATCGACTATCGGACCATCCTACTCACGCCAGTCAGATTCAAGGTCATGGATCTCTAATTCGGACAACAGTAGCAAGGGTAGCCTCAGTAGTAAATCGAGTATGCAACCAGGCATATCAACGCCAATAATCGCAGAAGATAAGGACCGGACCATCGTTGTCCGGCAACATTACTCAGGATCCTCGACCGTACCCAAGCGAGCATCCTCCCTCTTCAAAGTAAGCACCATGGAGCATAGCATTGTAAAGGACGACGACTCTGCCTCGCTCACTTCGATGGCGCCACCCATCGTATCGCTCAGTCCCGCCTTTGGAGACCAACAAATGTTCAAGGATGGGCTGCTTGCCGATTCGCCAGGCGCCATGACCACTAGAGCCCCGGACAGCCGGATAGTAGACCATACACGACTCAGCGCAGGTAAGTCACGCATCTCAAAGGTCTTGACGGCGTGAAAGGTATTGCCCTGGATCTTACACCCAGGGTCTTTTATGAAACATGCTAACTCCTCACGTTTGGCGATTTACAATAGGGGATACCTCTGCAACCAGAGACTATATCCACCAAACTCTCGGCGCAAGAGAGGCATTCGCTGACTCGGATACGAGATCGATCAGAAGCTTCAGCTCTGGGCACCAGAAGGGCAACTCATTGACTAAACTCATCCGCCGTGTCAGAGGAGAAGGCGTGAACAGGGATTACTGGATGGCGGACGAAAATGCAAAGGAGTGCTTTGGATGCAGCGCCTCGTTCTTTGTCTTCAGAAGGAAACACCATTGCCGCATTTGTGGTAATACATACCGATATCCATACGACGCTATGGCAAGCAGGATCATCTTTTCTCGGCAGTAAATTGATCGGCTCATTCCGTACATTATTCATTTCTACTAGGCCACATTTTTTGTTCAAAGTGCGCATCAAAAATCATTCCCGGAATCAAACTTGGGTACGAAGGCTATCTGCGTGTATGCAACTACTGCTTGGATGTCATGCAGCAGTACGAGGAGCAGGAGAATGGGCTCAGCGAGTACACCCCAGGTACTACTTGGTCCACGTCGACCCCATCAAGTGTCCACGGATATCTAACGCAACCCCCTTCGATTGCTACGAATCCCGTGTCTTCGAATCAAAACGACGGCACTCCCCTAGATGGGTTCCGAAAGTTTTTACATGCCGGATCAAACTTGTTTCTGGCTCGGTCTCGGTCCAACACCGCAAATGGTGACCAAATCGATGGCAGCACGGTGCCCTTCGGGAGGTCTCTTGCGCTTGAAGATGCCATGCACGACTCAATTTTGGATCCAGAAATAGCGCCGTTCATGGGAGAGGAGGATGACGACGACCGAGACGACCTTTGGCCGTCGAACTCGCCCAATACCATAGGATTTGTCACTCTCAACGATCCATATAACGATGGCAACAGCGACGATGATGATGACGACAGCACTATCTCTGACTTTATCCCAAGGGAAAAGTTTATCGTGCGCACAACCCGGGCGGAGGAAATACGGGACATGTTTTCAAAAGACCGTTCGCCCATGAGCCGCCGCATCAGTGTTAGCGGGAACCGACCCAACCGGAATCTGAGTCTGAGCCTTAAGACTAGGGGCTTGCTTCGTTCTGACGGATCAGAATCTGCGAGATCACCCATGGATATCAGACCAGCCTCGCCGTTTTTGAGCTCGAACTCTCAGGCGCTGTTGCATACCGGTCGTCACTCCCGAGCGGCGTCAATGGCCGTCAGCCCAACAGAACTCAACAGTGCCTCTCTGCAGCACATGCGCCGATTGCTACGACAGCTCCTGACACGGTTCGAAATCGACAATGGTGATGGCTGGGAAGAAGTCATTATGAAACTTGTGCTCAAGGTCTCGACAAGTATTCAAATCTTGGGAGGAATGGACGTAAGGCAGGTCGTCAAGGTCAAGAAAATCCCTGGCGGAACTGCCCAGGACACACTCTATATCAACGGCGTTGTTTGTACCAAGAACTTGGCCCACAAGCAGATGAGTCGAGCCCTCCAAAACCCCAGGATCCTGATCTTGAAATTCGCTCTGGAATATCAGCGTGTCGAAAACCATTTTATTTCTTTGGAACCGATTGTGAACCAAGAGAGGGAATACCTTCAGCACCTGGTCGCTCGGATCGTCGCTCTGAGCCCGCATATCATCGTTGTGGAAAAGACGGTCTCCAGATTGGCGCTTGAATTGCTGCTGAAACACAATGTCGCAGTGGCATATAACGTCAAACTTGAGGTGGCCGAGGCGATCGCCCATTCAACCGGAGCCGACATCATTCTGTCGTTCGATAAGCTTGTCAAGGAACCACGGTTAGGAACCTGCGGCTCTTTCGAAGTAAAGACGTTTGTCCACGAGTTGATCCCCAACAAGCGAAAGAGCTACATGTTCTTCCAGGACTGCCCAGGAAATCTTTTCTGCTCCTTGGTTCTCCGCGGTGGATCACTGGAAACGCTGAACAGGATCAAGAAGGTGGTCCGATTGATGGTCTGGGTGTCGTATAACCTCAAACTGGAGACTTCACTTATGAGCGACCAATTTGCCATGACATCGGCAGTGCGAGAATCACGCCTCCTAGAGGAGGAGAAGGTCGAAATCTCTTCCGATGCAGATATCAGCCGTCTTCAAGAATCACTCGTGCCATACAAGCAAACGATCCTTTCTGCATCGCCCTTTGTCAAATTCAATCCTCCATTTCTGCTGAAGCAAATGATCGAGGATGCGGAAAAACTCAAGGCGATCGAACAGTCCACAACACCCACAGCGCTACGGGAGATCGGCAACGCAAAGATTCTATTTGCAGCCGCCAGTACGAGCGCTATCATCAACAAGTCATCAACAGGCAGGTCGCAAGATAGTGGATTTGTCGAAGGCGCCTACATTGACATCTCTAACGACTTTCAAGCAAAGAGCAAAGCATGGGAGGACTTTTTGAGCAGCAACATTGGACCACCACATATCGTGCCATTCGCTTACCAGAACCTCGCATTTTTGTTTTCGAACATCTGTATGCCGACCAAGACGACCTGCGTCGGGCCTGTCATACGCCTCATTCAATATTATAGTTTGTTGAGCGATGTCACCCTCGCTCATTACCTTGACCAAATCTGCTGGGAGTCGAATTTCATCTGCCCGTCCTCAGCCTGCGATCGACCTCTCCGAGACCATCAACGCATATATGCACATGGCGATGCCAAGATTACTGTTATTGTGGAGCAATGGGATTCACCTACAGCGCTGAAAAAAGACTCGATCATGATGTGGAGCAAGTGCCAGATGTGCGGTGTCTCTACTCCGCAGGTTTATATCTCGGATGATACCAAGAACTATTCCTTTGGCAAGTTTCTGGAGCTGATTTTCTACCAGAGCAACCTGACATGCCGGGCCAACATCTGCCCTCACGACATCAATCGCGACCATATTCGGTATTTTGGCCTGGACACGCAGGTCGTCAAGATTCAGCGGATACCGATTCGACTCTTTGACATCAACTTTCCGCCCATGCTCGTCCGTTGCAAGCCCGAGTACTATGCACGGACCAAAAACCAGGATTTGGATATTGTTCGCTCTCTGATCACCAGATACTGGGACTCGGTTATGGTGAGGATCAAAAACTGTATTTTTGATGTCGTCCAACCATCCAAGATCGAGGCCGCCAAGCAGGAACTACTAGAGATGTCGAGGAACGTGGTCGTGGAGAAGAAGTGGATACTGCAACTGCTGCAGCAGACTTATCTCAACAGCTCTCCGACGGACACATTGGCATTGAACATGGTGCGGATCAAATTATACGAGAAGGCAGTGGCGTGGAACAAAACATTCGGGGACTTTGCGCGTGAGTACTTCAATCCAGAGCGCGATTTTAGAAGGAGCACTACATCGCAACTTCGGAGACTGTTCGACGAGAAGGAGTTTCCTGTCGCTTCGGATCGAGCACACCATGCGAGCTTGATGAATGATTTGCCTATGACTCTGGATGCCGGTGACAGCAACGAGTTAAATGGAGAGGATTACAGTGACTTTGCACCTTCGGACCTACCTTACCTAGGTAGCTCGCCAACTTTGAAGGTTGCCCGATCAAAGATCGAAGAAGGAGATGTAGCTGCACTTGAAAGCGCTATTGAAAAGGCCACTTCACAGATTGCCTTTCCATTCATGGAACCAAAGGTTACTCGCAGGCTATCCATGAATCTAATGCAGGAGTTTAGACCAAAACTCACGCACGCGCTGACGTCGGACTCGATTTTAACTGTTACGGACGAGGACTTGGCTGAAAAGGCCAAGACCAAAGAGCCATTTCCTGCGTCTACTATACCCCGAATTCCGCTGCCAGCCAGTTCGCGAACTACGACGCGGGTTTCAAGTCGCCTATCAATGGTGTCGCTACCAACTTTCGATCCCATGACTCTGCTGCAACAGGAGCGGAGGGATAATCAGCATTTCAGGACCGGCCTTACCGCCACACCAACCCACTCTGGAGCGCCCTCATCTTTGGGTTTAAAAAACATGAACGAACGACTAATCATCCCGCTTGACCGCACTCCGACAAACGAGAAACCAAGCTCTACATCCTCGACGTCAGGAAAGAATCCGTTTTTCTTCAATAAACCACGGCCAAGGCGACCCACGGAGACAGCTTCGTCCACATCGACAGCGAGTAGTCCGCCTTCTAACCACGCAGTTTCACCAGAAAGATTCTCTTCAGCCGCCAACAGCCTCACCTCGACAACCCTCAGCAGCAGGCGTTCAAGCTACCTAGCTCGTGCTCAGGGTGGAGGAATACCCATTCCGACGCATGGTTCCACAAATTCGTCGGAAACTCATAGGAACGTGGTCGGTAACAGGAGTCGTTCTCTGACGCAGCCGATGCCAGGACCGAACGGAACCGCTCGAGCAAGGTACATGAATGCTCTCTCTAGCCGCAATGCGCGGCCGCTTGATGCAAAGCAGCCATCGATCGAGGTGTTTTCGAGCGTCAAGGAGGCGGCCAAGGAGGAATCAGAGGATGAGGACGACTATCAGTCCGAAGGTGAGGGTGAGGAGCCGTATCAACCTAGCCGTGGCTATACCTTCTCGCTAATCCAGACGGATGCCATGGACGAAGCGCTCGGAAGCGAAGACCCTTTGACGATGGAAGCAACCAACAACCTTAGGAGCAACAGCGTAGGTCCCAACGCAGGGCCGGGAGGTGCTCATTCCTTAGCTAATAATGGGGACGATAACGTGTCCCTAGATCCAGTCCTGATGATGTTTTTGGGAGACGATGACTACTCCGCCGATCAACAACAGGATTCAGGCACGAACAATGCTAGTACTCACACTGGCGGACTCAGCTCGTCTGTGGTGGGATCTCCGCCTACAAAGTCGTCGTCTATGAACATGACTGTCACCGGTACCTTGAGTGCGGCGCTGGCAGCAGCCTCAAAGTTGCCACAGCTGAGCGAAGTGGCCGAAGGCGTTGAACGCGGATCCTTGATCAAGACACTGTCCAACTTTTGGCAAGACCGGAACTCGCCTAATTTCACGCCCCTAGACTATCCCATGTAAGCGACTTTCCCTATGACTGAGCGCGTTTGTACAATGTATAGGTGATTATTATTACTAACGCCACAAGTGTTTTTTCCTTCTGAGTAGGCAACCGTTCGAGCATGTTTTTCCATATTCGCAGATTATTGTGCGTGAAGATGAACCTAGCTCCATCATTGCCTTGACACTCAGCTCCCCACAGTATGTCGAAAAGCTGAAAGGCATCTTCCGAGGCGACGACATCAATGTGGACAACAACAACAACCATGCGACTGCTCCTATGTCGACGTCTGGAACAGCCATGCCTGCTGAAGATAGTGTTGCAGCATCCTTTGACGGCAGTGGAAGCAATACGCCGTCCTCCTCTGGGCTACCGACCGAGGGAATCTATGATGACATTCAAGTCCTTGACGACTCATTGCTGTCTGAGCCTGGAACCCATATGAAGTTTCGTAAGTTCGATATTCTACTTTTGCTGCAGGGAAATGGGGACGATGTATGTTTTTATTGGAAACAGTATTAAGTCTCTTGTATATTTCCCTCAACTCTGTTTTCGACATTTTAGCATTCTTAGATGGTTCGACTATGCTGTACTGCAAGATCTTTTATATGGAGCAGTTCCATGCGCTTCGCAAGGCTGCAGGATGCGAGTACTCTTACATTCAGTCTTTATCCCGATGTTTGAGATGGGATGCAAACGGTGGTAAATCTGGCTCCTCGTTCCTAAAGACTAGAGACGATCGATTTATCATGAAGCAGCTCTCGAAGGTTGAGTTGGAGGCGTTTATCAAATTTGCGCCGCATTACTTTCAATACATGCAAAAGGCCATTTACCACAAGGTAATTGAACAGATGACCAAAGAGCGACAGAGAATGCGTCTGCCATCTGGTCCATGCCTTAATGACTCTAAACATTCTGATTTTTGGATGATTAGCGACCGACCGTACTCGCCAAGATTTTCGGATTCTATCGCGTGGGCTACAAACACGGGGCTCTCGGCCGATCGATGAACATGGACGTACTGATCATGGAAAACCTCTTTTACGACCGCAAGAACCTTCAAATTTACGACTTGAAAGGGTCCCGCCGCAATCGATACGTGCAACCCAGTGGTAGGGACAACGAGGTTCTCTTGGACGAGAACTTTATCGAGTTTATGTCCGAATCTCCGTTCTTTATACGCGAACACGCCAAGTTACAGCTCTCCGAGTCGTTGGCCAACGATTCTCAGTTCCTACAGCGATTCAATATTATGGATTACTCGCTCCTGGTCGCTGTGTCTGACGAGGAGCAGGAGCTTTTGGTCGGTATTGTGGACTTTATCCGCCCTTTTACCTGGGACAAGAAGCTAGAGTCCTGGGTCAAGGATGCTGTCGGCTCCCGCGAGCCAACGATTGTCTCTCCAGCGCAGTATCGCAAGCGCTTCCGGTCAGCGATGAATCGGCATTTGGATATGGTGCCGGACCGGTGGTTTGACATCGACTCGCTCTTTGCGGGAGCCATTATGAATCGGGCGAGCGGGCGATCTCACCATCAGCATCATATTCAAGAGGCAGGCACGGAGTATGAGCAGGAGTGGCTTCAGCACCAGCACCATCTTTTGGAGCAGGAGCAGAAAAAAGGACAGATGCAGTTGCACCAACATCATACGAAGCATGGCGGCAGCAATACACATCAAGGAAGGTCTTCAACAGATCAACAGCAGCATAGTCACTACCATCGCCACAATTACCATCAGGATCACTACCACCATTCGCGGAGCAGCTCGGGCTTTCAGTCTGGAGAGCAGAATGAAACCATGAAAAGTCAGGTTTCAAGACCCAGCAGCGCGTTGATTATGTCGCGGATGCCTAGCTCCAACGATGAGTGATGCGTATGCGATGAAAGAAATAAATGTAAACACAACCATTTCTGTACCACTGTATGTGCTGCGCCCAACAAAGGGAATTGGCAGTAATGACATGTTCCAAGGGCAATTCAATGTGAAATATTGGTACATTAGTAAATTATAATGGCGGCTCCTGGCTGCGATATACATAATATTCTGTCTTGCCATTCTTTTTCGTACGTTCAAGAACAGACACAAAACTGCTTGACGGCCTCCTGCCAGTTGCCGATGGCCTTTCCTCCCTCAGCGATCTTCACTGCACAGGGGTGCCAGGCAGCGGCATAGGCGCTCAATTGTTGGATTGTAACACTTTCTCCTTGACCCATCAAGACGTCGTCCTCCTTCATCGTTATTGTGTACTTTCGGTCCGGCCGATGACGATCCCTCACCATAAAATAAAACACTCTTGTCTCTGATTGCGCGTCCTGTTGCTGTTTTTGCTGCGGAAGCATTCGATTGGCGGACGCTGACGCATAGGCCGACTCCATCACCAGATCCCCCGTACCGATATCATCAAAGGACCCGCTCACGGACGACATATCCTGTGCTGGCTGCAGGACCAGACTTGACGGACGGCAGACATCGTCCACATGATAGATCTGAGTCAGTTCGTTCATCCGCCTGGCCAGGAGCAGAAGCGCACTTCTCATGAACGTCGAGTCGACGGCCTTGCTGGGGTCGAGGCTCAGGAACGGTTGGAACGCGCAAAAGTCGTGTGGGATACCGGCGGTTCGACATGATCGATCCTCTTCGATCGGGAGCAAGAGCGAGCGGCCATAGATCTGCGCATAAGAGGTCTCATTGGGTGCGTTGGGATGGAACTGTCGTCGGAAGGTGCCGTCCGCGATAAAGTCGGTCATGTATTGGGCGTAGTTGCCGACAGGCATGTCTCCGTAAGCCAGATGATGAAATGTCTGGTGAAGATCCAGGTGGGACAATATCCGGTTCTGGTTCTGCTCCAGTGCCTGAGCAAAGTCTGGGCGTTCTGCGAGGAGTTGATTTGGAAGGGCTACGAAGAGTGGTGGGATTTTGTGATGGATGAATCCAGGGAATGTGTAGGTCTCCCGGCCATAGTGCAATCCATGGTCTGCCATGATGACGAGAGCGCTTTTAAGGCGAGGAGGGGGGGAGGAGGAGGAGTTTAAACAAGAGCACAGGTTAGGTATTTGTTCAGTTTGTCCTTTGGTCGCATGAAGAGCGGAAATGAGTAGTTCGCTTACCTCTTTGGGGAGAGAAGAGGCGGTTGACCATTCTGACCAACAAGAAGATTCTGAATAAGAGCCGCGAGATGCTTGTCAAAAGAAATGTGGTGGTGGTCCTGCACAACACAAGACAAATAAAAAAAAAAAAAAAGAAAAAGAAACGCCGTGTTAGTGTACTGATCTCTTCAACAGACCTATGGAGAGCAATAGAAGACAAAAATGCTTACAGGTGAATGGGCATCCATGAACGAATATGTCGCAAACCGCCTCTGTCCCTTAGTGCTGACCAACCAACCCTCCAAATTCTCCATGATATGCTTATGAATCGCCTTCTCGCCCGCACAATAAGGCGTATTCCATCTCATTCCGCCCATCAGGGCGGCATTGTAATTCACTTCCGCAGGAAGCGTACAACTTTTTCCCCACGCGCCTGAGGCATACATGTCATGGTTTTCGCACCAGGACAATTGCGACATTTGATGTTGCGCCGGGAGTCGATGAAATTTATGCGAGTACTCGAAAGTGATCGCGCCCGTCGTATAATCGGTAATGCCTCTTTCGCCTCCGCACTCGCCATCCGTATGTGCTGTTGTGAACCCCTGCTCCTCATAAGCGTCCCAGAGCCAGTGCTGTGCACCGTCATTTCTGTGCTCGATCGACTGGCCAGAGTAGATGTAGGCCTTGTTCGGTGGCGAATTCTGACCGAGGACATTATAGTGCTCGAAATCGAAGATCCTGTGCCCTGCTCCAGCTCCTGAGCCGGTCGAGTTAATGGCCGCAAAGGTCTCCATAACTGTTTGCATCTCGATCCTGAACTTTGCTCGCGAAATCGCATCCACCAAGATCATCACTACGTCATCCAGCAACGGCTGAGGGGCCTGCAGAGTTCCGTCAATATGCGGCGGTGCCTCGGGCAAGGGCTCGTCAGGCATGTCGAACTCCCGGAAAACCAGGTTCGTATTGTCTTGTCCAGGTGGGCAGAGCACAAACACATAAGGCTCCTCGCCCAGAGGCAACAGATCGTCGATCCCCTGGCTTGCAGTAGGGTGATCCCGAAACTCGTCCTTGGGGAAAGATTGAAAATGGTATTGATAGTTGGCCTGATCGGGACAATCGACCTGCAGGTACTGCTCTCCATTCTTCCACTGGATATGTGTGAACTTTGGTCCGTTGGTGATGTTGATCGGCAGATACGAGTTGATGTCCCAGTTCCAAGGTGGGAGCTTGAAGTCCTTCAGCGTAAAGTCGTCGATACTGATCCCTACGGGAGCCATCAAGGTTCCGTTACCGGGTTCCGAATCGAGAGAGGTATTGGAGTTCAGGTGGAGGAGTGACAGGAGAGCAAAGGCCAAGGAGACAACCATGGCCGTGCCAAAGACCGTGGCCAGGACCTTGCATGGATGCGATACGCGTGGGAGGGATGAGGACGGAGACGCTGATTTGAGTTTATTGTAGGACCGATTTGAACTCGCCAGCGGTGCAAAGTCGCCCATACTCTCCAGATCCTCTTCATCTTCTTCATCTTCCTCGTCGTCGGCGTCGTCGGCGTCGTCTTTGTTCTCCTCGCTGTCGGTATCAGCCTCGTGCGGGGTGATCATCCCCAGACGAAACTCGTTGTTGGTGTCGCTGCGCGAAGGTCGCTCCTCCTGCGATATCCGTCCAGCCTGGTTCAGCGAGCTGTATGCCCCCCACGAGGATACCGAAGGATCTGCCATGGATGCGGTGTATTGAACGTGTGAGCGAAGATGTGTAGGGGCAAAAACAGAGGGTGCGGGATGAATACCGAGGTGCCTTCTCCACGGAGATGGATGTGCCGGTTAATTACAGAGGAGGGAGGGCGAATAAAGAAAAGAAGAAAAAAAAAAAGAGAGAGAGAGAGAGAGAGAGAGAGAGAGAGAGAGAGAGAGAGAGAGAGAGAGAGAGAGAGAGAGAGAGATGGAATGGGATGGGATGGGATGGGCAAGATGATCTTACAAAGGGTCTAGGTCATCCTTAGCAACCTAGGAACACTTCAGGGCAAAAATAACCTTCGGTGAAACCTTATCTATGTATGTGGCGCACGCGAGTGGTCCAGACGCTGGAACAAAGTCCGCCCACGGGCGCCGTCCGCCCACGGGCGCCGTCCGCGGAGGGGGTGTCGTTTATTTGTTTGCGGAGAGTCAATGCTAAAAGGCGCACCCACCCCCTGCGGTCTCCACGACGCGTGGCAGTCCAGGGCCGAGAGAAAAGGGCAGCTGGACAGAAATCGGAGGGGGGCTGCAAGCTGCAGACCCTGAGCGCCCTGTTTCACATACCGCAGCGGCCTAGCGGGGTGCAGTAACTAATAGGGTGTTTCAAGCCTAGGCATCCGCAATTACACAACATGCACATGTATTCGTCTCACAAAAACCGCTCCTACCAGACACACTTGCCCATGTACAGGCACACGAGTGTTCAAACCTCCGTGGCCTGGTGTATCTCGGTCCCCCCCACAGACTGCATATTGCCCAGAATAAACAACAGCCTCTCCCTCTCCTTTCCTTGCTTCCGTCTATCACTCTCGCCGTTCGCTTCTCAGATAGGGCATGCTCTCTTCCCTATCCACTTGCCAGCCAGCTCTCACCCCACAGCCCTGTCTCTATACAGGAATGGATCTACTTTCATCATCTAGACGTTTCAACACCATCACTCACTCTGACCCATATGAGAGTGCTTTGGATGAAGAGCTTCCCTTATCAGCCAGTTCCGACACTGACCAGGAGTCAAGCCCTACGTCAACAAGTATAAATGTCAGGAAGAAAAACTTTGCTAACAGGAAACACCTCACTATGAGGCCATTGTTTCATGGGTGAGGGAGTACCCATTCAATTTTAACTCTGTCTTTGGGTCATACAAACGAAGACCAGTAGGTAAGAAGAGCCTTTCAGTCGCCCTGGCGGGCTATAAAGCCTTGGCAGATCAAACGCGCAAAAAGAGCGCAACTGTAAACGGCCCGAGGGTCAGAGCATTCAAGGGGATTTCAAGGGTAGAAGAGTGCTTTATTCGATGATTGATCAATGCTATCTATTGTATACGAAGGGTGTGTAGTAACTGGGCGAAGCATTCATATAATTATGACATCATTCTCAAATAAATCGCTGCACCTATTGCATTGGAGAACACTTCGTGGTCCTGAATCTGCTGTAATACAGCCATGAACCCTTCCCGCGACGCCCTGAACACAGGCTGCGAAATCTCTCTGGAGGAAGTGAAGGGAATATGGATATATGGATGTATAGGGATCGTCTCGTCGAGTGCTGTGGTGTACGGTCTGTTTTAAAGCGAGAGCAAGAAACCAGAAAGAGAAGATCTGCGACTCCCTCTTCCTCTTCCACATTGCTCTCTGTACTCGCGAGAGAGCTATGAGCATCATCAAATCGTTGAGAAGTCGCTGTCGCTCGGAGGGTCTATTGGAAGGAAGCATGCACAAGAATGACTGCCACGGAGTATGCACTTTGTGTTTCCAAACGCAGCATCTCTGGAGCAGGTGTATTTTAAAAGTACGTGTTTTGGCCTAAAAATGCCTAGGCTTGAAACCCCTTAATATTTGGTCGCTAGGAGCATTGAGCATTGACTCGATCCTCACCTCATCAGGAGCTGTGTGTAAACGCGCTTTTCATGGGCTGGACCAGGGCATAGCATGAGACACGAACGTGACCGTGGGAAACCAAACCTGTGAGGAATCCCTTTTTTTTTTTTTTTTTTTTTTGGGTGCGGTGGACAGGAACCCAAAAGACTGGCTAAAAATACACGCGTCTGTGAAGTTTGTGAATACAGGGACACACACATGCAACGCCCGGAGCGACCCGGGAGACGCTCTTTTTTACCTTATTTTATTTTACGTTGCTGCCCCTGTAGGGTATTGGATCGGTCATAATGATGAAGAGGAACCTTTGGGTGGGAGCGCAAAGAGGCCCCGGACATGGCGTCAGCAGTGGGACCCCTGTTGGGTCTCGACAGCTCAAGAGAGAGGGAATTGGAGTATGGCGGAAAGAGTCAAGAGGGGCCGGTCTATAAACAGCCTCTGGAACTCGGACTTTGTCCACGTCAGGCCAGGGGGCACTTTTTTGAGTGTATCCGTGTTCGCCCAACTTTCTTTGTTCCTTTTTATTTTCAGCAACCATCCCGACCTGCGTCTTTCCTCTCTTCTCTTTTCAATTTCCTCCATTCCTCTTCCTCCCTCTCCTTTTCCACTTCTTTTCCCCCACCCCCACCGGACACAACTCACGCGCCACCATGTCGGACCCATCCAAGACCAACCTCATCACCCTTACCCGCCACGTCTTCCAGGACCAGGTCGAGAACTACAAGGAGGCCTCCGGCGACCTCACCCTCCTCCTCACCGCCATCCAGCTCGGCTGCAAGTTCGTCGCCTCCAATGTCCGCAAGGCCAGCTTGATCAGCATGTACGTTCCTTTGCCTCAAGTGTATTCTGCTTGAAAAAAATCACTCTTCCGCTCTTTCGCTGCAAACATGAATGAGGAGATTACTCATTCCAACCCTCGTCTCTTTTTTTTTTTTTTTTTTTTTTTTTATACCTCATTATTCGATGCAATTGAATAGGACTGGTCTTGCCAACAGTTCCAACATCCAGGGCGAGGAGCAAAAGAAGCTGGATGTGATTGCCAACGAGATCTTTGTGAACGCGCTTCGATCGTCCAACAAGGTCGCAGTCATGGTCTCGGAGGAAGACGAGGAGGCCATCATTGTCGAGGACCAGTACCGCGGAAAGTACTGCGTCGTCTTTGATCCTCTCGACGGAAGCTCCAACATTGATTGCGGTGTCTCGATCGGAACTATCTTTGGAATCTACAAAGTCGTAAGTCTGGGGTTACTGTCGTGTCTCCATCTTTATTCATACGGCGGAAAACAAATACTGTGCTGGATGTTCTTAAGCATTACATGACTGATATTGCAAAGCAATGCCATTACGCAAAAAGACTTTGTTCCTCAATGGTTTATGTGTGGCATTAAGAAAGAGGGGTTGATTGTATCAGGTTCTTGCTTGGGGGGAGGGAGGGGGGTCCTCATTTCTTCTATTTTGCCAAAGACGACCATCCGCATCACTTTAAGGCGGAGTCTTATTTCTGAAAAAAGCGTGTCGTGAGCACAATTGCGTTTACTGGGAAGCAGGAGTTCCCCGCAATTTCCCTTACACGAATCAACAGAACTTTCATATGTCGTCACCATCATTTCTGTATAGGCCCTGGAGCCCCCTGTTACAAGGCGCTAACTATTTCATATGTATTTTCCGTCAATAGAAGGAGGACTCGACTGGCAAGATCTCTGATGTTCTTCGTCCTGGCTCAGAGATGGTTGCCGCCGGATACTGCACGTACGGTTCCTGCTCGACCTTGGTCTTGACCACTGGTCAGGGCGTTAACGGATATACCCTAGACACTGAGATCGGAGAGTTCATTCTCACCCATCCCGACGTAAGTTCTGTATCTCAAGCATGACAAGAAGGACAGACAGAGAGGACTCGCCAGCTAACCAAAAACCACATACGTTTTCTACCTTTGCAGATCACAATCCCCTCCCGTGGAAAGATTTATGCAGTCAATGAGGGCAACTCAAAGTACTGGGACAAGGCCTGCACCAAGTACTTCCACTCGCTCAAGTTCCCCGAGGATCCCAAGAAGTCTCCTTACTCTGCTCGCTATGTCGGATCGATGGTCGCTGATGTTCACCGTACCATGCTCTATGGAGGCATCTTCTGTTACCCCGCCGACAGCAAGTCCAAGAACGGAAAATTGCGCATCCTCTATGAGTGCTTCCCCATGGCTTTCTTGGTCGAGCAGGCTGGTGGTCGTGCGTCGACTGGCCTCAAGAGAATGTTGGATGTCCAGCCCGAGACGATTCACTCGCGCTCGCCCATTTTCCTTGGAAGCAAGGAAGATGTCGAGGACATCGAGGCGTGCTACATGTCCGAGACCCTGAGTGCTCAATAGTTTTCAATAGATATCCCATTACCATTCACTTTTCATTAAAACTCATGTAAATTTTTATCCGTGAAAATGAGCGGCACTGAAGGCGGATTCCACCTTTTGATTTCTGCTCATTCCTTCCACCATGCTCTTTGTGGTCGACATTCATGTGCACAGTCTCTTTCATTGTATCCGCGCTAGCCGTCTTTAGAACGCAGTCTTCATACCATGCTGCTGGGCGACAACAGCCAACCTCCCTAAACCCGCTAGAGTCCCGTTACCCAATTGAAGCGCGGCCTGTCGCGGTAGTGTGTCTCAAACTACTCAACACCGCCTGGCCCTATATAGTGTCGACGTGTTCATGATCTCGAAGCGTTCAAACTTGCTGTCCCTAGGGTACCAACTTTGGCTTTGGGGCGAGCGATATATACGATGTTGCTTATCCCAATGGCAAGGTGGGATGGCAGACAGCTTCTGGAGCAGATCTCGACAAAACTCATCCTTCTACTTGCGAATACCTTCTCACCCGCTTGGTTCCAACCCAGGCTAGTCAACAGAGCGTTCTCAACAACACGGTCTTACAACCATAAAGCAGTGGTACTTATTATAAACCTCTGTCCTTGCGAAAGAGGCTCCGTGGGATCCACCTGGATGCTAAGAGCCTGTTGTAGCACCCCACTGACAAGAAAACGGTGTTGTTGGAAGTGAGGACTGGGGCGAGTGAATGGGGTGGGGAGGCAAGGGTCATACGTACGGGTGGTAAAGAGGCTGGATGCTTCAGCGATGAAATCACGTACAGATACCAACCAGGTGGACTTCATTTGCCCCTGCTCTCCAATTGAACGCGTTCCCTTTTCCCTTTTTTCGTGGCACCGTCAACATCACTCCCCTCCCCATTCTCTCCATCCTCCCAAAAAGAACACTTGTCAATTTTCATATCCTCAAGGTAGCATACCCGCACTACGCCTTCGCCTTTTCTCATCCATCGCTAGGGGTGTTGCTGCCCTATTCATCCTTTTTTCCCCTCAACTGACTGACTCGCTTTTTTTTTTTTTTGTATTTGTTTCTGCTCATTCCCTTTTCTCAGATGATGGACGATAACCAGCTCACTTCATTCGCCAATGGTCTCTGTTGCGTGGCCATGGTCCTCATCGTCGGCTACCACTTTATTTCCGTCAACGGCCGATCAGCATAAAAAAAAAAACGATCTGCTCAGGGCACTCGACTAGACACAACCGTATCCCCCTGCAAGGATTTTCCTCCTCGATAGAACAACGCTGGCACGAATGTATTGGCGGAGCATCTTCTGAAGGGCTCTCGTAAGCGTCGAACCCCAAGCAACTCCTCTCCTCCTCCGCCTCCTCCTCCTCCTCCCCCGGGCCACGATACCCCATATCCCCCATTCATGAAAAGAAAAAAGAAATAAACTAACTGTCTTTGATGAATAGAGAACAACGATGCCAATGTGTCAACGCCAAATTGGATTATGATACATTTTATTGGGCGCCCTGAGTAGGGACCGAAGACGTGTACAGATTTATGGGGAGGGGAAGAGAGGATTTGTAGGCAGAGTGGGGATGAAAGAAATATACAGATACGAAGGCAATGGACAAAAAGGAACCATTGAAAGGGGTAAAGAGAAAAAGGACAACTTGACAACGGGACTGCAGCTGCACTACAGGTCATCATACGTCAAAATCTGTCGACCGCCTCCTCGAGCCGCAATGGCTGCTCGTGGATCAGCGCCAACAGGAGGAAATTCTACTGACGGCTTGGGTGGCAATTTTGGTCGAGGCGGGAGCTGGTGGACGGCTCGCGCGGGCTTGTCAACTGGGGACGTGGAGATCGACAAAGGTTGACCGCGAGTACCATATGCCGTAGTAACAAAGGTAGCAGGACTGGATAAGGGCGAACAAGCAGAACCTGATCCAGTATCAAGTCCTGGTCCCAGGATCGTTTTAGCAATCGCAGCCGCCTGTTTGTGCTGCTCTTCCTCCAACTTTGCCAATTCGCCGTCCTCATCCATCCACGCGACTCCAGCAAATCCATGACGATTTCTCTCGGGAATCTTTGCCCTGTTCACCCGAATCTCCACGCCATCCAAGGTGGATCCATTCATCTTTTGCAGAGCTTCGCGTGCGGCCTCGGGGTCTTTGTAAGTCACAAATCCAAAGTCTTTGCCTTCCACGAGGTTCATGTCCTCAATATCACCAAAGGGTCCAAATGCAGTCCGAAGAGTGGTTAACGTTGCGGATTCCGGCAGGTTACCAACATAAATCTTTGTCGGATAAAAGGCTGTGTCCAGATACCGGCTAGCCGCCATATAAGGGTCAAGCTCTGGACCATCAGCTCGATAGCTCTCGTGCTCTGGACGAGGATCTCGCTCATAGTCCCGGTCGTCTTCGCGTCTCTTGGAATACCCCCTCTCCCTCGTCTGTGGGTAATAAGGGCTAACAGAACGAGAGCGAGAGTGACGGATGATGCGTCTCTTGGACGAGCGCGAGAGGGATCGCGATCGAGATCGATGACGTGGCTCATATCGTTCTGGATAATAATAGCTGTTGCGGTAATCGTCTTCGATATCGGACCGGCGCCGTCTTCTCGAACGGCTGTTGTTTGTTGCGCCATAAGTGCAAGAAGAGTACCATACACAGCGCACTCCATGAGTTATTTTGTTTTGTTACTCCATCAAGATGGAACAAGCCTGTAGAAAGGAGCAACTTACTTGTTATCGGCGCCATAGTCCGAGCCCTCGTCCGAAGACTGACGACGGGAACGAGGGATTGAGCGCCCGTACATGTCCAGGACCATCTCCTCGTTTTCGTCCACACTTCCAGAACGGCTATGGACATTGTGGGTCATGTCGCGTACGCGCTGTACTGGGCGCGACTGCGATTTGTCATTGACGTCCTGTTTAGTTAAGCCCTCGTTCCTTGGCGATGGGATAGGTGTTGGAGGAGTGGCCGTAACAGGACTCTCAGCCATGCTATGGCTCGGCGTCGAGGCCGAAGATGTGACCGAGCCAATTGAAAGTTGTCTGCCACGACCAACAGATCTCTCCTGTTCGATACAATTGAAGAATAAAGAGAGATGAGTTTGGCTTCCTCTGAGCACCGTTTAACTCTTATCGACCATGACATGACAAAGTGAGGGTTTTCACATTTACCGAGGCGTCCAAACTATTTCCCTGCGCCGCGTTGCGAACTGCCATTGAGGAACGCTTTAGCTTCTTTTCCCCTCCTGGGCTGGTGATACTATCCTCGGTGCGCTCATTTGGTCTAGTTGGACTGGTAACGGTCGATATCTGGGACGGTCTTCTAGCGATGCCGGAGCGAGGTCCGCTGTTTGCTGATGACCTCTCGACGCGTGGTCGCCCGCCTCCTCCTGATGCAGTTGGGATGTTAACGCCAGCCAGTGCAAAGATGTCGATGGGTTGATTCTCTTTCGCTTTTGCTTCCTTGAGTTCCTTCTCCTATTATTTCGAATCAGTATAGGGGGCACCCCGGGACGCGTCATGTCAGGAATTAGGAGCCGTGGAGGTAATGTACCAGCTTTACGGCCAACGACAACAAGAGGTGTGACATACCCGCTTCATCTGCTGGACTAGAGCGAACTTTTCCTGCATCTTTTCCTCCATGGTGATATGTTCCCGCTCCGGCGTGCTTTCCTGTGCCCTGAACTGAGTGTTGGCTCGAACTGCTCCCGTTCAATAGGTTGCTGTGGCTCACGGGTCAAGGCAGTAAACGGTGTCCTCTGTCCTCCTGTGGTTCCTCCAAGGATATACGCGGGGACGAAACGACAACACAAACAAAACAAAAGGAAGGAGTGATGAGGTCTGGATGCCTTCAGACGAGCAAGGAGCGGGATGATGTTGACCGAGTTGAGGGTGAGGGTGGCAAGGAGAGCAACGATGAACCCAGAGGCGCAGACCTATGCTCGTGGAGATGGACGTCACATGTTCGTGCGCAGATGTGCGGATTTCGTTCACTTGAAACAAAAGCACGTCTTTATGATAACGATCCCGCCGGTGCCTTGAATAGCTCCCTGCCAGCAGAAGAACGAGTCTTTATAGTGTCCATCCTATTTATCCAAGTTTCCATTTCTTGTTTTCGCGCCATTAACGCTTTTTTCCTGTTTAAAAGACCTCTGGTCCCTGTGACGCATCTGCAGATCTCTGAGACGTCAATGTTGAAGGTGCCAGATAACGATCAAGGATACATAGCTTATAAGAGCAAGTACTGGTGCTAAGACACAGAAGCAGGATTGATCCACAGATCTGGATACTGCCCTCTATATCCGAAGTGAGTATATTTCGCTGCATGCTGGTGCATTTTCTGGACATTCAGTATGGTTTTAGTAACGTTAAGATTTTACACCAAAATGTCAGTACTTTATACGCGTGCACCGTATCTATTTGTCCCCAAGTGGTCCTTCAACGCGCCTTTCAACACGCGTATTTACGCGTAATTCTGTCAAACGCGTGGGTTTATTTATCCCTTCCTCCGTTTTTGGTCATATAACAAGATCAGATTCTAGGGGCCTTTGCAGAAATTCACATTGTTAACGGTCCAGTTGTCTAAAATAAAATAGCTTGTACACTTGAATACATGATTGCCTTCATTCTTGCTGCTATCCTCCGGGGTACATGTATACAGCCATTTGGAAATTACAGTCTTGAGGCCCATGGTGCCACTATTTTCTTGTCGACCCCCTCCTGACGCGAAATACGTTACCTCGCAGCAACTGCAGTTTTTTTCGCCGCCCCAGTCTAGGTGGTTTATGAGAAGGTATGTTGTTATAAACATATTCATTGCAATTTGCATTATCAATACTGATGCCATGTTTCCGCATACCATTGTACCGCATAGGCAAACGGTCTCGGGTACACCGTCGTTTGTTCAGATGAATGTCTCACGTCATCGAAATGCCCGTAGCTGTGTACGACAAAACAAGGACCGAAGAATGACAAAGCCAGCAAATCGGGCGTTCGTGTGCCTCAAGGATGGGTGCCAGAGATGGCTAGACAGAGACTGCGTGGGCGTCGAGAATTTGGCTAAGATTGGTCTCGAGTGGATCAGTAGCCCGTCTCGCCCAGAGCCCCTCCGCCGGCCCCCAACAAGAATAACTGTACTGGCTGTATCAGTTAAAATTCATCCTTGGTGCGGTGACCTTATGCGGCATGCGTATGGCTCAGCATGCACGGTGGGAGAAAAGACCTTAGTTTTATGCCACAGCTGACTATATGCGGTTGTGTACGCGATAGAGGGCGACTACTCAAACCCCATTGTTGAGTATATATCTGATTACAAAATGCTTCATTGCCTAGACATCAGTTCAATAAAAGGATACGTTGCTCTTTCCAGGGCTACAATTATGTGGAACGACGCGATGGGCCGAGTTAAGGATGTGATCCTGGTCCCTTACCCTGCCGAGTACCCACGTTATTTCTGCCCTGAGAAACTCATTTTGATTTTGATTGGTTGGGTCTGATCCTTGAGCACATGCTGCCCCGCCCTTCAGGCACCACTAGCCACGCTAGCGGAAATTGAATCGGTCTTGTCCCAGGTTCAGGGGCAGGATGTACAACCTACATAGTCTATCAGACTACTATCCTTAGGATGAACCAGCGGTGTAACATACTCTAATAACAAAACGACGCCTCGTGAACCGGAGATCCACCTGTTTGGATGCGCTCATTTCCCTCTATTGCATTCAATCGATCTAGTCTTGGTCAGGGCTGAAGAGATCATTCCCTCATGAAGCGTCGTGTGAAAATGCAGGAAAATGTCGTGTTTGTCCTCAGACTAAACATGTCGTCGACAACAAACAAACAAAAAATGATGCATGCAAAGCAACATCTGTAGTAGGCCAAATGACCACAAAATACCTCTTTGGGAGATTACTACACTAACCATGGCGTCGACCATGTATTCGTCTCCTTTGGCCATTTCGCCTGCAGGTCCCACGCCTTGTAAACAAAAAACATATGTAAAAGCAGCGATGGTTATACATTCGTACTCTCTTCTCTACAGGACACTGGCAAGAAGGCAGGAAGCTACGCACGGCAATTCAATTATCATTGGCGAGGGCCTCTTCGAAGCGTATACATCCCTTCTCAGCACCTAAAGTGAAAGAGGCGGCCATATTATAGATAATCTCAAATGCTATCTCGCTTCAAGAGTTGCATGAATTATGATCTGCACGACATGACACGACCGTCATAAGCAGCCAACTATGCAAGTCGGTTCAAATTATAATGCAGGGCCATCAGCCGGCAATGCAAGGGACTAATGCATGCGCGCGCATACTTCTCATACACAAATATGCAATACTTGTGTGTGAGCAATTTACGAGTTATCATCCTCAACAGGGCCAAAGGTCCATCCGACTGCCTCAATAACCTGTCGCCAAAAAAAAAAAAATATGCTACTTGGGGACATGGCCCGCATGTACAATTACCAGCGGCTGTCATCGCGGAAGGTCATCCGAGTGCGTATCTATTCAGGTTCGTACACGTATAAATACCATACACAACTCCTGGTTGCCCTCATCAGTTCCCTCACCTCTACTAAAACACCAGTTTTGACACGATGCGTCTTTCCATCACTCCACTGTCGCTCACAGCTGTCGTGGCCCTGACAGTCTTCCTGTCTACCTCCAGTCTCTCGGCCGAGGCACTGCCAACAAGCGCCGTCAACCGCCGCCCCCATTCCTCGTTGCAACATCAGACCTCAGCTCAGCTCGTTCCCCGGTCATCCTTCAAATCCTATGAGAACCATCGCGTCGTCCGTGTCAAGATTCAGTCTGAGGATCAACTCAAGGTTCTCACCGAGAACGAAGGTGCCCTTCGATTCGACTATTTTACGCATACCAAGAACATTGGCGGTCGCACTGATATCCGCGTCGCGCCCGAGAACTTTGAAAAGTTCCAGGACCTGAAGCTGGATTACGAGATCGTGATTGATAACCTGCAGACAGTACTCGACCAAGAGAGAGACGAGAATGAGGAGTACCACGCGAAATGGGAAATGAGTAAAAAGTCAAACCTGTCCATGCATGGCGAGCAACTGACATCGTCGATCAAGAACGTGTTCGCCAGCGCATCGGATTGGTTTGCGGGTTATCATACCTACGCAGACCATCAGACCTGGTTGAGTACACAGATCTCAAACCATGCCTCCATTACAAGTTCCTTCAGTGCCGGAAAGACGTTTCAGGGGCGTGATCAGGCCGGTATCAAGATTGGAAGCGGTTCCAACAACGTCGTCCTCCACGGTATGTCGGGGAGGGGGGGGGGTTCTGTTCTCTGTTAGCATTAACAACGTTGTGTCTTAGCGAAGACCCTCATTAACACCCCTATGTCCTCTTCTCGCGATTTTAAGGTCTCCAACACAGTCGCGAGTGGATTAGCGGTGCTGTGGTCGAGTACATTATCGACCAGCTGCTCTCGGGCAGCGACTCGCGGGTCGCCGGCTACCTGAAAAAGTACACATTTCACATCATCCCTATCATGAATCCCGATGGCTTTGTCATCACCCAGACATCGGATCGCATGCATCGCAAGAACGCTCAATCTAATGACGGATGCCTAGGCACAGACAGTAAGATCTTTGAGACATATTTTTTTCCTGCAAACCATGATCAAAACCCGCAGCTGCTAATAGAACGCGTTTTATTTTTATCGGTAACAGCTAACCGTAACTGGGACTTCCACTGGAACGAAGGTGGATCCTCCTCCGACGCCTGCGCAGATGACTACATGGGTCCCAGCGCGTTTTCCTCCCCAGAGGCGACCAACATTGGCACCTACCTCAAGAACCTGCCCAATGTGGTCTCCTACATCGACTTCCACTCGTACTCCCAGCTGTGGATGACGCCATATGGATTTACAGGCACACCGCCAGACAACTACGATTCGTACCTGAAGCCCTTGGCTGACGGTGCAGTCGCAGCGCTGCAAGCAGTCAATGGCGTCCAGTTCACTGCCGGAGATATTTACAATACCATATACCCTGCTTCGGGCAGCTCGGTCGACTATGCGCTCAGTGTTGGTGTTGGAGCCCCGTTCGCGGTTGAATTGAGGGACACTGGTAGATATGGCTTCAGTTTACCTGCAAGCCAGATCGTCCCCTCGGGAAAGGAGGTTTGGGCCGCTTTTACCAGTATCCTTGACAACCTGAACACTGATTAAGTTTCATTCTTCGAGGTAGTTATTTTACATGTGCTGTGTGAGCGGAAGCAGATAGCGTATCTGGTCGATAGTTATATTGAAAACAAGAGCATATTAAAATAATAATAATCAATGGACAGCTCTGATCTATGACAAGATGGCCTGCAGACGCTACTCTTCAGCCTCTACCTCATCTTCCCTTTCCTCTTCGTCGTCATCGTCGTCTGCAGCATCATACCCAGGGCCCAGGCCATAGACCGGGTTTTCAGCAAACATTTGAGAGTCGCCCCACGTCTTGTCCAAGTTCTTAAGAAGCGGCAGCAGGGTAAAGTTCCAGTTCTGTTCCCATCTTGTCGATTGGAAGGATTTCTTGATGTCATCCCTCATGCTCTGGAGCTGAGAATGGGTTTGAGGTTGAGCCAGAGGGAATCCTTTGAAGAGGTGCACGAGTTGGCTCTTCAGCTCGTTGGCGTTCTCGAAGACCAAGCCGTTCGACTTTGCCACAACCAGCTCAGAGAGTGCGTTGTATTTGAAGGCGCAAACAGGCAGGCCGCATCCAAACATGTCAACAACCTTCATGGGCAGGTCTACGCCCGATGTAGACGTGTGTAATGATACTCCCAAATCCGCAGATCCTGAAGACGAAACAAATTGCAGAAGGTGCGAATGTTAGTAATGTGAACGAGATCGACAAAATTACGTTGGCCTATAGAACAGTTTCGCGCACATACCAAGTAAGAGGGGGTAGTTCTCAGGACTGAGCCAGGTGGTGATAAACGCGACGTTCTCAAGGTTCATTTTGCTGATAACCTCCTCGTAGTGCTGCTTCAAAGGACCCTTTCCAGTGATGACAAACAAAAGTTTGGGGAACAGGCCGGCCTTGGTGCTGTTTTCGAGTTTGACGAGGTCATCATACTGCTTGGCAGCGTTCAACAATAACTGGAAATCCTCATCGGCTGTCCAACTGGTGCTCGAGACAATTAATATAGGACGATCGGCACGGAAAGAGGCTGGTCCGGTGGCAGTCTTCTTCTCTGTCAGCAGGGTCTGATTGGAGCCGATCGTAGGCAAAAATGTGCGGTTCAACGTCTGCTCTTGCACCAGCTTCTCCAATTTTAACTCGCTATGAAGCTATAGCCGTTGATGAAGATGTGAAGTGGGGCGATCAGGTTAGCAGGCGCAAACAACTGGGAACATGAACACGTAACGAGTAACAATGTCAAAGTCTTGTTTACATCGTGGATTTCCTCGACATTCAACTGATGGAAGCTCTCGGGAGCGCGGTCGTGAAGGGTGATAACCTTTCCTCGCTTCTCAAACTTGTACAGCAACTCACGGGCCATAGCGCGACTGACACAGATGTGGATAGTAGCCTTGTAGCCCCAGAATCGCTCATACAAGGCGACCAGTTTGGTGAAGATGCTCTGCTGGCCCAGGCGCTGCGCAACCATGGAGGAACCATAGTTGTGCCAGTCGATGACCAGATGACGCTGCTTGAGCCAGTTGACGAGCTGCATAACGTGGAGGGTAGGGACCGAGGGTGGGTTCTATTTGAATATGGGCAAGATAAAGTCATTTAGCGAACCTGTAATTTTAAGGTTCATTCCATTGAATGATTGAGAAACCAGTATGTCTTGAAGAAACAAGAGTTGCGCGGACTTACCTGGACAACATAGACCTCAGGTGCTGCGACATCAAACATGGCAACATAAAAGAGCTGAAAGGCGAGGAGTACGGCTTTGATAGGAGCGTACGTGTAGTACAAAACGCGGGGCATGCTCTCAGGAACGCGGGGCAGCTGCTTCAAATAATGGAACTGGATCGAAGGATGATCTTCAATATCCTCGGGCAAACGCGAGCCTGTTGTGGCAACGTCGGGAATTGGCAGGATAAAGAGAGCAATTATGCGATGGTTAGTGACAATTGTTAAGAGCTGATCCATGGTCTACAACATGCGGTGCCCATCGGATCGATATCTGATCGATCTCTGAAATGTCTGAAATGCTGTGCGAAAAAAAAGGGTGATCTTACCCTTGTACCCAATAACGTCGACTCTCCATCCGGCATCCAGGGCACTCCTGGCATGCAGAAGCATGCGAGGACTATGGCCAACATCTCCCAGGACAACGATGCAGAATCCACTCTTGCCCAGGGCAGAGACTCTTGGAGGTTTCGCTGCAAGGTAGCCGACGAATCGAAAGATGACCATGAATGTCAGACCGATGATGATGGCGACCGAGTTCGACTTGTCGAAGCCGAGGGTCTCACGATCCAGCGTTGGAAATTCGTCCATGGCAGGGAAGATGGAGGAACTTTGGGGGGAGGAGGAGGGGATGGAGGTGGGATTGAAGGGAAGTGTGAGAAGAAGTAGCCTGCAGGTCGATATGTTGAGCTGTAAACTTGATTTGTAAAGGGCCTGCTTGAGGCTACAATCGCTGCTCAATTGCCCAGTTGAAAAACATCATGCGGCAGGTAGTTCTGCCTGAAAGAAACCCATCTTTTTCCTGCAGAAATTGCGAGCGATCTCATTATCGATGAACCTCTCTATTGCTTAGATAGATGGAATGCCCTTGACTTCCTGAACATCAGCATACTGATTGTATTAGAATCCGACCATGCTCGTCATAAGTTCATCCTCGGCCAAAAGGCCGCTCTTTGGCTTGAACGCAATGGGTGAAAATCAGCTCCAAGCAGTATAGCAGGCAAGTCACTTGGCCGCTCTTCACGAATCTCTTTACTGCGTACGCGAAGCTAAACCACAGTGGCAACCGGAATCGCTGGATGGACTCTGACCGCCATCAACTTGACCCTACTGCTGGACCACAAGGATCACCAGATACACCAACCTCGCATAACAAGATGGAATCCAAGCGCAAGATCGAAGAGTCATTGACCCTGCTGAACTCACTCTTTGCCCATCCCAGCAAGAAGAGGGCGGGTGGAAACCAAGCACTCAGCGGCTCAAGCAGCAAGTCCGCAGGCTTGCCCTCACTGTCCTCAACACGAATTGTGCCAAAGAAACGAGTATATTTGCCACCGCGTCCTGCTGTCCTGGATAAACTGTCGCGTCTGGCTGCCTCTCGACCGACTCTCAAGGATTCAATTGCTGCCTCGATCGCTGCCAGTGCACCTACGACACATCATACAGCCCCAGCATCTCCAGGGACTCAACCAGATGTCACAACTTCTTTGTCCTCAGCGAAAGCAAACGCGTCAGTCAGACCCAGCAAGGCGAGATATCTACCGTGGTCGAGGGAGCAATTTCATGAGCGACTCGAGACCTTCAAACCATCCACATGGTTCGACAAACCCAAGGTGGTCAACGCGGTGGAGTGTGCCAAGCGTGGCTGGATTAATACCAGCGACGACAAATTAGAGTGCTGTGGAGGGTGTGGAGGGGTCGTGATCGTCCGGATAGACCAGGGAGCTCCAACGACACCACAACGACAGCAGGACGCGATCGGAGAGGATAATGGTAGACAGAGCTCGAATGTAGTTGAGGATGATCTTGGTATGGATGATACCACATCTGAAAGCGATATCGAAGGTATGCAGCTATGATTGTTGTTGGTATACGATGCCTTCTCTATGTCTTATGAAGCATACATGGACTAATGAGTTCTTTATCTATCCAGCCTTGGGACCAAAATTCCATGCAATGCTCACCGACAACCACAAGGACTCATGTCTATGGAAAGCGCATCCTTGCGATGGTAAGATTGCAGCATGACATTAAGGAAGTTCTTTCGAGCAAAGATTTATGGCGTGGTAACAATTTCTTTGAATTATACCTTATAGATAGCATATATAAATTCCCCGTGTTATCTCAGTCACAGGCGCAAGAGGACTTGCTGGAACGGGTGCGATTACTGGAGGCAATGTACAACGACCCCTTGATCAGGACGATTCGCCATCCTCTGGTAATCAATGGCAGATGTTTTTCAATACAGCATCAAAAAGATTCGCTTGACACGCGATTGACGAATACAGCCTTTTTTTTTCTCTAGTCAAAAGACGAGGCAGACAAGCTGAGAATCTTGTTCCCAAGTACAGTCGACGTCAAACTACTGATTCTGTCGCTCTTTGGATGGAGTGCTCTCGAGCAGCAGAAAGTGTTGGCTTGCAAAGCATGCCACACGCAATGCGCGTTCATTCCCAGCCATGCATTCAGCAGTGTTGACGCTCCGGTCGGCGATGGCTCAGACGGGAATGGTGCTGTAGACGAGTTTGATGATACGGCATTCGATGTTGCTGAATCTCACAAGTGGTATTGCTACTGGGTGGATCCCCATTATGACACAACCCGGAAGGCGGGGTGGAGAATATTGTTTGAGCGCTTGATATCCGCATTGAACACAAAGATTAGAGGGCAGGACGATCCAACATCGCAACAGGCGTCTGCCGGATCGCATATAAAGGCAAGAGAGTCGAACAATGATACTTCTTTTCTTCGAGTTCATGTTTTGCGAGATCGTTTGACTGACAATCTATGGTCTCTTTGTTTTAGCCAAACGATGCTTTGGCGCAGATCAGACGCATGCTCCGCGGCCAGGCAACGATACCCCCTACAACATCGTCTCCGTCCTCGACGTACCCCCACTGATGTCAACGCTGCACAAGCATAACTATCCCTGTACAATGACTTCAAGATAACTGAGTCTCTCGCGCGCTTGTACCCTTGTACCTTACTTCGACCACCGTGTCGAAAAAAGAATAAAATGAGACTGCTTACTGCAGAAAGCCACATCAAAAACAAACACACATTTTTTTTTCTGAGGGTTCAAGAAAAGAAGGACACGACTGCTGCTGCCTTTTCGCTACTCTTCTTTACCCTCGTATTCCTCGCTCTCTCTTTGGGATTGACCTTCGCCAAGTCGACAGAGGACACAGGGAAACAAGACGCATCCATCTGCATCGCTTCCGACCCTTTACCTCTGCAATCCGAACCCATTTTTATATTGCAGGGCACGCGCCACTATTCATTTATTCCGCTGTCATTATTCGACCCCTTTCTCATTCAACAAACGAGGCCGAAGAGGAGCTTTGAAGACTACTACAGGCTCCCACATCATAACACCCTTGACTGCAGGACATGAATATCGCACGGCCTAACGGAACCGAGGTCACCTCCGTGGCTTTCTCTTTTTACGATGCGGAGGAGATCAAGCAGATCTCGGTGAAGCAGGTTGTCAATCCCGTTCTCTTTGACAACTTGAACCACCCCACAAAAGGAGGTCTCTATGACCCAGCCCTTGGTCCTTTCTCAAAACACCATGTGTAAGACCTTGATTTGGCGCGTTCTTTCTGCAACACCCGCTAAAGGGACATGCTATCGTAGCACATTTATGAGGCGATGCCGGATATACGCTTTGAGCGGACCAGATGCGGACTGCATGAAACAAACACATCGCTAACGTGGATATTCAAACTTGATCTGACCTTCTCTAGCTGCGCTACGTGCTCCCTGGATCACTTCTCCTGCCCAGGACATTTCGGACACATCGAGCTACCATGTCCCGTATACAACCCCATGTTCTTCCCACAGATGTACCAGGTGCTTCGTTCATCTTGTTTATTCTGTCATCACTTCAGGATGTCCAAGAGCGAGGTATGGCACAGCATCAATTTGCTGAACTCGACCCGTTACTAGAAAGTCTTTGTCCTACAAGTTCCCCCGTATTGATCTGTCCATGTCCTTTTTACTTAGACCCACCGATTCATTGCCAAGCTCCAGTTGTTGAACCACGGACGCTTCTTGGAATCAAAAGACGTCGATGGCATCTCTGTCGTGGGTAAAAAGAACAGACACACAAGCAGCGATATGGAAGTGGATGGCGAAGAGGAAGAAGTGCTTGGAGAGGACGAATACATCGCTAGACTGGATGCTTATGTTCAACAGTGTCTGAGAAAGACCATTCACGGAGACGAGGACTATAAGACAACTGTCGTTAGTGATGAGCGCAGGCGTGTTATCGCTGAATTTTACCGCCGCGCTACCGCCAAGAAAAAGTGCGAGAACTGCGCAAGGTAAGGAGTGTATTTTGAAAATGATGGGATATATCATGATTTGGATTCGAGAATTTATCAGCTCATCTTTTGTCTCTCTCAATCCTCCAATAGTTTCTCACCTTCCTTCCGCAAAGACGGATTCGCAAAGATTTTCGAGAAGCCCTTGACCAAGAAGCAGCAGCTTTATAACACAGCCCAGGGACGCACTCAGACCAACGTCCTCGTCGCACCCCTCAAGAAGGCATCTGGAAGCAGCGACTCTGAATCTGCGTCTTCCGAACACACCGAGGACGAGGATGAAGATGACGAGGACGACGCCGACATGTCTTCCGAATCGGATGCGGGCACCAAGAAGAAGCAGACAAAGAAGACCAAGGCTACCAAGACGAAAAAGTCGAGAAACATTGTTGACAGCGACGATGAGGATGCGATGGAACTTAAGGACAACAACAAATATCTCACTCCCCTCCATATCCGCAACACCCTTCGTCGCCTTTTCGATATTGAGCAGCAGATGTGCGCTCTTTTGTATGGAGCCAACGGTCCCAGGATGCAGAAGAAGCATTCCAAGGCCGTCGTGGCAGACATCTTCTTTCTTGAAATTCTTCCCGTGGCCCCCACTCGCTTCCGCCCTGCTTCAGTCATGGGAGACAAACTGTTTGAGAACCCCCAGAACGAGCATTTGGGCAAGATCCTCAACACATGCGAGCGCATCCGCGATTTGACTTCCACCAACAAGGCTGACGAGGCTATTCTCAAGAATCAAAAGCAGAACTCCTTCAAGTACTTGATCGACGCGTGGATCCAGCTGCAGCACGATGTCAACTCACTCATCGACTCGACCAAGAACCCCGTCGTCATGCGTGGAGGCAAGCTGCCCCCTGCTGGTATCCGACAAGGATTGGAGAAGAAGGAGGGTCTTTTCCGTAAGCATATGATGGGTAAGCGCGTCAATTACGCTGCCCGTTCCGTTATTTCGCCCGACGTCAACATTGAGACCAATGAGATCGGTATTCCACCCGTCTTTGCCACAAAGCTCACCTACCCTGAGCCTGTCACACATTACAACGTTAAGGAGATGAGGCGTGCCGTCATCAATGGTCCCTCCAAGTGGCCCGGCGCAGCCTACGTACAGCACGAGGATGGCGCCTTGTCCTCGCTTGCCAACTTATCGCTGGAATCCAGAATCGCCCTCGCCAACCAGCTTCTGACTCCCCAGGACTCTCACAGCGGCGTTTCGACCATTTCGCCTTACCCTACCCGTACGCAACCTACGAACAAGAAGGTCTACCGCCACCTGCGCAACGGCGATCTTTTGCTGCTCAACCGTCAGCCAACTCTTCACAAGCCCTCGATCATGGCTCACAAGGCCCGTATCTTGCCCGGAGAGCGTACAATTCGTATGCACTATGCTAACTGCAACACCTACAACGCCGATTTCGATGGTGACGAGATGAACGTCCATTTTCCCCAGAACGAGATCGCAAGAGCCGAGGCGAAACTGATTGCCAACACAGACTCGCAGTATTTGGTTCCTACCTCCGGTGCACCTCTCCGTGGTTTGATTCAAGATCACGTTGTTGCCGGTGTGTGGATGACGATCCGCGGTTCTTTCTTCACCCGCGAGGAGTACCAGCACTTGCTCTATGGTGCCCTTCGCCCCGAGGTCGATAACACTGGCAATGGCAAAATTCTGACGCTGTCCCCTTCTATCTTGAAGCCTGTTCCCCTGTGGACCGGAAAGGACGTGATCACTGCGATCTTGCACAACCTTACAATCGGCCGGCCACCACTGAACATGACTGCCGGCGCCCAGGTCAAAGCCCAGTACTTTGGCAAGGGTGGCGAGGAAGAAGCAGTTGTACAGATCATGGACGGTATCTTGGTTACAGGTGTTCTCGACAAGGCTCAATTTGGTGCCAAGTCGTACGGTCTTGTTCATAGCTGCTACGAGATCTATGGGGGCGACATTGCCGGAAAGCTGCTTAGTATCTTGGGTCGTCTTTTCACCCGCTGGACCCAGCGCTGGGCCTTCACCTGTCGTATGGATGACTTGCGTCTGACGCCCGAGGGAGACAAGTGGCGCCGAGATCTCCAGGGCGGCGCTAAGCAAATCGGTACCAAGGCTGCGCTCAAGTATGCCAAGATGGAGTGCTCGATCGAACAACTGAGTGCCAGTAAGAAGTTGCAGAAGGAGTTCAAGAATAAGTTGGAGGTTGTGTTGCGCTCAGATGAACAGCTGGCAGGGTTGGATGCTACCATGAAGTCGACTGTGAACGAGCTGACGACATCGGTCCAAAATGCCTGTATCCCCAACGGATTGGTATGTGTGTCTCTGTTAGAGGACTCTGCTATTCCGAACATTACTGAACATCTCGTTTTCATGCTGACCTCCTTTTCAATATCTGATATGGGCCATTTTAGTTGAAGAAGTTCCCCCATAACAATATGCAGACCATGACAGTGTCTGGTGCCAAGGGATCATACGTTAATGTAACCCAAATTTCCTGCGCTCTCGGTCAACAAGAGTTGGAAGGTCGCCGTGTGCCCATTATGGTCTCTGGAAAATCATTACCCTCATTCGCTCCCTTCGACACGTCGGCTCGTGCAGGAGGCTATATTGCCGGTCGTTTCTTGACTGGCATTCGTCCTCAGGAGTACTACTTCCATTGCATGGCCGGAAGAGAAGGTCTAATCGATACCGCCGTCAAGACTTCCCGTTCCGGATACCTTCAGAGATGTTTGATCAAGCATCTGGAAGGTCTCAAGGTTGGATATGACCAGACTGTCCGCGACTCTGACGGCTCTATTTTGCAGTTCCATTATGGCGAGGACTCGCTTGATGTTATCAAGCAGGCTCACATCAACCAGTTCAAGTTCAGTGCCGAGAACTCGCTGGCGCTCATTGCCAAGTACAGACCCGCTCAAGTCCTGCCACTGTTAGACCAGGTCGAGGCCATGGCGCACAACAAGAAGGTCGCACGCAAGCCTTACAAGTATGATCCTACTCTCAGTTTGTTTTCTCCCAGCTCCCATGTCGGTGCTGTCAGTGAGGCCTTTGAGAGGAAGTTGACCGATTATGTGGAGAAGAACCCCGACGGTATCATCCAGAGCCCTGGCGACCCTGCCACCAAGAAGTCTGAGCGCTACAAGGGATTGGACAAGAAGAAGTTTAAGGCCATGATGTACCTCCGATACATGAACTCGCTTGTTGAACCTGGTGAGGCCGTCGGGCTTCTGGCAGCCCAGGGTGTTGGAGAGCCCTCGACTCAGATGACGCTGAACACGTTCCATTTCGCCGGTTTCGGAGCCAAGAACGTCACGCTTGGTATTCCACGTCTTCGTGAGATTGTCATGACGGCCTCGACCAAACTGAAGACGCCAACTATGACCCTGAACATCAAGCCCGGAGTCACTGAGAGTCAGCTACAGTCGTTCTGCCAAGATACCTCGCGTTTGACACTCACACAGCTGATCGATAACGTGCAGGTGACCGAGCGCTTGATCTCCAAGTCTGCTGCCACGAACCAGAAACGCCACAAGGTGTTTGCTATCCGCTTGAACCTCTTCCGCGAGGATGAATACCAGGCCGAATATGGCGTCACCTCGGACGATGTTGAGAGGGTGATTGAGCTCCAGTTTATCAAGAAGTTGGAGACGGCGATCTTGCGCGACCTCCGCCGGGTGTACCGCAAGACTAAGGGCACGAGCGAGGACGAGATTGGCAAGCCTAGCAAGGCCAAGGACGCAGCTGCCGCTAACGAGGATCGTGATGACGAAACTGAGATTTCGCGCCGTGATGCTGGTGGTGATGAGAGCGATGACGGTGATGGCGACGCCACTTCAGAGAAGCTCTCCAAGAGGAGTAAACAGCAGGCGTCATACGAAGAGCCAGACTCGGACGACGAGGACGTGATCAAGTCGGCAGATAAAGCAATGAAGGAACTCGATGGCGAGGACTCTGATGTGGACTCTGATTCGAGCGACGATAGCGAGGATGAGGTGGAGGACGAGGCTGACAAGCGCAGGCGTCTGGCGCGCGAGGCTAAGCAGGCGGAGAAGCGTGGTAAGGTGGCGGAGAGCAGCCGCAAGGAGCGTGAGGAGCGCATCTGCTCCGCAAGCCCGTACGTCAAGAAGTACTCGTTCGATAGCCAGCAGGGTTCGTGGTGTGAGATCGAAATGCAGTTCCCTGCAGACACCAAGAAGTTGCTGATGGTCAACTTGGTTACCGCAGTGGCTCCTACATGCATTGTACACGAGATCAAGGGCATCGAGCGCGTGTTCATGTCTGAGGACGAGAAGGGCACGCCCCAGATTGCGACGGAGGGTGTGAACCTAAAGGGTATCTGGGAGTACTCGGACTTGATTGATGTCAACTCGATCTACTCGAACGATATTGGGGCCATCTTGAGGACCTATGGTGTCGAGGCAGCTCGCACGGCAATCATTCAGGAAATCAGCGGTGTTTTTGGTGCATACGGTATTGATGTCGACCGGCGCCACTTGACTCTGATTGCAGACTACATGGTAAGTAGACGATTTAAATATCTTATTTCGCACATGAGACTGATGGTTTTTGGAGATATCGGCAAGTTTCCTAACATATCTTTAATTTTATAGACGTTTGAGAGTGGATTCAAGCCGTTCAACCGCATGGGTATTGAGTCGTCGACTTCGCCGTTCTTGAAGATGTCGTTCGAGCGTACGTGTCATTTTCTGACACAGGCAACCCTCCACGGAGATTACGACGGATTGGACTCACCATCGGCGCGTCTGGTGATGGGCAAGGTCGTTGAGGGAGGCACAGGCGCCTTTGATGTGATGCAGCCCTTGGTTCCTGAGACGATGAATGTCTAACTGCCAAAAAGCACAGGAGCCCACAAAGATAACAAATAGAAAGTCAAAAAAGCAACAAAAAAAGTGTACTCAGCATCCAGCATCCGTTTTAATCTGCAAATATATCAATGTATCAATTCTTCTCAAAAGCAAAGAAAGACGAATGTTCATTGGGCCTATTCTTGAAGGAAGGAAGGTTTCTTTTTCTTCTTGGGCGTCTTCTGCATTTGTTTTCTGTGGTGAGAAAATTTTTACTTTTCCGAATGAACGTCGACAAAGAAGCAATCGACAGTGTGCCTGTGGGCGTCGGTCCCTTATTCCCCTGGTTCTTCTTTCCCCTCTTCTCTTCTTCTTCTTCTACTCCTTGGACCTCTTCCGCCTCTCCAATTCCGCACACCAATACCTCTCCTATACTCTTTTAACAATGGCCAACGCTGCTACCATCAAGGACCTCGACGCCGCCCTTTCCTTCCTCACCCTCGGTGACAGGGCCCTCCCCGCCAACCTTACCAAGCCCAAGATCGGCATTGTCTGTGGTTCTGGTCTCGGCGGCCTCGTCGACATTATCCGCAACAAGGTCGAGTTCCCTTACTCCGAAATCCCTGGTTTCGTCGACTCGACCGGTAAGGAATCTGAATCTCTCTTTTTTTCTTTTTTTTATTTCGCTCACCTTTGGAATGAGCTGATTTGAGGAGAACGATTCGCACTGAGACAACAGGAAGAAGAGGAATGAGAACACAGCAGTGAAGCTCATTTCTCAATGTGTCGTTACTGGGGCAACAGAAACAACTCAACGACTTCAATTGCTTTATTAACAACACCTTGCTTTTTGTGTTTAATTAATAGTTGCTGGACATGCTGGAAAGTTGGCTTTTGGTCTCCTGGGCGATAACGATGTTCCCACTGTCTGCATGGTCGGCCGTTTCCACTTTTACGAAGGTTTCGCGCTCACGCAGACTACCTACCCTATTCGCCTCATGTCCCTCCTTGGTGTTGAAACCCTTATTGGTATGTTGGCAATTCATATTTTTTGTTTCCCCCGCACTTTTGTTTTGGATGGACCCACTTTTTTGGTGTTATATTTATACGTGGACATGGCAGAAAGACCGACGACACACAAGTACTTCAGCGTTCATATTATACTGGAGCAGAGGACAAATGTGGGGCGACTGTTACACCATTTTTGCCTCCATCCCGCATGGTTAGATACCAGATCGAGGGTACCATCCTTCGTGTGAAGTCGCCTCTTACAAAAGCAGCAGATTATGGGTGGATACCTGACCAGGATGAGTGCAAATGGGCATATCTTATCCGGGCAAAGATATTTGGGACGACCTTCTCCTGTTCGCAATAAAGCCCCACCAACTGCCCTCGTCATGGCTCAGGAGGGCAAGGATATCAATGGAATTGCAGGACGTAACCTGCCTTTCCTATCTGCTGCTAACAGTTCACCAAACACATGGTTTAATTGCTTTCACGGGTGCCAATTGAGACGAGCATTCGAACCTGACGCATGTTGTTTGCTTACACCACCATCTCTACGGATAACTCTCTATAGTCACAAACGCCGCTGGTGGTCTGAACACTGCCTTCCAGATCGGCGACGTCTGCATCATCGAGGACCACATTAACTTGCCCGGCATGACCGGCAACAACCCCTTGGTTGGACCCAACATGATCGAATTCGGTCCTCGCTTCCCTCCCATGTCGGATGCCTACTGCCCACGTCTCCGCCGCTTGGTTTACGAGGCTGCCAAGAAGCTGAACATCCCTAAGTTTTTGCACGAGGGTGTCTATGTCTTCGTCTCGGGCCCCACATACGAGTCCAAGGCTGAGTGCCGGTTCTTGAAGTCGATCGGCGCTGATGTTGTCGGCATGTCGACGGTTCCGGAGGTCGTGGTTGCAAGACATTGCGGCATGAAGGTCTTGGGACTGAGCTTGGTTACCAACAGGGCCGTTATTCACCGCGAATCCCGCTCAGACCCTGATGCACCAGCCGAGGTGAGACCATTAGAAGAGAAGATTGCAAGCCATGCAGAGGTCTTGGAGGCTGCTGACTCTCGTGCCAAGGATCTTCAGGTAAAAAAAAAAAAAGACAATTGATACTCATTGCCCGACTACCTTCATGTCGCTTTTGGGTATTTTTCTGTGAAGAACCGATTTTAATGAACGATATCTTTTTTTTTTGCTTCACGTACAAATCATAGACCCTTGTCAAGTACCTTGTTGAGATGATCTAAAGTATTCAACAAGACAGGATAGAATCATAGAGATACTGGTTACCCAGGAATAAATAGACTGTAGATCTGATTTTTTGTAGGCATTGAAGGCACATTGTGTATGTACACCCCCCTCCCCTCCCCTTTTTTTTGCCACCAACTTGACGTCGCATTGCTATTGGCCCCGCTATCTGTCTATTTGAGTTTAGTCAACATGTAAGGCCTCAAAGTTGGCGAGGAACTGATCGCACTAAACGATATATAAATTCGCGTGAACGAAATTTTTCATGTCCAAGCGTAGTTCCTCTGGACGATTGACAACACTGGAAGCCTTTTGTCGATTTAGAATTATGTACCCTAGAGGAACGATGTGGCAGCGCCGAGAGTATGACATGCCTGTGCCAAAGTCTTCGCTGGCAACTTGAAGACGATTTGGATTGTTTGTGGACACTGAGGGAACTGACGAGGGTCAGGATCGGTGAAGGTCAAGGGCTGGAGAACGCGAATGTCGATTGGCTCAGCACGACCGCCAGCACAAATAACTGTTTGTCCTGAAAGCAATACCCTTAAGCGAGAAGTAAAAGGAAGTTCTCCATTGCATGTGCTCAGAACCATTCCGAATTAAGAAGCATTGCAACTTTTGTCAAGTACATAAAGCGCCCGAGAGTGATCTTATTTATTGGAATTTTCACAATTCCTCTTCCACGTAGTCATCATTGATCACATCTTCGTCTCGGACAAAATATCCAGTCGCTAAACTATAGACTCGCTTCTTGTATTGGGCGAGGTATAGACCCCAAGCTTCTGACTCTGGTATAGGGGTCAGTCCAACTAGCGCCGTATCCTCCTCAGTGATATCAACATCCGCACAGATGAATTGTAAAGATGCCGCAGCCTTTTTTTCGCCTGCCCGCTGCTGCTGCTCCTGAAAGATTTTTTGTGCATCCAGCGCATGAATCGCCTGTACAAATTGGGGTCCTGTCAAGGTGCTTTTTGGGTGAAGGATTCCAACATCAATACTTTGTAGATTTGGTCCTGCAACTGCAGACAACAACCGTGTAAAATCGTCAAAGGAGATGATCCATCGCTGAAGGAATAGTCGTCGTAGTTTTGGCAATAGGAGTTCCCGCTCAGTCGACGTTTCGTCGATCGGAGAATCTCCTGGCGACGTTGACCTGGGTGCCAACGAAGGAATCGGAGGCAACGACCGTGGCGGTCCTTCCAAGGTGAGGTTGAGCTCTTCCAAGAGCGACGAGTCGTCCAACCAGGTGAAATCGAAAATACAAACCTGGGGTCCTGCAAGGACCAAAGTCTTCAAGCAAGGAAGTGTCCATGTCTTTGTCCATTTCGAGCCTTGTATATCACTAGGGATAGCAACTGCTGGCCCTGAGATACCGTTATCGCCGCCGAATCCGAACTCCTTCAGCAGATCACTGATATCATCGTCCTTTGCATCCGCGTTTAGGCTGGCCAGATGAGCTGAAAGTCGCGGAATGCGCCAGATATATCGATCCAAGGACGTCCAGAGCTTGCACTTCAGAACCAGCTTTTCCAGCCTGATCATACTCTCGAGCGACTCATAATCGAACCGAAGTGCGGCAGCTCCTTGCAGCATCAGGCATCTCAGCTGCGGCAGATTCCACTTTGGAAACAACGACAGCTCCAAGTCAACGTTTGGATCGTACGGTATTATGGGTCGAGTCTGCCTTCTCTGCGGTTCAAATATGACCGTTCCAAACTCGATCCTGAGTGACTGCAGGGCGGGACACTGCGAGAAGGAGCCGATCCGTCGGATGGTTGGAAACGTCGTCAAGTTGATATCGATATCTGTCAAGTACGGCAAGGAGTGCTCAAAGTCGCCGAATCGGTTTGCTTGAAGTGAATCCCTGTATTCTATATATTCTGGTGACTGCAAAGTAGAGGCGTCGAAGCCCACGTACCCAGCCAGAACAATGGACTGCAGAGAGTTCCTGAATGCGACCAAGGCATCATTTGCAGCATAGATGAGGTAGTGGCAGGATCGATTCGAGTCTAATGATAGCCGTTTGAGTTGTCCGAGAATTGGTTGTGCATGTAGTAGATCGGACCTAGTCCTGATACGCCAATGTTGCTGTTCCTGTTGCTGTTCCTGCTGTTTTGCTGCCCATGCAAAGGCGTCGGAACAGCCGATGGAGAAATCCAATCTTTCGAGACTTGTACATTGCTGAAAAAACCGCTGCATAGCTATGACCTCCTCATCGTCACTGTCAAGCTGATCCTCATCAGAGTCGGAGAAAATCTGTAGTCGATCTAATCCAATCTTGTACTGCGCAATCCTGGAGTAGAATCCCGGTATACGGTATTTCCGCATCATGCTGGGATGCCCCACAGCCTCGTAAAGCTGTAGCTTTGGTTTCGCGAACGACCACATCGACTCCCGTATGCGCTTCACTCTCTGCACTTCGGACTCTCCATCCAGGGCGGGGGCGGAAGGGTACAAAGCGTAATTAGACCAGCCGGATTCAAGGTCCAGTTTCAGCAGTGGTTTAGAAGGAAATGTGGATTGATTGCGGTGAATGAAGGCGATTGTCGGTTGCAGCTGGTCGTCTGGGAGGGTAGTGTTTCGGATGATATACATTGTCCGTAGACTCGCCATACGGTCTGCCAGTGGAAGAAAAGTGTCCTTGGCTACGGTAACATCGAATAGAACCTCTTTGATGTATTCAGCATTGAACTGGAGCATCATCCTAGCGATAGAACGTTCTATCTCTTCTCGGTAATCCTGATTAGTTTGATCCCTGATCGAGTGCATCTCCTCGTCTGAGTTGCCATTACTTTGGCTATAGGAACCCGGAAGCCGATCCTGCAGCATTGATTCTGGAAGTTGCTTCAGACGGATGAATTTCCTGAACTGAATAACAGGCCAATCGTCGGGCCGTACGGTAGTGAGCAGTGCTGAATAATCCAGCGTCATCCTTGGTTGACCATTGTCGGAGTGAGCGCTGCGGTCCTGCAGTACCTCTTCGAGGAGCGGGAAAGCAGAGAGATCCTTGTTCAGTCGCAATCCGAATTCGTCTAGGATCTCTGTGGGGCCTTTGCTTGGTTGTTGGTGGTGATAGAGGAGGGATGCAAGCAGGAGAGCAACCAATCTCTCAGATTTCAGTGTACGAGAGGCATTACGGCGACCTGTCTGCCATTTCACGAGCGGATTATCCAGAATTAGCGGTATCGCGGCATTAAAGAAAAAGCGGTTGACCAGGAGTAAACTATGTAGTGCCCCAAGATCGTTCTGGAGATGGCTGACAATTATGCAGAGGCATTCATTCGGCAGTCGAGGAGCCTTCATTTGCGTATCTGGCACGACAAATAAAGTTATCAGCTGCCTCGCAGAATACCGAGAGTTCACAAGTCGCGATGAGCTGCGGCATCTACTATACCTTCCTGATGATGGGACATGGCGATGGTGGCGGGAAGAGAAGATCGATTCCTTTTAGTCTCGTGGCAGTGTTTGTGTCATGCTTCGTGTCAAGGTTTGGCCGTGCATGCTCACGGTGTTGGCCATCAGCCACCGCGGGTACGCAGGATTCGATATAAGGTTTTGAGGCTATGCTTGCATAAAAGCCGATCGCTCGCTACAGTGTGCGTAGTTTGTGAGGAACACAAATTATTCGAGCATTCAGGTTGGGAGCTTCCTTACTCCATACAACTGTAAAAGAACCATCTCCAAGAGCAACATTTATTTTAGTGATCTACGCGGGGGACAGCAACCGCCATGCCGACCGACCTGCGGTATTACTTGGATGGTCTACCAGACTGGCCGTCCGCCGAGGCCGATGTACTCACAGCCGCAGGGTGGGTTCGAGAGATCGGAGCCGTTTCCCAAGGTGAATCTCTGGGCAGAATGTTATTCGCAGTGGAGAAGAAGACCACTGGCGCAATGAAAGCGTGGGTGCGTCGTTGGAAAATCAGCGGATCACATCGTCGTACGTGGTCCGAGCTCTGCAATGACTTCGTTCAAGAGACCAGGCGTGCAAGGACATTCCTGGTCACCATGGGGGGATCGCCACGATTACCCAAGGAGCTGCCGAGCCCCCGGCAGATTATATCGCCCGTATGGAGCGTACCGTCGAGTTGTTGCCACCCCAGGAAGGTAGTGAGGGCAAGCCGTACAAGGTGTCTGATTATTACTCCCAGACCTTTGCATTCCACTTCTGCGAAGGACTGCACGAGAGCAGCCCTTTCAAGATCAAGAACAAGAAGACCCCGGTGGCTCTTGAAGGGGCGTTCAAGTCGGTGGAGCGCCTGTCCTCAGTTGGTCACCGCTTATCACACGACGTCTTTTGCGTACTCCTTCACACAGCACTGAGAAGGAGTTTATGGTCCATGCAATTTTTTTTTTTTTTTTTTTTTTTTTTTTTCAAATAAGCTTGGGCATTTGAAAAGCCCGTCATGATAATAAATAAAAGCAGGCGCAACTTGATTCCATTTAATCCTCACCGCCGCCTCACCCACGCGCCTACAAATCCTAAAGGCTATTCACAGGTACTATCCTCCTTTCAAATGTGATGAATCATCTGTATCTGGCTGCTGCCTACCACATTGTGCTTCCTGTGAAGTAGAGAGGTGTTGACTCCAACTGAATACGACCATATTAAAAGTAGCATATGTAACATATGCACAATGAACTCCGAACCTTGGCCCACCCGCATCGAACGCATCTTCGCCCGCATCTCCTCCGACAGTGTTGAGAAGCTATGGTATCCTCCATACTGCACACTGCTCACGTCGGTCTTTCCTTTCGATGAAGGCTTTATGCTCGCACCTCAGACATTTCCAGTCAACACCACCCAAAGTATGGATTTGGATTTTGCTGTCGAATATCTTGTCCAGAACGAGGAGGGTATCCCGGTCCTAGCCCTGGAGATCAAGAGAGCAGGCGATATCGAGTTTATGCAGACAAGAACCAATGCCGATAGACAGGTGCGCGAGCGGTTCTCCTCCATCACATCACCACTCCCACGCTTCCATATCATAAGCGCAATCGGCACACGTTGCTGTGTATTCACATACGACCGCACCACACGCATGGTCTCACCTCCCAGAATAGCTCCTACACATTTTAATGTTGTGGAGGACCTCGCACCTTTCGAACGCTGGAATACTGATATTGCTACCCTCGAAGCCAGACTTGCTCTAAACACCTGCTTCAATGATGTGAAGGCTATGGCCTCCTCACTCTAACAGGGAACACCGCTCTGTCCGTTACATTCGCGATGTCAAAAGGTTTCCGTGATATAAGCTCAGAATATTCTGAATAAAAAACGTAACCAATCGCCTATATCTCCAAAGCACTCCACTGGTCCGTGTACCCACACTTCGGCTGTAGGGTCTAATATAAAGCGAGTCTGCCTTTTTGGAGCCTATTCTTTTATTAAAAAAAGCAAGCCTGGTCCGTGCACGAGGGAATGGTCTTTCATGACTATCTGCAGTTGCTCTAGTGGGGGCCATTGTGCGCTCACCTTGAGGATTACGCTTAAGTTCGTTGCGGCCGCCTCTGCTGCCGCCATGTTTTCATCAGTGGTTGCGCTGCTGCCATATGTGAACATTAGTAGGTGCGAAGTATACGGCTATATGGAAGAGTAAGACGCGTCGCGTGAACTCTATATGATGCCACAGGTATGGTGAGGAAAAAGGAAAACCTCATGTGTAGTGAATGATTGGATTGATACGCTTACTTTTCAAGTCGATGACGAACCCAAAGAGTACAATCTGGGTGGCATAGAAGTGCGACTTCTAATCATCGTTGATTTTGCTCTTGGAATAATTATTCAAAAAAGATATTGTCTTGGTCGTTCTTTCCCCATGCCCTCCCGACACCGATACACCAAGTGCCAGCGCCTCTTAAGGGAGTATCAGGAATGCTTCAGTAACGCTTGCAAGAAGTACATCAAGGAGCTGAAAATCCGCCCAGGAATATTCCAATTATAGCTACCGTGATTCCACGACACAAGGGCACCAACAACACCCAGGACGAGCTCACATTCAATCTGCTTCATGGTTCAACGCGGGTCAAGATCGAGCACGCTTTTGGGTGGCTCAAGCTCAGGTGGCAGTCTCTTCAAAATTTGCCCGTCAAGGTAGTCAAGAAGAAGCATATTGCCAAGGCGTCCAGCTGGGTCGTTGCATGCATAATTTTACACAACATTTGTCTCATGAATCCTGATGGAGGCGAGCACGAGGATGCCGAAGACAATTTGAATGAGGTAGCCTTTTATCATCCTGCACAGAACGAGGAAGGTGCCCCATTGTAGAGTTGCAAGGCGCACACGAGGACGAGGTGAAAGCGAAGAGAGATAAGTTGAAGGTGTAGGTCCTCAGGGACCGTTTTAGAATAGGTGGATACCGTCGATGAGGATAAGCCTACGACCTTTTATTTGCATCCTTGCACTTCTTTCCATGAAAGTCTTCTAATTTCCAGCTCCATCGTCAAGGACGAGATCCGCGACTTAAGTTCATCTCGCTCTTCAAAGAACATCGACTTATCCTTCTGGAACGCAGCCTTCTCGTCCGCGAAATCCTTCTTTACTGCAGCCTTCTCTTCCGCTAACTCCTTTCTGAATGCAACCCTCTCGGCCTCAAATTCCTGCCTAAGCTTCGCCCTTGCCTCCTTTCTCTCTTATTGAGCATCTCCTGGTGTTCCCCTTCTAATCTGACTAGCCTCTCTCCGAGCCCCAATTCTCTCTGTACAAGTTCCCGCTCCCTCCGTTCGATCGCCTGTAATTGAAGCCTCTGCAGATTCCTGTCCTCGTCATGGGCCTGTCGCGACTGGTTCGCCATCTTACTTAATTCGGTCATGGACTCAGCGATAGCTGATAGAGTCGAAAGACCATTGTCTTTTTGGCGCTTGCTCGGCGGGCCAGTACTGCCATCGTCAATGTGCGCACCTAAAGTGTACCAAGTATCGACGTGGCAGGGTTAGAGAGAGTCTCTTGGTGAATTTAACATGTCACATATATCATTCACATACCCGCGATTGGATTAGCATGGGGTGTATCCTCGATGGCTTCCAAGTCACTGCACTCGCCGTCAGTCTCTTCCATGGCTCGTTCATCCCTATAGAATACTGTCTGCCGTGGTGGAGGAGGGTTTGCCGATAGACTTCCTCCATAGACCACATGGATCCTCTCAAAATGTGGACAAACGAGCTTCTGCCTGGAGAGAAGTGTGTCCTGTCCAAAGGGACCGGTGTTTCCTTCGCCGGTAGATGACAACTTGCACGCCTCCCTGTATTTCGATCTCACGTAGGCAAGCTTCGACTTTATTTGATTGTAATCCCAAGCGGTTCCGTGCTTCTTGTTGACGAGGTTGGCGAGCTCTGTGTGTACGTCCTTGGCCTTTTGTCCAGCGATTGGATTCTTGGCATGTAATCGCTGGTGGCTATGTGGGTCGGTGATCCAGTCGATAAATGTATCCATTCCTGCCGTAGTCCAGAACGACTTCTTTGCTGCTGCTGATGGCGATGAGGACTCGGGGTCAGACTGAGGAGCTGGCGAAGGGGACGGTATCACAGAGTTGGACGAGGTCGAAGCTCGCAAAGGAGCTAGTTGCCGTATCTGGCCATTGTTCTGGCGCTTTGCCATGTATGTCTCCGAATCGTACAGTGCGGTGCCTTGAGACGGGTATGTAATAAGATGAGCAAGATAAGGCGAGGGCAATGGGGAAGGAAGGTCAGCACGAGGGAGTAACGGGGAGGGGCGGAAAGAAGACGGTAAGACAAAGCTATGTTGCTGTTGTTGCTGATAAAAGAAAGGATAGTGTTCCTACTGTGGCATGGACTGAGATATGAATGGAAACTGCTGTTTTCGCAGCTGTAGAGAATGGATAGCTTGGTGAGAAGTCGATGATTGATTCATCAAGGATGCATCTTGCTTATTGTCGTTGTTTTTTGACATCTCGAGACCAAGACAAGGGATGTGACTAGAGGAGAAAGAGAAAAAAAAAAGCCAACTGGAATATTATTTCTTCTGGAATATAACGACATTTGACTGGACAGTGGGACACTTTTTCATGGACATTATTCCATCCAAGACTTGGAATATTATTCTAAAAACCCGAGGTTGAAAAGGACTCAGAGAGGAGCGTGGGTTGTGGGACAAATAGGACAGAGTCGGCAAATAAACTGAGAAGGCTTCTTTGGCTTTTACATCCAACAGGGTGAACAGTACACGACGTTAGCATACAATTGTTCTTGAAGGCCTGAGTTGCCAATAAGCATGGTATACAAAGTGTGAGGAAAAAGACGTGGAAAAATGGGCGAGATATTCTTAAGGTCGCCCTCGACCGAGTATGAGATGTTCATGTCCATCAGGAAACAAATGCTGTGGTTTGAGACGAGGGACTATTATCATCAAAGCGCGTCAAAAGATCTGGACAGTACCCATTGGCACGCAAGAGCAAAAATGCGGCACAAGAGTCTGACCGAGACAAAACCCCCCCTCGCATGCCGAAGCTCCAATGTGGGAAAGCCCTGAAATGGCTTGATCGGCCATCACGGATGGATTTTTATCGTTATTTTTTAATACTCGATTGGATGCTTACTTGTGCGAATGCCCTGGTGTTACCGTCTCGTCCTGTGGGAATATTCTATCCTTGGCGTCTCTACTTGTTGGTTTTCTTTTGTTAAAGAGGAGCTCTACAACAAAGCTTTGCTAACTAGGTCTGATAGATTCGCAGGGCTAAACAGATATTAAAGAAATACATCTGCGTTTGATGCTGCGCTAAAGACAAATGGCCTTGATCGATAATTGTGCCAACAAAATTAATCCCTCCAGGCACGGAAGGATTTTATTGCTGTGCGCGCATCGCGTTGTTACTAATGGACCGCGCACCGCGAATACAATAAATATAGTCGCCACTGCCTTCTGGGGCCATACTCGTCCTATATCCGCATGTACCCCACCACGAGCTGGGCGTACTGCCTTATCTGCCTTACCGCCAACACCACCGTTACCAGCACCATTTGCATTATTAAATCGAACCATGGCCGAGGTCAGCGAAGAAATCAGCGCCGATCTTTTCATAAATTGCGTTGACAAAACAATGGAGGATTTTCATCGTTCACCGACGGCAATCTCCTCAAAAAACACGAAGTGCATCATTTAACAAATCTGACCTCTCCTCAAACACTTTTCAATGTCATATTCGTTCCTTTAGTTGCACAATTCTACATGTCTAATCCATAAGTGCAGACCTTCACTTGCACGCGAGTGCTCGTTTACATTACCCTTGGCCATAGTTAAAGTGCAGGTGCCGCGTAATATTTTTCATTTATTACGTATCGTTCCGCATCCAGGGAGTCCACAGTGTTTTCCGTTGGTGCTTTTTAAAAGATGCTAGCTTGCTAGGCGATCTCGAGCGTTGCTTCTGCTGATGAGGCATTGTTTGATCCAAGATGGTCAACGGTACAATGCTCGGACGACCATGTGCACACTGAAATGGAAATTTGCACTCTGCCAGGCTGCGCACTACCCCCTCGCATTGTGCCAGAGATAGCTTGTCATTAAACATAATGGCGCCCCGACATGCTTTCGAATTGACAATATCCAAGATCCCGCGTGGGCACCCTCGAATGCATCGCAGCCAGCTGCTTGCATCTAAACAGAGATTTAATAAAGACAATGATACGGCAAAAGATGTTAGACGGGCTGCGCAATGCCGCACTACGACAGCAACAAACGTGGTCGTACAGGATACATACCGTCATTAGCGCTGTGGCTTTCCAACTGATCACGCCGTGAACTATATCGACTTCCTTCCGCCCAGCTGATTGAGTCTTTGATTAGATCTTGTGTTAGAGCTCCATCGACGACGCATCGGTCTGCAACTGCCCGGGGTAATACCGTGACCCAGCCTTGGCTGTAATCGGACGCTGTGATATGCCTAGACACCAAGATATTTCCACCCGCGGTAGCTGTGATCGGCGCTTGTTGAAGTTCAGAGTGAGATTTCATAGTTTGAGATGATTCGGTCAGAGAGTCGCTGAAGTGATGAGATACCAAAAGAGTATCATCATCCTCATCTAATGGTATCGAATCTTCGTTCAATTGAGCTGGGTCTGTGTCGACTGCCGCGGTAAGCGGATTCTTGTCCAAGATGATGCCCCAGCGGCTGAGCCAGTCCGAGTACTGCTCTACAAGCCTCCACTCCCGTCTACTAAGCGTGATAGGAAGCGGCGGGATCATGGCCATGCTGTCCAGTCGGTGCTCCGATGCTTGCGACAATTCCTCCATAGCGTGTATCGTTGACTCCAAAGTCGCGCATGAGCACACACACATCTCCTTCATTAGCCGCTCCACTCTCACACGCTCATCCGCTGCGTGCTGATCGACTACCACTAGTACCGTTGATCGTGGACTGCAAAGCTGTGCTGTTGCCGTTGCTGCGGCATCCATGGTGCAGAGAATGAACTTGCGGTCGAGCTGCGCAATAACCCGGGCATGCTGTAGACAGGTCTTTGAAAGCTGCAAGCGCTTGATGTTGAACTGGTCCTGGCAGCCGGCACCTCGACTGAAAAATCGACTGACTGACTTTTCGATAGACTCCCGTTTTCCAGCATCGCCCATGCCCGTATCAAGATTCAAGGTTTGTAGAGAGGGTACCTGCGTAGGCGGAGTCGGGAAAAGCGGATTGACCCACTTCCGAAGCGCATCCTGGGCCCAGATTCCAGACGTTCCTGTAATGAACGATGTCGACCTTGATTCAACGACATGCGGAAGTGAGGCTCTTCTAAGGCCTGAGTTCGGCAGCATGATATCACTACTGTCCTGTCTATTGTATTCGACCTCGCTGCTCACAAAATCGTCGTCAAGCATGGATGAAATCCAGTCTTCATCCAGCTCAAACTCAAGTTCATCCTCCACGTCAATCTCCTCTTGCTGATAAGCATCCCCCTGAGAGTACTGAGGGGCCTTGCTGGCTCGGGATGGACGCGACAACTTGATACGAGAGAGATAGCCGAGCGGAACGGACTCATCTGAAAGCCCCACATTGCCTTTTGCCCTGGACTTGCGCTTCCTGGTAGTGCTTTGGTTCCTCAACGTCGATGCTGCTGACCTCGAGAGCAGGTGTTGCCGCTCGAGGAACGCGATGATGGTATCCCTCACAACACGCAGCACGCGCTCCTCATCCTCAAACTCGACCGTGACCTTAGCTGGATCCATACAGATGTCATACTCGCTCAGCGGACACTTCAGGGTAAGTACGTATACTGGGTATCGTTCCCTGGACCGCCTAACGTCTTCGTCAAAGCGGAGGCTCTCCTTTGAAAAACTTGACTGCTGAAAAGTCTGAGTGATCGTCCGTTGAATAATATCAGAGCGGATCGGTCGGTTGTTCAAGAATATGTACTGGTAGAGACGATTGTAATGTCCCATAGTCGAAATATATCCAGAGAGGCTGTAAGTTGTATCCTCAGGACTCGACTTTGCGAATGTGAGGGAGGAAGAAAGTGCTAGACCAAGGACTGCAGTGATCCTGTGCAGCTGAGAGTCGGCTTTGCGGTATGTCATCACTTTAGCATCCTTTGCCATATCGATGACTGTGAATGATATACGAGGGGAGACTAATGCAAATGTCTCGACAGCCCGCTTGACTTTGTCCAGTTCTAGTTCCAGCTTGGACGCGGAGGCCTCAGACCAATATCTTTGTCTAACAGGGAACTAATTTCGGCAGCACAAGTCAGCTGAAGAGCATATTAATACATCCTACTCGATGCATATAAATATATGGAACCACTACCTTGTAGAAAAGATCCCGCACTGAAACGGTAGTTCCATGATTGAATCGAGGGTACTTGCTCGAAGGGCCGCAAAACAGCCTCTCTCCACCCTAGTCATTTAAAGCAAGGCAGGGACGAAGAAAAGCATCAGTCAAGAGGTCATGTACGGATGTCCAATAAAAAATATTTACACGCGCTTGTTACTACCTTGAAAATAACAGAGTATACGTCGCGCTGATCCTGAGGACGCGAAACAATATCAACAAGCGACATCTCCGTCATTGCTGCAACGGCTAAAGGAAGAAGGGGAGTTTGATGGTAAGCATCTTCAGTCCGATTACGTGAATCACTGACGATCCGAACAAAGATGCGACATGCCTTCACCGCGGAAGCCATATGTTTTTATCCGCCTCAGATCCTGTAAGGTTGAGCACTTGGATGTGGCGTATCGCGTTCCGACATGCATGATGTCGACTGAGATAATCCCGTTCCCGTTGTCGGAAACCTGCAGACTGTGACCAGCCACATCGACTTTGACCTCAATCGATGATGCATTTGCGTCGATGGCTAGTGGGTTAATAAGGATCGCGGATAGAGGCACAGAGGCGCAGAGGCACAGAGACACAGAGCCGCTTTAGAAATTTTGAGAGTGGAACTTTGTCATGTCCGAACCACGCGAATGATGCCTAGCACCTACAGTTCTGAACAAGTTCGGCTGCGCATTGCTCAAGCGAGCTGATGACTAAAGAAGCGCGCAGTTCCTCGGTGACTCCAGGTGCCAGTGGCTGGATCGCGGCCATTCCATGCTTGACTGGTTGTGAATGGTAAAGTGAAGAGATGTCATTTTTGGTAAATGTCATTTTTGGTGGCAAAAAAATGAGAGCAAGATAAAAAAAATCGTCATGGGAATGGACTGCATCGCAGGTGTTGCATCGAGTGCCCGAAAAAGGCAAAGACGGCCTCGTGGACAAATCCTTTCGCCAAAAAAAGAGTTCAATTGACGATGCTAAGGAGCGAGGGTGAGAGAACACTTCACTAAGACAATGTGTCTCCTCTCCTCTGACTTCGCCGATATTCTTCCACAGGGGGAAAGCATAGGTTATATTCTTTTCATCTCCATATCCGCAATGGCTACATCATGTACATCTGCCCTGACCTTCAGGGCTGTTCTCTTTCGCAAATTGCTCCAACCTTGTCTTACTTAAACTACGCTCCAATGGCCCAATGAAAATAAAGAGGTCTTTTGTGCGCCCTGGTCATTCCATCAACCTCATCAGCCCTTCGCACCATCATTCCTCCGCTTTGCTCGCTCACACACTATTGCTTCACGCTGGTCTCCAATGGGCCCTCCAGGACGTCCTCTCACTGTTCCTTACATCCTTCTTGTACTCCTATTCTATATCGCATCCATTCAACACCACCATGGCACACTTGCCAACACAATAACACAAGAGCACCTCTTCACAATCCCCTTTGATAACGATGCTGCGTTTGTCATGGCAGCAGGCACACCAGCCACCACTACCGTTACCGTCTCCACAACTCCCTCCTCTAGATCTCCTGCTCAATCAACGGCCTCTACATCACCACTCCCTCGTCGCTGCAAGAACTGCCCACCCAACAACACCCTCGGCCAGATATGCTATAAGAACACCCAATGCGTGCCCTTGGCCCTTCTCTGCAACACCACCACCAGCCCCACTACCAACATAACCACAGGCACCAACCCATGTGTTGACGCTACCGGTCCTGTGCCGCTCCATGCTGATAATTCCATCACCTGTCGGGACCAACTCTGCTTCGCCAATACCTTTCTGCCGCTTCCCGCGCCTGGCTCGGGAAAGGTCAATAGGAACAGCAGCGCCAATTGCTTAAAGGGCAGCTATTTCTCTCTCTATGGGTCCCTCTTGACCGGCGAGAAGAGGTACACTCAGTCATGCGTGGGTCAGTTTCCAACAGGGCAAATAGTAACCTGCAATCCATGGGAGTATCAAGCTCAAGGATCATGCTTCCTTCGGACATGCGGGCCTGGAATGGATTGTGAACCGCCGTTTCTCTGTCGCAGGCCGTCGTCGTCAATAGAACTGTACGGCCTTTGCATGAGCCCAAACTCGACTGCAGATCCTACAGGAGATGATAGCGGAGACCAGGACTCGCCTTCTGTAAAGGACCACTTACTCATAGGATTGCTGGTCGGTATTTGCAGCCTGGTTCTCGGAATCGGCATCGGAACTGGATGCTGGAATCTCAGGAAGAGGAGGTTGAAGCAGTTGCGACTCATGAATGGTGAACTCGACAATAATACCACAATGATGAATGGAAAAACTTTTTTCCTGACGACACTGGGCCAGTGCTATGATGCCTGCTGCTGCTTTGGATCGGCAAGGAGGCAGACGAGGGGTCAGCGCGCAGATGCTGGAGCATTAACTATAGGGGAAGCCCGAGATATACGTGTCATATCAGTGGCCGAGTCCGAAAGCCATGAAAGTTCTTTGGTTGCGAATCATCAGACAAATCTGATCTTTGCAAGACGCTGGAGGTGGGGTCAAGGAGGACAACATGGTGCAGGCATATGGAGAGGAACAACAGCAGGCGGTGTCGCGGCTGTGCCAGAGCTGGAGCCGCCGCCATTGTACCATCAAGGGCTGGGTCTGCCTTCCTACCGCGGTAGGGACACCATTCTGCTCACGCCTGTCCCTGAGCTCATGGCACAGGCTTCAAATCCATCAGTGGCTGCAGAGCGTTCAAGATCGCCAACGCCCAAATGAACAAATAAGAATAAATCCCGCCTCCATTCATCGCCTATTATTCTCCACGACGGCTACTATATCCTATGCACTACGGCGATCCTCCATCTCAATGTTCAATGTACGCAACCATTCACATCGAAGACAAGAAGGCGGTAGTGGAGGATGTCGCTTCGATCTCACCTTGGAGATCAAGCCCCCAAATGCCAGATTTCTTACTGCTCCAACAAGTTCAAATTGGCTTATATGCTGACATTGTCTAGCATTGTCTAGTATTGTCTAGTATAATACGCTCTAAACCTCGCCGGCTTGCTCCGCTAGCTTGTAAAACAATGAGCTCTCGTCCTTGAGCAGGTTCTTTGGGGCATCAAACTCCCTCACTCTGCCATACTCCAGCACCAATATCTTGTCCGAGTCCATCACCGTCTTGATCCTGTGGGCAATGGTCAAAACTGTCCTGTCCTTGAACTCCTTCCGAATCGTCTTTTGGATCAGCTTGTCCGTTTCCACATCCACCGCCGCTGTCGCCTCGTCCATAACCAGGATCTTGGACTTACGAAGCAACGCTCGTGCAAGACAAATTAACGATCGCTGACCCACAGAAAAGTTTTCACCGTTTTGTGAAACCTCATACGATAGACCACCCGGAAGTGCGCTGATATGATCTTTAAGATGAGATCGCTCCAGTGCTTCCCAAAGGTCCGCGTCCTCAAGTTCCTGGAAGGGATCCAAATTCTCACGGACAGAACCGGTAAACAATGTTGGATCCTGCGGGATGATAGCCAAGTGTTGTCGCAGATCTTGAAGCCCAATAGTAGCAATATCAACTCCGTCGATCTCAATCTTGCCACCGTCCTCCCTTTCCTCCTCCTCCTCGTTGATTCCACTGCAGTAACTCCCAGGACTGGATCCGGGAGCCACATCCACCTCAGAAACGCGGCTGTTGTCGCTCTGCTTGGCCCAGTAGCTATTAGCAGCCTCTATGATCCGGAAGAGAGCCAGAGTCAGGGACGATTTGCCCGCCCCTGTCCTGCCAACAATTCCTACTTTCTCGGCTGGTGCGATATCCAAGCTGACGTTCTTAATCACCAGGTTCAGTCCCTCACGGTACCGTGTAGAGTAGTTGATGAAGCTGATGCGGCCCTGAGAAGGCCAGTTGGGCGGGAGAATAACATCTGTCTTCTCAGGTGCCTCAGGATTAAGTTCTGTGTACTCCAGGACGCGTTCCATCGCAACAAAGACATTCTATATGCGTATACGAACTTGATATATCAGACAAGCTGTCATATTTCCAGGAACGAAAATAATATAGAAACCGAGTGCTTACCTGTAGATCACAAAAGATTCTAACAAGCGTGGTCATTTCCTCCGTGAGCGTAAGCGCAAAGCTCAGCATCAGACCCACCATGCTGGCGTCCAGAGTCTTGCGTCCCAGGACTGCCAGTAGGGATGCGCATAAGAGAATGGCAAGACTGCACATCCTCAGTTGCACATCCAGCCAGCGCCGACTCGACATATTGGACAGGAAGTTGTTGGTAGCTCTGTCCGTCATGAACGCATTTCTCTGAATAAATCGGTCATCGTACCTCATAGCACGAATTATCGACACTCCTCCAAGGGTCTCGTTGAACTGCTGATAAATGGGCGACTTTGAGACCGAATAAATGCGTGCCAGGGTTCTTGAAACACTCAGAAAGCACACTAGCATTCCCCAATATGCTAGGATTAAAAATGGTAGCGCGACGATAAACGATGGCGTCGTAAACACGATGAGAAGGACCGTGCTCAAGACCGAGATGCCAAAGAGCAAGACATCCATCATCTTATTGGGGATCTTGACGTCAACCATAGAAATATCGGAAGAAAACCGATTGATGATGCGTCCAAGGGGCGTAGTGTCGAAAAAGGCGATCGGCAGGCGGAATATCATGTTCAGCAGCTTGGCATGAATTCGCTCCGCAGCCCGGATTCTAGCCACGGCGAGTCCCAGGAACATGATGATCACGTAGAGCAGGACGTAGATGAAAGTGAGGATAGAGTATACGGCCAGGAATAGCACTGGTGATGGTGGGCGGTCGTCGTCGGTGTCCTTTGTTTTCAGAATCCAGTATTTCAGCCACAAACTTGTCGAAACTAGGCACCCTTGGGCGAGAATGAACATGACGAAGATAATGATACATAACTTGGTCGATCTACAAGATTGAAATAAAATATAGACAAAAAGGTGTCCATTAGCGACTGGGATCATGATACACAATGCTTCTTTCTGTGGACTCGAGAGGCTACTTACGCTGCCTTGGTGTACGATATAACAACATCGAATCCAACTTCACCTTCCTTCATCGCCTCAGCAGCAATGAGTTGCCAACGAACGTCCTTTTTCGGGTCGTTGAGCGCCTGTTGGCCCACCGTTTCTTCCGTGTTATTATCAGATTCGATTTCCTCTCCCGTATCTTCTTCCAGACCACTCTCACCACTCTCTCCTATAATGTCCGGCCTTTCCTCGCACTCGCTAGAGGCCGAGGCAATGACGCTGTTGTTCTTGATATCATTGCTGCCGCGTCTCTCGACTTCATGGGATCGTCTTCGCTCCAAGATTGAGTACTCCTTAATCAGTCGATAGAATGCCTGTTTAGAGGCCATCAGTTCCCTGTAGCCTCCCTTCTCCTCGATTGCTCCGTCCTTTAGCACAACGATCTGGTCAACATGCCGAAGATGATGGATTCCGTGTGTAACCAAAACGCGAGTCTTGCTACGAAGCAGGCCAGATGGTCCAATGAGATTCTCCCAGAGGTGCCTGTCTACATGGGCATCGACTGCACTTAAAGGGTCATCCAGCAAATAAATATCGGCATCGTCATACGCTGCTCGGGCAAGAGAAACCCTCTGCTTCTGGCCTCCAGAGAGATTGATGCCGCGCTCTCCAATCTCGGTCGCATCTCCAGCAGGCAGGATTGCGATGTCAGGCTCCAGTCCACATGCAAATAGGACGCGCTGGTATCTAGCTTCGTCGTACTCGTTGTCGAATACGATATTATCCTTGAGAGACTTGTTGAGGATCCATGCCTGCTGCGGTACATAGGCGATTCGTCCCGAGATCTGTACTTTGCCATGCAGTTTGTACATGTCGCTGATCAGGGCGCTCAAGAGAGACGACTTACCCTGCCCAACACGTCCAACAATAGCAGTTAGGGTCCCTCGACCGACCTCCAGATTGATATCCTGCAAAGTCGGCGGTGCTGCTTGATGAGATTGCTCATGAATTCGGTCCGGAAGCAGCGCGGTCGTCTCATCCACTAATGGTTTATCGAGTGTATCATCACTAGGTTCATCCCATGAAAATGTCGCCTCCTTGATCGAAATAACAGGGTCGTTCGGATCCCGTGGCAGACTGTCGAATCGCAGAATATCGGTCTCGCTGACCTCTTCGTTCAACAAAAACGTTTCGATTCGCTTTGTTGCCACCAGCACACTGATGGTCACTGTGGTCGCGTCTGCAAGGCTGGCAATAGGACCCCTAAGCATCCCAAACAACGTCATTGACACGAAGACTGTTTGAGGCGTCAGCTTTCCAGGCGTAAAGTCCGGCCCGCCCCAGAGAGAGAAAATGCCGAAAGTGATCAGGCTGATGATGAGCGACGAAGAGATAAAAATGATCGACATGAACGATTGGACGATCCCGATCCTTCTCAGTGCCTGCAGTTCCTGCTCTCGAACAGCCAAGATCCGGTTGAAAAACGCGGTACCCCAGCCATAAAGCTTTATGATCTTCATGGATGCCAAAGTATCCGTTGTCAGCCTAACGCGCTCGTCCATCGCCTTCAGTTTTTCCTTTTGTATGCGTTCAAATACTCGTCCCTGCCATGCTTGAAAGGGCAATATTGCCAACATTGCCAGTACACCGGCAAGCATGGTCCATCCCAGGAGGCCGTACAAAAGTTTCATGGCGATCGTCAGCTCGATAGGGATCGACAACCAGACGGAAAGGCCCACCACTGCGTCCCACCATTGATCCGCATCCACCGACATGAGATTGGTGATCTGGCCGGTGGTAGATTGGCCCCTTGCCTTGGGTGAGAGTCGAAGCGCCTTCCTGTAGATCATCGCAATTATGGCCGTACGGGTACTGACGCCGATCAGGATCATTTGGTATCGGTTGTAGGTGTACAGAAGTGAGGCGAATAAAGACGACAGGAACATGCCGACGGCGAGCATGATGCCATAGGAAAGCGGTTTCGACTCGTAATCTTCTAAATAGTTGAGCAAACCCTTCAATAGGACCGGTAGCGTATATGAAAAGAGGACGATGGCAATACGACTGAGAAGGACTGGGACCAACTGTCTCCAATTTGCTAGAAAGATGGTGCCGAACAAGGAGGGTCGAGATTTCCATGAGCGCTCCCGCTTTTTCAGCCGTGCAGTCCAAGCACCATTTAGCTTCTTGTAAACGGCAGGGGTCGCCATAGACTTTGGCAATTGGCCAAGAATGTCGTCTGGCGTGAGTGTTCGGCGAAGTCCGATTTTGATGATGGGCAGGTAGAAGAAGAATGTGAGGCGAGAAAGAAGGTTGGCCTTGCCATACAGTCCGACGCCGCTCAGTTTTTGCACTCGTGTATTTCCTCTGGGCCAGCCTTCGATGATGAATCCCGTGGATAAGATCACAATCTGTGCCGCAAGTAAGGCGAACGTTGGGTGTTGCGTGGAGTTCAGTTCCATTGTCGTTTTGATGATAATGAGGGACGATGTGATCGAGGACGCATAGAAGGCGAAGATGGCACTGGACGATCGGATTTCGTACTCATGTTCATATCGATTCAGGACAACGGCAAGGGCCTAGAGGCACAACGAGAACAAGTATGGTACAGTCAGATAACATAGGCTAACAATAAAGTATGTCACGTTCTGTACCGCTAGTACTCTTACCCAAGCTGTGCCCAAACTGAGGCAACTCCAAGCATAGATAGGTGATTCATCTGGCAATGAGAACAAGCTCCAGGATAATGCCCACGCCACAACGGCTCCGAGTGACATGCAAGCCTGCGTTGACCAATAAATCCAAGCAGCACGTCCGAGATTGTGCGCTTCTGCATGGTGCGTCAAGTAGTAGATCCTAGCAGTAAACCCTAGGATAGCCATCCACGACACAATCCCGAATAAGACACTATCATAAAACAATCGATGGGTTAACTAATGACAAGTAATGGCTCTACCATCGTACAAAGCGATTGACATTGATTCGTCTGTTACCTATACTCGAAGCACGGTGTGAGATCGTAGCGAGTAGGACTCAAGGGCCCCTGATTTGTCGTTAATTGATATGATATTGCAAACTGGTGAGATATCCGAGACAATATTCAAACAGAAGATCTCATGGGCGGGATATACATACCCATCCTTCGTTTTGAATGCAAAGCCTATCCACGACCGACGGCAGTCCATGAAGTCCTGGATAACGAGCGACGTCTTCAGATCCATGCTCAACAGTGAAGATGTGCCACGGCCCCGCCATTGGAGATATGATGTTCTGATTAAGATTGTCGATAGTTGTCTGGCGAGGATTAAATCAGATTGATATCAAGTATAAGATGGATGTTGCAGTGCTTGGGTTAAAAAGAATTCGCAGTTAAGCCGAGTTGAAGAGTAGACGGGAGAAAGAAAGAGAAGGCGGGTTAAAGACCGCGCAGACAGAGTTTACCCGCGGGTTGTGTGTGACTGTTCGAGTGGCGAATTGTCTAGAGAGCCCAGGGTATGGACTAGCGCCTGGCTCCTTTCGATTTCTCAGAATGCTCCTTAATATGCGGCGGCTGTGCCCTGAAATGGCGACTTGATCGTTTGAGCGAGTGTGATGTGGAAAGAAAGAGAGCCAGCCATGACAGGAAACCAGATTTCGCCTGAGAGGCCGTGCGCAAATTACGCAATCTTATCCGCAATTGACGCTGAAGGCCTAATCTAGCGAGCTAGTTATCCCTGCAAATCATAGCTGTCCTTGACCATGCAACTGGGTTCGGTTACTCCGTCTTTTTAAAAAGCAACTCACCCCAGATTGTGGTTCAGGCAAGCCCGTTTCCTACGCACTACTTCCAGGTAATACTCGCACCATTTTCTGCGCATAATCTTGATGGCACGAAGAGATTTGCCCCCCGAGTGCATAGATACAAGATCGAAGTGGTAAAGAGCTGAATATGCGGGCGATAGACATGTTCGATAAAGATAAGTGTAGACCATGTTTACGTCAATGTGGTTGGCTGTATTTTAAGTCAGATTCCACGTCCTGCCCTGCCCTGACGCAGGAACATCCGCCAAGAGCAAGAGCAGCGTCCTTGATAAATAATTCCCATCCCCTCTGTCTCGTAGCGATCTGGGCGAAGCAGTTGTGTTGCCGCAGTCACTACTCGATTTTTTTCCTTCTCACTTGACCATTGTGGGTCTGGGGTTTTTGTCCTTCCTCCTCCGCCTTTCTTTGCTCGCACCCCCATCCGTTTTTCAGCCGCATAAAAACATACACACGCCCCTACAAGAAACTTGAATTCTCTTCTCATTCCGAATTCCTGGTCAGCATTTCTCAGCAGTCTCAACCGCCGACAACCATGGCTACTCAACTCTCCAAACGCCGCAAGAACGAACTAAAAGGTGTTCGCTCAGTCATGTTCTATCCCCGACAGTAAGAGACCATGCAGCGCAATATGTACTCACCATCTTTGTGCTTGCCACACCCATTCTAGACATAGCCCAGCAGCTGGGCCTTTCCACCGAAGGCGTGCGTGAGGATCTGGTTGACAGAATCAAGTACGATCTCATTCCTTCTGTCATGGGTACAATAATGTTCCACATATTTTTCTCTGACATCTATTATGCAAATTTAATTCGCATTATAACAGGTCGCATGTCGCGAAACATGGATCCAGTGATCCCTCGCTGCATCATCTCGTCCGTGAGGATAGTTCTCGAGCTGGCCATCGCCTAGCCAGCCTTTCCTCCGCTAATGAAGATGACGACACCTCAGATGGTACATCTCAGTCCCGCTCTACGCGCTCATCACCCAGAAAGAAAACAGCTCTCGACTCTCGCGACTCCACGGCTAGCAGGTACGTTCAGCGATGGTCGTTGCAAAATTCGAGGCAAAGAAAGGAGAATTGTTTCTGAAACACAACCATCAAATCTACTGATAGATCCGGTTCGGATTCGGACAGTACTGAGGATCCCTTATCGGAGCATCAGGTCCGCAACTTCATGAGTCACGTACAGGATGAGGTTCATGAGGCCTCGGATCTGGCCCATTCGCTTGAACACATCCTGCAAGAGAAATACCAGACTAGTAAGGAATCACTCCGACGAGCATCCAAGGACCTTACCTCGTCTGTCACCCATACAATTGATGGCGTCAAGGACGCTGTGAATGGAGTCGGCTCGAAGCAACACAAAAGTAAGGGTGCCCACCGCGGCTCCCGTCGCCATAATGACGACGAGGACGAGAGTCACCGTCGTCGCTCTGGCCATCATCGCCATAGGCATCATCGCGGAGTGGATGCGTGGTATCGTTGCGTTGTTGAGGAAGTCAAACACCGCTTTGTGGACTGCGCTGGCGCATGTGGATTCTCGACCTGCATGTCCCGTAACTGGCAGAGGGTACATGATCTCGGCTCCTCGAGCATAGGATTCGTTTGGATCACATTCATCCTTGAGCTTGCTGTCTTTATGTCTGCTGCATATTCTCATCATGAGCATCATGTAAGTCTAGTTTTGAATGATGGACCCGACAGAGGCCCATACTGCTATTTGTATCTAAGATTACCATCTTTCTTTTTGGTTAACATCGTATGTATTTACAGGATAAAGAGAGTTGGTCGTCGTGTTTCGGATTCTTCACGAACTGGCCCAACTTTTTGCTGCCCTTCTTCGCATACTACGGTGCTTTGTTTGTAATCCCGACACTTCTCTCTCAGCTTTTCAACGTTGATCGCGCCCGCAAGGTGCGCCACGACGTTGATGAACATCATCACCACAAGCCTTCCATGACCGGACTTTTGTCCCGCACCACGACCTCTGGACTCTCTTACTTTGTCTTCAAGTTTGCAATGACTTATCTCTTGAGCCAATACACCCTGCATCATCCCGTCTCATCTGTTTCAAAGCTAACTGAAACGGCTAAGGAAGCAGCTGAAACTGTTGCCAGCTATACTGGTTTCGCACACAACCATCATTCCCACCATTTGTGGAGCGACTGCGAGGTCGTGGCCGAGGTCTTCCGCTTTGTGCCTGCTAGCCTCAGCTTGGCTACCTCGGGTGTTGGAACTGTGCTGGCACTTGCAGAGGCTGTTGTTTCAAAGCGCAAGTGATCAGGATCTTTGTGACGAGCTGACATGTTGTGAACTCGTTGCTTGTATTCAAATCTTCGTACACTCATTTATTTGGAATAAATATCATTGACATTTTCACCGACAACGATATGATTTATCCAAGGACACTTCGCGAGGCCGCAACTGGCACTTCAAGACACCAGCCATTAGGGCATAGCAGTTTGAGCGTCGATCGAACGCCCTGTGCTTAAAGGAGGACCAAATTTGGACACATACTACCCCGTTACATGGTAGTGAACAAGACTTTCAGAATACCAGTAAAGATCTTAGTGGTTCTTCGCATTGCGAAAACTAGGTAAATAATTAGGCTCGACCCAGCCCTCTCCTCCAGTACAGTCAATACATAGGTCTGCGTTTGGGTGGCAGTGTAGGGCGTGCGACTATGGCACTTTGATGACGTAGTTTACGCCTGAAATGTGCTGCTACCCTTGACATAGTTCTTTAGTCTTTCTGACTTTTGTCTGATTTGATCCTAGAAACTTAGTTCTCGTTAATGTATTTAAACTAGTGATTCTCACCGGTGAATTGTAGTGCGTTTTCGCAGTTCACCGGTGAACAAAAAATCGGTCTCGTGTATTGAAGTTCACCGATTTTCACTGAATTTCACCGGTGAGCGGTGGAATCTGGTGAAATCCGGTGAAGCTCAGTGATATAGAAGTACTATTACCATATGTGGAATTCACTGGTGAAATTTAAAAAATCATGTTCACCGCGGTTAACCGTTCACCGGTGAGAATCACTACTCTCAGCATATCGGCCAAGAACCAGGCGTTCCGATGCGACAGGGCCGATATGGCTGTAGTCGATATCACGTACGGTCCCTCCGCGCTTGCCAAACCGTGGATTTGCAGAAAGATATCTGTCTCGAGAGGCATGTGGGAGGTTACTTTGCGGCGTATGTGCAGTGTCAGCAACGATGTCCTGACAACATCACTTTCTGGTCAGAGAGCGAGCACAAGACGATAATAAGCAAAGTGCGTGACTGAGAATACCTGTTGATGCTGATCGCGTCAAGGCCATTGAGCTGGAGCAATTATTCGCTAATAATAAAGTAGCCTTTGTAGAGTGTTCGGCCGCAAATAAACCCCTTTGGATTTGTCATAGCATGTCGATCATTCTCCGTTGGACACGCTGAAACGCATTGCCACCAACTTTATTTGCCTCTCCGGGGTGACTGTTGATAAGGCGGCGCACAACAAAACCAAGCGTGGTTGGGGTCACCAAAGTTGCTTTACCACGCTTTCCCCTGTGCTTCCCTCTTCCATAATGGATGAGTATGATTCGCTCACTGAAGTAAGGTGCAATGTCATTCCCCACCATGTCATCCTTAGGCTGACATCACTTGGCACGTTACCTGATGAAGATCCTTTGAATGCATCCACTCTTTAGGCAGTCTTCCTCGTCCTACCAAAGACCAGTGGTACTAGTAAGGCTAAGGGCAAGGGCAAAGATCGGTCTTCGGAAACCAATGGTATGTTTTCATTAAAAATCTCTTCAAGCTCTATCTCGATTCAAAAATGGCCGCTAACAGCTCGCGCGCGCTGGTGCGTTTCTTCGACTTTAGATCACTTCAAATTGGATGGTTTTCAACAGCTGCAGGACGTGAACGAGCCGTGGGAAGCAACGGAGCTTCGGCACGCCCTATTCAATAAAACATGGGACGAGATATCTTCCAGGATCGAGGTATGTCCCCCTGACGACTCTTCTGTCCATTGACCACGCTGCACTGGAAGCGTGAGATGGACCGCGGAATTAACAGGATCTTTTTTCTATATTCGCCAGAATGTCATGCTGAACATGAACACGATAGTTTTGTCTGCTATCTACCACTTTGTTGACAGCGCATATACCCAAACAGCAATAAGGTATGGTGGCTCTTCATGAAAAGATATGAAGGATGCACGTCATTGTGGCGATTGATTGACCGGTGCACTTATTCACTCTAGAGCTATCATGCCGATCCAGGAGTTGCCTGCAGGACTGATCTTTGCAGGAATCAACGTGCCGGACCACGACTTGCTATTCCAACAAATCGCCCGGATACTTTCTTCACCCACGCCACCCACTAATGAATCAGCACCTGCTGTTGCAATAAAAGAACAATCCAACAACCATGTCGTCATTTTGCAGTCGAAGGACTGCGTCAACTTGAAGGCTGCGCTCAAGTCCATGATTGAACAGTTCCTAGGACTCGGCATCGCAGGAGCGGTGAACCCACTAGAGGTACGTGTGACTATTCCCGCATGTATTCGATCCAGGACTTTGAGTCGGGGTTAATGTAACGGCAGCTCACTCACATTTCTCACGCTGATGATAGGGCGGCATGAGGCTTCAAAACCACGACATGATTGTGCTCGAGCGGTGGTACCGATCCGTTTGCGATCTCCGCGAGGAACATGAGAAAAGACCAACGCTGGTACTCATCATCCAAGACTTTGAGAGTTTTGACCAGGATACGCTCCAGGACTTTATCACCATCTGTAGCAACTACCAGGATCGGATTCCATTCGTTTTTATTATGGGGCTCGCTACTTCTATCGACGCACTGCATCAGGGCTTGCCCAAGTCCGTGCTAAGTCTGCTGCAGACCAGGAAGTTCCAGATGCAGCAGTCGTCGGAATGTCTAACAGCGATTATTGAGGATTTGTTTATCCATGCAAATGCTGGGCTTATGGTTGGACCGTTGCCACTCAAGCAGTTGATCGACCAGTTCATGCATTACAATTTCTCAGTCGGCGGTTTTGTTGCCAACCTCAAGGTAGGGCATGGAGAATGCAAGGGCTTTTTTCACGTTGCAAGTTATCGTCGGAAATGATTAATGAATGGAAGGATTATACTATCCTGTGCGGATTTAGTACGTCGTTATGCACCATTTCTACGCAAATCCTTTGAGCATTCTTTGCGATCGATCGCTTTCTGCGGACAGCAAAGTTCTAAATCTATTGGGCAAGGGACACTTTGATCACATCCGGATGCTGCCCTCGTTCCAAAGGTATACTCGTGATTAGTTTTACGCGGACCACAGGACAGGATTATCGACGATGAGGGCGTACTTTAACAATGCCTGGACGGTACTGTCTGCGTGTCAAATAGATACGTCGAATCCAAAGTGAAGAGTGATCCTCAGGCTGCAGAAATGCTGTTGCTGGACGATGGATTTCTGACACTCCACGTCCCAGACCTGGTCCAGGGCCTGCAGGAGTATCATAGGAGCTTTTCTCTTGTCTTTGATTTCCTATGGTTCCTTCAGTCGCGGTTCTCGCTCTCTGTGCTCAAGAAATCGAAGAGAGCGCTGTATTTCATGGCACTGGAGGGCGCACTGACAGAGTCGAGCAATATTACCTTGCTGCTCAGTCTTGTTAGGTAATACCATCCGCTATTCGAATACTACATTGAGAAGCGGAGAAGGTTTGAAAGAACAGCAGACTGACATTTTGTCCATTGATTTTTCGCAAATTAGGAAGATGAACTCGAACGACATGATGCTGTTTATGGAGGACTGCGTACAGTTTTTCAAGAACTCACCTCGTTGTAGTCCCAAAAATTCTTTACAACAGGAGAACACCATGGACCGGGAGCTGGTCATTCTTCAGAGTATCCGTGATCGTATGGCCGCATTGCTGGACGTTGTCAGCGAGGACTCTGTTACGAGCAGCAGTGAAGTTGAGGATAATGACGAACAGCAACAGGAGCAAGGGGGACGGATGGGATCCATAGCAACCGATAGAAGTACATCGACGTTTGTTAAGAAGCGGAAACTGTTCAGTGTAAAGGCAGAAGAGACGGAGAGTCGGCAAACACGGATTGCAAAGAAGACGAGAGAGACTGCAAGGTTACCGAAAGGCGCGCTGGGAGCGTACACGGTACTGGTGACGGAGATTGACGACTTTATCGCACGATTGTTCAGGTATGGATCGTGTTTCAAGGATTCAATGTCAACAGTATTGGTCAAAGGGCAAGAGAATGACATTGACACTCCATATACTTCTCTCCTACTTCGCTTTGCAGGACGTACTTGGCATGCCACAGCAGCATTCCTCTTAACGAAATATTTTATTATTCACAAGTGGCCATTCAGCAAAAGGTAAGCCCGGCTCACATTTCCAAAGATCAGTATAAAAGTGCTGTAAAAATGACTGCCGCTTTGAAGCTGAACGATGCTTTTTTTTTTTTTTTTTTAAAAAAAAAAAAAATGCTAGGCGTTTCTACCACAACCACGCGCATCGATCCAAACAGCTCTCGGCCAACCGGAACTATATCTTAACTGTGATTGCTGCCATCCGCCCGCTGGCTCTGCTCGCTCGTCCAATCTGGCAGACATGGTCCTTCCGACTCAACACGACACCTGTATCCTTTACAAACTGTACGTCGAGTGCGGGCGGATGATCAACATGTACGACTGGTTCACGGCGTTCGGCATGATCCTCGAGCGAGATATAGGATCCAACCAGACTGGGAACGCGGGCGGTGACGCTGAGGACGAGAGCTCATCGAAGAAAAAACGAGGAAGGGGGAAATCAAAGGTCGATCGCGCGGCCAAGGCGAGCCATGAAAAGAACATCGAGTTGGATCAGAAGGAGGTGCAGGCGCGGTTTATTAGCGGTGTGGCCGAGTTGCAGTTCATGGGATTCATCAAGCCGACAAATCGAAAGACGGATCATGTACAACGCTTGACCTGGGGAAATATCTAGCTGCGACGTCTTGCGCCCACATCGACATAAAGTAAAAAGAAGGGCAACCTTCGAATTTTTCATCGCTCCTGAACTATGCACTATTCCACAGAGACGCGTTAAAAACTGTCCCGCTGTTAGCCCTGGTAGATATATTGCGTTCAATGATACCAGGATATACTTACGTGGGGCTCCAGAACTTCAGCAGTCATCTCGGTAGCGATGATCATGAACCCGGAACTCGTCGTCTGAATTTACGTCGACAAGATCTATGATGCCGCTGTGTATATGCAATTAGAGAGCAAATCTCCCTTAGCATCAACTGGACTGAAACGTACCTTAACCAATGCACACCTAGTGTTGATCGATTTTTATGCCGGAAGAATAGTCTAGCTCATAAAAAAAAAGGACGAAATATCGGTCCGATTCACGAGCAAGTGAAGCATTATTTCCATGCAGACCATTCTTTTTTTTTTTTTTTTTTTTTTTTTTTTTTTTTGATAAACAGTTATAGACTGAATAGTCATGGAATTTTCATTGCAGATGTTGGTACTATCTGATACTATCTGCTATTTGACAGTGTTGAATACGACATTAGTGGTGGAGGGGGAGGGGGGGAAAGAAAGAAAAGAAAAATATAAAAGAAAAAATCGAAAGGAGTGATGAAGTGGAGATAAGGATCCTTTCCTTGACTGTCGACAATTTACATGGCAAGGGTGCCCTGGGTACGACGCATGCCTGGAAGGTGCTGATCGTGCTCCCTCAGACGCATATCATCCTCATCCATATTGAACGCGGAGCTGGCCCAAGGAGCTGCAACGGGCATGCTGTTGGGATCCTCCTTCAAGGGCTGTCCAACCTTAAGCTCCATGTGCTTGACAGGGTCAAGGACGCACAGACCATCCTCGTCAAAGATGACACGCGACGTACGGTTGTACTGGCCCGTATTCTTCCTGCGCTCGTTCTTGGCCTTGGTCTTCTCGTCAGGGCTGACCTTGTTCGACACAAACGACGAAGCGGAATCGAACAGGGCACCGAACGTGTTCTTGCCAGTGCGGATGCGGGAGTCGCGGAGCGAGGTCGCAGCGGCCCTGTCACCGGAGACCATGGCCTCCTTAATCTGAGTCTCGAGCGCATGAGCGATAGCGTTCTTGACGACAGTCTTGATGAAGGGCTGAGCGAACGCATACATGATCGGGTGGTTCGACTTGCGCATCTTGATCGACAAGGCGTGGATCTTGACGTTGACACTCTCAAGGGTGATAAGCGACGGTACTTCAGTGGTGTTGTTGTTCTTGTCATCGGTCGTCTTCCTACCCTTGATACGGATATCCATACCCTTCTTGTTGATCAAGACGTCGGCGATACCACGGTCCTGGAAGCGGAAGCCTTCCTTGGTCTTGACGTAGTAATCGACATCGCGGATGTTGGCCTCGATACCCTCGAGCAGCACGTCGAACTCGTGCTTGTTGGTGTCGTGGGAACGGTTGGCGTTGCCGCGGGGGGCCATACGAATGGTGTTGTTGATGTGCATCTCGAACAGACGGGGCAACAGATCGGTGCTGGTGACGATCATGTTGTCAAACATGAGGTCGACCTTCAGATCCGAGTACTCCACACGGGGGACGGGGATGAAGCGGAAGGACTCCAACATCGAGGGCATCAAGACATAGCGGAAGTCGTCAAACAAATGCGGCTTGAATTGCATATTTCCGTGCCTGGAAGAGAAAGGGAAAAAGGAAAAAGGAAAAGAAAGCGCACGTCAGTTAGAATACATTCATTGGTTCAAGGTAACTGTTCATGGCATGAAAAAAAAAAAAAAAAAAAAAAAAAAAAATGCAAAGTAGAATTACTTGTCGTAGAAGAGGTCGCTGGCAAACTTCTGGAACTGAGCGGAAACCTCCCTGGACTTGGGGTCATTGTTCAACTTCTCGATAAAGATCTGACCCTCGTTCAACAAGGCCTCAGTGTCGGCCCTGTACTTGACCTTCAACAAGGTCTGGCCATGGTCAATCAGAGTCGAGGCATCGCTGTTGATCGCATCTGAAGTGACATAGTTGGGCTCACGAACAGCCTTCGACATGAAGATCGAGAGCTGGTCAACGAACTGGCTCAGGTCGGGGTCGACCATAGTTCTGTGCCACATACTCTGGACCAATTCGATCATGGGATCCAAGGTATAACCCTGGGCCCAACGCTGAAGGATGACCTTGAACTCGATAATGGCAGCCTCAACGTTGGAGTCTATAAAATGCAGTAGGGTTTTCAAGAAGCAGGAAACTTGTTAGCAGCAGGAAAAAATATAAAAATATATATATCGCGGCAGCAATGGTTGTGATATAGATATAGCTGACTGCCTACCATTGGTAACCTTGCTTGCTTCGCCGGCGATGTTACCAGCGGGATTTTTGGCGCGCTGGCGCCATGTGCCGAAGAGGTCCATGACAGAGTCAATAGCCTTCTGGTACTGAGGATCAGCCTGAACCTGTCCGAGGATCACCTTGAGTCTCTCGATCAACTCGCTACGCTTCTCTGCTGGCATCTTGGTGTTGGCGTAATTGATGGCATCTTCCTTGGACTGCTGAGCCTGAGCCTGAGCTTGTTGCTTGAAGGCCCCGGTCTGCTGGGCCATCTGTTGCCTCACATCTTGGACCTGATTTCTGGCGGCTTCCATGCCCTGGTTCTTCTGACCGATAAGGTCATCACGAGCACCACGGGCAGTGACCATAGGGTCAGTCTGAGCATCGTCAGCGACATTTTGGATCCTGTCTGTGGCCCTGTAGATTCCCTCCTGGAGCCTGGCACCACCAGTCTGGGAGGCCTGGGCGGCACTTTGCGAGAAATTTGCAGAGGCGGATGCCATCTTGTCACCAGCAGTCTGGGCATTCTGGGCGACCTTGTTGGCACTGTCGCTAAAGACCTCCCTAGCCAACTGGAAGAGCTCGTTCAGGATAGATCTGAATTCAGAGTTGGTGGTGACCAGCTTGGCGACCGCGACCATATCGTCGAGAGTCTGCTTGCCCTCCTTCTTGGCAGTGTTCGCGGAGACACCGACATCGAGACGGGGTGCATCAACGTTGGAAGAGACAGAGTCTGAGGCCTGGGTGCAATGATAGATGAAGTTCTGGAAGAGCTCCTGCTCGTTCTTCTCGTAGACGACGCCACGGGTTATGCGCATGAGCTCCTGGAAGTCCTTGTAGAGGGCGCGTCCGTCGGCAGAGAGCATGTGTGCGCGTGCGTCGAGAGTGGGCGAGTTCTGGGCCATGGCGAGGAAGTGGTCGATCTGTTCGTTCGTCGGGAGACGGCCCTTCACGAGTGCTTGGAGACATTCGAAGAGCTTGAATTTTTGGTTGCGGTCGACCTGCTTGATATGCTGCGGAATCTTGGCACCGCTGTCTGCAATGGGGACATTGCGGTGGGAGGTTTCGGCTGCTGCGACCTGGTTAGACATGATTGCGGGGAGATGTATTTACAAATTTACAAGGGTTGAGGTAGAGATAGTGGAAATAGTGGAAATAGTGGAAATAGTGGATGAGTTGGATCAATGGTGCGATGGTATGAAGAGAGAAAGTGCTGGCTAGGAAGATGGATAGTAACGCGGCAAGAAGCAGGTCGATGGTCAGTATCGGATGCAGCATTACAGGGAGGGGGGAACAGTATGGTAGCATGATGGGCCAGCCATTGAGGCATTGGGGGCAGCATTGCGGAGGCGAGCGCGTCTCTTCTTTTTACCTTGAGAGGATTGACAGGATTGACAGGAGTATGTGCAGAGAATATTACAATAGGGTGGGGCTACTGGAAAGAAAGAAGGAAGAGTATGAGGGACCAGAAAGAGTGGGTGTCAGTTCCTTTTATATGAGGGAGGCCCCCAGGGTGTGCGAGGTCGAGTGGACCCTCTTTCCATCCCTACCTCGAGGCGCGTGTGCTGACTGACATCATCTGTCCGTGGGGTCCGTCTCTATCTTCGGTGGTATTTGGATATGCAACACCTCCTACAGCCAGTCGGATGGTTTCTTAGTCTAGACAGCCAACTCGACGCAATAGCTGTACCCCCAAAACGAGCAACGTAACCATTATCTTGCATGCAGCAGCGGCAGTCTAGTACGCTGGTAGTCTAGCAGCCGAGTAGCCTAGTAGACAAGAGCTATGTGGTGGCATGGGGTGGTAGAAGCGCCCATTTGTCTCCCATATCAAGAAGATGTAACACTAGACTACTCCCTCTCTCTTTTCTTCTATGTAATCTTCTATGTAACCTTCTATGTAATCTCCTATGTAATCTTCTATGTAATCTTGGGTGTAATAGCAAGCGATTGAACTAGCGCCATGACCAGGCTGAGCATATCGGGAGCGCGGACTTCCCATTGGGTGTCAGGCAAACCAAAGGTGAGACCATCTACGCGAGTCGTAGTTGCACCTATTTGTATACAGCAGGATGACATAGATTCGCCATCATCGCCCAGGAGAGCGAACCAGCGCTTTGGTACTGCCTGGGAATGATTTCTATTCTTACATCGAATCTAGTGGTTATGGTTTCCAAAGAGGCAAGGGCAGGGAGGGGTGGTGCGACGAAGAGTGATAGCACCGAAAACAAAACCTGGCCCTCTGGCCCCCGTGTTAAGTACTCGGTAACCAGTGGATTCCGCCGCTCGCATATGCTGCGCCCGAGGATGAATCCTCATATGGCCCTGTCTCTGTCTCGGCCGAGACCTCGGCCGCCTATGGCGAGCGTGAGTCTCTGTGCAGCAATGCTGCCAAATGACCCGCCTTGACTCGGCCACGGCTGAAATGGAATAGGTTTTTCTAACGCCATCATGATTCATACGCTGCCCTAAACTCTAAACTTTGTTTGTTTAGTTTTTTCTTATTTTGCGTCGCCATCTCTTTCGATCGTGTGCGTGGTGTAACCAGTTCCCCTCCCGATCTCCCGCGCACATTCGCAGGGTCCCAAAACAGCTAACAATGAAAAGGCATGTCATAGTCTAGCGGGTATGCAAAAAGAATACCTGCACCATCACAGCTACCCTAATTGTGCCAACGACGTACCATCAACAATACACCGGAATAATATAGGAAAATAGAGTTGTGTTCTTTTTTTATTGATCTATGCGGGCAATTGTACGATATGATGATGGACCAGTTGTCTTGGTGCAGATTGAAGAGAGGAGGAGGGCGAGCGCAGGAAAAAATACTTAACGACGGGAAGAAAAGACAGGGGAGCATCCAACTTAAAAGTGAATGGGCTTGTCATGGGCGGCCATAGCAGCCTCCTTGAAGGCCTCGGACAAGGTTGGGTGGGCGTGGCAGGTACGGGCAATGTCCTCAGATGAGGCACCGTACTCCATGGCCAAAACTCCCTCAGCAATCATCTCTCCGGCGTTAGGGCCCATGATGTGGATTCCGAGGATGCGGTCCGTCTCCTTGTCAGTGATCATCTTGACCATACCTTCGGCATCAGCGTTGGTACGTGCACGAGAGTTGGCGGCAAAGGGGAAAGTGCCGATTTTGTAAGCGACGCCCGACTTCTTGACCTCATCCTCAGACTTACCGCACCAGGCAACCTCGGGGTGGGTGTAGATGACAGAGGGGATCACATCATAGTTGACGTGACCGTGGCCACCGTTGATGTATTCGACAGCAGCGATACCCTCTTCCTCAGCCTTGTGGGCCAACATGGCTCCGTAGGTGACATCTCCAATGCAGCGAATGTTGGGGACAGAGGTGCGGAACTCAGAGTCGATGGGGACACGACCGCGCTCATCGACCTGGATGCCAACGTTTTCGAGACCGAGTCCCTCAGTGTAGGGCTTACGGCCAATTGAGACCAGGACAACGTCGGCCTCCAACTATTCTCACATAAAAAATAAAACATAATTGAGGTAAATTGAATAGTTCCTCCTAGTCGTATCTATCATATAACCACGCATTTAGCACAACACAATGAACTGGTTCAACTTACAGTCTCGCCGTTGCCACCCTGGGCCGCCTCGACCTTGACACCAACGCGTCCGTCAGCAAGCTTCTCAGTGCCGGTCACCTTGGTGCTCAGCTTGAACTTGAATCCCTGCTTGGAAAGAGTGCGGTGGAAGGCCTTACTATTTGTGTTGAAAGTGATAACGAACAGACGCGTCAATTGGTTGATCTGCCCTTCCTGTAAAGGTAAATGACGACGAATATTGAAAAAAGGTGTCAAACATACGCCATGTCGCTATCCATGCCGGCTCCGATGGCACCGAGGTATTCGACGACAGTAACCTCAGCACCAAGACGCTGCCAAACAGATCCCAATTCGAGACCAATGACACCTGCACCGATGACGACCAACTTCTTGGGAACCTCCTGGAGGTCCAAAGCGCCAGTGGACGTAACAATCTGCTTCTCATCAATCTCAATCCCGGGAAAGCCAGAGGGAACCGATCCAGTGGCAATCAAGATGTTCTTGGCCTTCAAAGTGCTGACTTTACCATCGAGGCCAGTGACCTCGACCTCGTTGGTGCTCAAGAACTTTCCGGTACCCTTGTGGTAGGCAACCTTGTTTTTCTTGAACAATCCCTCGATACCCTTGGTCAATCCAGTAACGGCGGTTGTCTTGGCCTTCAACATGACGGGAAGGTTCAGGGCAACGCTGCCGACTATTTATGCCATTACAAAAGAAAGAATGCGGTATCGAGGTTAAAATACCATTACGTGATCGCATGGCTCCCGATCAAAGACCAGGATATTTTCCAGCTTTAAAAATGATCAGCATGATCTGAAATGCAAGAGGGTCCTGTATGAATGCAAGCAAAAGCAGAAAAGCACTTACCATCAATGCCACGAGACTTGAGATCGTGCTGGGTCTGGTGGTAGATGTGCGAGTTGTTCAGCATGGCCTTTGAGGGAATGCATCCGACGTTCAAGCAGGTACCGCCAAGAGCACCGCGCCTCTCGACACAAGCAGTCTACAGGTACCGGTAGAATGAACTCCAAGCTGTTAGCCTTCAGGTTCTGCTACTTTCAACTATGCCCAACTGATGATTGCTGATGACGTCCGCGTTGCGCAGTAGGCGAACAAGTTGGTGAGAGCGCCCTCAGAACGAAAAAAAAAAAAAAAAAAGGCATTGACAGGAAATCCACGAATGCATGGTATATGTACCTTGAGACCGAGCTGAGCAGCCTTGATGGCAGCGACATAACCACCGGGACCACCTCCGATGACAAGCAGATCTAACTCCTCTATAGAATGGGGATTGTGATCGTTCAAGAAAGCAAAAAAGAAAGAAAGAAAGAAAGAAAGAAAAAAAAGGTTTAGTGGACAGACGCTCTCTGAATATTCTCACGGTGATATTGTGTCCTCCTCCCCAACGAAATCAAAACTGCTCCCTGCTGCAAACGATTCCGAATGGAATGAAAAGGGATTTGCTTCCTGTATTCCCTTTGAACGACGTATCCTTACCGTTGGCGGTGGAGTAGAGTCTGGGCATGGATGTGAAAGCGGGGGCACGGAGGGCCGGTGCATGGCGAGCAGCAATCTATTTGTGTGTGTCCATTGAGGTTATGGGTTTAGTCAATGTCGAGGTGAAGGTGCGATCATGCAGATCAGCACATGCCGACAGTTGTCGATGGCCAGTTGAAATACCTGTGCGAGGGGTGTCTTGGAGGAGGCCAGGCGAAGCATGGTGGATGTCTGTTGTTGGATGGGCGTGTGTGATGAGTGTGGAGGAAAGAGAAGAGAGCGAGCGAGAGTGACGAAGACAAAAAAAAAATAAAGCGTTCATTATCCGATTGCCCTTTTTTGTCACACTGGCCTATCGTTTTGTTATCATGGCCTATTATCGCTGGATCGCTGGGGCAGGAATCTCCGTCCACTTCCGCGCTGTCTTCTGCTCCCCTGGTGCCTTGATCTTAGGGTGTTGTCCCTTCCGCTCTACAGTCGTATCCCACAACCCAGGGACGGGATCCCCCCGCCCCGCGTGGGATATGAACGACAATTGCTCTCCGCCTCTCCTCCTTCCGCGCCGGAATCACCCTTTGGTCCAGTTGCCCTCTGTTACCCTCTTCATTCCCCGCTTCGAAAATGATGATGACGTATAAGAATCTGTAGGAACACCATCTGCATGATCAAGCACCCGCTACACGTAGCGTCCGTCTTGTTCGCGAATGCATTTTTCCGTTTCCCCCTGTGGCCCCTGTGGCAATGACTGCTTGAGATTGACGGACAGGAAAATCCTTTGTGCATTCATCCACTCAACCGGCCATATCTGCTTTCCAGCCGTGCCTGCTCCGTCGCGTATGTTCCTGCCTGGCAAACGGTTGCACTACAGGAACATCCACTAGCAATTGAAGAGTGGATGCATGCGCTTGAGTATCTCTTATGACGCTCCGAAAGAGGCCCCTTTATGGGAAATCGGATGCTATACCCTATAGTACTTGGGGATTCATGGCGTTCGCGCTGGCGGCGTTAGAGTAGACCACACATCCCTGGGCGTGGCTATGCATCGCCTTTGCTGGATCTAAAAAAAAAATAAAAAACACATCAAGTATCATGCAGGTCGATCCTCAATTAGGGTTTAAGGCGAGTGCGAGGGGCGAGGGCGAGGGCGTAGGGTGGATGGCAATTGACGAGGGCAATGAGATGTCGCCATGGGCCACAACATCAATGGGAGGGCATACATGCATTGGATCAACGCCCCCCTCCTTTCCTTACTCCTCTCTCTTTTTTTTCTTTAGTCTGTGCCGTGGCATCAGAGTCGTGCTATTGATATACTTTGTCCACAGTGTTTCAAGCACTTTTACCTGCCAATATCACCATGCAACTCCCCCACAGGACATTCCGACTGCTCCTGGTGCTGGCCCTGGCCATTGCTCAGACACAAAAGACAACTGCCAAACCACAATTCTCCCAAGTTCTCGCGCCAACCTTCGGTATCCAGCCTCCACCCTCCGCGATGTCCCCGCCAGATTCTGTCGCAAAGATGGCCTATGCTTACTCAGACGGAGAGGGGCTTCTTTATATCCAAGGCGGCCAAAATCTCAATGAGACATCCAGCTTTGGATTTTTCTCCTTAGACCTTGAGAAAACTTGGTCTGTGGACGCCCCTGCCTGGACAACCCTACAGCAATCACTCAATTTCTCTGGAACAGCAGGCGCCATGCTCAACCCAGGACAGTTCCTTGTCTTGGACCAAGACCAGGCCTTCGTCTACAATAAGAACGCCGGCACATTTGGTTCTAAATCTCTGCCGCAACAGTTACAGCCCACTGCAACGAGTCCATTAATTGTGACGGATACAGCTGGGCACGTCTTCTTCTTGAACGAGGGAATCGTTCTAGACTCAACACTGACCACAGTGATGGGAACCCCAAAGACGCCCCAGGCAGTTGAGCAAGGCCAGGCAGCTTCATGGTCCACGGCCCTGAACGCCATTTTGAGCACTGTCAGGACCGGAAGCGCGTTGGATGTGCAAATGTTTAGCCCAGACACAGCTAGCACGGGGTCTTGGGAACGGCTCCACACAGCGCCTCAGATCCTGTCACGAGCAGGCCATTGTTTTGTGCCAAGTAAGTGCGATATCCTCTTCTCCAATGAGGATTTCAAACATTGTTGAAAAATGCACTCATCGACATCTTTACTTAGATTTCAATGGCTCAAAGTTTTACCTATTCGGCGGCGTTACCAACAACAGCGCAATCACATCGGGAGATCTCTATATCCTTGACGTTGGGAGTCGTACCTGGAGCCTGGACACGGCCTCGCCATCTCCTAGATCAAACATGGCCTGCGCTTTTCGTGAAGATACATTGGTGATTTGGGGTGGTAAGACTCTCAGGCTTCAAACGTGTTCTTCCAGCATCGTTGGCTGAAAAAAACGCTGTGCGATTGGACTCATTCATAACGTTTGTTTCTCTTCATTGCTCAACCAGGTTACATTGACTATCGCTCACAAACTGTCGCGAACAACACACCTTTGTTATACAATGTCTCCAGCAAACTATGGGTCCATCAATTTACGAAGCCCGTTGTACAGCCCGCTGCACCCACGCCGACATTAGAAAATAATCTCCCTTCGCCGAACTCTCCATCCTCATCCAGTGGCTCTAACATGGGCGCCATCATTGGTGGCGCAGTTGGTGGGGTAGTCTTAGTCGCGCTCTTGGCTGTTCTTTTCGTCTTAAGAAGGCGCAGCGCTCGCTACGCTCGAAATGGCAGTGGATCTCGAGACGGCTTGCAAAAAGGCAATGGAAAGACCAGCGACGGTAGCCATGGTTCGGTGGAAATGGGTGGCTATACGACCATTCCTTCGCCTTTCACTCCAAGCGACACGTTTCAGCAGCCACTCTATACTGACTTGCCTCCGATGAGTCAGCAGAGACAGTACGCACCGCCTATTCCCCCTAAGTCGTTCATGATGCCTACGGATCTAAGAACCTCTGGGATATCACAGGTGCCGATTATCCAGTCTCCCTTCGAGTCAGAGACTGATGCTAGTTCTCAGTATCCTTTGCTCCGCCAGTCTGCGTCAGGCCATGCAGACATGCTTCCACGATCGATTCTGCCGCCACCAGCATTAAGTCCATATCATGATCAACGCATGAGACAAGACGATGAAGACGATCAAGCGAATGGCCTTTCTAGATCGATGGAGCCTGCGACCGTGGACTTAATTCCCATCACTGCCAGTGAGGCTGGAGAAGGTAGCCAGGCATCCAGATCCAACTCTATTGCTTCAACTCGCTCTGTCACACAGCCTGTACCTTCGAGAACAAGGAGTCGAAGATCGGATCAGCAGCAGCGTGAGGCAGAGGAGAGCCGGCGGGACTCGACGGAATCGCTTGAATACTTGGATATATAGTCGTTTGTATGCCATCTCCAAGCCTTATTTGAACTTTTCGACACAAATAATGACCCAGGCATATTCATGATCGGCGACATGCAACTTTCTGCGCATTTGGCACACACGATGCACCTGCTCATACGGAGCGAGCTATACTGCCTGAAGGAGGGAGAGTTTTGCTAAAGCTGGAAATAGGTGGCACCCCGCAATTTCTATATATGCTTAACTTCCATCTTGTTCAGCCTGCAATTGCCCAGCATTGAGGTTGAGACGATGAATATCTTCTCTGGTTACCTGGCTACTGGGATACGGGTACATTGGTATTTATCTCGGATGGATGGGATAGCAAATCGCACGAGCAATGGGTCTCGAACTGAGGACCGTATCCGATCACATTCCTCAGAGTTCCTGGACACCTGCAAGGTTCAATTAGGCCTTGGAGGCAACAAGCAGAACCCCTTCGTTTTCTCCAACTCCACCCCTTCTGCCCTTCCATCCATCTTCAATCCTCCATCTGCATACTAGCCCACCAGACATCCATCCCTCATCGCCCATCGCTCACCACTGCAGGTCTTTCTTTTGTCAAACAGCCCCACCTTTCCTTCTTCTGACACTCTCGTCTCTTGTGTGCATCGCTCGTAATCCTTCTCGCTGTCAGCTGTACCTCAGGTCACACTTCAGCATCATCATGAACAGGAACGGGAATGGCAACGGCCTCCCATTCCACCTCAACAACAATGCTCCTCCCTCGCGGCGTCCTGGCCTCTCCTCAAACCCATCTTCGTCCTCCATTCCCTCATCAAACACCAAGCGTCTCAACCCTGCAAAATTCTTTGTCCTTATCGGTCTCTGTATCGTCTCCTTACTGGCCGTCAGCAAACTCTTTGTACCCCAGGAAGATGACATCATCTCGGAGCCATCGACCCTCAAGGAGACCAGGGACGAAGTCGAGCGGGAGCTGATAGTCCAGCAGATCATGGAGACCCGTAAATCGGCCTACTTGTTCGAAGACTTTACAGACGAAGCACTGCAGCGGGCTGAGAACGAGCATCTCTTGCCTGCAACCGCCATTTTGCTAGGCTGGAAGCGCATCCAGGGACTCAAATTGATTGTCAGCTACCTGGCACGATACCCATACATTAAACAGATCATTGTCTGGAACAACAACAAGGAGATCAAGCTATCAAGACGGGACTTTGAAATGGATCCGAGCTTTGGGCCTTTACCTGAGCTGCAGGTCTACAATGCGGAGGAGAACCTGCACGATTTTGCAAAGTACATGTCATGCTCGTTGGCGAAGTACAAGCACTGCTACTTACAAGACGACGACTGGCTGAACACACACATGGATGCACTCTACACCAACTTTATGACGAGCCCCAGTCTGATCCATACAAACACCTTGCCACTAATCCAGATGGAGCACCGTCGATGGACCTTTACCAACGAAGGTATATTGCAACTGCCTGTTCTTTTTGAGGGTGGTTATTTAAACGGAAGGCTGCGTCTGTTGATTGGTTGATTTCTTAGCGCGCACACACACACAAAGGACCTGAAGCATTCCACAATCCGAACTCTTTCCTAACCTTCGCGAACCCAACCTGGACTTTGATCGATAGATTATAACCTGCACGCAGGGTTTTCGTGGATGGGAACAGGGTCGTACTTGCCCCGGGAGAAGGCCCAGCGACTTTTGGAACAACGTGGCAATACCACCCTTGCAAAGGATCGATTCAAGGTCATCGATATGTATTTCTCCATCTGGACGAACCAGTATCCATATCAGCTAGTTAGTTACTTGACACCTTTGGACCAGAAGAATGGCTGGAGTACAGAGGGTGTCAATGACCATTGGAGCATCGTCTTCAGAAACATGGTAAAGATGTGGACCGTTTTTGAACTTCAACTGACCAGAGAAAGCAAATGCATGACAGGCCATGATGCTGACGATGATGCGTGCTCTTGTGTCTTTTGTTGTTGTCGATAGCTGGATGCCGCTGACCGGCTGTATTCGGCTCTGTTGGCCAACTTTGAGGTAACGGGCAAGGATCCCTTTGTCCGTGAGGAGGAACTGCCATATGTCAAGGATCGGCATACGAGGTGAGAGAGGATCAATGCGCGCACACCCTGACTGGCTTACGAAATCATATATCAGCCGGCTCATATATTAACTTTCTTTGAAATCAAACTCAGGTCACCGTGCTTCAACGACAAGTGTCTGTTCATGACAAGTCTGGATCCTTTCCCTGATCCCAAGGAGGTCGTCTTCAGAGGTGATCTGCAAACGATCGATGAACAGAATGCAAAGTTCATGGAACTGGACTATCCAACCACGGAGTTCTGGAGGACGTTTGCATATATTCACGCAGTCGATAACGATCCCTTGACGTGTTGGAACAGCTTCAAGGTGCCCCAGGCCGGTGACTCGTTTGGTCTCCGGTTTGTGAAGGCAACGACAATAAGACATCTAACGATCACTTCTTCAAAGGCACTGACGAGTCTAGAAGGCCAGATCACGGTGCTAGCATCCAATCAACGCGGAATCTACTGGGTATGATTTATAGTGCTACCTTTTTCTTGTAAGAAAAAAAAAACGCGCAGTTTATGTGTTAGCAACTAACAGTGTTGCTTTATCTTGTTGCAATGGGCGTAGACGACGTGTCATCATACGGCACGATATCCGTTCGCACACACCATGACCCTGGATATTGTCTGCCCACCTGGGGCGACATTACCGGAGGGCCAGTTGCACCAGATCAAGGTTCAACTGGATGCGGATTTAGAAAAGTCGCTCGAGATCTGTGGGATGGATGCTGGAGGCATGGTTCTTTAGGCCGACGGTTTTGTTTGCAAGCGAGGCCACTTATTTACTCTTCATTAATAAAACCAGTGTATACTTTGTGTGCAGTAATTGGTGGCCATACGACGTGAACCAGTCAGGACAATTTCGAAAGACTGCTTATTGCCCAATGGGATGACCGAATGCTGCACAGGGCAATTACTCTCTCACAACGGTCTGCGTATCAATTGTCCACTGCTGGAGGGACATTCATTCCTCCTCTCTCTTCATTGATCCTCTTCAGCACCAACAGAATCACTCCATCCCCATCCCCCTTTTCAGCCTCATCCTTACCCTCCTTCCTTCCTATCGTCCGACTCGTGCTCTTGGGTACTTCCCTACCCAACGCTCTTCCTGATATTTTTATGCACACTCACACCGTCATACAGTAGAATATACCTTTCTCTTGAACAAAAAGCTTCAAGACTACATAGACGCTCTCCTCTTCCCTGTAGGACTCATCTCCAACACTTTTGAATCGCCTTCACATCCTTCTAAATCCTTCAATTTGCTCAAGATGACAGGCAAAGGATACACCTTTTGCTACTATGTGTCTGGCCATGGTAGGTGGTTAGTTGGCCTTGGTATTGCCACTATGCTATCATAGCTGAACTTTAATAGACAGCAATGACGAGAATGGACCTATCTTTTGAACCATCACATCGAGCTAATTCTTATCTGGTTTATTTTATTTTATATTATTTCACGCATATCGCTTCCTTCCTTCCTTCCTTCCTTCCTTCCTTGCATGAACAGGATTCGGCCATGCGACTCGGGTCAACCAAATCATTACAGAGCTCCTACAGTCAAAGACGGTCGTTGATTCATTCACTGCAGTTTCCGATCCGGTTTTGACACAGTTGAATACAGTCGTAAATGCCTCGGGGACGACTGAAATCATGACGACGACGACGACGACACTGGTCACGACCACGACCACGACCACAACCACGACAACGGCCACGACGCCTGATACGACGGCGAACGGCAGCATGTCTCGGCATACCATCTACATTGTCTCGGATGCACCCCAGTTTATCTTTCAGGATGTGATTGCATTAGGAGCTATTTACCGAAACGCCAAAGTGGATGCCGGCGTCGTGCAACCTCTGGTAAGCCTTGGAACCCGGGGGCATCATTAACCTTTTTTTTTTTTTTTTTTTTTTTTTTTGAATGTCCGTATGCAATTTGACATTGTAAATTCTTTTATATTGCAGGCGTATTCAGTGGATCGGCAAAAGACCATTGAGGGCGTCAAGAGCTTTTTGGCAAGACGTGAGGAGATGATTCGGCACGAAGTCTCATGGTTACAACAGGTCGGCGCTAACTGCGTCCTTGCCGACGCTCCCTTCTTGCCATGGTAATATTAAATATCCCCCCCCCCCTTTTTTTTTTCTGCCTTTTTTCTTCTAACAAAACAACCTGATAAAGACACAGCGGTGACGAAGAGTAGGCTCACTAACTTTATTCCCCTGGTCTACAACGACAACATCAATAGTGCTGCAGCACACGCTTACGGGATCCCGGCATGTTTGATCACGAATTTCACATTTGATGAGGTCTATCGGTTCCTGAGAGAGGGCAATCCCATGGATAGGGACGTGATTGCATGTGCAGATGCTGCGCTGGAAGACTATAAGAAGGCGTCGTTGCTGCTTCGGCTACCAGGTTCAATCGACATCCCAGCGTTTGCGGACGAAATCTCGATGCTGGAAAATAGACCAACTATTCAGAAGCTGTCCTGTTTGAACGCGGATGATACGAAGGAGACCATGGGCCTACAACTCGGCCAGCAGAATGCAGATCATGACCAGGATCGAGAACTTCATCTTCAACACCTAGGAGCCACTAACGGAACATTGAATGGTGAACAGCAGGGTCAGCAGTCACGAAAGAACCCGCAGTTATCTGTCATTACCTCTGTATTCAGGGCAGGAAAACCGGGGCCGCTGCAGCGACGCGTGATTGATGTACCCCTGGTGGTCCGCAAGGCGATCAATTCTCGCGAGGACGTGCTCCGGTCGCTTGGTGTGGATGAAGAGACGATCAAGACCAAGAAAATGGTGTTGGTTTCGTTTGGGGGACAACGGTTGAAGCAAGGATGGGGGAACCCGTTACCGGAGGGCTGGATTGGCGTTATTTGTGGATTGCCGGTTTCGCATGAGTTGCCGGATGGATTCTATAGGAGTCCACATGGCGTCTATGTGCCGGATTTGACCCACGCGGCGGATATTGTCATTGGAAAGCTGGTATGTTCAAGTCGGTATCCCTCCCTATGGTGCAGCAAGCCGGTTATTGGAGATTCAGCTAACAGCTTTCTTCTTTTTTTTTTTTTTTTTTTTTTTTTTTTCTCTCTCTCTCTCTCTCTCTATTTCTCTCTCTATTTCTCTCCAGGGATACGGAACTTGCTCAGAGTGCATTGCGCACGATACCCCGTTAATCTATGTTTCCCGACCGCAGTTCATTGAGGAGCAAGGTCTTATCAAGTTGATGATCAACCACGGCCTGCCTGTAGAAATGACTGCCGAGGAGTTTGAGACGGGACTCTGGCAACGGTCGATTCTGGAAGCGGATCGTCTTGCGGAAGAGGAGCGGGAAGGGCGCAAGTTATTTCTGGGGACATGCGATCCTGATACTGCAGCTGCTGTCGTCCGTCGAAGGAGATCGTCAGCTGGGTTTTCGATTTCGTCGTTTGCATCGTCCTCGTCGACGTCGTCCTTGCACCGCCGGGCGTCCAAGGTCAAGTCATTGGCAGAGTCCGTGAACATGGGAGAGATGGCACGTGGGGGACCAATTTCACCGCCGGTGAACGATGAGGATTCGCCAATGTTGTCCCCGGCACGGTCCAGGAGACGGTCCGCTTCGATTTCTTCGCTGACCTCGGCCACGATTCGGTCCAAGGTTATGAACACCGCTGGTAACAGTAGTGCTGGCAATGGGACAGATAAGTCAGCGCGCGTCGGGAATGGTAGTGCTGCTGCAGATGGGCGGGGACAAGACCTGGTGATGATGGAATCTGAGAGCCCAGAGCCAGCGGCCTGGTTCGAGAGACGGATACCCCATGACGGTGGAAAGGTTTGCGCACAGCTCGTGGAGGAGTACATGCGGATATGGGACGAGTATGGCCCCAGAAGGCAGTAGCGACTATATTTATTGTATTCGCGGTGCACGGTCCATTAGTAACAACGCGATGCACGCACAGCAATAAAAATCCCTCCGTGCCTGGAAAGACCAATTTTGGTGGTACAACTATCGGTCAAGGACCATGGACCTGAACGGCCATTTATCTTTAGCGCAGCACCAAACGCAGATGTTATTCTTTCCTTTATATCAGTTTAGTCCTGTGAATCTGTCACATCTAACTAACATAGCAAAGATTTTCCATAGTCGTCCTTTCTACCAAAGTAGGACCGATCCATAGTCCCCGGAAGCCAGGTCAAGCAGCCAAAGCGTACCAACGCACCTGTTGAGTTCAAAGGCCTACCTTCCTTGATACTATCCTGGTTTTTTTATATGCTGTATAGAGCCGAATTGAATTGACCGGCGGCGCCCATTTCGAACTTGGACTATCTACTTCAGAAAGCCATTTGGATAGTATATTATAATGCTAAAATTATGGTTGGATGTGCTTGTCGATCACCGGCTTCACGCAGTGTTCAAAAACAGAGGCTATCGCCCCCATCTGGAACCCTGAATCAGTGTAGACGGCCCCGAAAATGGCTTCGACAAGGTCACCAAAATCCTTGGGGATGTTTAGCCCTTTGAGGCGGTTAGTGAGGTTCATCTCAGGCACCGCAGCGAAACTAGTATCAATTGCAGTTGCTCCATGTCCCATCATCTCTATCTGCTTCTTGCGCCCAAGGATGTGGCGATGAAAACGCAGCTCTGTTGCTACAATCGCCAGGAACTTGTTCGTTGTGATATGCCTCATGAGTAAGTTCAACTGTTCGGCAGGCTTGTGTGGGTAGAGTGAAGACCAATGCTCGAAGGCAAGGATATCCAGCGCACAATCTCCAATGAGCTCAAGGCGCTGAAATTGAGGGCTTGTGAGGTTAAGTGCCTGACTCAGCAGGCTCACATCCTCAAAAGAGTAGCCTATTGTCACCTCGATCGCACGGGTGTCCTCGAAAAGTAACGCATTTGGGAAAAGAACGGGACTCTCTGACAAGCTCTTCGTCAGCTCGTATTGTCTCGCGAAATCCTCCCACGCATGCACTGATTTCAGACATGGAACAAGACTTGCAACCTTCGCCAGCACATGTTCGAGTCCATTTTTTTGGTATGCTTGACCGATACTCGCCTTTGAGCCTCGAATATCTTCGGTATTGCTGATAAGAGCGGCGTTGCAGATCATGCCATCCTTACTGATGGTGATACGGCCCGGTCCCAATGAGAAATCTTGCACGAAGAGGTAAAGAGATACCGACAACTTTAAGAACGCGTTTCCTAAAGCACGTGTGAATGCTGACGCGGGATCGACAGGGGGGACAGGGAGGACAAGTGGAACAGGGGCGGGATCATTGGAGGGACAAATGATAACAGCTTCATAGGCCTTGTTGTGGTTGACTGCGCGTGAGCGGACGTGGTTCGGGATGTCGGCATGGGTATCGAACCTATACATGATATATATAAAGAGAGGGGAATAGAAAGAAAGGAAAATCACGCTAGAGGACTCTGTCTACCTTGACTGTTTCATTCCTTATACCTTGGGGCATAGAAAAAAGATTCTGGTTTTTGTACCTAATGAGTACATCGCACTTAACCTTCTTCAAGACGAAGTCGTCATAGGCACCAGTGGTGAACAGCAAGCGCCTACCACCCTGGGCAAACTCATTCAGCACTCGCATTTCTCTCTCAGTTTGCTCCTGATGCGGACCAAAATTCATCCTTCTGGTCCTGCGGCCAGTTAGCACTGAGGATCGGACGGAGATCAGGCCAAACTCCTGTCCGAATTGCCTCACCATCTCCTGTAGAACGCACGCATGCACCTCATGCTCGACGAAAACGACTACGCTAGCACTCAGCACATTGCCGTAACACGACTGAAGGACCTCAATCAGTCTCTTCAGTTTGTTCCGAAACAAGTGCTTTGATACTTGCGGCATCTCTCCGAGCGAATCAGCAATGGCGTTGAGGCGCTCTATTTCCTGATCGCTCGCATGAGCCGACGTTAACGCGGTTCTCATATCTCTGGTCTTGAGGATCTTCAGTACGTGACCCCAAGTCGCCAGCGAACACCACGGTCCGAGGTTCTCTGCGGCGCTTTCGAACGCCAGAGATGCCCACTCGAGGCCATGGCCTCTGCAGAAGCCCCAAAGGGTAGAGCAAGCCTTCCTCTGCTGTAGAGGGACATGTCTTCGGAAGTCTCCGAAGGGGTCGTCCTCCTCCTTTTCAGCATCGTACCAGGCGATTATATCGCGCGGGCATTGAACCAACCACTTGAAATGAACGTCATTAGTGGTGGCGGTTCGAGCAAGCAATGGGAGGCTCCTGTCCTTGGGGATCGCATGTCCATGGCCGTCAACTAGCAAGGGGAACTCGCGCTCCAGGACCTCATCGAAACATAACAATAACGACTCGGCTCGGCTGTTCCCTGTCAAGTTAAGGATATCGAATGTATGCTATGTTTAGGCCATTGTGATTGAAACAGAGCAGACGCAAAGACCGTGAGTGAGTCGAGCAACGCCACCAAGGATACACGTATGTCTTTCTTTTCCTGCTCTTTTTTTTACGCGGGTTTCTTTTTGTGAAGATATAAAGATATAATTTACCACTCGAAGGTCCAGTAAAGGGTGTCTCAAAAGGCTTACGGCAATACTTTCTGAAGTGATTATGACATCGTGATGTCTTGCGAGACTCGACCACGCCTCCGCATTAAACGTCTCAGCATTTGTCGCGTCCCAAACCACGGCAATTCTATCGGTCCACTGGCCCTCAAGAGTGGTGGCCAATAGGTATGTGTAAAGAGCACGAGCGTTATGAGAGATAAAGAGGATGACCTCCTGATAGCAGAGAGAGGCAAGGAAGAGAAGGCGCGAAGGAACGAAGGAGCAAAGTGGAGGATCAGAAACATGTGACATAAAAGCATGATGAGTTGGTGCCAGTTACGGTTCTATTAACGTCATACAAACCGGTAGCGATGATTCGATACCGTACCTGAGTGCGAGGCTGTGGACACATGGTCGCAATCGCGTATTGGTAGGTCATGATTGCTACATTTGCATCATTATAGAAGGGATCGGTGGCCGCAACGATGTGGGCGTGGATGGCGATGGGGGTGATGCTGCCCATGATGTACGTGATCGTAGCTGAAAGTGCGGAGGAAGCAAGCGAGGGTCAGTCAGAGCTGAAAGAGCTTTGAGGTCCACAACCGTGAGGAGGAGGAAGGGAAAGAGAGTGAGCGGAGGAGGAGGAGCAAGAGTTGGGAGGGTGCAGGAGGGGTTTTATGGCCTCCAACGCCGCCAAGCAGTGTGAGGGAGCACTATTCTATTCAATTCGATCCATATTTATCAGTGATTACTACAGGGGTAAAGTGAGTACACGGTTGTCCATGTGCCTTGGACGACGGAAACAGCCCTGGTCATCGCATAAAAAAAAAAGAGGCAACGCCTTTTCTCTATCTGCATGATCATTTTAAAATCTGTTCTAACTGGACTAAGTGGGCAGTCCGAAGGCAGTTTACCACCAGCGGAGATGAGAGAGAGAATCGAGAAAGACGACTGCAGCTGGGAGGAGTAGCGCTGTTTCCTCATTTCCTCATTTCCTCATTTCCTCATGGTCAGTGCCTCACACAGTGTTGTCATACACCTCCTTCTTTTATTGGCATTGGGCCATGGATCTGCGTGGGAAAAGAGCAGGGAGTCAAGGGGGAGCTTAAGAAAGGACCGTTCTTCATATCAATAACATGTATTCTAACTACTACTTGCTTTAAATATCATCTCCGTCGAGAAAAAACACCATTCGACACTGTTCTGCAAACAACCTCGTTTTCACACCATCGAAGCAGTGACGACTAGACCAAGTAGATCGAGCTGACAGACAGAGCAAACTATTCGATCCATACTGCGCGTGGCCCATTTCGCTGCATCATGCATTCATTAACATGCACCACAGACCAACAGCAAGCACCAACTAAAAACGCGCAGCAAATATGAAAGCACGTGTGTGTTCATTTCTATACATTGAAATACACACTGCGGCGCTCTTGAAGAAACAGCACCCCTAATAAAAATCCCTGGGTAGACCATTATCTTCCAGCAAACACCTTCCTACGTCCTTTGGTGGTGCTTATTCGTCATCGTTTCCGTTCGCTCCATGAGTGTCCTCGTTTGGTCTTGGTCCTCACACATGGGATTTATTCTGCATAGTACCACACCTTTAACGCACCAGTGCATTTGGTGGCCAAAGGACCCATCCATGGACGTACACCTGATCCGGTACATGAGGCACGTGTTAGCTGCAAATCACCGGCTGACTTCCACGTAAAGCCAACAAAGATCAGCTCTACATGCGCTTATTCATCGTAATGTCTGATGAATCGTGCAGAATGACCAAAGTACTAGGTTTGACCCTGAGCTTGAAACCATGTCTGCAAAAAGATTCCTCTCGTATGGGGACCCATGGTACGGACACGACACACGACCTACGACGCACAGACATGGCAATAGGCAGAAAAGGATTATCGTACACGGGAGTGGCCTTTAATCTACTTTGCATGGCTGTATACAAAAATAAAGACACGCTGTGGATCAGGCGCTTCTAAAGCTTATCGATTAGGGAGCGCAACGCCAGTGAGAGCTGAGCCCATTCACGTAGTACTTGAAAGATTTGATTTTGGGCGCAGCACGAAGTCCATACAGCCTTACAGTTGTTTCTTCACAAACCATCGAAAGATGTTGACCAAGTCGCGATGAATAGAGACCATCCCATTCGTCAGACTGATTTTATCAATTGTCGTGGAAGAACATAGGCCTAACGAAAAAGCTTCATTTTTTTTAGGTGTGAGAAAAAAATGTTATGAAAACGTCCTAGGACAAGCTAATGCCAAGTCCATGTACCTGTAGAAGGGGATTGATTCGACCCATGATCCGCAAAATGCTTCAAGTTACAGGGTTACCCAGGCACGAGGAACTACCATTCCTTTCTCTTCTTGAAACTATACCGCCATAATATGATTGTTTGTCGTTTTTCAACAATACTCATTAACTATTTTATTAAATAACATCCTCCTACATTGACAGCCCCATGAAAAACTTGCCCACAGTGCGCTATATACAGCGCTCAAAGGCTTCGGCTAGAGCCTCAAGTAGGGAGTTGGAGCTGGAGCATACTGCTCTGAATACGAATTCAAGTAAGCCGTCAAAGTCCTTTAGGATATTCAGGTTCTTAAGATATTCCCCAGGCGAAACCATAAATGGCACGCCGATACTCGAACTTTGGGGCAACCATCTCTAACCACTACTAACGCACCGATCCTGTGGGAAATCAGCCTTTAGAACTCTTTTCAATGGTTCAAAGGCCCCTTGAAAGATTGCTCTTGTAGATAGGATATGGTTGCACTGACTGGAGGCCTTTGGCACTTCGATCCTAACTGCTTCAACTCGAGATGGGGGTTGTCATGGTGCAGGCGTATGACGACAGCATCTTAGGCTTATTCTCGAGTGAGCATACGCGACAGGAAGTACAGTTTAAGGCTAGACTAATTCTATGCCTCTACGTTGTACATCTCGGCTCCAGTTGCGTCTTTGCCGCCTTAGTCTTGACGTTGGTCATCTCTTCATCAAACAACCGGACTACGCGTGTGTCCGCAGTGTGCGTGGCGTCGCCTACGACGGAATGGACGATGCTCCACCAGCCAAGCACATAAACTAATGGTACAGGAAAAATGGTTGGGATGAATGTGCGCTGTATGCAGTTCTGCAAACATCCTGCCTTGCGGCAATGTCTTTGCGGTACGTGACCTCGCGGTGGAGTGATTTGCGCACTACCTCGATGGTGTACTGGTCATGAAAACCGCCAGAGATCTGTTATCGCGAAAGAGATCAGCATTGTGATGATGCGTGCGTTGATCTGATCCGTTAATTTATTTCAGCCATCCCCCATCCCCAAGGACGAAGGAAACGAGGGGGGGGGGGGATGTATGGATGATAATGAAAGGAGTGTTGATGAAGATAAAATCGGCGATGTGTACGAATGGAGGATCGCAAAGGTGACCGAGCAACAGATATAGGTCGATAGCGATGTAGGAACAACAACTGCCAGAATTGACACGAAAGGGTTGAGAGAGATGAACCAAACGACTAGAAGCCGTGGACTTGCCTTGGGTGCTATTTTTTTTGTAGACAATCGATTGACCATGCGAATTAATCAGCCTACTGCAGAGCTTCCTCTCCAGCAAAGCAAAACAAGCAAGTAAAGGCATCAACAATAGGATATTCACGCAAGTAAATATCAGGGTGGGGCTCTAAAAAAAAAAAAAAAAGGAAGAGGAGAGGGAGGAGGAGGGTTATTGAGACGCCTTGATAGATCCAAGTCGCGTCATTCTTTAATATAATCGATAAGCGAATATGAGTATCTCAATTAAGAAGAATAAGTGGCCAAGGAGGATGTAACCGAATGCTCGCGCGCAAGAGTCGCGCTCTACTTCTGGAGTAGCTATTGGATATCCTACGATCGAAGGTGAGAACGTGGTGATTATATGTTTAGAAAATTAGTCTTCTGGCCAAGTCCGTGGAGGGACATGAAAAGTCTCACCGTTTATCACAACCAACAACTCGACATCAGATTTCATTAGCAGAAGTATATGCTTTCTCAAAGTTTGTACATGAAGGCCCATAGTACAATGAAAAGACCTTTTTTTTTTTTTTTTTTTTTTTTTTTTTTTTACACTGAAGCCTGATGTCTCTGGGGGTATTGCAATGTAATAAGTGTACGCGTGCATATATAATGACGCGTTTTGGTCATACTCGTATAAATTCATTGATGTTTTCAGTTTTCGTTACCTTGAGGACAATGTTCGTAAGGTCCACTTTGCGTGCACGATCCGTACCCTACAGGCTGGTGCGGAGTCTCGTAGCATGCATGATGGTGTGGAGGGCAATGCCCTTGGCGTCCGCGGTGTGCATGATTTGAGTAGTGATGACCATGGTTTGGGTGGTGATGACCACGATTTGGGTGGTGATGACCATGGCCGTGATTGTGTCCGTGTCCTTGGTGAGGTTGCGAGTACTTAGAACTACTCAAAGGTTTGAAGTCCGCATACGCGGGTGGGTCGATGGTTACTACGTGAGAGTGGGAGAACGAGTCCGAGGGTCCTGCATCCATGTGTGAATCACAATGAGAGTGAGTGTGGGAGTCGTCGGCGACGCTGTGGTGGGTGTGATCTTGGTCTGACATTGAGGAGATGCAATTAGTGGCGCTGCATCGTATTTATACGCCCTTTTGCGAGCTGTGTGCTGAACAGTCTTTCTAAAGTCGACATAACCTTAATTTATTTCTACTATGTATCTCAAGAATCCTTGGTTTGCTTGCGCTTGGCATTCTGACTTTGTCGCACAAGAAGCAGGGCGCTCAGGTTGAGGCGGATGACAAGATATCTGATCCAAATGGGGACATGCTTGGGTTTCTTCATAGTTTATGCACATGTACAGGACGATCCTTTATTTATTTATTCTCGATGTCTACAAGGGTATGCCATCACGATATGAAAGACAGAACACAATTAGACGACAGTACCCGTTGTAGAAAGTTCCTCCGTATATCGTCTCGACAGCTTTTGGGGAAGAACAGGTCCAGTTCCTCGATTCTCTACAAAGGGCATCCAGTTGATTTGGGGCCGATATGCCGACTTTTTGGCATAGATATGCTGCATAGTCGACTCCGGCATGTAATTGAACAGCACATGTCGCGCCACTCGCTGCCAGAACGTCTAGGTGTTACAACATGCCGATATCGGACGCTTAGTGTTTGCAAGCAAAGCATTCGAAAATGGCGTTTAAGAGGGCTTTCATCTCATTGTTTACCTGGCCGATGGAAATTTTGGACATCATCTTGCTATTCTCCAGCATGGCCTTTGCACGAGGGTAGCGCTGGTCATAGTAATCCTGGAATGCTGCAGTAATACTCTGGGGTGTGATATCGACAAGGTCATATAGGCAGTTCGCCAGGACAACGGCGTCCTGCATGGCATTCACGGCGCCCTGTCCACCGCCCGGCAGCATCTGTATATGGCAAGGCATGCAGTTGTGACCAATGTTAGAGTGATACTCGCGATTTTTTTTTTTTAGTAAAAATCGCCTAGATAGAAGAAAGCGCACAGTACCTTGTGGCAGGCTGCCATCAGACGGAGGAGAAAAAAGCAGAAAATAAAATGCGCGTTAGTAGAAGATCAATGCAGAACGTCAAGTTCATGTTCAAGGTCAGAAAGGCAAGAAATACCGCTTACAGTCACCGATCAGAACTGTGCAGCCATAGTACCATGTATCGAAGAGCTTTTCTTCAACAAAGACTTTCGAGATGAGTTCATGAGGGGTATCGTCCACCAGGTCGCCCATGATGCCGCCAAAGGGACACGGGAGATCATAAAACTCCTTGATGTATGCGTCGCTCGTCTCAGCGCCCCATTCCGAGTTCCGAAATTGTTGTTTTCTGGCCTCCTCTACACTTGCGAACTGCGTTACGAACCCCCAGCATATTTGGTTATCGGGGGCGTTATTCGCACTCCACTAGTATACGACAAGAATAAGAGTGCATCGTTGATTAACATGTGCATGTCTCCATAGGACACATTGTGTTGTGCAGCTCCATGGATCGTTCACTCACAGCACGGAGATTTCCACCGAGGATTGTAGAAAAGTGAATGAATGGGTCCTTGAGCTGGGGATATTTCGATGGATCTTTAGGTGTAGCGACACCAGTGACCAGAGTAAAGCCGATCGAGTAATCTTCAGTATCGGATGTAGGGAGCAAACCTTCTTGGTTGAGGTGCTTGAACATGCTCTGACGCACACCACTATGGATACCGTCGGCCCCAATCAGGATGTCTCCCACGTAGATGGTCTTGTCGGCGCAGTGAATACGGGCCTGATTGTCCTTCTCGTCAATCTTGAGGACTTTTTTACCCATGAGGACCTTGTGCGTAGGAATCTGCTTGAGTAGGATCTCATAGAGTCTGGGTCTCGGGAAGGTGTAATCCTCGTAGCCAGTACTGGAATATGTAGAAGGTAGGGAGCGAGGGAAAGAGAAAACGTTAACGGCTATGGAATGAAAAGAGAAATGAGGGCACTATTTTTTTTTACCTGAATAAAGATATGAACATACATCTCTTTTCGGCCTTTCATGCCAACGGAGCCTATCTTTTTCATTTCAACGTTATACATGTCGATTGAAGTGGCTGGCAATGCGATCTTCTTGAGGTCTTCTAGGATCCCCAGCTGTTCAAAGACTGGGAGAATGTTTGCACCAAGGGTCATCACCGACTTGAGCAATATAGGCGGTTTTAGATCGATCGCGCTTGTCTGGCGTATACGAAGTGTGAGCTGAGTAATGTTCTTACCCCAAGAGCTTTGATCGCGGAGGCCCTCTCAAAGATAGTGTATGGTACATTCATACGCTCGAGCAGAGTGCCCATCAACAGGCCAGCTAGACCAGCGCCCACAATGAGCACCATGGGCTTTCCTTTGGCTGTATCTGTGGTATCAGAGGACGACATTTTATTTACTGTTTTCAAAAGAAAGAGTGGAGGTTGAATGGGGATGAAGCAAGAATGGAAGATGAAGAGATGAGAGATGGGATCGAACGTCTGCTGTTGTTTGTGTCTGTCTACCATGCTTCCCTGGTGTTCCCCCTCTACCGAGGGTCTGTACCCAGGATCCAACAGGGCTGGGCACAGAATTCATACGCCTATCGGAAATATGCACAACATTCATTATTACGATCGATGGCACGAGAAGGTACACGGGCGACATGAGCGATTTAGACTAACATATTTGTCGCTGTTACTGTTGTTGTTTGTTTGTTTCTTTTCTCTGATCTTTTTTGCTGAGGCTATCACCCGCAGAGATTGTCTTTCAGGAACCGTGCCCCCTCCTCCTGGCCGCCTGTTTGTCGCTCTGCGGGGCAGGAACAACGCGCATTCTTTGACGCCAATCAGACAACTAGAAAGACGACATCTGCACCAGTGCGTGATTCATAATAATGCACAGCAAGCCGAGTTTTCTTTTTCTTTCTTTCTTCGGTCCTTCGGTCCTTCTCTGCTTTCCTTTCACTACTTACCGCCATCCCTTCCAATTGGGGAGGGGTTTCTACAGAGCACTATGCTAACACGACTCTGCAAGCGAGGAGAATGCTGGCATTGCGCTGGGTTACGATGGATATGACGATCATTCAAATAATTTAAAAGCACACCCGTTTTCAATCGAGATATTCTATGAAGCCAGGGAAATGAATGAGTGCATCGGATCTTCTCTAGAAGGGACTGAAGATGCCTTTCTGGTGGGGTTCGATGACATACTTTTTGATGCAGTATTTCTGAGAGACTGACTCGGCTAGTCTATGTTAGCGCTATGCCCTGGATATGATTGACACAGGAGCCAATCTCCGCAGGCCCCTGCTTGGCCTATGTTTGGAGCAGGGCTGTTTGATTCGTCTGGCTGCAGCTTGCTGCATATTCGCATACCCTGTACCACCATCTGTACCACCATCTGGGCCCCATATTGGTACACCCTACTTCATTTCATCAGCTGTTTCCTACTTTCCCTCCTTGTGTCTCCATCGTCCTCGCCCTTCACCCGCCTATTCTTCACACGGCCATACTATCCATCCTGGTTCACTCCAATATCCCTGATTCCACTTCCTCCATAGTCTACTAGTCTACCGCACACACGGCAGAAAACAAGTGCAGTGCAGCATAAGAAGGATTGCCTTTTTTCCTTCATCAGTCGTGCTAGGAAGAACGATTCTCTTCTCTGATCATCCTCCGACCATCCTCATCACTCATCTCTTCTCCCTCACTTAATCTCTTCCCTCTCTCCCTGTTTGTCATTCACCGCCCTGCCTCTGACCACCACCTCTTACTCATCACTCCATCAGTCGTGCAGGAGAGCCTCAAAGGGATTTGTTTCTTCGTTTCTTAAGGTCGATTGAGTGCACCAGACATGTCGGACTACCAGAGCCGCTATCTGGTGCAGACCTTCAACGGCCTGGTAACCCAGATTGGCCTCAGTGTCGGTATCAGTGTTGTCTGCATCGGCCTCTTCGAATGGAACCGACGCAAGAAGACACTCCAGTACCTCTATTCACCCCGCTGTCGACTCCAAGTGTAAATACATTTCGTCAATTCATATCCATTGTTGTGCCTGGCATCATGTTTTATGAACGGAGTTTTCGCCAACTGTCAAAATCTATGCATCTCGCCCACAGCCCATACCTTGGCTCCTATCTCCCGCCTTAATTGTCTTACGTGTAAATTAGAACACATCTAACGTTTTTACGCACTTCATCATATTCACAGGAACCCGTCGCCACCAACATCGATGAAGTTTCTAGGATGGATAATGCCAACGATAAAGCTCTCAGAAGAGTTCTATATCGCCAATGTTGGATTAGACGCAGTCATGTTTTTGCGGTTCCTCAAGATGTGCCTTCAGTTCTGTGTTTTCAATGCGGTCGTTGCCGGCATTATTCTTTTCCCAATTCATTACACAGGTGGAGGCACCTCTACGGAGGTCCAGCGGTTGAGCATCGCCAACCTCAAGGACGGCTCGGACTTGTTGTGGGCCCATGTCATCCTTACATATGTGGTCACTATCACCTGGATGTTCCTTCTCTTCAAAAACTATTGGCAATGGATGGATCTTCGACGAGAGTATACTCTTCAGCGCATTCGGCAAGGCGAAATCGCAGAGCGGTCCATTTTCATCAGTCACCTACCATCCAACCTTCGCTCGGATGCTGCCTTAAAGCAGTATTTCGAATCGCTCAAGATGGGTCCGGTCGAGTCTGCGACGGTGGTGCAGCATTGCGGTCGCCTCAGTCGAAAGATTGACCGGAGAGAAAGTGCTCTGAACATGCTGGAGAAGGCGCACATCGAACTGGCGCAGGCGGCCATGGAGAGCATCAAGCGTGGAAAATTTCTTGTGGACTCATCCCATATAGCAACATTGCAGCGACTCCTTTTGCAGCAGTCGAGTAAGGACTCTACGGCAATTCAAAGCACGGATGGCGCAGTGTTAGGGGAAATGGTGCAGGGCCTACACAAGGATAAGAAGCAGTACTGCAAGGTGCGCAAATCTATCTTTGTCCACAAACGGGAAGCCAAGGCCCATTCCAATTCACAACCCCAGCTCAACGTTCCGCTCTCAGCTCTATCACATCATTCCGACATTATTGACATTTATGTCCACGGTGGAGAGGAGACGGGACAGCAAATCGGATCCAGCATGTCCCTGGCTTCACCACGCCTCACTATCTGGGATGCACTCGCAGTGATAGATCGTCATGTTTTGGACAGGCTTCAGCCGACAAGGCCAGCAAGCCGATTCAAAGGAAGCGATCGTGTTAGGTCGATCGATTATCTCGTCAAGAAATACAACAAGCTGGATCGCAAAGTTGGAGAGCTGCGGGACGGGTCTTTGCGTTACAAGTCGACCTCCTTTGGCTTTGTCACGTTCAAGCATCATTTGTCTGCTCAGTTGTGTGCCCAGGCCAAGATCGACTCGAGGCCGCAGGGGCTGAACGTGCGTTTGGCGATGGAGCCACGAGATGTGCTTTGGAGCAATTTGACGGCCAGCTTTCGAAACCGGTTCTCGAGATCTGTGGTTGTGAACCTGAGCATCTGGTAAGTTTGCATAGATAGGGAAAAACCTGCCTCCGAAGCATATCCAATTGCTCTCATTGTTCATTTTGACAGATTGGCATGTAATTCATCATGCACCAGAGGGACGGTTCTAAACAACTTTGATTCTTAAATTAATCATAGGGTTCTGATCGTCTTTTGGATCTTCCCCACGTCGTCCTTCTTGATCATGACTTCCATTGTGGCCCTGTCGGAAAAGTTCAAGTTCTTGGAGCCTATTCTGAGGGCGTCGCCACTAATGCAGTCATTGCTGGAAAACGTCCTGCCCATCGTTTTCGTGACCATCTTTCTCGCCCTGGCGCCCATGATCATTCTTGGTAAACATGTCATTACTGCTATCGCAATCTGCAGAGTACGTAAAGAAGACCATACTGACATTCGAGCACCTTTGTTCCTGCACAATAGAAATTTCAAAGCAGGAGCTGCCAGTGTCACATTCAGCCCTAGAGGGAAATGTGTTCCGTCGCTACTATCACTTCCTGATCTTCAACGTACTCTTTGTCTTCATGATCGGAACCGCCATCCTCAAGTCAATCATTACCTTGATCCAGCAGCCAACCAACATATTTACGATGCTCGCGGATAGCTTGCCCGCTGGATCGACATTCTTTGTGTACTATATCATCTTCAACACCTGCACACATGCATTGGAGCTCGTCCAAATCTGGGCGCAGCTGGTGATTCACGCTTTTGTCACATCTCGCAAGCTGACCCCAACACCTCGGTCCCTTCAACGAGCCAACACTCCGTGGGCATTCCAGTACTACTATTATTACCCACAGCTCATTCTCGCCATGGTCATCACATTCATCTATGCGCTCATCAACCCATTGATTCTAGTCGCTGCCGTGGTTTACTTTGCGTTTGCACTCCTAGTCTTCAAACATCAGCTCGCGTACTGTTACATCCGAAAGTACGAGAACAGCGGCAAGCTTTTTCGACACGTCTTCCAGTACACAACGGATGGACTCATCATCATGCAGATTACAATGGTCGGTGTCCTCTGGCTAAAAAAAGCCCTGCTCTCAGGATTCTTTGTCGTTGCCTTGATGGGTTTCACTATCTATTTCAAGATTCTATGTGGCGATCTCTTCAAGTCAAGGACCAAATTCTTGCCACTCGATACAGGATTACGGAATTTTGACAACGAATCGCCGTACAACATGAATGAGATCCCTTTGTCCCCAGAAGTGCATTCGGCCCGTTCGAGCGCCATCATGGAACCCGGTCTGCGGCGAAGGAAGATTGGTGGAAATAATGGCGATGCAGAGCTGGATGAAATACTACCTGCCGCCGAGGGAGCGCCTGGAAAAGTATTTGTGGATAAGGCACATGCAGAGGCTCTCACAGACATTCACACTGCTTCACGATCCAGTCCATATGAAAAGCAGGAAAAGGGTGATATGTCAGACAAAATCGCTGGAACGATCACTTCAACTGTTGTGGACAGCGACTCGGCTGCCAAGCTGGACGAGAAGGCCGAGAGGGCTGAGAAGGAAACAGAATACCATACAACTACAAGTGGATCGGACCTTGGCTATTCGGACACAACTGTAGATTTTCAGGATGTCAAGGCTCCTTGGAACGCATCCAAGCAGTCATTATCGCCCAAGGTTCATACCAGTGACGTGATCGACAACTCTTCATCCAAACACAGCTTCGCCCGCGACATCAAGTTGTTCACAGTTGGCGGCAATCCGATAAACGGGCCGATGGATATAGCCAGAGAGTTTGCACAACGAGAAGAAGAGTACGTCAGTAGCCCAACTGGTTTTCTGGACGAGGATGGTTTTTATCTGGAGAACTTTGGCGCCCAAAGCTCAAATATGGTCTGTCAACCGCTGACATCCCATTTTGAACATAAGCCATGCAAGCATATCTACCAAGACCGCACCTCGGACTTTGAGACGTACATTCACCCTGCATTACTCAAGCCTCTGAATCGAAAGCTCTGGCTTCCGAGAAATCCTCTCTACCAGTACTGGGACTTGGATGACACCATGGAGATCGATTTTGCGCTGGTCAGCTCGGCGAATACGGGCAAACTTGAGTTCCATATCAAGGACAAGGAGAATGAGCCCATGCAGAGTCCCGCTTTAAGCGCGGGTCACCAGCAGCAGCATCAATATTACACTCAGCGTAGGGGCACGGTCGGATCGAACGCCGACAATGGCATGAGTGTCTCTCTACCTTCGCCGTCCAATTGGCAGGGGTGCCTTTCGGATTCGCCACCCAGTACCACCGGCCCCATCTCAGGACCCCTTGGCTCACCTTGGGACAGGTATGACGAAAAGAGGTCTTTCCAGGACGAGGCGATTAGTCGTCATTCTACAGATGGCCCTGGAACTCCTTCGCGGTCCCCGTTCGTGAATAGCACCAAGGTGGGATACGGCGAGCGCATCCCTGGAAGCGATTTCGAAGCCAGCGGCCCCGCGAAATCAATGCATTCAGATGCGATAACTCCTTCCGCATCAGTGACAAGTATGAGGAAGTTCTCGCCAAGTTCGCCTCGCTCAACGACGTTCCTCTCTCCGCCTCAGACCATGACTATCAACGGCGAACCGCTCGGCAGCAACACGCGATACAAACGAAGTGCATCGATGCCACCGGCTCCTCAGTTCATTGGAGGTATGGCTCCGGGTGCCAGTAGCAGTTCACCAACTGCGTCCTTGTCGCCACAACCGACACCACCTTTCCTCAGTATTCGACATCCATACCTGTCACCGTCGGGCGCCCATCGAAGCAACATCTCGTTACTACCGCAGCAGCCATCTTCAGCGAACCAGAGTCCAAGAGTGGCGTTTATACAGGATACGACTAGATCGACAACCATGCTTTTGCCTTTGCGTTCGAGCACTTTTGCAGGACCGCTGGCACATCGCCATACGATTAGCCATGGACAGGGCAACAACATTCACCATGGCCCTCACAGCACTAGCGCCCCGTTTTCTGGTGGCTCAGCAATAGCGAGTGGACACGACACATTGCCACGCAAGAATGGCGCTGTGCGCGGAACCGCTGGCGCGTTCTTTAGCATGATATTTGGAGATGACGATGATGACGAGGTCATGGATGTGAAAGAGAATTTGATGTTTGGGTATGAGACCGGTGGGATGTGGAGCACTCGACGCGGCAGTGTGGATCGTCACGACGATGAAGATGACGATGAGGATGATGACGACGACGAAGACGACGAGAGCTCGCAGCAAACAGCGACGCGTGGTGGCGGTGCTGAGGTTGCACATACGACGATTAATATGGCGGACGTGGGTGTGAGTTCAACCCCGAGAGCAGCGGGTCGCGGTGGGTTGACGGGACCGATTGGTCGCTTGGAGTTGGCACATCCTTCGCATTTGGATCTTTCAGAGACTGGAGCTGGTCAGGACTCGAGTGCCCAAGTGAACCGACAGCGATCGAAGAGCTTTGTGGTCAGGGGCTCTAAGATGCCATAGACAGGGCACAATAGATGCGAATCATTAGGAAAAAATTTTTTACGGACTTTTCTCTCTCTTTATCTTTTTCTTATCCTACTAATTACACTTTTCACTTCCAACTTGTAACATAACTACACCATCGTGTAACCTAGCTTCTCCGCGCCCATTAATCCCTTTTAATCAATAATCCTAATATAGTAGAACCGCATTTTACAAAAACATAGACCCAGTAAAGCAAGTCCTCTAGTCCGAACTAACCGCGTGCTGGATTCACCTGTCGGAGCGTATTGCTGACGGCTGCCGCTTGAACACGAAATATACTGGACCTTTGGCGTGTGTGGAGCAGATCTGTGGCACTGTTATGTCATCGTAGTGTTTGTGGCCAAAAAAAGAACGCGATCAAACTCAGCCCAATATGATATCATCGTAGATTTGCTTATATAACTTTCAGGCACCGCAGGGCACGGACTTTGTTCAAAGACGATATAAAAGGGAAGAGAGAGAACCGATCGTCTTTCTCTTTCATTTGTCTCTTACACGCACACGCATACCTGCACTTCTCTCTCTCTCTCTCTCTCAGACGACCCCCACGCTCGAGAAACAGACGCTTCATACCCTCAAGTGTTCTTTAAGCCGCCATCCCATCACATTAAATCTCAATGGCCCTCTTCTACAAGTCTTCCCGCCCTGCCGCAACTGCCTTTGACTCCACGGCTAGATCCAAATCGATCGATAGCTCTCGCGCAAAGTCCACTCGTCCCTCCCTGATGGAGCCGACTGGACCCATGGATGCACTCCTGCCCACAATGGCCTCTCTGGGTCAAGTCTCGGTCCAGATGATGGAACAGAGCGTTATTGCTGTGCCTCGACCACGCTACCTTGTCTATCTGCCTTTGCTGTGAAAGCAGCGGGATTGAGGGATCGGTATCCATTTTTGTAAACCAGCCAGCATTTTCACAATTCAATTCATTGTACCATACCGTAATAAAACTTGTACTCTTCACCTATGCCCATATTGTCGTTCATGGCCCTTGCTGCACCAATAGTCACACTCTGTCCCTCAGCTTATGCTTCGAACTCCTTTCTGAGGTGCGCTTCAGCCATGGCGAATGAGCAACTCTTGTTTATTCATTCACATTCATTCGCTCGTTCATTCCCATCCCATCCCATCCCATCCCATCCCATCCCATCCCACCCTAACCCCTCATTCTTTCTCGCTCATGACCGAACCAGATGTCAGTATTTCAGCTCAAGGAGGTAAGACGCGCCCTTGGCGCTGTATTAAGTCATGAATTGACTACACGTTTTTGATCCGTAAGAGCTACCAAGGTTCTCAGAAGGATGGACTGGATCAACTAAAACGCCTCGCAGATAATGAATGACCTTGACCGCATTGAGCAAGGAGAGGGGCCATAAATGGAGGCGTTCCTTATGGGCTGTCATCATCTGCGAGTATTGGAGCTCGATGCGGAGCCCTGAATACTCTAGGGCTGTTCTAGTATCCTAGAGCGTACTTTCGAACCCTAGCGCTAGTACCAAGTCAACCAAACTGCGACTACTAACAGAATTTACTTCAGGATTAGGCAGCACTTGACTCCTGTGAGCATCGATTTCCCTCATCTGCACCTCAGGTTATACCAGGAATCTTCAGAAACCTTGAGACCCTGGAACTTCAGTCCGATCGCACCTATAGATTTGCGATTCATACCTTGAACGACGCCATGTGGACCTTTGCGAGCACGCTCAGAACTGTCAAGCTCATGGTGGACCAATCCTACAGGTACTGCAGTGATCCATCCAGCATGGAAAAATCCCGCAAAGCACTACAGCTCAAGGATAACCTCTGGACCAACTCGGTTGGTGAATGGTCCGTGCCACTTTCGCGTCTAACGCATTTAGAGCTGGATCTTGTCCGCATAGCCGGCATCGGGATCGGATCGTTCAGGCAGTGTCCCAACCTTGAGGTTCTAAAAATCTGATCCGGGTCTGTAGAGCCGACAGAACCCCTGCCAGAGGAGAGTGAGCAGCAGGCGCCGCCAGAGTCAATACTATTGGTGGATTAAAGGTATCAGCAAGCCAAGATCGATCTGACATATTTCCAAAGTGGAGTCTTCCGAAACTGCGGTAGCTGGAACTGAGTGATACGGCGGCCATGAGATTCGATTTCGAATCGTTGGAGGAAATGGACAGACTGGAGACGTTGGTGTTGAGCATGAGTGCGGAGGCGTCGCAGTTGCATAGTTTGCAGGCACACAAGGAGCATCAGAAGCGTTCATTGCAGGAGAAACGACGTGCGATGAAGTCGTTCAAAACTGGTCGTCGCCTTCGCTGAAGAACTTGAGGATGGATGGAGAACCGGCGACGATGTTCCATATGGACTGGCTGAAAGGACGTCCTAGGGTGGAGATGGTATCGTTGTCACTAGTGGGTGAGACTGCACAATGGATCACACGTAGCCCGACTTTGGATGTGAATTCTGAGACTGATTGGGACGACGAGACTATTGATGAGGATGGCCACGAGGAGGCGGACCATACGCCTTTCTGGAGAGTAATTTATCCTTGATCGATCTGTCAGGACCCTGGGTCATATCAGAAAACGACGTAATAGCTCTATTTACGGTATATGTACCCTTTTTGAAACTACTCAAGACCGATCAGCAATTGACGTTGAGCGGGTACAGCTCATTAAGAGCGACCATGAAGGCGGAGGAAATTAACGAAGCTTATGCAAAGGCGCAAGCGAAGGCAGCAGGGGGTGGCAACATAAAAAAAGGGCGTGAACCGAAGAGTAAGTGTCCGGCTTCAGGCTCAGCGGCGGCTACAGATGGAAAGTATAAGCGCTTGATGTCTGGAGAGAGTTTGATGTCCATTTGCGCGAACTACACGGTTAGCAGACAGGAGAAGCAGGCGCTTGGGCTGATGGTGGTCGACCTCAAGAACGTGCAAGCGTAGAGGAACTTGGGGATGAGAGTTTGCGGGCTGATGAATCGGCATTTGGTACGATCTCAGGATCGAGACGTGTTTCTGAAGAAGTACTAGACAGAAGGAGGTTATGAAGAATAGAATACTTTCTCCATAAAAAAAAAAGAGAAAAGGAAAGCTAACGTACTTTAGCGGCTCTCATAAATCGATGCTGTATTTTGATACAATATCTGTGAACCGCTTCCAAACTTGAAAAAGTGCACAGCGCTCACGCACAGGCCGCAACGCGTTGGTTTCACTACCGAGACCCGAGACTCTGGAAAGCGCTTTGATACGTCACAACTCTAACCGTCTCAAACCTAAGCATCGCTTCTTCTCACCCCTTCCACATCCCATTCCTCCATGACTCGCCATGGAGGAATGGGGCGGACAAAACGGGAGCCGCCATCTCGCTCCTGTTCCCTCTTCTGTGTTCAAACTGAAACACAACACCATCTTCTTGTGCTGTTCAAATTGAAACACAACACTATCGTCTTGTGCTACTAGACCAGCGCACTCCACAAAAACATCTCACAAAGGTCGCGGTCGCGTACTCTCCTATACAATACAGCGTCGCATCCTAATATTAAGAACATTCTCCTGAGACAAACAGCTACTAGTGCCAGGTAAGAATGGCAACACACACACGTTGAACCACACCGTTTGCCGGAGTCCAAGACTAGTCATGTTGACGCAGTTGTCCTCGTCGATTATTCTAGCGATAACAAGGAGGCGTCAGCACACATCTTTGCAAGATTTTTCAAGCAGTCCTCACGCAGTTTTCCCTTGGAAAGGAAACCCAGCGAAATAAGCTGGTAGAGGACTATGAGGGTCTCCAGGAATATTCGGATATATGGCATCAAAGGCGACAATGCGGCCGTCATGACCCTGCTGTGTGTATCCGTCACGTCGGACACACTGAATGGAATAATTTCATGCCATATCGGACTCCACAGGTGTGTGTGTGTGTGCAAATATGCGCTTTGTTCGTTGTACAACTACAACTGACAGCATTTCTAACCTATACTACATTATTTTTGGACGGCTATCCTGTAGAGGCAAACTTTGGTCGCCATTTCAAGAGTCAGAGCCGAGAGTTGATCCTGCTCCCATGGGCATCTGGCCCCTATAAATGGGGCTCTTACTGTATGCCCTTCCTCGCATGCCCTAGCAGCGTTAGTTGGCCATAGACAAACATCTACAACCATCACACTATCGTTTCCTTGAAGTTGGTATGTCTTTTTATTTGTCTGTTTTCTGTTGCTTTCTGGTGCTGCCTTTATGTGCAATTAACCCTCCGTTGTATATGAATCCACCTAGACACAAACCATGCAGGGACTATCCTCTACCAGAGCAATCAATGTCGATGGTCTCCCAGAGACAAAGATCATCTACAGCAACGAATGGCAAGCACATCAGACCGGCAACAAGCTACTTTACCACGACTTTCCCACGATCGAGAGTGCTACCAATGTCGAAGTAGTCTATGATCAGCCGCTGCCAGACAAAATTATAAACAAAGGGAGCGTTCCTTCCCTCAAAATCATCCCTTCCGCCGACACGATTGAGCGAGTTCATTTGCATTATATGGAAGCCGCATCAATGGAGCACTAATCAGGACGCGTCAAGGCAAGGCGAATCGGCTGATCGTTATAGGTATGTATGTCTTCTTTTTTTTCTTTTTTTTTTTTGCAGTTCGGCTGCGACAATGCTGAGATAGGAACTGACGTAAACTTTTTATCTTTTATATCTTTTTGTTTTTTACCATCATCTGAAATGCAGTAGCCGGTTCATCAGGTTCTAAGGCTGGCAGTGCTGTCAGAAAAACAAGGAGATCAAGCGACATACCCATCACGCTCAGCAAGCGCCACAGCCTCTGGACGGAGGAACCACATTTCAACCATCGAGTGCAGAGATATCATTCAACCCCAAGATGCAGGCTTTATCCAGGCCTGACATTCAACAGAACTACACAACTCAAAAAGAATAACAGTTTATTTAAATTAACGGCGCGGACACCACATATCAATGGATCCCACAATGGTCGACAATCACGGCGTTCGATAGGCGTCAGGGCTCGGCCAATGTTTGAAACGACCGAAAAGACGCCACCCATTCCTCCAAGAACCATCGCGTCTCGACGACAGCAAAGAAATTACCGGGTTACTTAACCGGACAGCACGAACTTCCATTACGGCTCTTTAACACTGTTCAGTCCAATGCCCGCAGACTCCTCAGGTTCATCAGCTCCTTCTATGGTCGGTCGACCCGCACCCTTATCGACGGTAAGGCGGATAGCAACGTCTTTGGCTTTTTTTTTTTTTTTTTTTTTTTTTTCGTCAAGGTAACCATGCTCCTTTTTAACCCACGCTCACTCGCTATTTTAATCTATTTTTTTTTGGAATTATTAGCGCGTTTTCGAACCCACGCGCACACTTTCGGCCAAACCAAAAAAAGCTGGTTCTGTAACGCAGTATACAGGACTCGGACACTCTGGTATAGAGCACGCAGGAGCAGTGCAACTGAGTTTAGACCGATTGCTACTTCATCGCGGTACAACCAGTACCGCTATCAAAGTGTCAGAGATTTGTATCTCTGTGATTGGACGGTGGTCACATGCACAAGACCAGAGGACTTCGGGCTCTTCTAGAAAAGCCTAGGAGTCCCGTTATCCTAGGTGGATACCCACCTACAGCCAGATCCATCCAGAACACTCTCTTTATTAGTAAGACCCAGCTTAGTAATACTCAAGCTGTAGACAACTATAAAAGGACGCGCCTAGTCTAGCTAGTTAGTCAGTCTTGTCTAGTCTTAGTCCCTGTCATAAAGTTCCTTGTCTCCAGTATCCTCTTGTCTCAAGACTCACCTTGTCAGCTCTTCCACACAAAACTCTTACACAAAGGTACCAGGAGGTACAATCAGGAGAATCAAGACCCAGTGTCGGCAAATGCCGTAAGGCACTCCCTCAGGGATATTGGAATGATAGCCAAACGGGATATCAAGAAGTCGCCCATGACGAAAAAGCAGAAGGAGACGCGTTCGGAGTCCACACTGATGTACGAGATTTGACCGAAGCTGATTGCAAGCGAGTAGTTTGGTCCGATGAATCGAAAATCAATAGAATATCTTCTGACAGTCTGTACTATGTGTGGATAGATACAAACGGGCAATCCAAGGCCAAGACGAAAGACATCGACCCGGGATAGTTCCATCATGCTTTGGGGATGCATGACCTGGGATGGCCCGGGTTTCTTGGCTAAAATCGATAGACATTGGACGCCGAGCTCTACATTGGCATTCTCAAGGAGGATCTGTAGGCGACTGTGGACTGGTACAACATTGATCCGCAGCGGTTTATTTTCCAACATGCCAACGACTCCAAGCATACTGCCAAGTCAACCGAGGAATATCGCGTCCGTTGGATTGACAGAGGCGACAGAAAGAACTCTCGCCTGGCTAGCCATTTCTCCAGATTTGAGCCCCATAAAGCACTTATGGGAACACTTGAAAAGAAAACTAAGCGGACAAGGAACCATTCCCAAAGGGTTGCTTGAACTATGGGAGACAATGTCACAGGACTATACCCAGGGAGCCCTAGTAGGATTAAGCGTCAGATCACAGAAGCTTGGCAACCAGTTTTACATACCAAGAAGCTCTTCAGCCAAGCCGCGCCGGCCCCATCCTACTCTGAAACCCCTACATCATGCCCAAGTGCGAAAAATGCAAGAAAAACCACGACCGCCAGACCTACTACGCATGCCCGAAAAGGTATTTCATGTCACCATGTCGCTCGCTCATTTCGCACCACAGCAACCACAATGGATATTTTGTTTAAGGTATGCTCATCTCATTCTTCCTTTTCTTTTGTTTGCACCTTATGTAACGATAGCCACACGTAATACCATAATATATATTCGTGCGCAATAGTTATGAGGCTCACTCCACTGCGTCTGCCCTCGCTTGCGTCCACGCACCATCCCCAGAACCCTACCGCAGAGAAAGGAACGTAATCAAAGCGCTTTGTTGGTTGAAAAAGATCGAACTCTATTTCTCCGTCGCCAAAATCAAACAGACCGGATGGACCGCCATTGCCGCGCTCCTCTTATCCAACAAAGCGGCAGTGTGGCGGACATATCACCGTTCTCTCAAAGTTGGTTCTCTATGGACGGACTTCAAGACTGAATTCAAGTCCGCTTTTTGCCCTTCAGACGCTCAAGGCGAAGCTCACCGCAAGCTAAACAACCTGCAGATGATGGGCTCCCTCGACTCGTACATCAACGACTTCAAAGAACTCGAAGTCCAGCTCGAGGTCGTCAACCCAGGAGAATTATTGAGCGCCTTTCTAAGAGGCCTTCCTTCAAGCAAAGCAAATGGAGCGCACCTGTCAGAGTTTAGCTCTGATTGGTATTGTCATGTGACGCTAGACGCGTCTAAGAAAGGATCAACGTCGCCCTCATCACAGAAAGCTCCATGATGTAGATGAGCAAAGGCAGCACCGAAACGTCTAGAACCATGGATTACTAATCAGGACCTTTATTCGTCTGATGTATATAAGGAAGGACAGACTATGTAGTTGAACCCCAGTTCATATACTCACAACAGTCTAGTCAATAAACTATTGTCTTCACATATTCGTCTTGTTCACTCACCTTGTTCACTCGTCTCCCCTCGTTTTCACCTCGTTGTTCCTCGTCCACCCACAAGTCTTACGGCACCCTTCTGAACTAACTGTTCCGTTCAGACCCCAAATTGGAATCGTACAGAGTGGACCTTCTGCAACAGTAGTCATGTAGTATATATATCCGCGCACTGCAAATATTATTAAAAGTAGTTCTTGTTTCCACTCCTCATCTTGTTACACCTGAGGTATTTTTGGATTCAGAAATGAGTGAGAAAGAGATGTGGCTCCACACACCACACCGATTAGGTATTTATTTGTATTAAATGTAATAGTGAGCTCGAGGTACACTTGTTAAACTAAATATACAGTGAACTCTGGTGAGATATGCGACAACACCTTCACATTTAGGCCACTTCCATTTTTATTCGAGCTTTTTAAATACCAAGCCCCAGCTCGGGACTATAAAAACCTCTACTGGGCGCATAATAAACAACAACGCTCCTTTGTCTCCTTGA